ATTAACTATTCACCCGTTCCTTAGATGGCCACAATAACTATATATATTATATATAGACATGCGCTTATAAATAAGTCGCCGGTCATCAGCCAACCCGCTTCCTGCTTACGCATGCCAGGTAGGCATCTAGGTATAGGAATATCTACGATTATGCCTTATATAACTTAAAATACCTCTAGGTACCTACCCGGTAGGTACCTCCGGGACCACCTAAAGTAAATCCTCGGCCCCCACCCCCCAGATGTACCTGCCTAACCTAACCTTGAGGTACCCGCCACGCGCCATATCGTATAGGTAGCTTCTGACGTTTCTAACGGACCGCCGAACCACTCCTGATTGGGCACCCGCCTAGAATACGCCCCAAGGAGCCGACGTATAGGCATATGGGGGCGTATGAAGTAGGCACATACCTACCTCTAGGTCTGGGGAGGTTATCTCAGTTCGCATGTCAGTTGGGACGTGGTCTTCGGACGCTAGAATGAGAAAAATCTCAAGATAAACTGGCTATGCTGTAGGTAGTTTATCATATAGGTGCGTGTACCTACTATTTACCAGTCCTAGGAGGAGGTAGCGAGGAGATTCAGTAGCCGTTGCTATGCCATGAGCCTGAGCTTAGTTAGTCTGCAAGAGCCGTAGTATCACGATCTCTCCCCGAGAGGTCACGAGGGCAACTCTTGCACATACCTAGGTCCGTATTGATTAACAGTTGTTGAAACACGTCACCCCGCCGTTCCTAAGCTGGATTCGGCCGCCGTTCTATAGGTATTAACGTAGCTAGATTACGATATGGTGTTGCGGGTATAATAATTTCCCCAGCCTCTCGGGATGTTCTTTTCACTAATCAGTAAGCCATTACTGTTCTACACGCTTTATGTGTGAGTTATGTTAACCTGATCAGCGTAACTACTAAAGAGAAATCTCAGTATGAGTCTCTAAGGCTACAGAGGAAACGTGACCGCCTATTAACTTGGTCTGAACCGGGTTCTAGGGGAGCATTCTGTGTTATGACGCTGTGGTTCCAGAGCAGATCTAGCGGGGCTGACTAGGCGAATTCTAGTCTCCGTCTCGCGGCAAGTATGCCGGCGAGGCCTGAAGGAGGCCATCCCAGCTCCCCTTGTTAGTAGGGGCAGATCCTTTGGCTGTCAGACGGGCTAGGCAGCTCGCTCCGTGTGATGGCATCTTAGGGGGGGGGCAGCCTGGCAGAGAAGTTGAGGCCACCGGGCGGGTCCCAAGCATAGCGAATAGGGACGGCTCCGGGCTTAGCAGATGACAGCTGAAAGCAGTGCTTGCCTTGAAGAGGCCGTGATCGTCTCTGCCTAGAAGATCCAGGAACCCAGCCGCGAATGAGCGAGGCTAGCGTGTCACGCCGGTGGTCACCCGGACGAGGCAATATGGGAAGTGGACGTACGCGCAACTAGCAACCATCTCGAGGTGCGGTCGAGATATAATATATCTAGGTCTGGTGGCGGTTCCCGCATAGTCTGAGTAAGTGCTTAGCGGTGTAATGTTGTGTAACGTAAATTGAGTCTTTGCACGGTGCCATATAAGCGCGGGTGGGACTCGAGATTCGTTTTTATTTCCAGATCCAGGCCGCCCTCGCGAGATTACCTGCTTTATATCAAACGTTCTTTGCTTCTTTCTATTTCAAGAAAGCAGGATCAATTTATAGGGACCCATATCAACCAAAGCCCCCTTACTATCCACCAGCCGTATAGGTTCGTAAGCTGGGAACAATTCCGCAGGCGGCGGGCATGGTCGGTATTATGAAAGAGGCAAGTGGTTGGGTGACACGGGGATGCCGTAGTAGGACCACAGCATCGCGAATGGCCGAGCACGCGACGGCGGCCCGACCGTGACGCAGGGACGAGATGCTCGAATTAATGCCAGACTATAGGTAGGCTACTATCGAGCGGCAGTATATAGTTATCGCCGACGTCTGGTTTCTCGCCGCTCGGGTTGGCTATAATACGTGAAATGTGTAGGCGACGGAGCCGTACCCTTAAATATTAATAAACGCCTACCTATATAGGCAATAGATGCGAAGCCCGATCTGCTAGGTTATAAGGCGCACCTTAGATTTGACAGGCCCTGCTGTAGCCATCTCGGTAGGCCGGTACCTGCCAGGCAGCCCGAGGTGCTAAGCGCTATACCTCCCTGAGATAGGTAGAGGCAGGTACGTTCGCTAGGTCCTTCCGGCAGTACCTACAGGTACCCATGACAGGAAGGCGTACCTCAGAGGTGCCTAGGTACCTATAGTAGGTACCTAGGTATGTATTGATATAATACCAGGTATATAGCTGTAGGTACCCACCTAGAGTGTTTAGGCACCTAAGGCAGTAACGGCTAAGGCACGTGTTATAGAAGCAGGAAAGTACTAGTACCTACAGATAGGTAGATACCTGTTCCTAAACACCTAGGTACCCATGAATGTAGATAGGTACCTAGGTACACATCCTCGGGCTGGTCCCCCCCTCAACCTTCACTTACAATTGATCTGTGTAACAGCGCACAGAGGGTGCGGGGGAGTTTTGTGTCAAGACGCAGTCGGGGGAATCCAGGGATGGCTACTAGGAGGTAGTATTTCCACATCCCAAAGCAGGTGCCTGGGCCTAGGTATCGAGTACATCAAGAAGCTTACCGTAGCACTTAGGAGGTACCTCGGGAGTGGTTACCTACCTAGGTACCTACCTATAGGTAAGGTTGTATGCTAACCCTAATGGCCTGCCTGCGACGGGTTACATGTAAAATACCCTTCCCAAGGCAAGTTGCGCTTGTATACCTACCTACCTCTAGGTAGGTAGGTACTCGGCTTAGCGGCCCCCAACACCTGTGCTCCTGCTCTTGCTTACCTCCGACGTAGGTACCTAGGGTAGGTATATATCGGTAGGTAAGGTACCTAAGGACGTTAGGTACCTACCTCCTGCCTCCCGTCTTGCCTCCCAAGGCATCTGACGTTGGTGGTGCAGTGGCACCAACGATTTGGCAGGTTCAACCTCGTCAGGTATTATACATCGTTGCCGGAGGCAAGCGGGCGCTGTTGACCCATGAGAGCCAGACATGGTTCAACCGGACGGAATTTTCTCCGGTCTTTCCTGGCTGTCGAGGGACTCGAGAAAGGCTCGGCGGCGTCGTTCCCTTGAAGATTTCCATTCCTTTCCACTCCACCACCACGCGCCCCCCCCCCCCCCCTGAAATGCCCATCATTCTGGTCTTCAGCTTTTGTTACATTGCATTCGCGGCGGCGTGCCGCCAGCACCCTCTCGAGGAGGCACCGGTCGTTCCGGCGATGAAGAATCCCAATCTGCCTGGTCTCAATATGCAGGTATAAACATGGCCTGGTCCGGACGAGGCCACCGTCCAATTGCTGGATGTCATCGGTCTGTCACGCGTGCCAACCCGTTCGCCTGTGCCACTGGACTGGAGCGAGCCTGTCGCGATTTCGCAAATTACCTACCTACCTTTACCTACCTTCATCCCACGTCGTAGGGGGCGGACGAGTCGTGTCGGTAGCAGCAGCGCTTCCGGCACCTCGAGGGCGGAGGGCGTCTAATTCGGTACGTGCACCATTTTGATTCTGCCACCTCGGGTACCTCAACCTCCTCTTCCTGGTGCTCCATCTCCTCCGCGCGCACATGCACCGTACACATACGTCTGGGTAGCAGAGCATACGTACGTCCATATATATTATCTGCGTACAGACGCAGACACGTACATACCTCATACATATACATATACATACGCTTTTTAAAGACTTGCCCTTGACACTTACACACACGCACGCACCCTCGCACTCACCTACACACAACTCACACACACACACGCACACAGCACACACATGGACACCACACACCGCAACGCAAGCACGAACGCATGACGCGCGCGTTGCACGTCAATCCGTCCGAGATATTGCCCAATGCTACCCCCCACACACGACTGGCCTGCCACCAAGCGGTTCCGTGAGTATTACTGGAATCCCTCGCGCCGCTGGGGAACCGCCAGACGGAGCGGCCAACGCATAACACCCAACATAAACAGTACTTACTTACCTGGCGCCCATGTAAATTCACCGGCCTGTACGGGAAGAGAAACACACCCAGGCGGCATATGCTGTGTCATTCTACCCTGCCCCGGGCTGGCTGATTGAATATTATACCTGCTACCTACACCTTTGCGTTACCATTCCCGCCAGAAGTGCACTTGTTGATTCAGCGACATTTCATCAAGTGTTATTCTCACTATCATCCCTATTAATGAACCGTTAAAGCCAGTCGCTGTCCTGTCAGGGTCAGTAAGCCTCCCTTGTCCGCTTTCCCAGTTTTCGGGCACATCCAAAAGTGCGCTCGCTGCCTACGTGGTACGCATAACCACCACCACCAGCAGCAGAAACATTTCGTCTTACTCTTGTATTCCGCCACAGGGCCTACCCCCAGAGCACGCGCGCGGCCAATCACCCACTCAAAAAGGCAGACGCGGTGTCCCTAGATATTGCTTGCCTCCGTCATCATCGGCGCCCTATCTCCCCCCCCCCTTTTCGCTGTTAGGATAGAGGCTAGCGTGACGGCAGACTTCGTCGCCCGTCCCCCTTCTCTGTCGCTAAACGCTCAACGGACCCCCGGGGTTCGGCTTTCGTCCTCAGCCATTGGCTCCGAAGCAAGACCCAGTCAACGCCGTCTCTGACGGCGCCTATACTGATAACGGTATGTGAGTTGGGAAGCCTAGTTGCGGCAAAGTATGGAGCTCTGCCCTATAGCGGCGGTGGCTTACTTATCGCGTAACCCTCTGCAGGAAGAATTCGCCTCGCCGCTGTTACGGTCCGGTTTTAGATACCCCATTGCCCCGTGTCCCGACGAGCCAGCCTGTCCTTGGGTTCTTGCCGTTTTACTACCTGACCGCCTCCCTTCGGCTCTCCCCTCTCAGTACTGGATATCCGAACAGCTTGTCCCTCGCACCGCAGTGCAGCGCCACATTGTTCTTACATCGGGCCACTGTGGAACGTTTCATCCGCCACAGAGTCTCCTATCCAGAACCTCTACCCAGCATAAGAAGCAGCCCTGTAGCTTGTTCGATGATGCTTATGTCATAAGCATTTTTTGAGCATTCGGTGAGACTGTGAGTAATGTTGGAAGGGCCCTGCTGACGGCTACGTCAATGCTTCTTACATAGACGGGGTCCCGCTTCGGATCTGGGCTAATATATAACGTAGGAATACCCAGGTTTTGTGGGGGATGAAGTGCACGACAGGCAATTGGTAGTCCTAAGAAATGCTTCCCGGTCATTCTGCCACTACGTCCAGACACCGAGGAGGCTCACGTCGGTCTCAGGTGACCCTAGTTAGGGACCGTCAGGTCAGTAGCTAGCAGTGTTTTTATCACGGGCCGGGTTCCCTCCGGAGAGAGGGCCGGGGAGGGAGAGAGGTCGCACGGCCCCCTTACATCCCTGGTTCTACTGCCGCCGGCTCGCTCCCATCTGCTCCCTGGCGACTCCTCGAAGCCGCCTCCGAGTGGAGTAATTGCTAACGCGTAAAATGTGAACCAGACATGCATCCCCCTGACCAGGATACTCGGCGATGGCGATATTGTTGTCCTACTCACGCCGGTTGTTCCGCCTGTTAACCCGGATGATGACAGCAGTAGCAAGGACCCGTTCGAGCCCTTCGGCCGGGCCTTGGCCGCGATACACCCCTGGATTCGGCACGTCCCGTACACCTCTCGAAACGGGATGACGAGTACGCACGTCGGTTTTATCAAGAGAGCCAAGGTCGTCATCTTCGTCATCTCCGGGTCACCGAGCCTGGGTCAGTCCTCGCAAGTCGAGACCGCTCAGATAGCGCAAATGGTGGGGGAGAAACGACCGCAGATAATCGTAGCGTGCCAGGATGTGGACGACCTCGGCCTCGTGCAGGAAAATTTCCCCACGGTGGTTCAGCTACCCGGGTATCAGCCCTCTCATTTGCGGGTCGCGGCTGCGATGCTATTTAGTGAGACTCCGGCTATCGGTACTATGGGCCTAGATGTGCAATCGTTGATCACGCAGCCAAAGTCCTGGCCCCCGGAAAACTGGGATGGTCTAAATGTGGCCCCGGTCCACGAGCTTTGGAACCAATGCCTACCCGATAAGTTTCATCTGGAGAGATACCCCCTCCAGTGTCTGCTCCAGCGAGACGGTTACGCGATGCACTTTGTCGTGAGGCTCCCCGAGAACCGCGAAATCGTAGGATTCTGCGCGACTTATACTACGTTTGTCGATAAAGAGGGCGAAAGACTAATCGGGTCTCTGGCTATGATCATCGTCAAACCGGCCTATCGGCTCCGCGGTATCGGACTGAGTCTATACAACCATGCTCTCAGCCAGCTCAAGAGGATACGCGGCGTCGACCGTATCCAGCTAGGCTCTACATTCCCCCGCCTCCTCAGCGGCATACCAGCTAATTCTGGGTCCGAAGGCTGGTTTCGGAGGCGAGGCTGGCAAATGGACGGCCAGGCTCCAGGCCAAGGGCAGGACATCTGCGACTGGATCTTGGAGATTAATGATTGGCCCAACGGCGGGCTACTAACGGCTTCCTCCGGGCTTACTTTTCGACAGGGCACCTTCAACGACTTCGACCTCATCTCGAGCTTTGTAGAAAAGGAGTCTTCCTGCAAGGATCATACCGGCTGGTATGATCAGTACATGAATCTGGCCAATGATGGTCGTATCAGTGACGTCGTTATGGGACTGGAGCACTCGGAAATTGTCGCAACCGCCCTGATATACACGCCCTGCGAAGCCAGCTCCTTGGCCCGGGACCTCCCTTGGGCGCGGACAATCGGGTCCGAGGTGGGGGGCGTAACGTGCATTTGCATTGCCGGTTGGTCCCCGTGTGAGTCGATTACGACAGCCCGAACATTTCAAACTGACCTAGCCTTACAGACGGCAATCCGGCAATGACGATCAGCAAGGATACGGTCATGATAAGATTGTTAGATACTTGTTTCTCCATACTCAGAGGGCAAGGAATGAAACATGTATTTCTCGACGCCGTGCGAGGCGGCTACAAGGGGTTTCAGTCGATGGGTAAGCCTCCTAGCCCAACCTCATGTCGCTCTCCACATCCTAACCTTCAACCCCCCAGGTTTTCAAAAGTGGGCGATATACAGAGACTTGTGGCAACCGGTGCAATCGCAGCTCAGAAAATAGCCTCGAAGGCTGGTGAGAGACGCCGCGGTCAGCTTCCCTTACTCCTCCTCCCGAGCCGCTCCCGTTGCATCGCAACTCAGTCGACCCGCGAAGGCTCCTCTAGGAAATTTTTGATCGGAGTGCCTTTCGTGTATTATACGAGCATGGTTACGAAGCTAGGGAAACCTATATGTCATGGGGCCCTAAACCGAAGGTCATTGCCGACTGAAAGCCAGAATCACAGTCATGCAACGCTCTAATTCAGAGGCGCGGAGACCGCGATGGCGCAGCCATAGCTGTTCGAATGGAACTTAATGTTGAGACAGGTCAGGGATCGATATTCGACATTTACAAGTAGTCGATATTGAGTCAACTGGAGAGACCCCCCCCCCCCTCCGCCCCCGCTCAAAGCCGTTCGTTTCCTCAAGGGGCGAATAAAAAGCAATGGCTACTAGTCGCGTGACGCCGAGCGACTATTCTGTTCAACGAAGCTATGAGGCATCTGCGTAACTAATGAGAAACCCTAGCGGGACAAGTCCTCCTGGGCGTTGCTAATTCGTTGAGCCCATGTCGAGTAATGACTCAAGCGCATAAGAGTCGGTGGTTTTGAAAAGTCGGGTCTGAAGCGGAACATGTTGCCAAATCGCTCCATGTTGGAGTTTTACGAGCCCGAGGTCGAACATGTGGCGGCAGTCTGGTACGACCGCGGGCTTATCCAGTGTGTGACGACTCGAGAGACGCCATCGCCGCAGAACGTAGTCGGAGCACCAAGTGGCTCTTCAGAGTATCTAATCACACAAGTTGGAGCTGAAAGGTCTAGTTCATTAGTCTCTGTCATCCGCATCGCGATATCGAACCTAAAGCGGCTGAAGCGGGTGTTGCAATATCCAGTAGCCGTATTCCATGGCCCTCCTTGGGGTCCATTCGTGATACCTCCACCATGAGCGGGGACTCGTGGGGGCGGAATCCTTCGCGATGACGGCCCAAATCGACAGATCAGACGAGTCTCGCAGGCTTCGATTCTTCTAGCAGGACAGACTAGCTCACCGGGATCCGCGAGAGATCCTACTTTCGGGAGGCCAGCCCAAGATGCGGGGCCATCAAGCAAGTAAGATGAGACTCACAGAAAACGAAATTTTGTGAAGGAATCTTGCCTCAGATGCCCGGCGGCGATCTAGAGCCAATTCCCGAGGGAAAGAAGAGTCCACGATCAGCACGCCCACGGATGGATTCTCCCGTTAACCCGCCCAGTCTCGAAGACCTTGGCCTAGTAGATGTTAAATTCGGTATGTCGAGCAGACTGGCGGCATACGCCAGGAGCGGGTTGAGACTTATCGCACCAGGAGCGGACAAGCGGATCAATATTATCATCCTACAAGATCTGATAGTCTGCGACTTTCGTGTTACCCCAACCGCCAACTCATTACGCGGTCTCGATGCGGGATTTGCATCTCCACGCTGCCTGGATCAACGCACACACCATTCAATCCCTAGGGTATGACCAAGAAACGGTGCTGACCAAAGAGAGCAGGGAGGGAGGGTGGTCGGGAGTCAGAGGCGGAAGGAGGAGTAAAAAAAAAAAACTCTGCAGGCTCGAAGAAGAAGATACGGCTAACCTGCAGAAGGGAGTATTGTTTACCGCGATCATAGTCCCGCGCCAATGACACGCCGGCAAGGTGACACAAAACACGACTTGGCGTTGCAATGCATGAGGTGGACTGTGGTGTGGATCGATATGCAGCGATCTCACCAGCAGCTGTAGGTCAAGAGCTTGCGAGAACCAATTTATTTATCCAGCAGACGGACACCTGACGCTGATGAGCAGCAGCATGACAGCCTGGCTGGTCCGCCATCGACCTCCCAGATCTCGAAATGCCAGGGGATTTCCGGCATGAACATCGCCGTCACGATACGCCATCATTGCGATGTGACGGGCCGCATCCCCCTTTCACCCTGACAACGCCCGCATTTATTATAGCTGAGCCGCCACGCGAGAGATGTATGTCTCACCTCAATGCCGAGCACCAGCCTGACCAGTACGCGCACACTTACTGGTTGGTATTCGTCTTACTATACCCAACGCTCCGACGACTCTCCGCCGTAGGACGCTCACCGCAACCAGCAAGTCTGGCGCGAGAACACGCACGCCCAGCACTCACAGCCTCTACCCCAGCTTCCCGTTAGTCTCGTCGGAGGCTAGTAAGCACGCCTAAGCAGAGAATAGCTCCGAACCTGGGCTCCGTAGGTGACTGGCTACCTGCTGAGCGACTTAGAGTCATCGCTTAGAGCCACGGAGCCAATCTGTTGTGCGAAGCGAGGGGATGAGGCTATGCTATAATGCCCGAGGTGCGACTCGACGGAGATCGACAAGGCAATGCTAACCGCCATTTGATCACGAGGGCGCGCAATCTGATATGTCGTGTAAGTGGGAAAACGTTGGAACGGGATTCTCGATGAAAACAAAGACCAGACCTAACAGCGGCTGAAGTCAGCATGTGTCTGATACACGCCTCGAAGGATCTTCGACGCCGTTTGATTCCCCACTCTGGGTCTCTATATGTTGACGAGGACGGCATACGTGCGGTTCGTCGTCACCACGCAGCTTATCCTAACAAGCCACACCCGACTCCTAATTCCGGTACGACGGTAATGCCTCTCCAAGTACCTAACCAGCAGGCCCCGATGCTTGACAGTCTGCGGTAGATATCCCGTGAGTTCTGCGTCTCCTAAGTTGGTGTATGCGTTAACCGGCCCTGCTTTTTGTAGGCCAGATTCGGACGCTCTCCTGAACTCGTCTCCTTCCTTCTTCTTTCCTCGTTTCTATTTATTGATACTTTTAACAATACTGTTTTTAGGAGGAAGTTCTCCCCTATATTGGGTCCCAAGCCTCACGGCGCAGAGTACATATAAGGCAAGCTGGTAGTAAGCTGTGGTAATCTCGATAGGGTTCTACCTTTTGGGCAAAGCCACCGCAGAGTCTAGCGCACACTATGCGCTCTGTACTGGGATGGCCAAGTCGCACACGGTATTACAATACGACAACGAACATCCGGTCACAAAAGACGAAGAACACAGACACACGCACATTAATATATATACATATATATTAATGTGTACTTACATCTATATCAATATATTAGGTGTATATGCAAAATGCACAGATGTGGCACCAGAACCGGCGTGCGCTGCATGCGACGCACCATTACGCAGTGGTACGGTACTGAGCCAAATGCCTCGCCGACCCGTGCTCGGGCAAGGGAAACAAGCCGGACGGAGAGAGGGAGCACTCTGGGATGGTCCAATTGCCGCGTGCCGCCATCGCTGTCGCCAGCACACAGGTTTCCTCGAACTTTGCGCGGCACACCCGGTAACGATACCTACCTACCTAGAAACGGACCACGACGCGGAAAAAGGGGGAGGGACGGGGAATCTACGCCAAGGGTTGGGCAGTTTTCCTTCTCTTTGACTTCGAGTCCGGTATTCGTTCTGAAGACACCGAGCGAAAACTACTACTTACTTAGGTATGCTTACCTCGGCGTCCGTCCTGTGTTTTTGCTCTCTTTCCCCTATTCGCCGTTCCGACTCGTCTCGCTACCGACGGTACTTATCGACCGACTACAGGACGTAGTATCGCGCCGAGGTGGACTTCGTACCCCTGTCCCCCTTACATCCTTTTCGTTAGCAATGCTGATTTCCGTGCCACCCACCTACTTACCTACCTACTTGTATGTGTCTCCGTGCGTGTCTGTAGGGGGCATGTATTGCCTACCCATCTGTCCACATTTCCAGATATCTATTTGTTTAGCCTGCCTCCTGCCTTACCCTCCCCTCGTGACGGATAACCATTCACCCACCGCCAGAGACTTACTGCACCGGTTCACATGACCACCTGCGTGCTACCAACGACGCGCCTGGGGCCTCGTTCACATATCCTACCTACGGCTACTGCAGGCATGCTGCCGAGGCGGGCGGAGGTTCCAGGGAAAACGCCGGCCAGAAGGCATACGACACGACGAACTAACGTGCCGCCTGTAGATACACGGTTGTACAGGCTGCTTACTCGGGCGTCTACCCGACTCTCTCTGCCCACGCCCCCGGTACCTCTCACCCACCACGGGTGGAAGTCAGATGCCGGTGTAGCTACTTGGTGTACGTGGGCGGGCATCGAGCTCCTAACTGGGTCGGTGTGGTCGGTTGCGCTGCGCCTATCGCTTCGTCCCGCTCCCGCTCCCGCTAAGCTGCGCGCACGTTCGAGTCGTCAGGTCGTGCCCATGTCGTCCGTCGTCATTTGTGACCCTTGGGTCGCTAACCCCTTGTTGTACCTATACACAGCCGGGTAAGCGAGCACACCACATGGAAGTAACCGGGCGTCTCTCTACCGAAGAGGGAACCGGGCAGCTCTCGAGGATCGCAGAGGGGGGTACCTATAACACACATCTGCCTGTGTCCAGATCATGCTACGTCTATCTCAGGTACCCCGTAGCCTCTGCGTCTGTATCCGTATTCTCACGCGTACATACACACGGGTAACCCTGTCCTACCTACCCGCTCTTCCCTGCGCATCCGCCCTTTTATGAGTAACCTCCTAGTCCCGTATCTAAGTCCGCAGTTCGCGTTGGCCTCGTGATTGGCCCATCGAGTAACCTGGACAATCGATCACCGATTTGTCCTAAGCATGACCAGGGATCTCTCCCACCCCTCCCTCTCCCGCCCGCTCCCTTGTCCTCGGGTTTCCATTCCATTTCATTTCGCAGCGGGCCTCATCCCTATGTCTCTCTTCGTCCAACCCAGTCCTCCTTCGGTGACCGCTTTAGGCATCTATTTGCACACTGGAGGCTGAAGAGCAGTAGCCCCTGGCTGATCTACATACTTGACAGGTAAGGCACGCAGGAAGCCCGACTACTAGTGAAGCTAGCGGGCACACGAGGCGCACAACGCGCTACGATCTTATCAAGCCAAGCACACAGGTGGAGCCAAGCCTAACACATACTCTCATATGCATATATACATACGTACGTAGGACGGTCAGGTCGCTGGATCGCTGGATCGCGGGCATGACTCTGACCGGATGCCCGTCTTCCTGCCCGCCTAGCTCCTCATCTTATATGTCAGCAGTACATGCCTAATGTCTGATGTACATAGCTGCTGACCGCTCGACGTGGATGGTAAGGACGAGGATGGATTTGAGACGGAAGGGGGGGAAGTGTCAGACGAGAGATGAGTGAGCAACCCCGGACTATTCCAGGTCGGTATAGATTGGACCATCGGTACCAGGTCCCGCCCGACCTGGACCCCGGACATAAATGGAGGTATCGCCTATACGTGGCTTGCCCCTATATCGGGGAGGTGTGCGTGTGTTTATCTTTTTGCGCCTACACTCATACACGGCTACGTAGCAGGCTATGCCGCAAACGGCGCTGTCAGCCATGACGGAGTGCCCGTGAGAAAGCGGTTGGGGGAGGAGGACGTGGGGGAAGCGGCCTGGCCCTGGTCTGGGCAGGGGGAGCAAGCAAGCGAGCGAGGCGAGCCGACGTGTTTGGGAGGAAAGGCTCGGTGGGCGTCGGCTTCGGCTGCGGTGGCCAGATCCCCGAAAGGGGGAAAAAAAAGCATCGAGCCTGCGCGTTTCTCTGCCAGCCAGCCAGCCCGCCCGTCCGTCTCTCTCTGAACGGCTCCCTGCCCTCCCCGCAGGCCAACGTTCGGGGGGCGCCCAGAACAGACGAGGCGGGCGGGCGGGCAGGTCGGGAGGTCATCCTAGTAGATGGGTAAACCGCAGACATACACAGACGTCACACCTACCTGTCTACTGCTACTATCGTCTACTGCCATTGCTACGGTGCGCATACGACACACACATACGTTCACACACACATACACACACAACACCAACATCGCCTGTTCCACACCCCTATGTAAGCCGGCCGGTCAGTTCGTTATCCCCAGGGCATACTGCGTCGGGGTAATCAGCAGTTACTGTCCGGTATACCTCTAGAGACGCATTCGATATGCCTGGGTCCCCCCCTCCCCCCCCTTTGACCGTCCCTCTCTCCTTTGTCTCTCCTATCCTTCTTCCCCGCCTTATTATCTTCTTCCTCCTGGGCCGGCCCCGTATTCTCCGCGATGCCCCGGGTATCCCTCCTGCTGCTGCCACCGGCGCGGCCAACAATCGCCCGAACCTGACTGACTGGCGGCGCAGGAGGAAGAGACGGAGGGAGGCAAAGAGAGAGAAAGACAAAAAAAAGGAGAAATATCCCCCTGTGCCCCCAAGGTGCGCGCGGCGCACAGGCAGAGCGAGGCAGGCCTACCTCCTTAGGTAGGTAGACCCGCGCATACATACCTACCTAACCTGACGTCCTTGGCCTCTCTCCCTCCACGTCGACATGTGTAACGATCCAAGGCAAGTAAGTAAGATGTGCCAGCGCACGTGCAGAGAGAGAGAGAGAGAGAGAGCGTTCGGAGACGAGGTACCAGGAGGTACCTATCTGTCAATCTGCCAGGTACCTACACCTGCCTACCTACGGTACCTACCCACCTACCTAACCTGCCTGTACCTACATATGGGCGGTAGAGGCAGGGAGGGGTATTAGATGGGGTTACAGGCGGTGTGTACATGGGAGGGCGTTGCATCTGCATACCTACACATGTACATGTATAGCGTCTGCACGCCTTGTATACCGCAGTTGTCTACGCGTACTTACCTACCTAAGGCAGGTACCTCTCTTACCTTAGGTACCTCACCTTAGAGGCAATCTTAGGAGATAGGTAGGTACCTCCTACAGACCTCAACCTCGCCCCATTTTTCCGTCTGTCATCGCCTCCGCCCCTCCCGGTCGTCCCGACCCCCGACCCCCGATCCCCGGCAGCCCTCCCCCTCCCATTCTTCCCCCTCGCGCACGCGCGCACTCCTTGTGTAACGTCCCCCCCCCCCGTACGCGGGCTGTAGCGTCGTAGGGCAGGGCTCGTTTCGATATTAGAGGTGCCTATAAGTATGTGTATCATCCTCAGGAAATACATCTGAGTGAAAGTACCTGATCTAACCTACCTAAGTACCTACCCAGGTACCCGCCCTACAGGTACCTGCCTTACAGGTACCTGCCTACCCACATAGAAGGTACCTGAGCCTACGAGATACCTCCCCCTCCTCCTCCTCCTCCTAAAGGCACGTGCATACATGGACGGGTAGATGCATACGTACCCAATACGTGCATACGGCACACTGGGGGAGACAGACAGACAGACAGACAAGACAAGACACATAATATATCCACCCTTGGGCAGCCGGAGACTGCTCTCTCGCCTGCCTAGAGCCAGATAACCATGCCTCTAACACGACAAAAAAACAAGAGAGCAGAGAGCAGACGAGAGATTGAGAGAGCAGAGAAGCAGAGAGGGAGAAAGAGAGAAAAAAAAAGGAGAAAAAAAAGGAGAAACCCCCCCTCCCTCTCCTTTTAATCCAAGTCGCATCTATGCAACGCGCGAAACTGGGACCTCGCTTATGCACACACTACGCGATGTGTTATTTTGCTATGCATCTATGTACACCGCAATTGTTGCTTTCTTTTTTTTTTCTCTTTTTTTTTTCATTTCCTTCGACGGGGTGAGGGGACAGCGATGAGAGACGGAGACGTGCTGACGAGCAGTAAAATGTAGGCTCGCCAGCTTCTCGTAGTGGTAGCGGCAGCAGTTGAGGTACAAAGAAAAACGACGAGATCGTGATTTTTTTTTATTCCTCCTATTCCTCCTCTCCTCCCTGTTTCTCGTCTTCCCCCCCTTTAGACCCCCCTTTCCATCCCTTCTTCTTCTTCTTCTTCCTCGCCATGTCGAGGCCGTCCCGCATCCATCTTCTCTCCTCTCCTAAGCCACTAGTCGCCGTACGCGAACCTTCCGAATGCTATGTTTTGTGGGCCAGAGGGTGAGAAGAGAAGAAAAATTCCCCCTTCCTCTAGCCCTGTGGCAATTAAGCAGCCCTCGATGGCATGCGCCATCAGAAATGTTGACAAAAAAAAAGGCGACAAAAAAAAAAAGACGAGATAAACAACTTTCAGTGGTATCCTTCCTCTCTGCCTAGACGCCATGCTTTTTTTTCTTCTCCGCGGGACCCCAAGAACCGTTTTTTTCGTAGACAATCAATCGTGTATGCGTGACCTCCTGAAAATACCTCCCTGAAGAGTTGCGAATGTCGCGTGTTTCAATGATTCAAGCGTTCCGACGACCACTTGGAAAAGTCGACGCTGTCGACTACCATGTCCAACCCGTTGGTCGTCATAACTTCCGTGTTGTCCGTGGTGGCAGTGGAAAGCATCGACGAGCGGTGCGAGGCCTGTTCGCTCGAGGCGGTGAAGAAGGTGGCGACCGAGGATCGTCGGAGGCTGCTGAAGCTATCGCGAACCGTGCTCCCCGCCCTCGCCGCTTCTAACTGCGCAGCCGCGTTCGTCGCCGCGGTAGCGCTGCCGTGACCCAGCGCCGTCCCCGGCGGTGAGGGCGCCGGGCCTTGCCATCCCATTCTGGGACCGTACTTGTCGCGGAGCCGTCGGATCTCCCTGAGGCGGTTCCGCCATGACGAGATATGCTCACCGCCCTCCCTGTGGGCCCACACGAGCGAGAACACCGACGCGTTTAGCGCCAGGAGTCGTATGAACTCGGGCAACGCCCTTAGACTTACAATCTTGGTTTCCGAAGCGGGAGAGATCTCGGGAAAGCCTGGTTTGCTCATCACGCGCACTTTGTAGAACGATTGCTCCACGTCTTTCGGCGTCCTCTGCCGCGTAGCCACGAACGAAGCTCGTGATTCTGGCGTGATCACAATGTTGACGAAGTTGAATTCCGAGGGAAACGTGTCGAACCTGAAGGGTAGCCCGGAATCGTTGAAGATGATGTTGACAAAGTCGTTTCCGATGTGTCGCTTTTTCAAGGTCGAGAGCGGGTCGTGGTCCAGATTCGTCGGCATCTGCGTCGTCACATGGAACACCATTTCCGTCACCCTGTCTCTCCAACAGAATGTGTACTGGCCGTCCGTGTCGTACTGCCGGTCCAAGCCCTGGGTGTTGAACGTAGCAGCCTTGAGTTTGGTCAACGTGCCGAGGCCGTTGAGAAATTCCACGTAGTCGCCGCTTCCGGTTACGTTGGGTAGGATTTCCGCCTCCGTCGTCTGGTTCTCTCCGACATATATCACACCGACCTTGTGTCCGTCCACCGTCGAATTGTGATCGAACATTCTGATAGCTCTATCGACAGCGTCGTCATTGGGTAGCGGGATAGGGCGCGAAAGGTCGCTCCCCTGAGGCATAGAAGACAGCAATTGCACCAGCAAATGATTTGGCAGAACGCTATTCGCCGGAGGATGGCTTCCCTTGGCGCTGTCACTTGTTTGGTGTGCCGGCGGCGGCCGGAAGAGCTCTCGGATCGTATATGACGAAGTCCCAGATGGCTGTCGCTTCGTGATCTGAGCCCAGCCAGTCGAAGTAGCCTGCTCGATGGTGACGATGCTGTTTCCGATTATCCATCTTCTCTTCAAGATTTCCCCAAACCTGTCGGCGGTGAAGAGAGGGTCCGCCGAGGATTCGTCTACGTCAGCGTACGTCACTCTCTGCATGAAGTCCATCGTGATCTGCGCCTGCTCGTCTGAAGCCTGGGATCCGTCGACATCCGTAAACAGATTCCTCGCAATCCAACCGACTTGGTTCGCGCGATCGGGGAGCTTCAGCGCGAGAAACCAGAATCCGATGACGTGGTAGGCCAGCGTATACACGTACTGAGGTAGGTCGTCCGATGGGTTCAAGTGCGACGGAACCTCGCCCACGCCCGAGCCCCCCGTGGGCATAGCCGACGAGTCGCCGTACGAACTGATCCTGTACGCTTGCTTCTTCCCCCGAACGTACTGTAGGTATCGAAATGAAATCCCGAAGACGATCCGATATTCTTCCTCTCTGAAATTGACGTATAGGGACGGTTGCCGGCTCAGGCAAGCCAAAAATTCGAGGATGTGCATGGCCACATGAGGCTGGGTGATGATTTGAGACATCTTCTGAAGGATGGTGACGAGAGCTTTGCTGGTCGAAGATGGCAGCTCGTGGCAACATATCGTGAGCGCGTGTATGCAACATTTTGCACTCCGCTCCCATGTTGCTATACCGTGCACGAATGTCCTGACAATCTCATCCTCCTCGGCCTTTTCGAAGTATTGGTGGTAGCTGAGAATCATGGTCAAACTATGAAACAGGCATATGGCAACATCTGCTCGGCGTAGCCCAAAAGCGCCCGGAGACTCCTGGAAGTTGTTCATCTTGATCTGCTCGCAGATCTTCCTCCTCAGTTCTTGGATTTGCGGTACCGCGTTGCGGAAGATAGCATGGTTGCTCAACTGCGAAGGCAAGTGAACGAGGACAAAGCTATAAATCTCCCAATCACAACCTTGCTGCAGCAGGCTCAGCACAGCGTCGAGCCACAACCCCATCGGCAGGACCGCAGCTTGCGTCGGAGCCTCTGCTTCTGCGGTCACCGAATCCGCGGCTTCATCCAGCGCGCCGGAGTAGAGCACCGTGCTCGCCACTTGTGGCGGTGCCTCAGGTAAAGCATCCGTATCAGAGGCGATCCACAGGTATTGGTACGGATTCGCTGTCGGTTTGCTACCGCTTGCCGAGCGGGACGGATAACCCCGGTCTTGTGCTTGACCTTGCCCGGTGGATACGCCGCGCGACGAACGGGCGGAGTTGACAGTGTCGCTTCTCGACGCCTTCCCAGCATACGATGCCTCTTCGGCAATTTTACACGCCAGCGAGTCCTTGGTTCGGTATAAAGAGGTGGCCAGATAGGATGTTTCGGTGTGTGTAGTGACGAACACGCGGTTCGCCCAGTCGGCTCTTAGCCGAAATAAAAGTTGCATCGCGCTAACGCGTGCGTCTGCCTCGCTGTTATTCGACCCAGCTATCGACACGAGGAGACCGAATAGGTGCGTAGATTTGACGGCGTCTTGGTTCAGCACGCGCAGGAATATCTGCACATAGCCCTTAACGACAACGTCGGACGGGCTTTGGGAAGCGGCCGGCCGAAGATATTGGAGAGGGGTTGATGGTGGCTCCGAAGCACCGGTGGGCGACGGGAGCACGGACGAGCGCAATCGACTATTTTCTATGACGCCCCGGAGGGTGTCGACTATGTAGCGGAAAAGGGACGAGTTTGCTGTGCTAGCAACGGTGACCGTGAAGGACACGAGTTCCTGTAACACCAAAGTGTCCGTTTCCTTGGCCACATCCGCTAGCAAGCGCTTCATCAAACTCGGTATGAAGTCGGGCTGAAACTGATCGTCGATGAGCTCGATCATCTCATACACTTCTATGACGGCTCTCAAGGACCGTAAACGGACGTCGGTGGACCGCTTCCTATCGGCAAGGAATGCATCCAACACCAAGCTCAGATTCTCCTCCCATAGCGGATCCGACGGCGAACAAAACCGACACTTCTGGAAGTGCTCGAGGACCAACGCCGCCGCCGAGTTGGGAATGACGGAATGGATTTTACTAAAGAAGATGATGCAATCTTGTCTTTGTATGAGGATGCCGGGCAGCTCTGTCTGAATGTACTCTTGGCTTTGGCTGGAAGTGCTTGCTACATCCGTTACCACACCCTCGTGTCTGTGAACAGTGATGCGAGACTCATCCGAAATCATCTCCTCGACGCGAGATATCAGTCTGGTTAGTTCCCTAGCTAGCATGCTCTCTGGGGAATCGGTCTCCCCGTAGGCCAAAAACGATTCGATGGTACTTCCGGCCTTGGAAAGCAGCTCGGTGACGGCCTTAGCACATACCGCCGCAACGTCGAAAACCGACGTCCAATCTTCATCGGCCAGCATGGTGTTGATATTACCTTGGCTATCGCAGAACAGTGAATTTGTTAATCGTAGTATATCTAGGTGAATTTTCCAAGCAGATGTGGCCCTGGCCACGGTAGATAGGCCATCGACCAAAAGAGCGTAGGGAACCGCCGGATATCCCTTCTCGGAGCTCTTCGACACAAGCTTGGCGAGGACCGACAGGGCGCCCCTGACTTCTCGCACCACCTCTTTTCTCGTATCCGCATCCTCCGGGAGGCTCACCAAAACATCCAGGAGTAGCCTAACAGTAGCTTGGCCGTTGTGCGACCGACATAAGATGCTAATGGTATGCCAAGCATCTTTCTGGAGGCCGGGGACCAGGCAATGGATAGAGCAGAGGACATGGACACAGCTCTTGAGCTTGTCTCCGGGGATTGCCCCAAAGGTCACTATAGCGTCCATAACGCTGATGCAGGCCTGCAGGTCCTCCTCGACGCTCGTATTCATGCAGATATCCAGCAACTCGTCGATCAGAGCCTGGGCGACATCGTCGTCCGCGACATTGAAATTGAACTTGATGACGTCCGTGATGAAGACGAACAGATCTGCGAAGTTCCTGTCCTCTCCCGTAACCAACGTCTTCCCTTTCATTCGCGAACCCTGCTTCTTCGCAACACCCCTTGCCATTCGGACCGCGAGGAAGGCGGCCTTCAGCCAGACTGACAAACACGGGAACACATCGTATTCGAAGCCGGAAAGATTGCGGCCGTGGTTCGTCAAATCTACCAGGGCGGCCAGTTGCAAGTGGAAGTCGTCCGGGTTTCCCAGAACCGATATAGTTTTGAAGTACTCGTTACGCTCGAGGTCGGTCGACGAAGCATGTTTCACGCACTCCCCCAAAAGCTCCCAGCCGGCATACCGAGCAGTCTTAGGGTTGGTCGGGTCGATGAGATCCTTCGCCGCGTACCAGATATCGAGGACGGGGTTGAGAGGATAGTCGGCGACAGCGTGACGGAGCGTATTTGCGGCAGCGACGCGCTCGTTCATCGACCCATCCCTCAACAGGTCGAACGACTCGGCGTACTGGGGCGGCAAGCCGCGAGATACGGTAGGGTTGGCATTGAGACGTTCGGAGATGTGAGCGTTTATCGAGTGGCCGGATGATTGCTGCACAGGGGCTGGGGGGGATTTGGTTAGCTTCGCGGCGCCGGCGAGGCCCTTGAAGACGCTGGCCAGGCCACTGCCACTGCCACCGCCGGTGTGCTTCGCATCCTGGGGTGACGGGGCCTCATCTCCTGGTGATGGCGACATGTCTGCTACCTGCCGTGCTTCACCGGCCTTCCGGCCCAGAGAGACTATGCGACGAAACATATCAGCCACCACACCATATTCGCAGATGGCTAGGAAGCATCTACCGCATCGGGCCTCGAAGAAAAATTATATGCGCCTGCAAGTCGAGTCGACGAATCCACGGCGAGATACCAGCAAGATGACGGCAGATTATGATGGGCCGCGTATCGGTACGGTGGACAAGCAATCAAAGGACGAGGACTTACAAGCAAATCGGGTCTTGCATTAAGGGTGGGAATCGAGAGAAGGAGACAAAAGGGCCAAGAAAAAGGTCAAGCATCCATCCGGTGCGGAAGACCTGACCGACGAGTGGAACTGTTGTTAGGGGAAGCCAGGCGCTTTCTCGCAGTTTTTTTTTTTTTTGTCTTGGACCAACAAGGTGGGCGTACGGAGTATCACAGGATCAGTTCCTCCTCTCTCTCACACACACACACACGCACCTGGTTCCCGGCCCCCTACCGTTCCAGAGATGATGGTGGTGGCAGGAGTGGTACCGGTGCTGGTGGGAACGAATGATTACGATGGGCTCGATTTGGTGTTGTCTGGGATGGTGGAACGTGGCAGTACATTGGAATATAAATACAGGGAGACGGCAAAGCGGTTCGATGGCGGCTCCGGGGGGCGGTTGAGGGGGCGGGCAAGTCAGGTCGAGTTGGACAGAGTGTAGGTGAGTCGGGATGGCCTAACGGACGGCATTTAGGAGAGAGTGGTCGGTTGATTAATTGATTGACTGACTGATGGTGGACTGAACTCGTGTTAGCAGTACTTGGGGGAGGTTCCCAGGTTTCGGGGAGCGAGTCGGCCTGACCGGGGGAACCTCAGCGAAAAAACGGTGGCATTCTCCACAGCTGACCCTTTCCGTGCTCCTGCAGCATCCGCACCGTCTCTTTCTCCGTCTTAGCCAATCGACGCCCCTGAAGCTGGACGCAGCACGGAGGTACCGCCCGCGTACCAACCTGGTATGCTTTGCGCAGCCTGGGTACCCGTGGACATGTACCGGCGGGTGCAGGTGGAGGCAGGTACAGGCTTGACAGCTTCCGTATCAGTATAGGAGGAGGCAGGTACTAACTGCATGCATCAGGCACGTACGTACCTACCTAACCTAGTCCACACGGACCTTAGGTACTTACCTACCTGCCTTCCACAGCAGACCCGGCCCCCCCCACCTCAAGACCGCGAAGGGAATGCCGGATAAAAGCTTATCAGAGGTATCGCTACTTGGCAGACAAGCATACCATCCGGTTGGAGCATATATCAGGCAGACCCCGCTATTCCCCTCCTTATACGCAATCGCGTACCTCCCAGCACTCAGCTTACCATCGAGGTTTGGTAGTGTGGGAAGATGTCCAACATGGTGTGATGGCGACAGGTAAGACGTTCCGATTAGGTAGGTCCATATACCTACGCATATATCAAGTCAGCCAGATATTCCGGGCATGCCTAGATACCTAGGTACTGAATCTAGGCGTATGGTTCCGTCTGCGTGCACAGACCATGTCCCAGAGCGCCACAGGTGCCTGTTGCCTCGTCGCCCAAACCCCGCCAAATTGGTCCAGTGTGAATGGATCAATGTCAATAAAAAAATAATAAAAAAGATTCGAAGAAAATTTTGATTAGCTAAGGCCTACTACGTAGTGATGCTTGTTGCTGCTGCTACCGCTGCTGTTCCGACATACCTCTAGTCTTGCAGTATCCAAATATTCCCCAACTACATCATACACCTACACGACTACAGGACAGCCCGCCCTTCAAATTACACCTCTACGTACTCATACACGGACCCGAATACTTGTCTCCTCACTTCCTCTCCCCCCCTCCCGCCACCGCCACACCCTTCGTTGGTTTTTGCTCCTCGTACACGACGCAGAGCTGCCATCATGGCCTCAGATCTGGGCCAGATCGCCCAGCTACTAGATGCAACTCTCGACCCTACCAAGTACAAGAAAGGTATGCGAGAGAGCTCTCTTGATCGATCCCCCCCCCCCCCTCTCCTCTGAAAGCTTGCCCTTGTTCTCCGGCCTTCGTCGCCGTCGCCTCCCACGACCCCGAGTTGCTAATGCGAAGAAAAGCCGAGGGCAAGCTCAAGCTCGAAGAGAAAAAGCCCCAGTTCGCGCTGCAGCTGCTCAAGATAGTAGCAACCGAAAGCCTCGAAACCAAGATCCGCCTGTCCGGAGCACTCTGTTTTAAGAACTTCATCCGACACAACTATGTGGTACGTCAGGCACGGGGAGAATGGCGTGGCGGTGCCGCACGCGATCTGACATGCAACACCGTACCTATAGGACGAAGACCGAAATTACAAAATCCCTGTCGACGAGGTCGGAACGATAAAACAGGAGCTTATCGGGCTCATGATCGCCTGTCCCGCCACCATTCAGACGCAGCTGGGAGAAGCCATAAGCATAATTGCCGACTCCGACTTCTGGGATCGATGGGATACCCTCGTGGCCGACCTCGTATCGCGCTTCTCGCCCGACAACTTCAAGATCAACAATGGGGTGCTCGAAGTAGCGCATTCCATCTTCGCTAGGTGGCGGCCGCTGTTTCGTTCCGACGACTTATACGTGGAGATCAACCATGTGCTTAGCACGTTCGCTGTACCCTTTCTCACCCTACTGAGCGTAAGTCAACGTCTCGTCACCGAAGTCCTCTGAGAGTATAGACCTAACATGCATGCAGGCTACAGATCAGCAGATTGAGGCCCATAGCAACGATAAGGCGGCCTTGAAAGGGTACTTCGAAACGATGAGTCTCCTGATCAAAGTCTTCTATGACCTATCTTGCCAGGATATGCCGCCGCAATTCGAATCGAATTTACAGCACATCTCCACCCTGCTCCACAAATATTTGGTCTACGAGAACCCCCTTCTCGCTACCGACGATGATTCGGAGGCGGGCGTGGTTGAAATAGTGAAGGCCGACATCTGCGAAGCTCTGGAGCTCTACGTTACGAAGTTCGATGACGATTTCGGCCCCTACACGCAGGTGTTCGTCTCCAGCGCGTGGAACCTGCTATCCGCGATTGGGCCGGAGACTAAGTACGATAATCTCGTCAGCAGAGCCCTACACTTCCTCACAGCGATTGCCAACACCACGCAGCACTCGGGCGCCTTCAACGACGAAAACGTCCTAGGCCAGGTTGTAGAAAAGGTGGTGTTGCCTAATGTCGCGCTGAGAGAATCCGACGTCGAGCTGGTCGAGGACGAGCCGATCGAGTTCATCAGACGCGACCTCGAGGGTTCTGATACGGATTCTCGGCGGAGAGCCGCCACAGACTTTCTTCGGCAGCTTCAGGGCAGATTTGAACAGCTCGTCACCACCGTTGCCGGTAGATACATTAACCATTACTTGGAACAAGGCAAGACGAGCTGGAAGGACAAGGACACGGCCATCTCCCTCTTCCTCTCCATCGCGGCCAATGGGGCTGTGACGGCGACGCACGGTGTCAAGACGGTCAACCCTCTAGTGAACGTGGTCGACTTCTTCCAGCTGCACGTCGCGAACGACCTCATCTCCGATAGCGTGGAGCCGATCGCCAAAGTCGACGCGATCAAATACTTGTACACCTTTCGCAGCCAGTTGACGAAGGAACAGTGGCAGGCTGCGTTCCAGCCGTTGATTCAGAACATGGGCTCGTCGAACTACGTCGTCTACACGTACGCAGCGATCTGCGTCGAGCGACTCCTCTATTTGACCAATGATGCCGGGACGCGCATATTTGGCAGAGCCGACATCGAGCCCTTCGCGAAAGATCTACTCGACCACCTATTCAAGCTCGTAGAAAAAGAGAATTCTCCAGCGAAGATGCAGGAAAACGAGTTCCTTATGCGCTGCATCATGAGGGTACTCATCGTCATGAACACGGGCATCCAGGATTACGTCGACATGCTCCTCAACCACCTTGTCGGAATCACGAATATCATCAAGACCAACCCGAGTAACCCACGCTTCTACTATTACCACTTTGAAGCTCTCGGTGCTGTTGTGAGGTATGTTTCGGCCGAGACTTGGTAGCTTGCCGAGTGTCGCTAACTAGTGTATAGCTATGGTTCATCCGCTGGAACATTGAAGCTAGAGGACCGTTTATGGGAGCCTTTCAACCTGATCATCACGGAGGAAGTAAACGGTATGGGCTTGCTCCCCATCGACGCCATCTAAGCTAATGACTCGATTACAGAATTCATGCCATACGTATTTCTAATATTCTCGAAGCTCCTTGAACTTAACCCGTCTGGGGCACTCCCCAATCATTACCAGGCGTTAGTGCCGCTATTAATGCTCCCGACGCTCTGGGAGACGAGAGGAAACGTCCCGGCCCTCACGCGACTACTAGCCGCCATAATACCTAGAGCTGCGCCATCGATAGTGGCGGAAAATCAAGTCCAATCCATTCTAGGCATCTTCCAGAACCTACTGCGAAGTAAAAGGACGGAGACGAACGCCTTTGACCTGCTCGAGTCGGTCGTCGTGTCGATCAACCGGTAATATCCCCCCCTCCCCCCACAAACATACCGCCACCCAGCCTCGTCGTGTTTATCTGCCATGGGAACTAACCTCGAAACCAGCGCCGCCATCGAACCGTATTTCAAGGACATCCTCGCGCTCCTCTTCACGAAACTCCAAAGCAACCCGTCAGAATCGTTCAAGCTCCGATTTGTGCGATTTTACCATCTCGTGTCAGCCAAGGCAGACTCGGGACTCGGAGCCGATTTCTTCATCAGCCAAGTAGACCTAGTTCAGCACAACCTCTTCGTCCAAATCTACCTCGGCATCATTCTCCCAACCTCGGAACTGCTGGCTCGCCCGGTCGACCGCAAGCTCGCCGTCATATCCTTCGCGAAATCGCTAGGAGACAGCGCAGCGTTTGCCCAACGCTACGTGAAGGGATGGCGATTTACGTGCGAAGCGATGCTGAAGATGCTCATGAACCCACCCAAGGTGACGGCGAGTACGGTCGACGACATGATCGACGAGGCAGATGTGGACGACATAGGGTTTGGCCTAGCCTTCACCCCTCTAAGCACCTGCAAGAAGGGCGCACGGGACGACTTCCCTGAGACTCAAGACATACAGAGTTGGGTGCGCCAGTATCTGACCGAGGCCAACACGCGGCACAGCGGGGCGATCGCAGGATTCATGGACAGATTAACGGACGAGGGAAGACGAGCGATGGCGATCTACGTCAGCTAGCTTTGAAGACGGAGATTGGGCAGGGAAAACTCAGTGGCGTAACTCAGTGTATGAATGGTCAGGAGGGGAGAGAGGGGAGGATATCTAGGATGCGCCGGGCGGGTTACCCCCTTGGTAGGGGCTAGTGCCACGAAACTCGCTGCGGCCTGGATGTCTCCTCGGCTTGTTAGTCTGCAGGTACGGACGATGGATGGTGGGTAGGTAAGGATGCAGGTGGCTAATCCTCCCGTGCTTAAAAAGAAATACAGCCTTCAGAACGAACAAGTTATGCTGCGCTGCGGTAGGGTTGGCAGGTAAGTAAGTACGCACGTGTGTGTATATAGCACGATTCGTCGGCCCAGGCTGTCGGCCATCTGCGGGAGCTACGCGATACCGCCGTGCCACGGGCCTGGTGGGCAGTGCTCTCCAAACCGCCTCACCCGGCATCCGTTACCCCCAATCTCGTCGTCTCGTCGATGGACGAGTCTGAGGTTTGGGGCCTGGCGAATTCTAGGGATGTCCCGGCATTGGTTGGATAGGTAGATAATACCTAGGTTAAGAACCGCCAGCTTGGTTCGAAACGCCGCCAGTTCCGTCTCACAACACCCATCCACCTAGCGACGGGGTTCTCCTCGCCGCCGCCACACGCGTGCCGCCTCTGGCTGGAACCAGCGACGCGCGCGTGGCTCGCCGGGGCTGGCTGGCTGGCTGGCTGGGGGGGGGACCCCACCCAGTACCTACGTCGTATTATGTTGTAGACGGGCGCACTCGTCCTCATCTCGCGGGAACGAGCGCCCAGCCGAGACCGGTCCATGGGGGAGCTGCCCGCGTTTCGGTCCAGCTCGGGTCCGGCGCTGGCAAGCGGCCCAGCTCGTGCGTACCGTGTGCGCGTGCGTAATGACGCGTCGCGCTCATTTCGCCTGGCCTGGCCTGGCCTAGCAAGCCGGATTCCCGCGTCGCGAGGCGCCGCCACGCAGGGAGCCACACGTAAGCCTCCTCCCCCCCTAAATAGGAGGTATAGATGGCGTCGAAATTGCGCTGGCCCGACACCTGGCGCTCGGTCGACGAGGAACGCCGAGGCCAGGATGCGTGGTGGCGCCCGGTGGCTGCGCGCGCAATAAAAATAGACGGCGGGTCTGGTCGACGAGCCACGGTAGAGAGGAGAGGATCGCCAGGCTCTAGGTAAGGGGTGCGTCCAGAGGGGGTGGGCGTGGTATTATGTGTTGGTTTGTAGCGTGCCAGTGGCGTCAATAGAGTAGGTAGGGAGGTTGATGGATGGATGGATGGATGGGATGGGCTGGTTTTGGCGGCCGCATCCACGAGCCGTCGCGCCGACCTTTGGAACTGCACTTATCCGCCTTCCCGCGCCTAGGCGAATAAATACCTACGGCCTCCTCCCCTACGACCGGCGAAGCAGTAAGCTGGCCTCTTCTCACTTACGTCCTTCGGGTACACATGAAGGCGTACCTACATCATTCCCGCCGTACCACAGCCCTGGAACTGGATGTTACTGCATTGAGGCAGCGCCTCGGTCTCCTGTCCAATCAGACGGGCAAATTGGCAATATATCACGAGGACCTCGCCGGGCGAGACCCCTGACTAATGTGCGTTGAGCCAGCGTAATATGTGTAGACATGTGCATGTATATCCTCAGTCACCTCTCGCTATAGCGTCTCTGTGTGTGTTATTTAGGCACACGATGCAGGAGTTTATGGATGTTCACATGGGTAAGTGAGGTAGGTAGGTCAATATTGCCCTCCGACACGTCTGAGACGGGCATGTGTAGGTACTTTAGGTAACGTAGGTCACAACGATTACCAACCATACTGAATGGCTAAGACAAGAGGAGCCTGTTGCTTATTACATCCTACGTAACGTATCTACCCAGGTAGCATATAGGTAGGTACCAAGGCACCTCCCAACCCAGAGCATCGTAACCTGGAGTTAAGAACGTCTCCGAAAAGCGCCCGAAGTTGTCCCCCTACTCCCTTTGTCCTGGCCGCCGGTATAAAGAGGCCGAGATTCTGATGTTTTACTCATACCTACCTAGGTACATGACGCCACCCGTCGCGCGCCTCTGAAGCGACGAGACCGAGTGGTCACGCCGCCGTAGCCTCGTCGCAGATATTGGGCGGATTCGACCCTCGCGCTCTTGTCCATCTGACAAATCCGCATCGGCGGCCTTGCGCATATCTTTTTTTTTTCTTTTTCAGCCTCGACCGTGTCATGGAGGCGGTGTGCTGAGTAGATTCCGTATGCTTATATATATACGTTGATGTAATATGTATATATATGTATACCGGAGGCGCCATGGAGGGACGGGCAGGTCGACAAAGACCGTCATCGAACAACTTGCGAGCGCTTTCAGGAACTGCCACCGACCTCCCCCCCCCCCCCCCCCCACCTTGACGACACGGTTCACAGTTTGACAACCCGGAGATAACAGGATTGCTACCCCGCCCAAGAGAGAAAAACAATGGCTTCGAAACTGGTCGCTATCATCACCATGAGCACCCGCGGTACTCGCGTGGGGCCCAAAGTCGCCGAGTTCGTCAGGAAGGCCATCGAGAAGCCCCTGGCTGACAGCGGCATCGACGTCAACCCCGTCGACCTGGTCAAGTTCAACCTCCCGGTTTACAACGAGGCCGTAGCCCCTGCCAGTACGTTTACGTCGCCCGCCTTGCCTACCAATAGTCCCCCAGTCCACCACCCCGTCCCTTGTCTCCCTTCTCCCCCCCCCCCCCCTCCAAGTTCGACGGCTGGGGATCAAGTAGAAAGAGAGGACGAGGCACGTGAGACTTAGGTATGTCTAACGAGGCGGCAGGCGTACCCGCGAGGGGTTCCTTCCAGTTCGCGCACACGAAGGCGTGGAGCGCCGAGATCGCGCGGTACGACGGGTACGTGCTGGTGATCCCGGAGTACAACGCGAGCGTGGCGGGGGGGACGAAGAACGCGATCGACTACCTGTACAACGAGTGGAAGGGCAAGCCCGTGGTCATCGTCAGCTACGGCGTCCAGGGCGGCCGCGCCGCCAACGACCAGGTCAAGGGCGCCCTCGCCGTCCCCGGCCTCCTCGTCGTCGAGCCCCGCCCCACCCTCGCCTTCGCCGGCCAGGCCGACACCTTCGCCGCCGTCGGCGAGGGCAAGCTCGGCGACGCCACCCGCGCCGACTGGGAGTCCAACCACCTCGACACCGTCCTCGAGGCCGCCGCCGGGCTCAAGCGGCTCCTGCTGAACCCCAAGCCCGAGGAGGAAAAGGCCCAGGCCCAGGCCGAGGCGACCAGGGCGTAGAAGTCGTAACGGTCTTAAGTTAAGCACACATCGGAGATGGTCTCCCGGGCGCCAGGCGGCTAGAATATAGACAGAGCATCGTTCTTGTTAGACAGGGTACTTTTTTTTCTACAATTACTGATATCCACCCGCTTATCATCGTGGCATGTCGGTGAGACCAGCACGCCGAGAAACCGCAATTCGTCCCGCCCGTCATTTTGACCCTTCTCGGCATTGTTCCCATGTTCCCTTCTCTGCGAATGTCGGCAGGCGAGATACCTAAGTGTGATCCCTCCGCGCACGACGTCTTGCCGGCTAGAACCGGGGCCGACCGGGTGCAAACACCCCCCAGGACTTCGTTCTCTCTTCCTTTTCCCCCCTCCCATCCTGCTTCTAGGCCGGCGCCTCCGCCCCTAGGGACGTCGCGCTAGGCGCCCGGGGTGTCGGCCCCGCGACTCGTCGGCGGAAGAAGAAGAAGAATAAAAAGCGGTGGCGGCTCGCACGCCGACGGATAGGTCGAGAGGAGTAGGCTATACCTACCGGAGGCGGGGAGGCGGATTCCATCGCGCTGTGGCAGGAGTGGGGAACGGCTCTGCGTGGCTGGGTGCGGCGGGGAGAAGGGCGATTCACCGAGCGGAGGTGCGGGATGGGGTCTTCGGGGCAGCAAAACAGCTTTATAATATATACCCGGCCGTGGTTACATCCGAGCGGCCTTTTCGACGGCCTGAGACAGACACCCAACTCAGGAGGCGCGCGACTCTGCGGCCCGCACAAAAGCCTGTCTGCCTCTCCCCGTCGGTTCGCAAAGCCGCATCCGCATCCGCGTCGCCGAGCCGAGCCCGATGCCCGTGGTCTGTCTCCGGAAAGGCGCACGCCGCCACCCGGTCAGCCATCCTCAACCCTAACCCCATCGACTCGTAGCTTTTTTTTTTTTTTCACAAGGAGGAAAGTACCTCCGTTAAGCCGCCGAACCCCGACCAGGCCGAGCAGCGCCCGAAGCGGTGCGGCGGCGATGAGGCACCTCGCAGCTCGGAGCGAGGTCCGCGACGCGCGTGCCATGTCTGGGTGAAACACGGAAGCAAAGAGGGCACGTAGCATAGCTCCCTACCCAATCTTCCTGACTCTACACCTCCCCTTCCTTTCCAACGCCCTCCTCTCTTCCTCTCTCCCTGCGGTCCATAAGGAGGTGGAAGAGCAAGACGGGGGATAGAGATCTTTCCTGCCTTGCTGCTACCTGTTAGCACATTCGGCTTACTGGCTCATCTTAGTCGGATCGCCTATTAAAATAGGGGACGGCGTGGAAAAGTGCGCAGAATCGTAGACGCACGCATTCGAGAATATAGGTACCAAAGTCAACCGCACAACCACTCCGACCCAGCGGACATTAGACGCGACACGGCGGGACAAGGCCGATGTAAAGGAAGTCCAGGTCGCAGCCTCGTCGAACACACAGCGCTACCGACCCATAGACGTATTGAAACAAGCCAACTTGCGTGTTAAGCTCTAGCTATAGGCACTCTTCTACTGCTTCTCGCACAGATGTCGAGTATTACCCTCATGTTGAAATGTAATATCCTCCTCCAAATAAGGCACGCATCTGCCTTCCCCTCGAGCATTTCCTTATGCCGACAACTCCCCCTAGGTTAACAATAAGCAACCTGCATTTCCTACATAACGGAACATAGAGTCGGTGCATGGTCGGAGGTGAAGGTGAGACCGACTTCGTCGCGGTTTCGAGTCTGCGGGGACTTGCCGTTCATGGTGATTGTAATTTTGAGGTGGGTTTGTTTTGTTTTGGGTCTGGTCCGAATCTAAGCGCGTATATCCGCTGTACTGCTATAAGTCGAGAGGTGATTGTTGAGATGAGCTTCGTAGTGAGGCCGGGGGAGACTCGAGATTTTATAGCCCGCTCGCTACACGTGCGCCTACCTGGGTTGTCATAGGCGCCCGCCTATTTAGAGCGTAGATGGATCTCGTCCTTTTACGTGCACCCGATTGGATTTCTTTGTTGCGTACCCGGAATAGAAACGTGAGCCCCCTTCCCCCTTCATCACACGGTCTAGCACAAGGGGTCGCAAACGAGGTAGACATACGTTCATCGAATAACCTCATACAGGCTATACATCAGGGTCTCTGATGGGTACAACTATAACCTCACTCGGTGCAACCGCAGTTGTCCCTTCGTCCGATATACCCCCCATCCGCATGGTCTCGTCAATTCGTAATCGCTCGGTGTTTTCCCTAAGCCGCACTACCTTATTTGAAGACCTTACCGGAGGCGTGTTTGTATTCCTTGCCATTGTAGGTGACGGGCTTGTCCCACTTCCACATAGACTCGACGAATTCCTTGTCGTCGGCGTTGGTGGGATCCAGCTTAATGAACTCGTAACTTTCGTAGTCGGGAGCGACGTCAAAGGCGGGGAGATAATCATCGCCCCGAATGACAAAGGCGCCCTCGATGACTGAGTTATTGTTCTCACCGTACACGGAGGCACAGCCGAAGAGGTACTTGCGGGAAGCCTCGAGACGGTTGTTGAATCCACCGATCAGGTTGTTGGACATGAAAGTCAAAGTCAACTCGTCGTTGTACTTGTACTTGACCTTCCAGATAGAGTAATCCTTGAAAGGGACATTCTCCCAGAACCACTTCAGGGAGGTCTCCTCGTCATTGTTCGAGTAGAAGCGCTTCCAGTCGTCAAGGGGGAACTCTGATCGTGGCAGCAGGTCGAGGGGGTGCTTTGGCTTAGGAGCAGGAGCAGGCTCATCCTCCTCTTCCGCCGCCGCCTTGGGGGCAGCCTTAGGGGCAGCCTTGGGGGTAGCCTTGGGGGCTTTTGCCTGCTCAGGCTTCTTAGGGGGGGCATTAGTCAACTTCGGGGTGTCTAGAAGCACGAAGGGCTTGGCGACATTGGTGTAGATAGGCTGGTTGTAGACAGTCTCGTACCATCGAGAGACGTTAGGGTGCTCAGAACGCCACGTCTTGTCGTAGAAGAACTGGAAGCCGCGCGAGATGATGCTGGCGGCAAACAGATCCGCGAGGGTGATGCGCTCGCCAACGAGGTAGGTGTTGTTGAGGAGGTGCTGCTCTACGACCGAGACTACCTTAGCAGCCCCCTTGGAGGCTTCATCCACGATCTTCTTGTTGTACGGGTCCCAACCCAGCAGAGGGCGGTACCAAGCACCAAGCTTGGGGAGAACCTCGGTATTGAAAAAGGACATCCACTTCAAAATAGACGCGTAGCTACTCCATGTTAGCAGATCTGGCGACACTACCAACGGCACTCAAAGCACCCTGACGTACTCCTGCTTGGTTTTGCCGAGAAGGGTGGTCTTCTCGTTCTGCGAGGTGACTGGAGAAGGAAATAATATTAGTATTTTCTACCTCTCCGTTCTCAGTGAATGCCAACGAGACGAGGAGGGTGGAGGAGAGGCGATCTAATCAGAAGGTAGAACCAATATCCACAGAAATATTTCAGATAGGGATAACTGTTAGAATAATGTCTAGGTCATCACGTACGCCGGCAGCCCCGGAGTGAGGGTGGTGATGGGGATGGGGATGGAAATGGGAATGGGAATGGTGGTTATTGAGATACTGTCGTCAGGTACATACGGTAGATGGCGATGGCCATGCACTCGGTGAGGACGTAGCCATCGTTCCCAACGAAAGCAGGGACCTTGCTGAGAGGGTTCACCTTGAGGAACTCAGGCGTCGGGTTGGTGGTGTCAACCTCGACGACATCCAGGTCGAGGCCATTGGCCTTCGCAACCGCTAGGATGGCGGTGGTGCGGGGGTTGAGCTGCGCGACAAATTCCGTGTCAGCTCGCCAAAAACCGTCATGCGACGAAGACAAGACGCAACGAAGAAAGCAGGGGTTTCAGATTACCTCCTTGGTGTAGATCGTTCCGAAGGGCGCCATATCTGCAGCAATACCTGATGTCGACAGCAGTGTTGATGGCGATGGAAGGTGAGGGAAAAAAAGAGCGGGAGGATACAGCGTTTTTTTGCTTGAGTCACGGAATTTCTTCCCACCGGCACAAAAAAGGAAGGGGTGGGGCAGTTGTGGCTCAATTCTAAATTTCAAATAGGCAGGACCATCAACCTACCCCGCCGGCAAAGGCGCATATGTATCTTCCATGTATCTTCCATGCTAATTTATCTTGTTAGAATACCCGGACGAAACCTCCACAGAATTCTTCGGCCTTCTCGTTTCCAACGGCCCGAGCAGGCACTCGGAGAGTACCTGCTTGGCCACCTTTGATACCTGAGGCCGCAACATTAGGTACCTAGGTACCTAGGTGTTAGGTCCCTCACCCTCGGCCTCATTGCTGCGGTGATCGGAAGATACAGTTCAACCGACCAATTGGATTACCTAAGGCAACTCCAGCGCAGCGGCGGAGACCAATCTGGGCCAAGGTCGGTCTCCGAATTTTGCAGGCCTTCTTCAACATTTTTCTAGATTGGCCAACAACCTACTTACCTGCCCCCATTCAAATCTCGCCCGGCAGCGGAACGGCCGAGTGCACCATAAATATAAGTCGGTTGGCCATTGGTTGAATGCTGGCCGGCGAAAGGCCATGACGAGGATACGATAGATACCATGTCTTCTCTAAGGTATGGCTCTCGCTGTCTTAGAGAGTTCCGCGCGACTACTGTGCGACAGCAGCAGCGGTCCTCCGCGACACCCCAGACGCGACGAGCGTTCTCTAGCACGGCCCGCCGGCGGAATGGCCTGGATGGGATGCAAAGACTCGAGCAGGCGGTCGATCATGGCTCTACGGCGAGTAGCTCGAAGGTAGCATACGCCCGACCCGTGCCGGTATCCCCCTCCTACTTCTCCCGACACGCGCGATTCAACGACAGCTTCGTCATCGTCCAAGACCTGGCGCGAAAATACGCCCGACTTCCCACCGTCGCCCCTAACCAGGCTGAGCGGGTGGCATGGAAGACCAAGGAACATTATCGGCTGTCCATGGGCGAATCGGTGAAGGCGAGAGACTATACTACCTGTCTCGCTCTCGTAAAGAGATTGCACCTGATCCACCCGGACCTCATGCCAGAAGAAGTCCAGGATGGCATCCAGGCGTTCAAGCGGGACATCAACATTTATCTCAACACCACGAAGCCCATCCCGATCGACAAGTTTGGCAGGTCCCATGGCGTCGGCAGGCGGAAATCTTCGGTTGCCCGGGCCTGGCTCGTCGAGGGGACAGGGGAGGTCCTAATCAACGGGAAGCCCCTGAATGACGCGTTCGCGCGAGTTCACGACAGAGAGAGCGCGCTTTGGGGTTTGAAGGTGCTGGACAGAACGGACAAGTACAATGTTTGGGCGCACGTAGAGGGCGGCGGGACCACCGGGCAGGCCGAAGCCCTGGCGATGGCCATCGCCAAGGCATTAATGGTTCACGAGCCCGCATTGAAAACCCCCCTGAGAAAAGGTAGGCGAAGCGAATCTCTCGCTAGCAACGTCGGGTGTGTGGCATTCTTTTGCTAATGCGATCCGCACAGCCGGTTGTCTCACCCGCGATTTCAGAAGCGTCGAGAGAAAGAAGCCCGGTCACGTCAAGGCGAGGAAGATGCCCGCCTGGGTCAAGAGATAGAGCGCGCGCGCGAGAGCGCCAGGCAACGGATTCCGCAGTAGACGCGACGGCTTTTCGTTGGGACCGATTTCTCGTGAGGCCGCTGCTATCGGACTTAGCTGTGGCTTAGGCAGGGGGTTTGAGAGATTCCCCCTCCCGGCGCTGTTCATGCAACAAGCCATACACATACCCACCAATATACAGAGGCCGTGTTATTATGTAACCCTGGTGGTGTTCGGGATTTGCATACGCCTACGATGCCGATGGTAACGCCGAGAATTGAAACTGATCCTGTAGTCCCCACACAATCGCGTCGCGAACCACCGCAACTTGGGCAATAGCTGTTCTTAAGGTACGACTGCGTTCTCGCCCAAGTGTAACGTGCGAAGAAATCAAGGATCGATCACTTTGCGCGCAATCTAGCTTTAGACGAGGCTACCGCCAAAGCGAGCACGGTAACGTTCGCGCGCTGCAGGCAAAGGAAGCAGGAGAGGGAGGAGGGAGAAGCTGGCGGGTGAGCGTGCTGTTGTAGGGGCGGGCGTGCGTGAAGACATGTGTGGTCGCTGATCCCTCTTCTACCACTATCGGGTCCTCTAGTGTAACTCCACGGTCATGATAGACGCACCCCGTCGAGTCCAGACCATGCTCGAGTCAGACCAGCCTCCACCAATGAAAGAGAACGGATGCCGTGTAGACCAAGCACAGATCTGTTAACCGGGAATCTGGGTAATTTGGGCACGTCGTATTATGTATGACGGGCAGCGGAATGACTGTCGACGATGCAAGAGTCGCTCAGCCTTGTGTGATGGTAGATTGGTCTCGTCTCTTGCCGTCTCTCCTTTCTTTGCCGCTACGCACATAGGTGCAATCTGCACACGCGCATGGCTCGTAGGACGCCTCCGGCAATGATTGCCGAACAGGCCCAATAGCAAGGGGCTCGCGCGGCGGGAAGCACCAGCGGGTGGCGAAGTTAGTTGGGCACTGTCGCTGTCGCCGCTGTCCGTTGCGAGGATTGCCTGCAGCGAGCAGCAAGCAAGCAGAGAGAGAGAGAGCGCGCATGAGGCACAGAAGCATGGGCGTGCGCGGTCTGCATCAGACGATATGTCTTCTAGAAACAGAAGCGCGAAGCTGGAATCCAAATGCCGACTAGCTTCAAACGGTGGTAGATTCACAATCCTTCTCTACCACGTAAGTGTGGGCGTGGCTCTAGTAGGAGTTGCTAGCAGGCAGAGAGCTCCGGGCCGCCTAAGAGGAGCGCGCGCGCTCCCTTCGACAACATGCCTGGGTATGCACACATATACATGCCTGTCTGCGTACATACACATGTACTCATACACACATGCGCCGCTGCTAGTGCATGTCAGTCTGGTGGTCTGCATACGCCTAGGCGAATTCCCGTACCACCGCGGAGGGGGAACGGAGGGGCCGAGATTGCAAATCATGGCCCCCCCCAGTCGTGGTGCTGGGTGCTGGTTGCTCTACGGCTGCTCACGGCCCAAGTTCGACTCGACCTGTCCGCTGGCAATTCTACGCGTCCGTCCGTGTGTCTGCTGTTTTCGTTTGCCCTCTCCCTCTGCGTCGGCCCCCCAATTATTAATAAGACCCTCTGGATATGGTGGGCGTCAACAAAGCTAGGACGTCCTGCGCGCCGGTCGACGCCCTAGGCAGAGATTACGGGGAGTCGGGACGCCCCGAGACAAAGACCCAAGACGAGAGAGACTACCGTGCTACCACATAGTATGTATAGTATAACGATAGAACACGGGCTAATCTCCGATGTCTAAGAGCCATGCGGGACAGAGACCCAATCGAATCGGGTCAGGCAAGCGCCGTGTGCGCATACAGGAACAGCGCAGATTAGGTGTCCTCAGTCGCGTTATCGGATCAAGCGACGGGGGCCAGTTGTGGACGATTCGGATGAAGGCGACTAGCGGCGGCAGCATCACCGTCGTCGTCGTCATCATCGTTGCCATCGTCGCCACTGTGACCTCACACTTCGGGGGCGGGAATCGGCGAGAGCGAATGCCGGTACACCCAGAGTGCACTGGGGCCTCCAACAGTTGGGAGAGGGGATAGCTGCGTCTGCCGCGTCTGGCCGACGTTGCTGCGGAGAAACGATGCAAGCCTCACTCGGCCCAGATGAGGCTGAGATTCACAAAGCGCATGCAACAGCCGATACTGCAACGTCGTTCACCTTATATCGCTGATCCTTCCCCTTCGGACGGGCATGTCGCAAACGCTTGTCTTGCGCAATTTAGGCTCTGCGCGGGCCCGTATCTCTCTCTGGCTGCCGACGATAGGGAGGAGCAGCGCCGCTGCTGGCGATCTGCTGCTGCTGGGCCCAGACCCCGTCGACGGGAACCCGGTCTCGAGAAGATCGAGTTTGGCACAAACCGGCGCCAGAGCTCGATTGCACACGCCTGGGTTGGTGGCTCGACGACTTGGCTCGGTGGGCTCGGTGGGCTCTTGTTCCTGCATGCTGCAGATCCGTCCACTCGGAGAAGCATCCAGCTAGTGTGTGAGAGGAACTGAACCCACGTCCTTAAAGCCGTTTTGATACTCGCTGCTCCACGATATCCAACAGGGGGGCTGCTCTTGGCGAGAGAGTCGCGACGGCTCGCGACGACCGCCCAGATTCACATACCTGTATACATCCTCTGCATAATAGCTAGGTAATGCAGAATAACGACTGACAAAGGCCAAGCTCGTGTGGGCCTATTCGTCCTCCTGAGGTCCTCCCTCTCTCTTCCTTTTTCTCCCGGCCCTTCTATTCATTTCTCGAATCTCAGGGACCTGCGCTAGGGCGAAACCCCCATACACGATGGGGTGATCTCTACATGCGTAGTGTCCTCGGCGGGATAGGGATGGACGCATGCACCCACCGGTCCAAGGTACAAGACTCGGACTCCTTAACCATAACCTACCTGCAAATTGTACACCGGCCCTACCGAACCCCCCCCCTGAGCCAGTTAAACCATGCGGGGGACGCTGGGATGCTGGGATAATATACCGGGATGCTCAGTCGTCCACGAATATCCCGTGCCTATCATCCCTCCGTTCGTCCATCGTATATCGTATGGTAGCAATACCCTCACCGATCTAGGTAATAAGCTGTTGTCGGGTGTGGAAACTTGTGTCGAAACAACCCTGCAACATGCGCGTGTGTACCAGAACAGCTAACCAGAAACCCACCCAGATCGCAACCAAAGGCAACGAATTTGGGTAGCCGGGGGCCGAAGGCCGAGATCTGTGAAGGAGTCGTCTGCAAGAGCTGGCTGCGAATAGGAATTTATTGTGCTGAATATCTTCTCTCCCTCTCTCTCTCCCCTGGCGATCAGCATCACCCCTACTACCGTCACTACCACGCTTCTGCTTCTTCTTCTTTTCTTCTTCTTCTCCCTCCATCTTCTCCCCCCCTTCTTCCTTCTTCTCCTCCGTCTTGACACACGCACGCATATGTATATGCGCGTGTATGCGTGTATGTACGTGCGTGTCCGCGCGTGTGTGAGCCACGCGCCACACCAATAGGCTGCCTGCTGAGGCGTCCCGGACCCAGTCCGGTGCTGAATGCTTGGTCGGTACTAAACAGATCTGAGGAGCGAGTGCATGTGGATTGGTGCGGGACAATACTGCAATGTCAGACGCACCCTGGTCATCATTTGACGACATCTGGACGCCTTGCTATAACCCCCCTAGCCAGCGCCTTGTCTCCAAAGACATGGTTCAAGGATCTTATTATAACGACCAAACATCCGCCAGTTCTTTATGAGAGGAGGGTCTGCTTACGGCCTAACGAGAGGGTGCCCCGGGCTGCCGTATTTCTTGTCAAGTCGCGCGGGAGCGACTTCAGGAGTAATGTACTTCGTGTGTACAGATCGTGTCGTTCGTTTTGAGCCCTTGCTCGCTCGCTCGCGAATGATGATGGGCTGCCCCCCTCCCCAGACCATGTCATCATCAGGTCCGCCTCGACGCTTTCGAGCAGGAGGTGATTGCTGGCCGTCCATCAGCCCAAAATCAGCTGGTTGATCTACGGACTTTGTTTATAACGATGATCTCATATATATGTACGTAGGCAAACCGGGCAGGAAGAAAAAAATAAAGACGCGGCCCAACTCCCCGAAGAATTTCGCTAAACCAGAGAGCGACCTGGATGTTGCGCTGTTGCGCCGCCTCACAGTTCTCCTGCTGGCCAACACCCGCGACACGGCCCCGAGAGGATGGTTACCAGCTTTTTTCCCTTCTGGCTTGCTCTAGTATGAGATCCGACCAGGCACCTGACGGACCCTGACGAACTAACCAGCCAACCGGCCAACCCCCCTTCCCCCCCCCCCCCTCTCTTCCGAGGTCGAATCAGCTTCCGTCGAGGGCTTAGGGCGGCCGATAATAGTGCTTGAGAGACTCTTTGATTAGGTGCCTGTAGGCTACTGGCCGGATACCACGCGGAGGCACACGACGCATACTAGCGCATTGAACGAATCGCGGGTCTCGGCGAGCGAGCAGCAGGAGGAATAGCGGCAGCCATAGGTAGTCGACGGAGCCTTAACGCAGGAGTTCCCGGTTGATGTCGCAACAGATTCCTAGTTTGTAATCCCGCGACCGACTTCGAGACAAGAGACAGGCTCGGGATCGAGGCTCAGATCCAAGGCAACGCCGCCCCATTACTGTACTGGCTGCAGGTCGAATGCCGGCCGGACCCGTTGATCGAAGGGGGGGGGGGGGGGGGGGGGGGGGGTTGGAAATTACCTTCTGGCCTTCTGCCACGGCAAGGTATTGAAGCCTGAAAAAATCACAATGGCTGCCCCCCCCCCCCCAGCGCCCGGGTAGTTAAGCCACATCACCGATGCATATATATAAGGTATCCTACATACATCATGCATGCCTCCTAGTCCACCTACCTACATACCACCTACCGAAGTACGCGTCCAGGGATGCGTATGTAGGAACAGACGGCTTTTAGGTATCATCAGGCCCTACTAGGCATGGAGCAACTTGTCCATATGCACCGTCTAGGTCTGCTCCCCCCCCCAATGTGATTGGAAGGCCAACTGTCATCTCCCTCTTGCCTACTTACTTCTCGTCACCATGAGCATACACATACACACATGCGCACGCACTGTTTTGCACGTACCTTACTTGCCTAGCATCTAAGTGGTGGATAGAGAAGTCCTCGACACATGGCCGGGGACGGAGGTAATAGCAATGCATGTGTGTGTTTACCATACCTACATGGTATGAAGACAGGTCGCCTTCGGCTTTGGATTTTTGATCTTCTCCGTTATTTTCATCTTACTCTGCTTTACTAGTTTCTTGTGTTTTTCATTTTTTTAGATGGGCACCAGCACGTTTGGAATTCCGTTATACCCTCCTTCTCGCCCATCCTTCGTCAAGCACGCAAGTCGAAGAACGCGAAATACGCACACAACGGATTGCGAGACGCCTGTTGTTATGAAGTAACCAGGGGGGGGGGGGGGGCAGCTTCGTCCCCATCCTCCTAGGGAAAATATTCAAGGTGTAGGGGGGACAGAAGAAAAAAGAGAGAGAGAGAGAGAGAGAGAAAATACAACCAAAACGGGAACTTGGAAAATAACAAACCACCAATCTACGCAGGTCAGAAAATATTTCTCAATCAGTATCAGCCACAGGATAGAGCGGGGCCCGGCGTAGTGTATAAATGAGGAAAAGGAAGAGAAAGAAAATAATAATAATAATAATAACGACAATAAGAATAAAAAAGCAAGGTCCCTCCACATACCACCTACCTACCCATGCCGTAGCTACATATATGTGAGTAGGTGCCGTATAACAACGTACGTACCCAGACACGATACATGCCATGGGGGTTTTAGTGGTGCCCTGACAGGCAGGGCCTGGCATGAGGAAGGATCACGAGCAGACGAGCCGCACAACCACAGTTCAGACAACCCGGAATCCGGTAGCCATTTTCTCCTAACGTGAGAGGCCGATCTACGCCGGGGACTTGCCACGAGTAGGGACACCCCGCGAGACCAAGATCTCCTCTTCGGGGAGGGGGAGGGAGGAAGGGGGCCAGAGGCGCGGAAGACGAAGGCTTGTCTTGCAAGTGTCTTTGCCAGTACAGACGCTCACATACACACACATCTACCTACCCAGCTACCTACGTACCTATAGACGAGCCTTGCCTACGAGTACAGACCTACCGAAGTAAGTTGTTGCTTCGCATGCCGACGGCCAATATACTGAGTCCGTGCCACCCAAGCCTAAAATATCCCCCGGCTCTGCCCTTTCCCCCCCCCCCCGTCCTGCGTACGCCTCTCCCCTCCCCTCCACCCCCCTCGCCCTCTCTCCCTCCATATACCCTGGATACCCTGAGAAGTCACCAGCCCATTTTCGGGGCCCTTCTGTCCTGTGCGGATCCGGGAGAACAGCCTCTTCACCAGACGCGTCCGCACTTGGCTATATCTGGCTGGGCTAGCTGGGCTTCGCCGAGTGCTGTGACGGCACACCCGAGGAGTACCAGCAAGTAACCCAGGGGAGACTGGTGAATTCGGACCCGCTCTCCATTGCCTGTGCGCTGCGCGGCGATCTTGTTCGCCCTGTCGCATCCAGGCAAGCCCTAGTATGTACACAGGTAGGCAGGTAAGTAAATAGGTACATCATACGTACATACAGACATTCGTAGCAGGCCTACTTCACACTACTTGTTACCCTTACCTTACCTGCCTCCTAGCAACCTACCTAGCAACGCGCGCCCCCCAGCTGCATTTCCGCACGGCGAACCGTAAGGCAGGGCGGTCCGTTCTTCGTCAACGTGTTTTAGAGAGAAGCTGTTCTGTCTGCCTGTTTCTGCTGCTCTCCCCGCCCTCTCTCTCTCGCCGGCTCCCGCTTCCTATCCCGCTCCCATGGGAAGATGCTCGCCTGATGTCGTGTATTCACCTACACGCACACGCACACGCACACATACCCGCAATCCTCTCGTTCCTCTCTCTCTCTCTCCTTTTTCTCGTGCTTCTCCTCCGCCTCCGCCTGCCTGGTCCAAATGGGAGGGGGTGGTGTGTATGCAAAAAAGGGGATCGAACCCTCCTGGCGTCCAGACATCCAGCTCCCGTCCACACGCCCAAGAAAACCCACAAGACGCACAGGCTTTGGTCCCATACCCTTCTTCAGCTGCACGCTACTCGTCTGGATACTGCATACCTATCTCCATACATTGTACTTACTTGCTTGTCTTCGCCCGAGTCTAATTGGGGTCTCCACTCCAACCTGCCGGCTCTTCTGACCTTATTTTGCTATCCCACGTATTATTGCTTGACCTTCATCTAATAATACATCGTGGACCCAGTACCTTCAGGTCGACTAGACTCATAGCTATTCTGGATTCACGTCTTGCCTTGCGTAGAAAAAGCCAGCACCCCCCCCCCCCCCCCCGGCCGACTTAAATCCTCCGACGTCCCAACCGCTATCCGCACTTACACCCGCAAACACGTTGTTACTCGACATATACATATCTCTCTGGGATCAACGTATAATCTTACTTCGATGACATCTTGTCCCCCCTCTTTGCCGATGACCTAGGCCCAGCCCCAGCTCACTCGCTGTTTTTTATTTATTTATAAAAAAAACCCACGCCTGTCTAGTTATTCGCTCACTTCCTTATCCCGTTGACGCACTCGACGCACACACTCGCTCGCCTGTCGCCTCATTCTCTCACACGCTCTCTCTTCGTGCCCCGTATCCCCCCCCCCCCCCCCGCTTCCGGAGTTGGTGTGGCCGCCGCATCGAGGGGAGAGGAAGAGGGAGAGAGGGTTGAAGAAAAAAGGGGGGGCCCCGAGGGATAGCACTGACGAGAAGACGATCAGTTGCGTCTAGGCGAAATTGGCCCTTCTCGAGCATCATTGGAGGGAGGCAGAGGTCGAACCTTTGACCTTTGCTATGGTCCAGCGTCCTAGTGCGGCTTGTCATCCAATTGAGCTTAGCAAGGTCGCTGCTTGCTGGAGTTATTAGCAGTTAGTTGCAAGCGGTGCTGGGATCCTCCCAGCAGACGTAGTGACAGTCGTTGGCGAGTCAGATAACATCTAACCTACTCGGGATTATTGTGGGAAAAAGGAAAAAAAAACCCTTTCTTAAACACCGACAAGAAGAAGGTATCTGAGGACGAAGTCGAAAATCCGGGACGTCGAAGGCATCGCCATCCCTACTCCTCCTAGAGTAAGGGCCCGGTTTGGGAGGGGGTCGCCTTACATATAGTCGGTGTTTGCATCGACGGCTTTGCGAACTTTTTTTGGGGGGTATTTGTTTCCTCTTCCTTTTTATAAGGCGTCGTTGTCGTCGTCTCCTCCTCCTTCTTCGGGATCTTATTTTATTCTTCCGTTCGACAGTCGGAAATTCCACCGTCCCTTCAACCCCCCCCCCCCCCCCCCCCAAAGCCAAAAAAAATTAACGTTGCCGGATTTCTCCCGCTGATAAGGGCTCTCTTCTCTTCCCTCTTCTTCTCTCCTCTCCCTCTCTCTGGCTTTTCCCATTCACTATCGCCCTCGCTCACCCTCAACACACACCCCCCGGGGCTTCGACACGCGCAGATTCTAGGCGACACATGGTCTCAGGTCGAAATCACATCCCGATACGTATACATCTATATACGCACGCGCGTACACTCTGTGGGTGCGTGTGCATGTATATATATGGTACAGCCTCCTCCTGCTAGTTTCTCCTGTGCCGGGAATCCCATCCGAGAACAAACCTAGGAGAGGGGGAAAGAGAAAAGGAGAGAGAGAGAGAGAGGGAGAAAGAGGACGACGCCTCGTAGCGTAGCCCAGGCCGCCATCACACATCCCTCCCGCCGTCAGCCGCCGCAGTTCCCCTGTCCGGAAATCCCATACGAGCATATTATTCCTGACCTCGCGTCCCTCTCCTGCCGCCAGTCAGGACAGAGCCAGTCCCCCCGCACCCTCTAACCGATATTTCCTGCCTGCAGCGGTGACGAACTCGGCCGCTCCGAACTCGTGCCGCACAACGCTGGGCTCACGACACGCGGCGAGAACGCTCGCCCCCGGACGAGCTTGCTGGACCGGCCGGCTGCGGCGCGGCCTAGGCGAACCCAAGGTGGCCCTCCTCTCCTCGACGCCAGCTCCGTTGCCGGGGGGGCACCGGTTAGGCTTGCTGCTTCGAGCGTCTCGCGACGCGCGCGTGTCGCAGGATGGACGACCACGGCCGGCGGCGGAGGCCGATCGACCCGCCTGCCAATGCTTCCTCCAACCCTCGATACCCCGTTCACGATCCCAGCGCGCAGGGGAGGTCGTACGGCGCAAGCGGGTCTGAAAGGTATCGGCCCGCACCTGTCAACACGTCCCCCACGGCAGCTCGAGGCATAGGCGGGACGGCTGCGTACAGTGGGTATTATCCAGAGCCGGCGGCGACCTTCTCCACCGCCATGCCACAGAATGCGATGACCTACCAGTCTGAATACGGGCAAGACACTCGACAAACGCAGGGCTTCAGCACATACAACACATCCATGATGTACAACGTACCACAAGCGAGCGCGCAGAGCGCCGTCTACGATACGAGTCCGCAGTTCCCGTCGCGGCAGCCTACAGCGCTGCAGATAATGCAAACGGACGTAGCCGCCCCGTACTTCTCGAGCGAGCCGACGAATGCGGCCGCAGCGTCGAGCCTGCAGTCTCACGGGGCCTCCTCGAGCACGTCGACAGTATATCAGCAGAGCCCCGGCAACCAGCGGGCGATGCTCCAGGAATACTCGAGCGGTATGGCGCCAATGAGCGGCATGTCACAGTCGAGCGCGCCCGAGCAGGCTATCGAGGACCCGGCCTACTCGCAGCAGTCGGCGGACATGGAGGCCGCCTGGAATCAGTACCAGGCCGCCCTCAAGGAAGTCTTCACCAACATCCGAACCGGCGCGCTCGAGACCGCCAGCGAGTCGCTCCTCGACATCTCCGAGTGGCTGCTCTCCAAGGTGACGGAATTAGGTGAGTGAGGCCCCTGCCCCCCCCCCCCCCCCCCCCTCCTCCCTCTTGCTGGGGTTATCCGGACAACGGTGACGTTTAACTGTTAAAGGCCTCACAGCCGACAATACCAGAGTCTACAGCGATCGTATGCGGATGTGGCAGGACTTCAACCACGCGTGGCTCTCGCTGTTCCAGAAGCAGAAGGACGTTGTCGAATCCGGCGTGCCGCTGCACCGCGGCCAGACCCTGATCAGCGGAGATGGCCTGAGGAAGATGGGAAAAGAACTCGTACGACTCTGCGACGGAATCGACCGCCACGGCCTGGTCGACTACGAATATGGCGTCTGGGAAGAGCCCATCATCTCCAGTATGTTTTGTGCGGGAGTGGCCGATCGCTCACACCCTGCAGAATTTCTCTATGCCCTTGTCCCCCCCACTCGCTTCCCCCCCCCCCCTCCTCCTCCCCTCCTATTTCCCCTTGCACACGACGAGCACCGGCAGCGATAACGTCTCCAGCAGTGTACTAATCCGCTAAACTATAGTCATCGAGGAATGCCTCGATCTCTACGAGAACGATGACGCAGCCGGAGCTTCTAGTTCCACCTCCGCGAATCCCTCGGGGTCGAGCCATCGCGGCGGCCACACATCTCGATAGGGGGTTGCTGGCGCTCCCCCTTCCCACCCTCCGCTGACGCGAACAGGATGCCGTAGCACAGTGCCAGAGACGTTGATCAATTGTAACTTGAGAGACATGTGCGATTGCTTGGCCGTGATGGCTTCTCGCACAGCAGACTGTAATTTTTAATTGTTTCGACGCCACGTGTGGACGTGCTGTACCACCAGCTCATCTCTGGCTGTCACCCTCTCGCACACGCACACACTTTCATACATACACTTACACACTCGTCTTGGGAGGCGGTCAAAGGTCAGGGAGTTGGGGCGGATCGCAACGTATCACGACGCTTCTTGCTGGTTTAATTCAACACCGGTTCGGCAAGTCACCTCCCCCCCTGGGCAACAGCCAGCCGCAGACCAATCCTATCTCGACCATACGCGAGTCGTAATCTAGCCGGGCCGAGCTGGGGCGGCGGGGCCTGGGGCGGCGGGGGTCTGGGACAGCTGGGAGATGACAGGTGGGCGGTTGCGGGATCAGGGCAAAGGTGACAGAGAGCATCGCAACGGATGGCGAAGCAGGGCAGGGTAGGGAAGGGCAACACAGGGCAGGGCGGGACAGGGCGAATTAGAAAGAAAGAGGAAGAAGAGCAGGGACACGGATTCATTCGTATGGCTGTATGATGGATGTTTGAGGATACCCTAGGAACCCGGCGGGAATGAATGGACGGCCAAGAGAAAACAAAAAAGAAAAGATATAGAGTAGAAAAGGTATTCACTGCTCCCACGAGCTCGTCGACCTGGGTTACGGATGGCGATACGGATTTTTTTTTTTTTTTTTCAATTTTATTCTTATACATATATTGGCTTAGGCACGCATTGTTATGTACCTACGTACGTTAGTATACGCCGTCGCGGTAAATACATAGACATGCTGGCGTTGGTGGTTCGGCGCTGGAGGTCAGCGCCGCCAGAACGCAACTCGTTGCCCAGTTTCGGTATTTCCCCATCTACACCTCGCTAACCGGTTCACCTGCTACGTGCGTATCACCATACAAGCCGCGGCCGCGTGACCCGGAATTGCTGCGGGAGAGGGAAAGGTGAGGCGGGAGGACGGGTTCAGACGAAGCCACGAAATACCGAGAGCGTCTGGCTCGGACCCGAAGCCAGCTCGCCCTGTTTGAGATACGTCTCTCGACGCATGCCACTATTTCCACATTCCCTCATTTCACTGTAGGCAGCGTTTCCTTTGGTCCGGTTGCTGTTCTCTCGTCCACGCCTCTCGAGTCTGCCCTCAACCCCCTGTCTCCATCCAATCTCGCGACTCCCACTTGCTTACCAACCGGTTACCCATTGCAGCCCTTGAAACTCACCGCTCCCCGCCGCGTCCCTTTTTTATTTGTTGCGATACCCAATGGGTAGGGTAGAAAGTTGACTGCATCATGTATGTAGGTATACAGACACACAAGTGTTAGCCATTGGTGCTACGAACGGTAACCATGGCCGCCCAGACATCCTGGTCGTACCCCTTGCCGGACCCTCGCCTCTCCACACACTCCCGCTGCAATCTCTTGACACCTTTTTTGGGGGGGGAGGGGGGACTTCAGCTCCGGCCACAACTAGTCATAGATATGCCTGCGCTTATACCTGCCTATACTGCATAGGTATACCGGGTATCCACACATAACCCCATACACACATGGCCCCATGCTCATAAATGCCTTGTATATATGTCTATAGCTATATCTACATATTGCCGCCTGCGCCCAGGGACGTGGGTGTGCATAGCATCTAGGCGTTCGCGTACGTCTGCGGGCACCCGCAGTTGGACCGGGGCTAGAACGAGGTGGTGGTAGTCGCCGTGCGCCGCCGTGTGCTGCCGCACGCCGTCTCATCAGCTCCTAGTCGTAACGGTGGAAGCGGATAGGCTATGTGTAGGTATGAAATCAAGCCAGAGACGGGGGGGGGGGGGGTTGGCAGGGGACGAGACGGCGAAAAGAGACGTCGGGAGGTGGGACCAAAAGGAAGAAGAAGAAATGAGATGATTACTCATAGGAAGAAGGGGAGGATTAGCTGAGAAAAAAGAACAAAAGTAAGATAAATAAGTAAAGGGAAATAGTGACAAGAGGATAAATGAAGAAACAAGTAAGACGAAACCCAGCCCGAAAGTCAACGAAGAGAGAGAAACCAAGGGGGGAAAATGGAAGAGGACGACGACGAAGGACAAGGGGGGGGACCAGAGCCCATGAATTGCCATTTGCGGTCACGAGCTGACAGTGATTGGCCGGGCGGCGACAAGGCGTGTGTGTGATGCAAGTCGATCTCGGAAGATTTCCGATTCAGCTGGACGTGGATGGGGGCAAGGCGTGTTGTATTATTTATTGTCCTTTTCTGATGTCTCATCTGACGGTCTCCTTCTCTTGGCTGTCGTCCCTGTCTCCCCGACCTTTTTTTTTTTTTTTCTTCTTCTGCTCTGGATTCCCTCCCCGAATCATCCCCGCAGCCGGAGCCCACGCATCTGGCCAGCCAGCGGGACAAGCGTGAAATGATCGGCCCAGTCGTCGATCTCCCTTGGGCTGGCGGAGGAGGATCTCTCTGTCCCCCCTTTCCTCCCTCTCTTTTTGTTCTTTCTTTCTCTTTCCCTGCCTTACATGACTGCTGGCTGGATGTGTACGTCTACATTGTGTATATGCCGGCGTGCGTAGGGACCATCCACTAACACGCACGCGGAGGAGGAGAAGATATGGGCGTAGAGACATCGCAACATCCACTACTTACTCACTTACATCCGCAAAACCACACACACATATACAGTACTTTACACGCACTACACAGGAGGTGCCCAGCAACATCCACCCGTCCACGCGCATGCACACACGCATACGCACACACCCCATACAGGCTCCGTGCTAGCCTCACTGATGGGATTGATGAGCTGGCTTAGGCGATCGGACCCGGCGCCATGGGTAAGCCGGCAGTGGCACACGCTTCCTCGTTTCGACCGCTGACTGCGAAAGGGTCCTCTCGTCTCTCATTCCTTCTCTCCCCCTCCCCAGTCCGGCTCGTGTAATCCCTACTTTACGTAGCATCTACAGGCTTTACCTACAGACAGTCCTTACCCAAAGAACCCTCTCCCAATGTAACCATCCATCCTTCGTCCCATCCCCACGATAGGCCGGACCCTTTCTTTCCCTCTTCCGACAGAAAAAGAAAAAGAATAAGAAAAGACACAGCGAGAAGGAGAAGGAGATGGGCAATTGGATATAGAGAGATCCGTACGTACATACATGAGACGTAGTGAAAAGTGGTAGGGGGTAAATGGGGAATAAAAAGTAGCACCGAGAGGAGAAAAGCAGCTGACCCAAGATGCGGAGAGGGCGGTGACAGTGCTACGATAAAGCAAGTTGAAGTCGCGAAGTACTGCTGCCTGCGTAACCTCCTAAGGTACCTAGAGGTAGGTACGAAGCTCGAAGGTGTAAAAAGAATTAAATTAAAGGTTGAAACCGCAGTAAAAAATATAAAATAAAAAAAAGATGAAGAAATGAATAAAACTGGAATGTGTGGCAGGCCACTTTATCCCTGATTTCCACCCGGGAAAGGATCCGCGGTCCGCTCTCTCCGCCGGGCGAATCCCTCACGTATGCAGACAAGACACATACTCAAACGTATTATGAGTACACGCACCCCTTTTCCTACGGTCATTCCCATGCCGGTGCGGACCTTTGGGTGTCTTAGGTGCCTTAAGGTGCCTGCCTGCATCATGTCTAGGTACCTACCTTTAGGCAGCTTAGCGCATGCATAAGATTACAGAGTAGAGAGGTACAATGCCTACATACCTAACCTCCTAGCACGAATGCAACTACCTAGGTACCTAAGTAAGTGGGCTAGGAGGCAGCTACCTAGCTAGGCACCTACCTAAGGTAAGTAGGTAGGTACATCCAAGATTACAGACATGTACTAGTGTTACAGACGTGCATCCGCGTACGCTAGGCACATATGCACGAGACATGACGCATACTCTACGTACATACACATAGGTATTACGTGCCTATCAGGTATGCCTGTCCACATTAGGTAGTTATACCTACCTAACCTACCTGACTACCTGGTACTTATCTTAAGTACCTAAAGTAGGCAGGCAGAGGTAGGTACCTAACCTACCTGTATATACCGGTATCTTCCCCCTATAGCCTCCGCCCCCCATCCGTCCGTCCGTCCATGGATACGATTATACCATGCCTTACCTGCTACCTCTGCCTGCCTAGGCGAGAGACGGGCGTCACCCGCTCGCGAATCCGCCGCCTGCCCTGCGCGACGCTCTCCTCCTTTCCCGGCTTCCTCGCAGCCGGCTCTCTCCCGCCCGTCTCAGGGATGCGGCGGAGACGGTACATATGCGCTACGTGACGAGATCGGCGCCGAGGTTTGGGGGCCAGGCAGACAGACCTTCGTCATGCCGGCACGAGATATATACATCGTCGTGGCATAATTTCCGTCTCACCTCGGGTACCTCCCGAGCATATACTGCGCTATGAAGGAGGTAGGTAGGTACCTACCTATGTTATGGACGGTCGGAGGCGCGCTGCGCGTACTTTATGCAGGTAGGTAGCGTAGAGGAGGAGGTGCCTACCGCTGCACAAGAGAAGCGAAGGGTACGGAGGCGTGTGCGCACAAAGCGTATGTATGTATGTATGTATGTATGTATGTGTACGTACGTGCGTACGTAGCTGATGAGGTAGCGAATGTCGTAGGTACCTACACAGGGAAATGCCGTTTGCTGATGAAACAAAACAGGCCGGCCCTTCCCGAGCAAACACGGCGAGAGGGAGGGAGAAGAAAAGCCTTGCTTTGGCCGTCGCCGCCGTGAGCTGGCTGTGGCCACGTCCCACTCCCCGTCGCCATCACAACCACCGCTGCCGCCACCGCTGCTGCTATCACCTACCTACCATCGTCGCATCACACCTAGGTGCTTGACATGCCGCCGCTTTGCGCCATGGACCGTGGCTGCCTCCGTTTCCGAAGGGTAAGTCGACGCTGTGCGTGTGGTCGTGCGCAGGCCGACGAATGAGGGCGAGGGCGAGAGTGAGACTGCGAGTGTGAGCAGCCTGTGAGGGTGTGGGAGAAGCGCGAGTGGTGTGATGAGGCTTCGATGCGTGTGTGTGTATGTGTGTATGTCTGTATGACGACGCTCGGGGGGGGGGCGGAAACGGGGGAAACCCCGGACGATCGTCATTCTTTTCTTCCTCTCGTTCCCCCTTTTATCGGTTGTGGTTGTCCGCGTCTCAGAAGCCGACGTCAAGGCTATCCGTCCCGTTCCAATGGATCTGCGCAGCCCAGCCAGCCGGGTCCGAAGCTCTACCTACTTTATCTGCTGTCGCTGCTACGCTACACGCCCGAACATGCTACCTAATACTACTACTACTACAACATCCATCCTGCAACCGGCGTATGTATGTAAGGTGGGTGTGTGCCCGCACACGCGACGCCTTGTCGAGGGTTACGGTACCGCCGCGCCCACATACGATCCATCGATCCGTCGATCCGTCCGTCCATCCATCGATGCTACCCATGGGGACAAGGCTCTACTAGGTCTACCTACTTAGAAGAACTCCGCTGCCCGCCTACCCTGTATGTGTGTGCTTACGTAGGGCTGCGTCGCTGCAAGCCCCCGTGCCACCCCATCCCAGACTATTGGAATTTGCGAGGTCAGATCTCCCTTTCCGACGTCGCATCAGCGAATGTTCCGTCGCGCACGGGGCGGGGGGGAGCAAGTCCTGGATCCGGATCGCTGAAATCTCACAGTGGGCGCCACCGCCCCAAGAACGGGGGGGGGGCATTCGTAGGTCTAGGCCCAGCCAGACCTCCCTACACCTCCCAGCCTCCCTTGTGTATCCCTTCTGCGGAGCCAGACACAGCGAAGGTCCGGCTACATCGCTCGGGTCGATCGTGACGTGACGTGATCGGTCACATCTCATCTCATCACATCCCATCACAGCATCCCATCACATCGCCGCACAGCGTGCCGCTAGCGCTTTGGGGGTTGGCGGGAGGCGAGGCGGGGGAGAGAGAGAGAGAGGAAAAGAGAGGGAATCGATGGAAAGGGAAAAGGGGGGAGTTGTCGTACTGCCCCTCTGGCCGCCACCCCCCGTCCCGCTTACTCCAACTGCCGTCGTCCCGTCTGCCATCGCTATAGGTATACGTATAGGGGACTAAGAGCAGAGATCTCACCAATGCAGCTACCCGCGCCATCTATCCCAGGGCAGCAGAAGCCACCCCGGCCCCCCCTTCGTCCTCTCTATTTCTCACTGTGGTCTCATTAGATCGGATAGACCCGACCCTAGCCCGCAGCGCGAAATATTACGTGCCTTGCGGTAGGCTCTACCACGTCGCTGATCTCTAGACAGGTGCATGCCTGCTCCCTGCCCGGGAAGGAATCCCACTCCAAGCGATTGGGCTCGCCTCTCGACGACGGTTTCCGGAGCGACTAGGTAGGTAGGTAGAAAGGTGGGTAAACGGGCGTGTATGGTAGGTAGGTGATCACGGAGTGCATCCGCACGCTCGCTCACCGACGGACCGAACGTATTCCGACAAGCAGCCCAGCCAGTCAACCTTCTGCTACTCTATTGCTGGCTAGATGTGGTTACCTATACGTACACCAGGCTGCTGACTTCACTTTGCTAACCCGCCTTCGGAAGCCCCGTACGCATATATCGGTTCCTCCGGCTAGCCGACTTCAAGGAACGAGGGACTCCGTTGCCCACTCACTCTTTTATCTACCTAACCCGATCCGACGGCTCGGCGATTTGATCCTCGTTTGCGATCTCAGAGACTCTCTTCCGGCACGCCGCCATCGCCCCCCTTCCCATTTGCCGCTTTCCCTGCCTCCCTGCTAGGAACGAGGCTAGCTGGCACACATACGTTCGTGCATGTGTATATATGTCTGTGTGTGCATTAGCTTCCCCCTCCCCTAGCTAACGTGCGCCATCGACCCATCGATCTGCCGACTTATGAGGAGGCGTGGTGCCTCTCGCCTGTCCTACTTCCGCTTCCGAGCCAACGAGCGCTCCCACCCTATGCGTAGCATGTACACAAGTAGTAGGCTTGCGGGAGTGAGGGGTGGGGGAGGCAGGACTTGCTCCGTCGGCGATACGAGCACCCGCTAGTATCCCCCCCGGGTGGCGGTATCGCGTATTTGATCCACCCGAGGTCTACTCGCCCTGAGCCGCGAGCCGGGAGTCGTGGGCACGTCGCTATGCCAAGGGGCTATCGCTGAGAGAGGTAGTGATGAAGTATGACGGCGACAAGATGGCATCTGTCCTGGGCAGAAAAAATGTAGTCAACTCTGCTCATGCTAGGTTGTGAATCGTTGAGAGTATAGATGACATATCTCAGGGGTGAGACGAAGTCTTGATAGGATCCTTCACTCGCAGGCTCCATGTTTAAGTTAGATTTATAGGCCAGTTTTCCGATAGCTAAAAGTGACGATAAAGGCACATAGCCCTTCAGTCTAAGATAGAAAGACATGACGTTATGATAACAAGCCATTACGATACGAGCAAGAAGCCCGCTCGGCTGGGAATTTCTGTTACCAGGCCGGCGTCTTCACAGTGCTCTCTCATCGCTGACCACGAGCCTGTAGGTAACAACCGACAGATATAGAACAACACTCGGCATCTCCGGGGGCGCTGTGTGCTGGTGGGTGTACATGCGAATGCCCGCAGCCATACCGAGCATAACAGCGGAGAGCCGGCGTCTAGACGGCCCTGGGACCACGAACACCCGAACAATACCTTTTACCTCCCCGTTACCTCGCCGTGTAGATATATAGATGGATGGATAAATACATCCTAAGCGAGCGGCCCCCGTCTCGTCCCGCTAGTTGAACTCGAGCACGTGCAGAACTGTATACACCCCGAGCACGCTACCCCTTCCCGAGAGGTAAGAGGCGGATAGCCGGCGGACGACCGGACTACACCAGAAAACCTTTGCCCTCCGGACGGGAGCAAAGGGTGGGGGGGGGGGGGGGGGGGGGGGACGGTATACGTGTGTATACAGCGTCCGGAGCGGAGCCGTCGCGGGCCGGAGGAAGACCTCGCTCGTGCTCGTTTTCGCTCCGGGCCCTTGCTCTCCTTGCGTACGCCGGCGAGCATCTCCCCCCCCCCTCCTCCCCCCTCCCCCGCGTGTCTTCCGCAAGTCGACCCACACGCCGCGGGCAACCTGCGCAGCAGGGGCCGAAGCGCGGCGCCCTGCTGCCTTCCTTGGCGGGCCTCCGCGCAGCGCCCCCCGGGGGGCGGCGGCGGCGGCGGCGGGCGAGCGGCGCAGCAGGAGCAGGCCGGTGCGATAGCCCCGCCCCCTCTCCTTTCCCCCCTCCCCTTGCCCTGCAACTCGCGCGCGTGCACGAACCCGAAGCCCGGCTCCGCCCTCCTCTCTGCTCTGCAAACCGACGAAAGAGGGCCGGAGGGGAGGGGGGGGGAGAAGCGCAGGACCCGGCAGGAACGCGCTGTGCCGCGGCCGCGGCCGTTTCTCAGGCTGAGAGGGGAAGGCGAGGGGGGCGCGGGACAGCGCCGGCGCCCGGGCGGGGCAGACCGGCTGCCGCGGGCGCGCGCGGGAGGCCGGACCTGCGAGGGCTCCGGCGCCCAGCAGGGACAACAGGTATTTGCGTTTTCACGGGCAGAGAGGGGTGGGGAAAGGGGAGGGCGAGGAGTTGCGCGAACCGAGAGGACGACGTACGGCACGGCGTGTGGGCGGAAAGGGAGAGGGCCTCCTCCATCGCCACGCGGCGAGAGGTGGAAGGGGAGGAAGGGGGGGGGGGGATCGCCCCGACGACGACATGCTGCGAACGTGGCTTGCGCAGGCCTTCGAATGCACGACAAGTTCCCACAAGGAAGAAAAAAAAGGAGGTTCATTCATTCATTCATTTATTGACGCCCAGCGCTTCATGCGTCCGTCCGCCCCTTCTATCCACCCGGCGGATCTTTTCTTGGTACGGACGTATGTGATCATGTTCGGTATGATGGCTATGTACCCCGGAGCCTACGAGGCTCGCGTTGGGAGGGTAGTTTCGAAAAATACAAGGGTGTCGTGTTTCTCTCCTCCTCGTCCTTCCCCCTCGTCCCTCCCCCTCTCTCGCGAGAGAGGATCGGGGGGGGGGGGGGGGGGGGATCACCTCCCTCCCTAATCTTATGACTCATTACCGTAACCGGAACTGCGCGTGCGGTATAGCGTCGAGGCGTCTAGAACTGATCTGTAGGCGGGTGCGCACCCGTTAGCACTGGGTCCACGTTCCGGTCCCGCGAGGCGAGGGGAGAAAAAAAGGGGGGGACTTGCCTAAAGTCATGCTCATGCTCACGTCGGTGCTCTCGACCATCTTGGTGAACTCCTCGAAGCTGATCTTGCCGTCCTTGTCGAGGTCGGCCTCCATGATGGTCTTGTCGACGATCTGCTGCAGCTGCTGGTCCTTCAGGTTGCTCCCGACCATCATCTTGAGCACGATGAACAGCTCGCCGTTGCTGATGTAGCCGTCCCGGTCGATGTCGTACACCTTGAACGCGAACCGCAGCTTCTGCTCCTTATTGCCCTTGCTGCTGAAGGCGCTCAGCCCCGACACGAACTCCTGGAAGTCGACGTCGCCTCCTCCGTCCTCGTCGAAGATCGCTATCATCCTATTTCGCGCCGTGTGTTAGTCTCCACCCCCAACCGCGGTCTTCTCGTGGGTATCCGTTGCCGACACGAGAGAGAGAGAGAGAGAGAGAGAGAGGAAACGTTACCTCGTGGCCAGCGGGTTCGACGATATTTGCGGTAAGCTAAGAAACTCTTCTCGTTCGATGGTGCCCGAATTATCCTATAGGCGAGGAACCGAGGTTGTTAGCGAGGGAGGCGGGAGGATGCGGTGTGTGCGTCCTCGTACCCTGTCGAGCTTCATGAACCTCTTTCTTAGCCGGTCTACCTCATCTCGGTCGACTGTGTAGGACGGTTAGGGTCTGGGTCAGTCGCGCCCGGAGATGCCACACGAGTACGTACAATTGGACCCCTGCACGATGTTGTCCAGCACGGAGCTGGTCGTGTTGCCCATCCTGGCAAACGGCACGTTCTAGTCGAGGCGGATTCGGAGTTGTCGTAGGGAGGGCTTAGACGTGAATCCGGGAGGATTAGGCCGTGTTTTCGGGATGGGGATGGGGCGCGATGTGCAATTGGCCTTGGGATGGGCGCGCGACAAGATACGAGTAGAGGACGGAGTTGGCGATACTTCGTAGGGTATGGCCGGGTTGAGAAGGAGAGTTGATGTTTCGACGAGCTGCCAGATGAGGCTGACGGGAAAGGGTTGGGTGGAAATGGGGACTGGTGGGGTCTCTCCGGGGTCTTTCTGTCGTCCGCTGTTAGTTGTCTAGGGTACTCAGATACTTGCTGAGTGTCCCTGCGAAGTACCTACCTAGGTAGGTAAGCCGTACAGACGATGTTGTTGTCGGGTACCTTGAGGTACCTCCTCGTCGTGCTGAGGTAACTGAGATCGCCTACCCTACTGACGTTACCCAACCACCTCCTACGGATTTGCATCGCACCCTGTCCTGCGGCGGGTTACATGGTATCCAGATCGGGATAGAAACGATAACAGCCACCTGCTAAAATCTATACATACGTAGGGCACATAAGTACCTATAGGGAGCGACTGAACCGTATACTCGTATGGCCTCGAGGAGGTCCCTCGCTTGTCGTTATGTCATTATAGGTAGGCGCCCAAGGCAGCTAAGCTTGGCAAGATCACGTTATCCGACTATCCGACGTGTGGAGTGGCTGGGGGTATGTGGCGTACGCAGTCAATGAGCCACAGGAGTTGTCGTAAGTAGGTACATGGGTACATAGGACCACCTCAGGTACTACCCAAGTACCTACTTAGGTACCTGCCTCCTGAGGTAGTGGAAATGGAGACGAGCATATGAGTAAAGACCTACCTCCTACCTGCCTAGGTACCTATTACCTGGGTGCCTCCGTTATTATACTCGTAGGCCTTTGCACGTAGCCCCGGGGAGAAGCAAAAAGGCGGTTGTGGCCATGGTAGAGGTGGCCACCTAAGACACGGAATGAATGAATGTATGAGTCTTGGGGGGAGTGTGTATACCATCTACTATGTACCTAGGTATCTATCCACGGTACCCGGCTGCCTTAGGTAGAGGTACCTAGGTAGGTACCTAGATTTAAGGTACAAAGACGACCTTGAAAGCATGCGTAATCCTTTTCACCTACCTGCCTAAGGTGCCTCTACCTAAGGTACCTCTACCTAAGTGAAAGACCAACGCGGAGTGGGAGGCGGCAGTAAGTAGAGAGAGATGGGAAGGGAGGCGGCAGCTATCGATGGGTGGAATGCGTCATGCCTTATCAGCTGGTGCCGAGATTCGGTCACCGCCTCCCTTCTCCTTTTTCCCTCTTCTCTCGTAGACGTGTACCTGTCCCCGGATGTACAGACTGCAACCTGTCCGTTGTCCTTCCAGCGAATGTACCCTAACGTACCGGGCCGGTTCCGTCGGCGGTGGGCGCGGGTATAGGAGTGCCTGAAAGTCCTGCGAAGCGGTGGAAAAGAACCCCCGAGAGACAAGCGTCTACTTGCGCCCGTAGGCACCTGATATATAGGTAGGTACCTACCTCCTATCCTGATATCTAACCACCTGCGTAGGCACCTCCTCCTCTTAACCTTCTCGTAAGTGCTCCCTGCGTAAATGACCAGGTTGGGTTGGTAGGTAGGTACCTAAGGCAGGCAAAGCATGAGGCAATACGAGATGGCTGCGCCTGGTACCTGTTCGCGCCTAAACCGAGAAAGAGGTATCCGTCCACCTAAACTACCTCAGGAACCTAGGCAGGTACCTGGGTATGTAACCTCGCCAACAAATTAGGTAGGTACCTAGGTACCGACTCACTATACCGCCTTATTACCTGCGTGCATACATACAGACAGACGGATAAGAACGCAATATAGAAACGGGGGCCCGGTTGGCGACGAGGAGACAAAGGAGAGGAGACGGACACAAGGCGAGATGACGAGCAGAGGTGTAATATAATAGTAGCTAGATGTAGGTACGCCTCTTAGCCCAGCTATTCCTACTACCTACGGGCACCCGTTCCAGCGCGTTGCCGGCGCCCCGTAGGTACATGCATATATCGTTAGAGGTACCTAAGCCCACAGTGGTACATGTGCTGAGAGGTACCTGCGAAGAGGTACGGCTCGACGCCCTTAGTAGGTGCTATGAGCCCCCCCCCTATCCGTCCCGCCCCTTCTCCAATCACAGCCGGCCGAATATCGCGCAGGGCCAATCATAGGCTGCGAACCATGCGATACCTGGGTACAAAGCGCTTTCTCTTGTGGACCCGGCCACCTCCCCTCCCACAGTTGCCCTTCTGCACTGCGCCCTCTCGCCCAGCTGCTGGCTCTGCACAACCTGCACAAACCCTCTGCACCTCACTTTGTTGTTGCCCACCCCGGGTCGCCTACAGCGGACGGAGAGAAAAAAAACACGCCCCAAACAATTCAACGTCACCTCATCCAGCGCAGAGACTTCGGCCATCAAAACAGCCACCAGGACGCCCTTTTTAGCACCTGAAAAATTCAGATTTCATCGTCGCATGACCTGAATTAATACCTTCCCGATTTTTTCGGGGTTTTTTCCGGCCACTTTGCGACTTTTCCCCCCCCGCTGTCCCTCCACACCGCCGACCGCCATGTCGACCCGGAAGGTGCGATACAAGAAGCTAAACACAAAGACGCCTCTCCCCGTCCTCCGCGAAGATCAGATCGACCCCAACGAGTATGAGTCCCTCACCACCGAGTCCCAGATCGCCACCGGCGTCGAACAGGCCGAGGAAAATGTGAGTTGCCCGCGCTTTGCCTGCCCTGCCTACCCATATCGCTATATCACGTGATCTCGGCACGTGATCCGACCGGGGTCCCGAGACCCGAGTTTGATATTGGCCCGTCTCGGCGACTGGTCCGACGCTAACCCGCTCGTCGACAGGAGTACCACTTGCAGGCTGCCCTGAGGGGTGTTGGCGCCAGTACGGACAATGAGATTCCCGTCCCGCCGCCCCAGAAGAGCGAGGCAAACTACGGAGAGCTGTATCCCCTCCCGTACGTAGAGCCGCGGAATTACATCAAGTTCTCCGAGACGGTTGAGGAGACGCTTGGTAGCCTCTATGATATGACGACTGAGGATGAGGAGTATCTCGGCTCCTATAACGCCAAGTCGGCGGCCGCTGCTCGGCTCTCGGAGGAGGATTTTGAGCACATGATGGAGATCTTCGAGGACACGGCGACAGAGCAAGCCCCCTTCGCTTCGGTAGATAACACGGTAGTGCCATATGAGGTTATGGTTCAGGCTCTGGGTCACGTGATCCCCGCTAAGCTTATCCAAGCCCATGGCAAGGCCGTCTATGAGTACTGGAAGTCTCGGCGACAGGCCGGCGGGAACAGGTTGCTGCACCCCTCGCTCAAGTTCGAGACGCACCAGGAGCATGACGACATGGACCCCTATGTCTGCTTCCGACGGCGCGAGGTCCGACAGACGAGGAAGACGAGGGCGCGGGATGTGCAGGTGACTGATAAGCTGAAGCGACTGCGTAGAGAGCTAGAAGAGGCACGCAAGCTCATACACCTGTCGTGTCAGCGAGAGGTGTATAAGCGGGAGCTGTTGAATAATGACAGGCTGATCTTTGAGCAACGGAGTAGCCTCAAGGAGACCAAGGTCCGGCTTAGTATCAAGGGGGATGACGAGGACCTGTACAATGCTCGGCCACAGAAGCGACCGAGGACGGAGGCCCAGCAGCCAGCACGTCCTGGTTCCCATTCCCAGATCCGTCTCGTTACTAGGCCCGACGGCAAACCGGTCGATACCGTCGATCTCGCCCTCCCTCTCTTGTCTGTCAAGCTTGCCGAGAAGGAGAATGAGCTGCGTAACGACGTGGAGACGAAGATCCAGAACCATAGGCGGTGGAATACTGGTTACGTCGATTTGACTGCCGAGCCACTGTCCCCCATTGTCGAGGAGCGGCCGGCGTTCAGGCCTGCGAAAACGGCCTATCTGCTCACCCCGCCAGCGTCATCTGCGTCCGATTCCATGGAGGTAGACGGGGAAGTCCAGGCGGATTCGAATAAGAACCCGGCAGCGTTTCTCTTCAGCGGGATGGACCTAGATGCCTCTTCCGACGCTGAAGAGACGTATTCGTACCGTCGCCGCATAGCCCGATTAGGTCGCTTGTTCATCGACCGCCGCGCACACAGGGTAAATGGGCCAAAGAATCCTTCCCATGATATAGACCCCGCCCAGAGTGACCGGTGGAAATATGACCGAGACGACGATGAGGATGAGCAACCAGCGTATGAAGTCGATCCCAACAGCTTCCGTCAGATGAAGTTCCGGTCAACCATACCACCGCCACCCATGATGTTTCGGAGACAGGTCATGGACACGGTTCCACTTCAGGTCGGCGGCGCTAATCGGCAGGCTCTGCCACAAGCCCAAGCCCAAGCCCAAGCCCAAGCCCAGGCTCAGGCCCAGGCCCAGGCCCAAGCACCTCCGACTCAGCCTCAAGTGCAGCAACCACAAGTGCAGCCGCCTCAGGTGCCCTAGTCTCAGGCACCAACTTGATGGGGCGAACAGGAGTGAACGAGAGCTTCGTTTCGTCGTCCCTTGAGGCCGTCTGCGTGTCCCCGTCGCAAACTTCATTCGGGGTCGCATCCCGCCCATTTGCAGTGGGCATGAACGGGACGGCGCCCCAATGATGCCATCCACGCGTCCTCTATCCCATGATGGTCGCCGCCCTGCCGAATTCAGCAGGTTCAAAGCACAACCCTGTACATAGAATTGTTTGAACCTGCGGGCCGGAGAAGGCAGCCGACCGGTAGACGGCCTAGGCTGTTGATATGCTGTAGTATATATGTCTTCAGAACCACATGCATAGCTTGCGGAGTTGAGAGGAGAGGGGTGGGGCCTAGTCATATTGTTTAGCTCCCTCGGCACGCAGACAAGAGGTAGAGGAAGTAATACATATGTTCCTCGGCAGTATACTTGCAACGATATTTGAATGCGATGCGATGCGATGCAGTAGCCTTGTTGTCTTGGTTGCCCATGCCACGTCCATGCAGAGCAGACGGGGCGGTCGTCCTGCCGCGTGACTCGGCGCGGGATCATCTGTTGCAGGCCAGCAGGACACTGAGGCGCGGTGTCCCTTTGCTCATAAATTAGCTCTGTGTTGGTTTTAATGCCCGACGGAGAATCCTTTTATCGTTTCCCCTCTAGACTGTGGTGGTTAGGGTTGAGGTCTGACAGATGTACCGCAAGCTGTTCCATGGTGTGATTTTACGGAGGACAGGGTGCAAGCTGGGTTTTTCCGGCTGTTTTCGACTCGACCTAAAGGATAGGCCAAAAAGCTTAGTTTCGTAGGTGAAATTCCATTGACAGGCGAGCCAGGCGGTCTATTTGGACTCGAGCTTCTAACGAGAAAGACATGCTGAATATTGGAAGGTCAAGAAAGCAGCGTCCTACAGAAGAGGCGCGGGAAAAACAAAAAAAGGTAGGTTATGTATTTATTGATGGAGTGGATAGTGGGGCACTGAGGTTCCCAGTGATTCGGCGTTTCGTAAGCCGCGGACCTCCTTTCCAGCTTAAGTGCCCGCGCTACAGGCAGAGGGGGAAGAGGTAAAAGAAGAAAGAGAGAGAGAGAGAGGATGGGATAAGTTGGTATATCAGGCGACGGGATACCGGCAAATGATATTTGCATAGGCTGTATGGGGACGGTCGAGCTGCGTGGAAATTGTTGCGTTGCGAAGGAATCGCAGAGCGGAGCGAGAAAAAGGGCGAGAATTGCCGGCTTTGCACTCACCACATCTCGGAAGGATGACAGTCCCGTCGTCCCAAAAATATCGCACATGCGTCTCTCCAGGCCAAGCAAAGCAAACCTGATTAAGCTGGTCGGTCCATACCGAGCGGGACGTGTTGTAGGGTTTACGGCCCTACGTCAAATACCTGCCTAAGCGCCTCTCAGGTAGCTGGTATGGATGTTCGATCCGGGTGGTTCCCGGGAGGTCTCGGTGTGGTCGATGCGCGACGCAGACTCCAGTCCCGCGAAGGGGTCCCTGGGGTCTACCGAATTGCGTGACAGATACCACATGTCTCTCTGTTCCTGTTGTATACACCGGGAGCCGCCACGAAGCAGCGGCCTAGGGAAGAGAGCCTGGCCATATCAGATCGCTTACCAGGAAGCGATGGAGGTCTGGGGAGGCAGCAGGGGCGGGCGGGTTTCGAACAGGCACATGTCTACAGGAAGAGCAAATTAGTAACTAGGAAGAAGGTGAAAGAGTGTCGGGTTGTCAGCGAAATGACAATACCGCCAGGCGACCTACCTGGCGAGATGGGTAGAGAGATGCGCAGCTCCCTCGGAGAGGGAAGAGGTACTCGGATAGGGAGAGAATGAAAACAAGCTAGGCAAAAGCAACAAGCGCGCGAGAGCCGATCCGGGCGAGAATTTGCAGGCTGGGCAGAAGAGGAGGCTCGCTCGAGAAGGTGAGAAGCTGAACCAGGCCTGTTATGTTTTTGAGAGGAGGGATGACAAGAGAGGTTGGAAGCGACCGGAGGATTTGGTAATATTCTCCTTTGGTGCTTGGAAGGACGCAAAATAGGCCTGGACTGAACGGAGAGCCGAATAATGAGGTGCGGGTCCCACTGCAGCGCAGAGCGCACCTGAGCCCACGAGTACAGATGGTACCTCAATCTAGTGCTGCTAGGTACATGGCGGTACGTAGGTACACGCCTATATACCCCACACCGAGGCATGCGAGCTTGGTCCGATTAGGCGCGGTAACCCCTGCCAGGACTATCGATAAGCCCATTCCAGCCAGCCTGCTAACGCCTTAGGTAGTTGTGCTAGGCCTTCGAGTCCGCCCATCTCGACGTCGTCATGGAGGGGCTTCTCTTGCAGTCATCATCTGCATTTTCTACGTCCCTGGACACATACTTGCCCAGGTACATACATCCCGGGTAAAGGTATACCACCTAGGGGCCACACGCAGGTCAGGTGCCGCGGGTACCTGTAGATGTTGGGTGTGTAGCTGCGCCCCGGCATTAGGTTAGGTACCTACATATATATACATACATATATACATACATGGCAGGCAGGTGACAACCCCACAGCACTCATATACTACGTACAGCCTTGCTCGGGCCCCATCCAGTAACAGGTATGCCTACCTCCTACCGCTCTACATCCTCTCTCTTTTCCCCCTCTTCCCTTTTCTCTGCCATTTATGTGCGTCTAAAATTCGACACTTGGACAAGTCAAACCCTCGTCAGATTACATATCCGCCTGTATATACACCTAGGCCGTGAGCATGACACATACTCAGCCTTCGAGGAAAGATTGACTGCTGGGGCCCTCCTGACTAAGCTCAGCTACCCGACGTAAGCCACTACGTAGCAGCGCCCCACTTCCGCCAGTCATCCGCGACAACATACCTCATCATACCTCCTCCTCCGCCGGCTGGCCGTACCCGAACCCCACCACCGTGTCCACGCCGAATAGGGACAGGTACGGACAGGAGCTCCCAACAGGCCGACGACAGAATTTAGACTTAGCCGAGCGAGAGCGAGAGAGAGAGAGAGAGAGAGAGGAAAGGGGGGTGGGTGTCCGTTAATAGGAAGAGAGTATAGTTCCGAAAGAGTGGGAAGGGTGGGGAAGTAAGAGACAAAAACCAGCAATGTCGCAGACGACGCCCGGCCGCCGCCCGGGGCCCCTGCTCGCCCTTGGCTGCGAGGGCAGCGCCAACAAGCTCGGCATCGGCGTGGTGTCGCACGACCCGGCGACGGGGCGCACCGAGGTGCTGTCGAACGTGCGGCACACGTTCGTGTCGCCGCCGGGGACCGGGTTCCTGCCGAAGGACACGGCGCGGCACCACCGGGCGCACTTCGCCGCGCTCGCGCGGCGCGCGCTCGCCGACGCCGGCGTCGACCGCCCCGCTGAGCAGCTCAGCTGCGTGTGCTACACGCGGGGGCCCGGGATGGGCGCGCCGCTGCAGGCCGTCGCCGTCGGCGCGCGCGCGCTCGCCCTGCTCTGGGGCCGCCTCCCCCTCGTCGCCGTCAACCACTGCGTCGGCCACATCGAGATGGGCCGCGCCGTCACCGGCGCCGCCGACCCCGTCGTCCTCTACGTCTCCGGCGGCAACACCCAGGTCATCGCCTACGCCGAGCGCCGCTACCGCATCTTCGGCGAGACCCTCGACATCGCCGTCGGCAACTGCCTCGACCGCTTCGCCCGCGCCCTCCGCCTCAGCAACGACCCCGCCCCCGGCTACAACATCGAGCTCCGCGCCCGCGCCGCCGCCGCCCGCCCCGGCCGCCCCCCGCTCCTCCTAGACCTCCCCTACGCCGTCAAGGGCATGGACTGCAGCTTCAGCGGCATCCTCAGCGCCGCCGAGCTCCTCGCCGCCCGCATGCGCGACCAGGACGCCCGCCTCGCCGCCGGCGAGACCCTCCCCGACGGCGAGGAGCGCCTCACCCCCGAGGACCTCTGCTTCAGCCTCCAGGAGACCGTCTTCGCCATGCTCGTCGAGATCACCGAGCGCGCCATGGCCCACGTCGGCAGCGGCCAGGTCCTCATCGTCGGCGGCGTCGGCTGCAACGAGCGCCTCCAGGAGATGATGGGCCAGATGGCCCGCGCTCGCGGCGGCAGCGTCTACGCCACCGACGAGCGCTTCTGCATCGATAACGGCATCATGATCGCCCACGCCGGCCTGCTCGCCTTCGAGACCGGCTTCCGCACCCCGCTGGAGGAGAGCACGTGCACGCAGAGGTTCAGGACAGATGAGGTTTACGTAAAATGGAGAGACTAATCCATCTCAGCCCTCGCCGATTTCGTCTTGTGTGCTTGCCTATCTGTGTTGTGATCCGACGAACTTTGTAGGCCCTTGTACTCTCTTGCCTTTTCTCGGCTGTAATTCTCTTGTGTCACGTATCTCCCTCTATACATCTGCGCTGTCATGTTACCCTCAACAGGGAACCTATTATCTGTGGTGCGTATAACACGGGCCGCATCGCGCGACACGCGAACGGAACATCACCCGAGTCGTTCTACCCCCCGTCCTTTGCGCGATACAAGCCGCATCGATCAGTACTACATTCCAAAAGATGTCCGCGCCTCTACTTGCAACGTGACAGGTGGAAGTTTCCATCCCTATATCCAGGTTATCTAAAACATACGGAAGGCATCCTGGCCGATTCGAGATTCGCAAACTATAGTCAAGTACAAAGTATAGCGGCAGTCTCCCGGATAGGTAGACTGTCGGCTAATACCTATGTTTTTTCAACCGGTGAAGAGATTGAAGAAAAAAGAAATACGGCTATTCGTTCCGAGTAGCCTTGTAGATGATCGTAGTCACGTACTTTTGCTGCCGTTAGTGAGAGTACCCCGTAAATGTGGCCCTGTGGTGACGACCTACCTTATTCTGGTATCGGGTGGTAGCCGATACGGCAAGAACATTGTTTTTAATACTACAGGTAGCCAGATGATTGAGGACCGTGTGGTTCGGCATATTAAGGACGCTGTTATCGTCCTTAATGAGCGTGTTGTTGTTCATGATCGGCTTACTCAAGAAACCGGGCAAGCTAGGGGGCGCCGGGAGTCTCTCCATGGCTAGAGAAGAGAGCTTATACGACGAGGTCTCTTCAGACTGGTCGAAGTCGTCTAGATATCGCGGAATCTTGTCCGAGAATTTCTCGACCGGATCTATGACCTTTTGCAGAGGAGCCTTGGTCGAGCCATCGTGCGAAGGCTGCCGAGATGGCAGGGAGATGGCGGCTTCGTTCGACTTGGGGACACCGACGTCTAGAGGGACGCTTCGGGAGGCAGCATCGTCGCCGCTCACCTCAATGTAATTTACCAGATTGTTTCCAAAGTCAACGGTGGTGGGCAGATCCTGAGACGTTTGCATATTGCCGTCTACCAGGAATTTTATGTGGTGAGTGCCCGGAAAGACGGATATCACCGTCTCCAACACGCCCTCCTTGTCCTTGCTGCACAGAGGGGGACACGTCAGTAGCGAGCAAAAAAATAAAACTTGGACCTACTTCCCAAGGCTTTTCGGCCAGATATAAAAAAGCAAGGCGCCATCAGGGCCCAGTCACCAAGACGAACGTTACGAGACCGGATCAACATCCACGAGGGGGTCTCAACTCACGAGGGAACTAATCGCTGCTTCTTACTCCATTGGAAGGGGGTTCCGGTCACGTAGACCTTCTGGCCACCCCGCGACCACTCGATACGGGTGGGGATGGTCGGCCTCGTCTTATCGACCCGGAGCTCTTCGGAGTCATCCTCGTCCGTCGCATTGCTGAGCCCGGATGCGCGGCGCGGCAGGCTGCCCGAGTCGTCGAGGGGCGCGATGTCGTCGTCGATGGCTCTACCGTCAGCATCGCTTGGTGCTACGATGGGCGAGCCGGGAGTGTGGATCTCTTCGTCGATGGGGAGCGGTAGACGCGGCGGACGCGCCAAATGATACGACATGTCCTGGATGCTGCTCGAGGCGGGGCCGGACGGAAGGCTCCCCTCTATGCGGTATTCGCGGGCGAAGGGCGGGTCGTGCTCCGAGTGGGAATAGGAGAAGGGGACGGCTACGGGCTTGGAGTGCTCATCCTTAAAGTCGGCCGGCCGCTGTCTCAGCTCCGAGACCTTGTGGGGAGCAGCAGCGGAGTGGTTGGAGCTGGTGGATGGAGAGGAGGAGTTGAGGGTGGAGAGCGGCCGCGACTGGGAGCTCCGGTTATAAATGGAAGTGCCTGTAGCCTCGACGACCGAAGCCTCGGGAGAAGCTGGGGACCTGATATGCTGGGTTTGTATCGATACCGGGTTCTTGGGCTCCTTCTTGGAAGCCCGTGGGGAGTCGTGCGACGAGGGAGTGGTGGGGGTGGGCGGTTTCGAGGTTGACGAAGGGTTGTTTCCCATGGTTTGGTGTGGGGGACGACCGGGAGGAAAGAAAGGATTCTCCCCCCCTTTTTTTTTTTTGGTGGTCGTGCGGGCTTGGACGGGTTTGGTAGGCTGGGTAGGCTGGTTCGGTATTCGATACGTCAACCTGGAAAGGGGGAAAACCGAAAATCGAGGGGGAGCCGGAAGCTGACGGGCGGGAATGCGTGTGTGTGGTGCGTCGTGCGTCGTGTCGCGCGGGTGCGGGTGCGCAAGCAGGCAGAGGCAAGCAAGAGACCAAGGCCAGGCGGTGTGACGGGGCCAGAGAGGGTCCAGTCTGTAGCAGAACGCACCAGACTCCAGACTCGACTGGAGCGGAGGGGATTCGATTGGGGTGGATTGGGCACGCGGTGAATCAAGCTGAGATGTTCTGGTGCTGGGTTGCTGGGAGTGGGATCATGGGCAAGCAGGAAAGTGGTCATGAGACCGATTTGGCGTTGGCGGGCGATGAGACAAGGAGATGGAGAGCCGGGACGACGGCGAGCGATTGGGCAGCTGGCAACAGCTAAACGAGGAGGCGACGGGGAAAAACAGCGAACGGGACAAGCCCTCCGGAGCCCGGGTCCCTGCCTGGGCACGATAACGAGACGCTCTTTAGGTACCTTAATCAGAGCGGGATCTACCTGGCATTGCCCCCCTCCTTATAGAGGTACCTGCTCAGGTACCTGCTTTAGGGGACCGAACCTCGTAGGACAAGAGGTACCTCCTACGGGTGCCTAACCCGGCCTAACCTAAGTACCCACATGCAGTTAACCCGACCCTCGTGCGCTTGCATCGTCCAAGCACAAGTACCTTAGGTACCTAGGTGCCCGGGTAAGAGGAGGTCGGTAGGTACCTAAGAATCCAGCACATGCGTACCGTATAATTCCACCGTTTGCACGAGCCGAATATCACGACAGGGGTCTGGGCGCCTCAGGTGGCATGGTAGCATTCTGGAACAGGTACCCACGCGGGAGGTAGGAGGTAGTTAGGTACCTATACATATATAGAGGTAGTATACGCACATCCAACTCGCCTCAGGTGGGTATTTGCATATTCATAGGTGATATGGTAGGTTAGAGGTACCTAAGGTAGGTATGTACCTAGGCAGGTAAAGGTGATAATAGCAGCGGGTCTGTCCTGGAACCTGGTATCTCTCTACCTTAAAGGCACGACCGATTCTTGTTACCGCATACCTCCTCTTGAGAAGTAGAGGGGTGTGCATGTGAGGCACCTAATAGAACTTGCGGGATTTCAGAAGACGTGTAGGTACCCAATACCATATACGTAAAAAGTGTTCATAATAAGAATCAACTACCGCTCTGCAGTGCGGCGACAAGCTCATAGGACGTAGAGCATTAACCTTGACACATTGAAACTGGCGTGGTTGGGTAGAGGTACCTACAGGTGCTCAAGGTAAGGGTCGGTACCTAGTACCCTTAGGAGGTTAGGGTCAAGGTACCTGGTAGGTAGGCAGGCACCCAAGGCGAGTGCCTAACGTAGGTACCTACCCCCTCCCAACCAACCCCACGATCAAATGTAGCAGACCTCCGGTAAGCAAGCTGGTCTAACCCGGATCTTGATACAAGTAGTGCCGTGTCCGGGTATCTGTCACGCCCGGCGTCTTTAACACGACCTAGATACCTACATATAACGAGGCAGCGCAGGTGCATGTCTAACCTCCTATTACACAGACCCGCCTCACGCCCTCCTGTCTGTATGTACAAAGTGGCTGTCGTCACCTGAAGCTGATGCCAAGATGCCACTGACACCTTCCCCTCCATGTCTGCTGCATGGGTAGGAATATTCTGCCCAGCCGACGAAGTTGTCGAGAACCCTCAAAGGATCATACTCGACAACGAGCACAACAAGTTGCCATCTACGCCGGATCGACCGCCGGCCGCGTCGACGCCGGATCGTAATCCACTCAGCGATAACCAGAGGGGCAGAGACAGGCAGCGACGGGCACGGAGACGGACGGCCAGATAGCGAGAGGAGGAGGAGGAGAAGAAAGACACACAGGGAGCGAGCTGCCCCCCGGGGCCCCCCACGCCATCCAACCCACCGCCGTCCGAGAGGCCACGAGGCCACGAGGCCATTTTAGTAACATGGATTGGTTGGGACGCTTGCAAGCCTTCGGCACGGCAATCCTGTATCCTGCGTTGAGGTTCACGTTCAACCTGTGCTACCTTGTGACGATACCTCTGCACTATCCCATCTACTATCTCCTGGCCCTGGTCACCTTCCTCCTATCGCCTATCTGGTATATGTTCCGCGTCGTCTTGAGTGTGGCCTCGACTGCTGTGGGCTTGGTGGTTAGACTGAAGGTATGTTCCTCTTCCTTCCCATGCTGGCCCCTGTAGGATTGCCCGAGTCTGGCCGGCCGCTGACCTGCAAGACAGTACCTCTACATCTACGTAAGACCGCCTAATCAAATAAATTGCGCACGGGAAACATCCGTCGTACCGGGACTGACACCCAATGCAGCTTGCCTGCGCAGCCATCATAGGAATCTGTGCTGGCTGTATGCTGCACGGGACCTCGAGTTTCATATTTGTCCTTCTAGGTATCGACGCCTCGCAGCAACATCGTTCCGGCCGACGGCGGGCCAGGTTGCCACCTGTAGCCGATGAAGATGAGGAACTTTACGGGCTAGAGAGCACCCCCAGCAAGTCCTCCGTAGGCGGAATGGCCCCGCGGCGCGGGAAGCCGAAACGAGAGGCAGACGATGATACGCGCGAGTCGTTGCGGCAGCAGTGGAAACTGCCCAGGCCCTCCAAGATACCAGGACAGCAACGTAGGGGATTGATTTCCCAGACAATCTACGAGGAGAGCAGCAGCGATTTCTCCTGACGATGCCACGTTGCGACCTCAAAGCTGGCACTCTGCGACGGTCTGCTGGTACTTGCGACAATAGAATACCAGCCAGATCGATTCTCCGCGCATGGCCCTCTCACCATGTGGCTACTAATTAGAAGCATGGTTAGCTAGGCAAGCGGTTGACTGATCATGTTGCAAATGTCAATATATATATATTCCAGGCCGATTCGAAGAGGTGCATTCACGATGAGTTTGCCAGACAATGATAGCCGTGGGTACGCGGGACGAGAACTGTTGTTCCTCGACTTCAGCCGTACAATTAGTTTCGGATACCTCTTTGCTATATCGGGGAGAATCAAGGGACGCCGTGTAAGTGCTATCTAGACCGCCAAGCAACCAGCTACTTGTAACTCACGACACTACGCAAGACCACGGCGGTTACAATCCCTCTCGGGTAGGAGAAGCGGGTGGGTACGCAAGTAAACTCCGCCGGCGCGCCGGCGGACCCACAACCCGACATTTCTCGGGGCTACCGGTCGACCCTCGGCACGGGACGCCGCAGTGCTGAGGTACTTAGCGGTCCGTCGACAATCCTGCCCCCCTCAGAATTGTGCAGCAGCAAGAACACGGCCCTGGTGAGCAGAAACTGTCCGTCCAAAAAATGGTAGGTATGTGTTTTCTTCGCCCACGTCCCGACGACGATCCCCGGCGTTCTGCTATGGGCTTGAGCCTATGGGTGCATACACATACTCGAGGGTTCGGCGTGAAACGTCGAGTCTGGACCTGGTCTTCTCTCTTCTTGGGCTGGACCAAGGTCAGTTCATCCCCCCCCCCATCTGAAAAGGTCGACTGTAGGTATACTCAACCCCCCCCCCCCCCCCCCTTCCTCCCAAGAGCGTTACATTGCGCCTGCTGATCGACGGCACAGCACGTCTACGCGACGTCGCCGCTCGAGAGCCTCAGGCACGCACGTTATTCCTCCTTCCCCGCGTCGCACTCGCCTAATTGCTCGATTCGCGCTCGGGAGGCGCGGAGACGCGTGGACGTGGCCGTGGCACGCCCTCCATACATATCCGATATATGCCCCAACCCCGTGACGGTAGCGTTTCCTCTTGCGGGCGATCTCGAAAGCGCTACCTACCTGCGCGTCGCCGTCGTATGGGCTAGCCTCGGTCCCGTCGAGCCGGGCCGGTCTCAGGCGGGGAGGCGCTTCCTCCTCGATCACGCATTTTACGTCGTGACACTTCGTTTTGCCGGTCCCTGTCGGGCATGCCTGTTAGAGGGCCACCGACTCCCGAGACGCTCGCTCGCCTAGACGCGGCAATAACGAAGCTGAGACCAAGGGGATAGGAAAGGAAGAGTCTCTCTTGAAACGGCCCTGCAACTCTATCCGCGTTTACGTGCCACAAGCCTGTGCCAGGCAAAAAAAAGATATCTTTATTGTAATAGGACAGCTATCAATCCGCTCGATCCGCTCAACCCACACGCCGACGGGGAATCTTACCTACCACAATCAATCGGGACCATCCATCTGCTCACCCGTCGCAAACTCCAGCCTCTCCCCGACACTACCAGGATCGAGAGTCCTAGAGCCCTAGGGAAGAGGAGAGAACCGGGGGGGGTGGGAAATGGCGAAATACACACATACACACACCCTCCTAAACACCTGGCCTCCCAACTCGTAACGCCGAGAGAGAAATGTGAGAGAAACGAGCTGTAGCCAGCTATCTAACTTGGCTACCTGGGCAGCCTCTTGCGCCGTGGGTCCCAGCCATCCCCGTCCGTGCCATTGTCCGTAAAGTAGCTCCCTTCCGTGCACAGAAATGCCTGCGAAATACTGCAGTTGAAAAGGGGGGGGGTTGAGGGTGTTCGTTAAATAACCTGGTGAGAAAAAGGGGGAAGAGGCTAACGAGAGAGGCTTGGCTCAAAGTGGCTGAGGCGTCGTTGGTCCCCCGAGCTATACTCTGTCGCGCCTATTGCCCCGTGTAGCCTTGTTTGCTCCAGTGTCCTCCGTGTTGATGTGGACTGCGATTCTATCGCCGATACACATCTCGGTCCCTGTCTCTAACGGGGGACCGGCTGCGGCTGCGCGTCTGGCTGGCCCGGCTACGATCGTCGCGGTCTCGTTCGCGGCGATCCCAATCGTGTCGTCGGTCATCTCTGTCCTCCCATCGCCGCCGATCCTCCCTCGGTGGCCGATCCTCCCTAGGTGGCCGGTCATCCCGCGCGTTGTTACGATAGTCGGGGATGTAGGTGTCGACGTCGGGCCGGTTACCCCCGCGGATCCTTGACGCTCGATCCCTAAAGGATTCGTGGTGCTCCGCCGGGTTGTCCCATCCGCTCCCGGGATATTCGGGGGGAGGCGGGCGTGGCGGTAGTCTGTGGTCGACGTGAGGCTGTTCGCGGGCCCAGGCCGGTCGACGACTATCCTCGCCAGGCCGATATCCCCCGCCATGATGTTTCGGGTATCTGCCGCTCATCCTATTGCCGTAGCCGTCGCCGCTACCAAAACTTGCATTGGGACCTTCGAAGGCGCCGACACCAACGGTGCCTCCCTTAGGTGCAGGTGGGAGGGCAGCCTTTCGATCGTGGAATTTCCTACGGTCCAGCTCGTGACTGTCTTCAAAAGTGGGAAGGTCCTCGGGCCTAGCAGGGAGAGGCGGAGTCTTGAAGTAGGGGTGTTGGAGAGCGTCGATCGCGTTGATTCGGGTTCGCCAGTTGAGGGTCAAGAGCTCCTTCAGTAGAGAGATGGCTACTTGGCCATGCTCACGGAATCGTTGCGATAGCGTTCCAGGCCTAGACCGAGGAGTGATGACTTCCGCGCCAGGCAACTGCTTCCATCCTGGCATGTTTTGGTCCGTTGGTGATCCGACCAGATCGAAGATAACATCAAGCTGGTGTCCGTCGCTCTCGCCAGCCAGGATTGGCTTGCCCACCAACATCTCGCCGAAGACGCAACTGGGGACGATGTTAGTCTAACGCTCTATATATTGCCGTTTGGTGCAATCCTACCCGACACCCCACATGTCAATAGCAGTGGTATACTTCTTCAGGTGTAGCAGAAGCTCGGGAGGCCGGTACCATCGGGTGACGACGAGGCTTGTATACTCCCGCCGCCCCTCGCCGCCCCCTTCTCCCGGCTTGGGGACGGGACCGTCGTAATGTCTCGCCAGTCCAAAGTCGGCAATCTGGAGTATTCCCTTATTGTTAATGAGGAGGTTGGCTGCTTTCATGTCTCGGTGGAGGATTCTGCTGTCGTGTAGATATCGTAGACCTTCGAGTAGTTGTAGGAGATAGCATTTGATCTGCGGCACCGTGAATTGGACGGAGGGATTGTCGAGTAGACCGGACAAGTCGTGATCCATGTAGGGTGTCACCATATACATGATCGGCCGCTTCCTCTTGTCGGCTAGGAAGAGTTAGTCTGGTGGAAATGCACGCGCAAGACTAGGAAGACTCACTCAATTTGCTATGATGCTCAACCGCCATATCCTCGAGCCGCAAAACATTCCTATGTGACAGCAACTTGAGAAGCTTGATCTCGCGAAGTGCTGTGATGGGGAACTAGGAGGCAAAATTAATGACCATAGCAGGAATAGCAAGGAAGGCTATAACGAACCCCGTCTTTCTCGTTGTGCATGATGATCTTCTTCAGCGCAACCCAGCTTCCGGTCTTCCGCGATTTTGCTTTGTGTACCTCGCTGATAGGGAAGAGGCATTAGCAGGAGTATCGAGGGAGGGAAATAGGCACAGGCGATTCTGAGAATAACTCACCCAAAGGTGCCCTCGCCAAGCTTGCCCAGCAGCTCGTAGTCGCTGATTCGGGAGCATCCTAAGAAGCTGTCCTTCGGTCGCTGGTGCTGGATGGCGAAAGATCGCGGCGAGGGCGCGCCGCTTCCGCTACTATACGCCATCTTGGACGTCGGATGCCTCGAGGTCGTTGTCGGATTCCCGAGGAAGAGACGGTGTGGCTGGTTCGGATAGAAATAATTGGTGGTGTAGGTTAGGACCGCATCGGCAGACGTGACATCGCAAGGCACGGGAGGCAGATCTGTCTTGCGAAGGGTCTCTCAGAGGGATAAGGCAATGGAAAGAATATTAGGGTAAGTTGAATAGCATTGTGGGGGGTGGTCGGAGGGGCTTTTTGTTGAGAGACAAAAACGAGAAAGTCAGGCTCTCTACCGTAGCCGAGAAAAGTAGCACACGAAGGATGGAGAAGGTGAGTAGAAGCAGGTGGATGTGGACGGGATGGGAGAACGACCACCTGAGGTTCACGGTCGATCGCGTACCTATAGAGAATCGGTCACTAATTGAACGGTGCCTGTAGGTACACATATGGGGTACGTACCTGTAAGCGGGTACGTACCTCTGGTTAGCAGGAGGTATCGAGAGGTAGATAGAATACTTAGATAAATAGGTATCGAGAGGTACCTACCTAGGTATGTATACAAGAAGGTTACGGGAGAGGTACATCGCTCAAATACTGATATGAGGTACCTACATACCCAATATACAAGTACCGAGATAGTGGGCCTCGCCCTGACCCAATCTGGGCGGGTTCCGCAGGTTGCGAAGTATATGAAAATGTACACTGACGGGCGCACAGACCGTAATGACATAAAGGCAAGGTACCTCCACAGCATCGCGGAGCATCCTCGGCTCTTGCGGCTCTATATTAGGTAAGCATTTCAACTGGCCCACCTCGGCTCCACCCGGCTAGGCTTGTCTTTACAACTCACCCAATCGACAATCGACGTACCTGCAGCTCCCAGGTGAGCATCACGACATCGATCCATCCCTCAGCACCTTCAGACTCGCCTACCAATCTTCCTTTCTTCGCCCGTTGGCCCTTCGAGCGCGTTATCAGTCGCCATCTACACGTCCAGCCCTGCAACCCCTACCACATCCGGGTGGCCGGACAGCTCTAGGCAGCGCAGCTCACTTTCACCAGATGGCATCAGACAAGCCGGATGTGGCCGAGCCCAAGATCAAGCGCCTGGCGCAAGCCGCCCACGCGCACAAGATCGTGCCCCACGTCCCTCGCATCTACAGATTCACGGCCACGGCTCTAGGCGCGTCCATGTGGTTCTTCGTAAGGACTTCTATATTCTACCCCTTCCCTACGCAGTGTGACAACCGTAATTCGCTGCTAACGTCTCCCTTGCACAGTTAATGTACCGTGCCAAGCAAGATGGTGATTAATCCCCAAATCGACCCGATATCTACCACGCTCACACAAAATACAGGCCCCGTTCTATTAGGCTGGAAGCACCCCTGGGAACACTAGATTGGGTAGGCGACAGATGGCGTCTAGGACAGGATGCGGCTCAAAAGACGCGATAGCCAGTCAGCGCATATTATTCTGGCCGAAAGCCTTTATAAATGTACGAACAAACGAACTCGACAACCAACCCCACTACTAGCGCCGACAAGTGAACATGGTCTACATCTCGCATACAACCTTGCTACTGCTTGACTGTTTCTGTCGACGACTTCGGCTTCTCAAATAGATAGTGGGCAACTCCCCAGGTGTCCCCACCCTCGTAGGCGAACAATTCCGAGCAAGCCATGTAGAAGACCTGCCATCGATTGTACCATACGCTCGCGTCCTGCTCGCCGTACGTCTCCACTAGATAAGGCCATATCTGCTTCTTGTTGGCTATCAAATTGGAAAGCCAATGCTACACGGGAGGCAAGCTCAGGTCAGCAAAGGTGAAGTGAGAGGGAGATGGGCTATCCGTGTCCCTGACGACCCTTTTCTGCTTAAATAGACAGTATACCGCAAGGAGGAACTATGCTCACCTCGCACGTCTTTGAGTAGTGGTTGCCGTTCACCCACCACTGCTGCTTTATGCGAAGGTCTCTCTGGAAGTATAACAGCAGATCTGCCGATGGCACTATTCATAGACAAAATCAGCAGATGATCTTCACCGGATGAATGACTGGCTAGCTGTGTATAAGACCAAAAAAAAACAGTGCCTTCCGATAGCTATACGTGGAATGAGTCCGGCAGGTTTGCCCAGCTAAAATAGAAAGACTCGTGGGGGACAAAGAAGATGGTGCTGGTCGCTAGGCCAATGGGTACGCATTAGATCCGAGGCCCATAAACACTTTCATGTTCCCTAGAGAAGCCTCATAAACCTAATCGGGCACACAAGCACAGTCTACAGTGGTCCACTGCAGCACGACGACGAACAGCGCAATACGCCCAGTCCCCGAACAGGCGGGGGACGAGGATAAGAGACGGGGTGTACTAACTAGTGCCACCGGTGAAGAAGTGCGTCGTCATCCATCCTTCTTCATAGTCATACGGGGTATCCTTGTGGGCGAAGATATGCACGAACAGCTCGCCGCCTGGCTTCAGGGCTCTCGCGATTTTCGCCATGAGCAGCTCGTAGTTTTTCATGTGCTCGAATAGCTAGGCGAAAGGGTCCCGGTTAGTAATGGGTACCTACAGCGCATTACGCGGTCGCAGGGAAAAAGGGGTGAAAGAGGAGAGCAAGAAGGGGGGGCGACGAGGTGGGGGGGGGGAGGGAGTGGGACACGGAAAAGAAGAAGAAAAACAGTCTGTTCCTCTAGCAGCTTCCTTACTTCGATAGAAACGACGCGGTCGAAGCTCTCGGGCTCGAACTCGTAGTCGACGACGTCGCCGGTGACGACGGTCACGTTCGCGAGGCCGGCGGCGGCGGCCTCGGCGTCGATGTGCGCCTTCTGGGAGCGCGAATTGGAGAAGGCCGTGATCTGGGAGCGGGGGAACGCGGCGGCGAGGTACAGGGCGGCGGAGCCCCAGCCGCAGCTGCGGTCGCGCGGTCAGCGGTCTTTCTTTCTTTCCTTCTTTCTTTCTTCCTGCGATGGCGGCCCCCCTTCCCCCCCCTTGGCGACTCACCCGAGATCCAGGATGCGCATGCCGTCGCGCAGGCCGGCGCGCTCGACGTACAGGCGCAGCATGGCGGCCTCGGCGCGCTCGAGGCTGTCCTCGCCCACGCCCGAGTACAGGCAGCACGAGTACTTCATGCGCGGCCCGAGCATGCCCCGCAGCGCGCCCGCCGCCACCTCGTAGTGCTGCGCGTTGGCGGCCGCGGTGTGCTCGGCGACGGGGCGCGCCCGCAGCCCCGCCACGAACGCCGCCTTGCGCTCGTACGCGGCCTCGCGCGGGCTCGCACCGGCCCTGGCCGAGGCCGCCGGCGCGATCTCCGCCAGCCGCTGCGCTAGCTGCCGCCGGATCCCTACCCGGATCACCGCGTGCGGCAGGTACCCCCCGTCCAGGAGCCAGTCTGCGGGTTCGGCGTTGCGGGGTGAGCGAAGAGAGCTGGAGCCGACGCTGGGGGGAGCGAGAAGGGTGGGAGGTGGTGTGGAGGAGGGGAGGCGGCGGGGAGGGGAGCGGGGAGACGATTGTGGGATAAGTCGTCGTGCTCTGGATCTACTTACCGATGTTCATGGCTACCGAAGTCTGCTTTTCGAACTACCTATCCGGAGTCGAAGGCAACAACGCGGATCTGTTCTACGGTATACTACACGTATTCCCCCTAGCAGCGGCAACACGAGAGGCTTCTCTGTCAGTTAACCTCGTCTCGTAATGGCGTAGCAAGCCTCTGATGTGCCGCAGCACATAGAGCATTTATTTCTCAGATTCGTGGAGTCGGAACTTGTGGAGGCGGCAGATCGGAGAGTGGGATGAATGGAAACTTGCAATAGGTACGTAGGAAATACAGAGGCTTCACCGCGTCTTGTTGGTATGCAAGATCAACATCCCGCTCCCTCCCTTCGGCATGTGAAACAAAGCCGGGATGTACCTACTCATACACATCGGATAAAAGCCGGTCCAACCTCAGGGCGTGCCGGTTCTCGATGCAGCCTCATCCACGGTTTATGGCTGTTCTCCGATAGGACATTAATTAATTGGCTTGGGTTGCGGCCGAGAGAGAAGACGTCTGCCTCTATGCACGTTTCACCCTGACATCGACCCGAAAAATATATCCACATTGACCTGATATACGTACGGATATGACATGTCCAAGTACAACAATGCTTGAAGATAGCGCGTCTCTATAGGCCCCGGTGCGAACGATGGTCTGCGATACTCCAATATCTCCGTATCCTCTGGTTATTAGCAGCTAACTGGCTACGTGGTTCGGGGGATATCGATCAGTGTATGCCCAAATACTACCAGTCCACAATGGCTCGCCCCTCCTAGCATCATATTTGACAAGGTACACCCGAAATAACGTAACATAATGTTAGATCCCCGATGGCCGTGAGACAAGTGGGATGTATATACAGTGCTAGGCGATAAAAACTGGACAGCTCTAAGATGCCGTTGTACTTGAAAAAGCTCTAAAAGCATGCGCGATAGCATGAATTTTGAAGCACCACTACCGAGCGCGCACTGCTCACTCTGTATCGTACAATGACGCCCCGGCGAAGGCGGTCGCGCGTGCGACCAAGTCTACGGTATGCGCATAAGCTCGAGTACCGTAAATAGGAGTAGGCAGATTCGCTACTTCAGAGAGACGTACCAGGTTGACTCAGAATCGTGTATATATGGCTTTCGCCGCAGCCTTCCACGAGGTATTATAGCCTAACGCGACGGTTACTCGTTCAAATTTGACTCGATCGCACCTCAAGTTTTCCGCTTGCCCTTGTGGTCTCGTCGCCGCTCCCAGATCTGCAGATACGACTCGCCGAGGTATAGCAGCTCCTTCTGGGTCCCCTCGACGAAAAGGTCCTGGCACACCACCCACTCGTCTCTCCCTTTATCCTTGAGCTGGACCTTCCACGTCTTCCGCTCCTCTCCCGAATCGGCTACGTCCTCCTTCGCCCTGACCGCCTCGTGGGTGACGTTCGCGACTAGGTCGTACCAGATCGGCTCCCCCGGGGGGTGGTCCGCCGGGCTCGGCTCTACGTAGGGCGATACGTCGAGTCCGACGCGCGCGTCGAAGGTGACGATTGTGGGATTGCGCTCTGACACGAACTTGTTTGTCGAGAAGCGCTTGATGTGGAACATGAGGTACGGCGGCAAGGGGTGCATCAGTCGATACCGTTTCCTCTGCGCGAGGTGCTCTTGCGCCTTGACGCCGTCGTACTTGGTTAAGATAGTGGTCAGGGGGACTTGGGGGATGATGTTGCGCTCTAGTTCGTCTTGGAATAGGGGCGCCGCCGGTAGATCGAGCGTCAAGAGCAGAAAGCGATTGATGTCTGTCTTCACCTCCGCCGCCTCTTCGAATCGCAGGCGGTCGCCGGCATCTGCCTTGGCGGTGATTGCCTGCGACTCGACCTTCAGCTTCCCCTGGAATATCAGTTGTATTATGCTACTCCCCGGCTTGGTTTTGCTTCCACCCAGTCCGAGATGGAGGTTGTTGAGAAACCACGACAAGAATTCGACGGGGTCGGACTGCGTCGTCAAGGTGAATCTCTTGTTGGACTTCAACGAGATTTCCTGTAGCAGCTCGTGGGGTGACACGTGGCTCTTGAAAGCGCGAGGGTTCCAGATCTTGCGGAACAGGATGCCGCATCGCTTTACGAGCTCGGGACGCGACGAGAGGTCTTCCAGCAAAAAGTAGTTTCGCAGCGGCGTAACGTGGGATAAGGCTTGGACCACAACGTTTAGGTAGTCGTTCTCCTTGATGTTATTCATCCCAACGAAACCAGGGGTGTACTCTTTGCCGTCGAGTGTCCAGGCGGTGCGAGCTTTGCGGTCCAGGTCCATCACCTCCTGCCTCGTGTATGTCGGGTCGGAAACGTATTTTATATCGTCCAATGACTTGCTCTTCACCTCATAGCCTTCCGGCAACACGTAAACCTCTTGCTTCTCCATATTGATGAATACGTGATGCCCGACATCGAGCGAGTGGAAATAGGCGTGCGACTTGGGTCCGCGGCCTTGGAAATATTTGCCGCATACCAGACAGGCGTAGACGTTGATGTTGGACAGACTGATGGAGCATAGCTTCTCGAAGTCGAAGTCGAGTACGCTGCGATGGATGGTGTCGAGATAGAGGTCGTCGTATCCTTGCGTGGGAGCGGCTTGCCGTATCGGCGCCCTTAGGGGCTCATCGTCGAACTCGTCTTCTTCGCGCTCGACGGGAGTAGCGTCGTCGATCCTCTCGTCCGTCGCGGAGGCGCCGCTGCCGCTCAGGTCGGGTCCGTCATCGAGCCGCGATCGTTTTGACGCGGGCGAATCAACGTTATAGAGCTCTTCTAGAGCTTCGGAAGCCTGTCTTTTCGACATATCGGTACGGAGAGAGTGCCCGGTGCATAAAGCATCGGCTAGGCTTTGTCGGAGGGTACCTGCTATAGAATTTGGAGGAGGGGGGGAGGCAAATGTCAAACTAGGCCGCGCAAAGCACGAGGCTGACAATGTGCGAGGTTGAAGCTATCAAATTAAGTCGAATAGAAAGCTCCCTCCAAAAATGGAATTTCTACTGTCGCCTGGCTGGGCAACCTGAGGTCCCGCTTAGGGTGCCTTGTACAGTCATACTACGAGCATGTACCTGCTAACTCCACGTAATACACCTACTCTATATAAGTACCTACAGTATTGAGTGTACTTGAAGGTGGAGACATTAGTACATCCATAGTTATGCACCCCACCACATAAGATCATAACAGTTATGCATCCAGAAATATCAACGGATAAAAGGAGGTACCTAACCTATCCATTTACTACTACTAATATATGAGTTTGACTCGTGAGATGAGGCTCTTTCACACAACAAGGTGTAGGTACCTACCTACGTACCCCCTACATGGATTTACGGGCATTTATCTCGGCCTTTTGAAAAATACTTACGTAGCGTACACTCCTATACAAGTTGGGATGGAGAGGGGAGTGAGCGGTGTCCATAGTGCGCTAGGTAAGAGGCAGCACAAGCAAGTCCATGGGGGGGAACAACTCTTCACATTGTATGTCTAGAGATCGCCTTGCTCTTCTCTATCCGGGGTATCAAAATTTCTCTAATCGTTTCTTCGTATCCATTTACGCCCGTGAACTATTTCAAAGTGGGCCTTAACTTGGAGCTCCTCCCACCAATCGACGACGTGTTCTGCCCGAACGGTGTACGGGGCGTGCTGTTCCCGTTTACCCCGATCTGGCTCCAGAGACGCTGAGCTGCCGGTGTAAGGCCACCCCTCACGCGGTGGCTGCTTGGAAACTTGGGCACGGGAGTTTTGTCGACTTTCCCCGTCATGCCGATCTGGGAAGACGTCCTCCTGGATTGCGAGATTCGGTCGACCATGCGATGGTGCAGGGCTTCTCTCTTGCTTTGCTCCTTGATGGTGAAGGGGTTAGGGGTGGCTTCGCCAGGGCCGAGGTCAATTTTGGGTGCCGGTGGTTGCGTATCCTCTGGTTCCTCGTCGTCCACAAATGCGTACCCGTTCACCCTCGGTGTTTCGCTGCCGGCTGTGGTCGAGTCCAAGTCGCCTCCGCCCCGCTTTCCCGCGATAGCGTCTCGGACGGCAGACAGCGATGGCGATGGCGCTACGGCTGCGTCGTGGTCTAACTGCGGTCCTGGTAGCCTTGTATTCTCGTAGCTGACGGCCTTGGGGCCAGCTCGAGACTCGGCTTCCGCCTGTTGTATCACCGTCTCCATCGCATCTTCGATGCCCTCGGGAACGTACATGAGCGAATTTTTCGGCATCGACTTCCACGTCTCCGCCTGGGCAGGTTTCTCCTCGCGATCCCTAATGGCTAGCCGGTCTCTCTCGAATCCATCATCCGTTAAACTTCGCGTCTCCATCAACTTGGCCTCGATCTGCTTCTGTTTCAGCTGCATCTTTGACGGCAGCTTGTTCCCTGCCCATAACCATGCGTACTTTCGGGCCCTCTTCGAATTTTGTTTGTCCAGAAGTTTGTAGAAGCTCTCGTTATCCTCGCTCGTATATCTGGATTGGAATGCGCCCAGGCTCATATTCGTATCGACCTCTTCTCTCTCCTCTGGGGATGGCGCGGGGGCCTCTGTCGACACCGAGATCGGCGTATCGCCGGTGAAGCCTCTGGGCGTTTGTGCGCTTGGGGTCAGTGATGTTCCCCGCCCGGTTTTCCGGCGCGCTGGAGTCATGACCTGTCGAAGGCGCCGGCTCGCACTCGAAATCCACGCAGCATCCTTGGACTCTATGGCGTCGAGGTATTCTTGCTGTGTCTCGCTCTCCAAGAGCCCCGGGAAGAAGTCGCGGGCGATAATGCGAGATAGGGCGTCGGTGTAGCTGTCTTCGTCCAGGATTTTCTTCGGCCGCTTAATCCGTTTCGGGGGTGGTGGCGGCGGCGGCATCAATTCCACGTCATCTCGCTTGCGAACAAGTGCCTTTGAGGCGCTCGCATTGTTATCCATGGTCGTATAGTATCTCTGAGCGTATCGTAGAAGGGAAATTGCTGGTTGTGAAAATGGCTCGGACGGAGGACGGTGGAGGATGGTGATGATGACGCGCTCGTGTGGCAGACGACAGATGATGTTCTGATTAGGTCCAGCCTGCCGGGTAGGTCATAGCGCTAGTCCTATTATAGGCTCAGCACCCATTATCGCTGAGGTACGTACCTCTTCGTAGACACCCCAGACTCAAGGCATCCACCCAGCCAGCCCTACACGCGCCTAGGAGGTACGTAGCTACGTAACCAAAAACCTCCTCTCCTCTCATCACACTAGACTCCGTATTGTCCACCACCACATCAATATTCCTCTTGTACGGCAGTGCTACATCCCGTGAATTGCCGCTAACGGATGCTCTCAACCGACGGCTAGGTCCGCTATCCGGAACCATATCTGGGTATACGGTGCGCGCTCACGCCTGGATACAATAGCTTCACCTCGACTAAGCCTAGCATTGGCTTTAGTACCGGCGTGCCAACCAGCATAGTGCCGTGCGGCCCCTTCACGCGGCCCCCAACGGATAGCTGAGCCAGATACTAGATTGTCCTGTTAGTCCTGTATCCACAACCAGGACGGCGAATAGATACGTATGGCCATGTCTGCTCGGCCGACGCCACGTATATATGTGATGCTTTCTGTCTTGATTCACTTCATTCTTCAGTACGACATGGATGTTATTGATATTGGGCCGACAATAAGAGGTCCCGGTGGCACGACACCTCTCAGGTCTCGAGGCAACGCATTACGATCTGCTCTCTTAGTTCCTTACAAGCAGTTGGTAGGCGCGAGTATACAACGCCGTCCCAAGGCGGCGAGCCGGCAACCACAAGGTATCATCGTAGCAGACATCTAACCTCGAGGATGAAGGTGTGGCTTGGGCCTTATCGTTACGTAGGTATAGTTACGCGGCTTCGCGCTACCAATACTTGTACCCGGGCAGAACGCCACGGCCGGATTCCCTTCACGATGAGCGCGCCGCCCCTCGTGATTTCCACTATGCCGCTTGGTTTGGCTGTTACAACCGGGACTCTCCGCCTTGGGTTATGAAGAGAGGAGGGTTCTATCTAACTCTCTCTAAAGCTACATATTCGGCACCAGCCTGATCCCATTAACCATGTCCATCCTCCATACTCCAACATACTAAGTTGCCGTTTTCAAAGGTCTTGTACAACCATTCGACAGTTTTGAGGCGATATAGTTGCGGGAGGTCGACGAGACCGCCTAGATGAGCGACATTAGTTGTCAGCGAAACGCGTTTATTCTTATCCGATGCCTCTCTTAGCGTTGGCGTTGGCATTATCGCTTGTTATGCCTTTATTGCACTCGGGGTTTACCTTCGGGTTGTTACTCGCGTTTACAACAGGGAGTTAGGTTCTTGGTGGTTTTTTCGGTCTAGGTAAGGGCTGGACGACTTTGAGGCGGAACGATACCTGCACGCTCGGGAGATATATTAGGAGTGATGGTAAGCCGCACATCTGCATCGAGAGTGACCCCTTCATAGCTCCTCTAGGCGAGGATCGGATTTTTTAAGTTGAATCACAGATGGGACACCAGAGGGTTTACGAATGTCACGTTAATTATTTCTGTCTTTCTTTAATCTCCCCGTTCATCTTGTATTTGGCACACAGCCCATATTAGGACACTCAGAACTCAGTCTCATCTTTCGAAGCGCCATTGTTCATAGAGTCATCGGTGATGCTACCTGGCGACCTTGATCAACAACGACCCGACCCCCTCTACACGGCCCCAACCCCGATGGGCCGAGCGTATATCCTCCAAGTCCCACACGCTCTTAATCGGGACAGCGATCTTCCCCGTCTTCAGCATATCGAGGAGCGTCTTAATGTTGCTCACATATGTCGTCGCGTCGCGCGAGAGAGCGAAGAACGCACTCCTCTCGCCGCGGGAGAATACGGGGCTCGAGCCGCGCACAAGCAGTTTCGCGATCGTGGCCGTCGGGTTCCTGAACTTGCTGCCACCGAGGGAGTTCATGTTGGTGCCGAACCCGACGAGGATGCCGTCGGGCGCGAGGATCGACCAGCTCTCGTCGAAGCTCTCGAAGCCTAGCGCGTCGAAGACGGCGTGAGCGCCGCCGGCGACGTCGCGCATGTGCGCGATCCAGGCCTTGTTGGTGTAGACGAAAGGGGAAGCGCCCTGGCGGCGGATCTCGGGGTGGTTACGCTCGCTCGCTGTGCCGTAGACCTCGGCGCCGCGCAGCTGGCACAGCTTCATGAGGGCGTAGCCGACCGCGCCGCTGAGACCGTGCACGAAGACGCGCTGGCCGCGCGACACCTGCCCCGTCTGCACTACCATGCTGTACGCCGAGTTCCAGTCGCAGACGAGCGCCGCCGCCTTCCGCCGGTCGACGCCGGCCGGCACCGGCACGCAGTAGCGCTCCGGCTGGTTGACGAGCGAGGCGTCGGCGTCGTACTTGGTCAGGACCACAACGACGCTACCCGGAGCGAGGGCGCCGCTGCAGCCAGGACCGACTGCCGTGATCGTGCCGACGAGGCAGCATCCCGGAGTGAGCGGCGGCCGCTTCACGAAGGGATAGATGCCCATCCGCATGTTCACATCGGTGCCGGAGAAGCCGGCGTACTCGGTGGCGATCTGGACGTGGCCCGGCGGCGGCGGCGGGCACACGTCGTCGATGACCTTAAGAACGTCGGGGCCGCCGAAGTCGGTGATGACGACTTTGCGGATGGCGGACATCTGTCTCGCTCGAGGGTTATGTGGTGTCGCTATGCATTCGTCGGGGGTGGTCCGTGACATTCTCTCTTAGGAGAGAAGGAACAAGAATAAGGAGGGGCGAGGATTTTGGGGCGAGATAGGCTTTTATTACAGTGACACCATCCAGTCGACCTGGTATGGGGTAACGGGAAAACGCTCATCTCGTCATGATAGTTGGGGGGACTCTCGAGACTTCCATCCGACTATGGTTCTGTGTGCGACGGGACGTGGTAGATACGGGCGACCGGGTCACCCGGAGGGTTGCAGAAAACTTCGATAATTACCGCGATGCTGTTACTACCCTATAGTTATCAGACATGTGTTAATTGTGGTTTGTTAGATGGTATACAATCTCTGCTTAAGCCACCCAGCTCGATCACCTACAGACATTGACGTAGGTATATAACATTAGAGTCGGCTAGACCACGACGCGGTACCGACTGTGATCCGTCGCACGTGGTTACGTGGGAGAGGCCAACCCAGCATCCCCATTGGAAGCTCGAATACGCCGTATGGAAGGGAGGGTCGGGGCCCGTACGTCGTAAGCAGGGCATGGTTCTCCCGCCGCCCAAACCGGAAACTGACCCGATCTCGCCCTCTGCCAGCTATACATGGGCGATGTGTAGGTTCTAGGTAAGACTACGCCCCCCGCTCGAGTTCCAGGAACGAGGCCCCGGATCTAGTCGACAACTCCCAAATCATGAATGTCAACCGCGGCTACGATCGCCTTAGATGCCCTTAGGCGAGACTACGACTACGAAATAGAGTGCCCCTGTAGCGGGGGTCCGCCCGGGACCGGGAGAAGGGGATAATAGGCCGTACCCTAAACAAACCTTGCTTACAAACACCGAGCTTACCTACCTTCACCAACAACCACACTACTCAAGGGAGGCGAAAAGCCAACCCTACAAATTACTTAGAGGCTTTGGCGTAACTCCGAGGCCACTGTCAGCTTCGAGGAAGCTGGTCGCAGTTCAGCCAGTGTTGTATCGACGCTTTCGTGAGTGCCCAGGCTTCCGGGAATGTTTTACGCTGGAAAGTTAAGCAAGCAGTCACACAAGTCACTGGAGAGAGAGCCGCTGGTTTTTTGTGGGCGTAAGTATGTGTATGTGCTGTGGGAAGAAGGTATGTACAACAGAAGTGGCTAATGTTACAAGTCTATCAGAGATTTTTGTGCCGGAACGAAGAGAAAAAAGGGTAGAGAAAAGCCCGTGGAAAAATATGTTGACCCCAAGTATATGCATCCATCCTGTCCATCCATCCCATCCGTCTCATCATCATCCCGTGTCCCCCCGTCGTTTCCAGAACTAAAGGAAAAATATGCGTCGTCATCCCCGTCCCAATGCTTCTCCCGTCGTCGTGGCCACATTTAGTATACAGCTACTCTCTGCGCCTCTCTCTCCCGAAGAGGAGGAGGGGCGAGCATGCGAAGAGCGAGAGAGCGAGGCGCTTAGGCGCGGAAAGAGCGGCCGGAGCGCTTGCGGAGAGCAGAGATGGTGAGATCGCCCTGGCCGGGAGCGCAGCGGGTGCCAGCAGCGAGGGGCATGTTGACGGACCACTGGCCGGCGGCGCACTGCTGGTAGCTGGAGCCGAGGCAGTTGAAGGTACCCTCGGGGCTGCAGGCGCCAGAGAGAGCAGAGCCAGAGCCACCGGTGACGGGAGCCGGGGCGGGAGCCGGAGCCGGAGCCGGAGCCGGGGCAGGGGCGGGAGCGGGGGTGTTCTCGGGGGTGGCGGGCTGGGTGATGAAGACACCACCGGCGGGGTCAGCGGGGGTAGCCGGGGTAGCCGGGGTAGCCGGGGCGGCCGGGGGCGCGGGGAGCGAGTCGGCGGAGCCGTCAGTGCAGCCGTTGCTGCCGCAGATCTGGATCGAACCGCTGAGGTTGTTCTCGATGGAGCTGCCGGGGTTCTCGAAGGCGTAGTCGACGCCCTCCCTGGTCCTGGGGGCGCTGCCGATGTTGAGGACGACCATGTCGGGGAGCTTATCGAAGTTGGCCTTGTCGCCGCCGGAGCCGGTGAGCTCGAGGGCGCCGCAGTTCATGTACATCTCGCGGTTGCCGATCTTGTTGAACCAGGTCCAGGCGATGGTGGCCTTGCCAGCGGGGATGTCGCTGGGGATGGTGAAGGGGTAGGTGAACGGGTCGTCAGCTTCGGCGCTGTCGCCCATGTTGCCGGGGACGCCCTTGGCGGGGCAGCCTCCCTGGATGGAGTGGATGACCTTCCAGACGCTGTCCTTGGTCGGGTTCTCGTCGTAAGTGATAGAAACTTGGCAAGAGCCACCTCCGTGCACAGCCTGGCCGATGAAGGCGAGGGTCTGCTGGGAGCCGAGCGGGTACGAGTTGACCTGGCCGCCGGAGGCGGTGTAGGTGCCGTCGAACTTGCAAGGGAAGTTGGAGCCGTTCTCCTCGAGCGGGCCGTTGGCGAAGCCAGCAGGGTTGAAGGGGACCGGGCTCTTCATCTTCATGTGGGCGTTGACCGAGGCGATGAGCCCAGCGGCGACGACAGTCTTTGCAGAGAACATGTTGATTGTTGTTGGTGTTGGTGATGGCGGTGGTGGTAAAAGTGAGATGTGTAAGTTCCAACCGGTGGATAATCTCGTGGGGATATCAGTATCTAACTGATATGAAATGATCGATGCGACTGTGAGACTGCTAGAGTCGTGAAGGCTACGCGGACCCCAAAGTCAGCGCCGAGTCCAGTGAATTATACCACGCACGAGTTGTCTCGCCGCATTGTTCCCGGAGGACAAGGCGCGAACCCGGCGAACCAAGCCGGTGTTTCTCGAACAAGCCCGTCCATTGTCCCCCGCGGACCCCTGAAGCCAGGAGATCCAAGCACGAGGCCAGACAAGCTCATTGTGAAACGCCGGGGAGGAGAACAATGGAGGACTAACCTGTTGTATGCTTTGTTCTGACTGGGGCGAACAGAGCAAGTGTTGGGATGCAGTGGGTTGAGTGAGCGAGATCGATCGAAATCTTTCTTCGGTTTCTGGAGAGCTGAGCTGGAAAGGAAGGTAATAACTCTAGGTTATTGAAAAAAATCGAAGAAAGTGGAAAAAAAAATCAAGGCGTTGCCTGAAGGAATGTGGTAATTGCAAAGATGTCGTCGAGACTGTTGCCGCTGGCTTGTTGGTGGTGAGGAAAGAAGAAGTGATCGATTCGAGGGACCGGAGAGACAGTCTTATAGTCACGAAGGATGGATGGGTGGAAGACGGGCGAGCGACTAGCCATGCACGATGATGGCGCGAAAGAATGAGGGCGTAGTCTAGCTCGAACCGCAGGATCAGGGAGAGGGGGGAGAATGATTGGATGCAGGAGGAATAGGATAGAACATGGGACGGAGCATGGGATGGAGCATGGGATGAGATGGTCCACGGGAGGGAGCATGGGTTGGCCCTCCGATGGCACGCATCTAAGGACTTACTACACAGGTGTACGGCGGTTCCGCTGGGCGCGCGTCCAACCCGCAGCAGATCGCCGACCCCATAGTGCCGGCTCTAGATAGGTAGAGCGCAGCCAGCCCAGCTCAGCCATGGGCCATGGATCGGGTGCTATCGACGAAGCACATCGTCGACGACGGGGAAGGGGGGGCTGGCAGGGGGTAGGGGGCAGGGGGGCAGGGTGTGGGAGGGCGCTGAAGAAGAAGAGAGAGACAGGGGAATGCAAACGGAGGGGTGATGGGCGGAGGCAACGATAGGCGGAGCGACGAGAATAGTCGCCGTTGGACTTGTTTCGTCTTGGCTCATGGCACGTTCGAAACATCGGCCTGGGAGGAAACGGGGGACGGGCCCTTTCGTTTACACCTCTTCTTCTTTGTTTCGCCGTTTGGCCCCCCGCAATCGCCACTCGCCTAACAGGCCCTCGCTTATTACCCCTAATGCTTGATGCATCAGGTACCTGCGCCCCCAACGCAGGAACGCGATGCATACTATTACCTATGTGTGTAAACGTGGGTGTCTACCAAGAAGCACCCTGCGAGAAAGTCGACACAGCTCGTCCGGGCCGCATACAAACGCGCCCGGTTTCTCCCTCCCCCGCAGGGGCCAACCGTGGCCGCGACAGGCGAGGGTTTACGTCGGTAGTGGCATGTCGATCGCGTGTTGGGTCCCCGTCGCAGAAAAACGAGGCACCGCAGGCAACTCCCCGACGCGGCGACGGGGCAGTCAGAGATAGAGAGGGAGAGAGAGTCGGGGTTGCGGCACAGCACTTTTTTACTTGGCCGTGTAGTTTCACGATTCCACGGCTTCTAGAGGCAGGCGGTACCTAAGTATAGCCCATACAGGAGCAAGACTCCAGTGGCAGCATCTAAAGTGGTAATACTGGGTGGAAGCCATCGATACGGGTCGGAAGGAAGCGAGAGGGGATACCGGGTGGTGAATAATTGTCGGGTGTATTTTTGGCCCCCCCCGGATTGCCTCGGAAAGGGGGCACTGAGTTGGAAACTAGGAGGATGGGAACCAGAGGTAGGTAGGTACCGCGCAGCACTGCGTAGCACTGCGTAGGTACCGCCTAGGGAGGTAATTAGGCACCCGTCGCATAAGGAGCTAGGTACCATAGCGGGAGGGGGGGGTCTATCGACAGTATGTCTGTAATACTGACACGGTATGGAAGTAGTCTTCAAATGAGGTCATAATGACGAGCTCTTTCATTCGGTATAAGATACTTACAGCAAAGGTCATGGTACGGATTTTATCATAGTTTAATATAAGCATTACGTTGTAGTCATTCTAATAAGGTAGGTATTCGTTACCTTCTCGATATCCCATCGATTCGGACATGCATTCTAGCTTGACATTATATAGGACAGCCATTCTATCCTTAGAAAGAGCTACTAGATTAATATGGCGTTCGTATTGTACCTATGTCGTATCCTGAGTTTAATTCGCTTTAGTGTCGCGATGGAAATACTTTCAGCTGTAGTGATCCTTTCTAGGGAGGGTGATAGTGCGTGACATAGTGTCGACAGACCCCCATCCCCCCGTATGGTAGGTACGTCAAGTAGAGTGCCTACAGGCACCGTAGGTAACCTAGGTAGGTACCTCCAGTTGGGTTGCTTGCATGCTAGTACCGGTGCCAGGACTGCTGCAAGTACCTACCTGGCGCGGTACCGCAGTAGGTCGGGTACTTAATTGGCGGCCAGCGGGCGGGGGCGGACCAGTCACAGGGCGCGCTGGCCAATGCCACTTGCCTGATCCGGACAGACCCGACCATCCCGCCAGGCCTCCGGGGTTGGTGTAGCCTGGGCGCAGCGGTGCTAGCCCGTGTTGGTCTGTCCCCTCCGCTCCGCTTCTGCCTTGGAAGCCGTGGCATCTCGTTTCTGGGTCTTAGTAGTAGGCTGACATACTTAGTAGGTATTACATGCACACACCCGATCCTCCTCGCGCTCCTCGCGCCGAATATTGGCCACCGGAAGACGTAGGGAGCAGAAGAAAAAGAATGTGCTGAGACTGGCCACCGCCTCCACGTAGCGCTAAGCGGGCTGACAGGAATGCGAAGAAAACCAACTACACATGTGCGAGCGAGGCGCGAAAGCCTACAGTGCAGTATTGCGGATATCATTACGCAATAGCGTTCCTCCGGAAAAGCAAGGAAATAAAATTGGCAAATTGACAGCTGTCGTCTCTGGTGCGCGGTAATACTACGTGGTATGCAACCACCTACTGTGCTCGCGCCTATGTAGGTATGTCGGCAGGTATGCAAGGTCCGTAGGCGGGTAGCGCACCAGGAGAATTCTCTCCGTGACGTGACAGCGCTGAGGGGAGAATTTTCAGCCTCTCAGGCGTCAGCTAGCCTGGTTCTTCTGGCGCCGAGGGGGGGCTATTTCTAGCCAGTCACAGCCCGAAGGCAGGGGATCGGCTGAGGCCGACCCAACTCCAACCACACTTCTCTCCCTGTCTTGGTTCTCTCCTTCTGCTCCCGCCTCCCCCTTTTTCCGATACGGGGTACCTACTCGTAGAGGTAGGCATGTCTGCACCACTACCACCACTACCACCACCTCGCCCGCCCAACCTCAACCTCAGCAGGCACCCAATACAAGTACTTGTCTTAGGCACACTACCGAGCCCGTGGGAGGGTAGGGACCTCCTATAGGCAGTGTCCCCGGAGCCCCCGTGGCTTTTGGATGGCAATACGGCCTGCCCCTGAGCCATCCCCCGCTGGTGAGAATGCTGAAACTACACTAGCGTCAGGGGTTATCTAGCACATCGCGGCCACGACTGGCCCAGAACGGCGCCAAGCAACCTCTTTGGACACTTGCCTGTGCTTTTTTTCTTTCTTTCTTCCCCGGTCCCTGGCCCGCGCTCACGTGATGTGAGATCGTCGCGATAGTAACCTGTGCTTGCTATCGGCAGGCTTATCGGCCACATGGTAGCAGAGATGCGAGTCAAATAAGCTTAACCGTGACAACCCCATACCTCTTAGACGAGCTACCTAGCTACCTCTTGGTAGCCCGATCACCCGGCCCAGAACAGGTAGCATCGAAACATTCCCCCCTATGACCCCTCTTTCGCTACTATACATGTTTGGCCACTATGCCGCTGGCTTTATTTCGTACGGGGGCTACAAGGGATAGCATCAGCAAATATTCGAGGGTCTGGAGGAGAGTTGCCGTCACACACACACACACACACACACACCTACGTACAAGACGACGACTTAGCGTGCACCCATACATAATCCGTACGCTACATCCGTTCAATCCCTCCAGGCATGCAGGCAGATCAAGTGTGACCTGGCGTCGTACCCGGTCACATAGACCTGTCCGCTGCGTCCATACATGTCCTGCCGTATGTAGGTGCCTAATCGCTGTGCCTCAGCGTACCGCATCGGTGCATGACTTATTGGCCTGAATTATTACCGCTGCTTGTCAAATGTCAACCAATGCTACGGTACCTAAGCCCAAGACAGGGTGGCTAGTGAGTGGCTCACCCGCCAAGTGGAGACACGTGCAGAGCCGTGGCGTGCCTGTTTACTGTTTAGGAAGCTAGCTTATCCCATCGACAAAAATATCCCCAACAACCCCCGGCGCGCAACGTGGTGCTCACAATAAGCCGAACCTACTTGGCACCTCGAGTCGAAGCCTCTTTGCTGACTGCGGACGCTCGCTAGCCAGCCGGCGACGGTGGAAGGAATTAGGCACCCTGACGGCATTCTTCGACGGGAGCCGCGCCAACACGTAACCGACACAGAGGATGAGCAACCTGAGGACCGTCCATCTGCATCGTCATGCGCCGGCCCGGGAGGGTTAGACGGCTGGTCGTCTACGGCAATAAACATGGCACAGACTGGCACAGGCCGCGCCGAAGGAGCCGATCACGAAACCAAATCGCACGGTTTCATAATCTATATTATACACAGAACGGTCTAGAGATGGCCTGTTGCCGGCGGTGGCTTAGAGAACGCTCAAACGGCAGATGTCGAACTCGACCGGCTTTTGAGCCTCCTCCATTGTTCCACGTTTATTGCCCTGCGATTGGCCTGGAACGGCCGTGACGCTTCCGCAGCTCGGCGAGCCTCAGAGATTGGCGACGAGCCGACTCGGCTTTTTCACATTACCTACGTCGCATGTGGCGTTCTATTTTTGATCCTATTCCAACGTACCCCGGTTTACGTCTATGCGCTGATCCACCGATACGGTAGCATAAGGCAAGGCCCTTGCCCACCTGCCCGATGGGTTTACCAAGATCCATCGTATTATACCCGCTTCCCTTGCGAAGGAATTAGCGTCCCTGGGTCTGCGAGATTGCTTTCCGTATTTCCAGCAACGAAGACGCCCCCAACTCGTTGTTCCAGAATACCTTCTGGCGGTGGGGCTCAAACTCCCGGCAGCAATCGCTGGTATCACCTGGCGGGAACCGGAGCGGGGCCAAGGCCCTCTTAGGAAAGTCATACCTATACGGCGATGCATGTTGGCAACGTTGCACCTATTCCGATCAAGGTACCTAAGCTATCTGATAGTCTTATGTCAACAAAACACCACGAAGACGCCGCCGCCATGACACGTTGCCGGACAGAAGAGCTTAGAGCGCGCATTTTCTCTCCCCGGTCAGCCATCCCATCCCTTCCTCGTCGTGTTGGAGACGAAAGCAAAGTAGGCAAGAGACAACCTCTGAGGGGTCGAGATTCGCGGGCTCACGAGCAGCAACTGCCGTCTTTCCCGCCATCGTCCACCTCTCAGGAGCCAAAGTGGTCGCTTTCCTTGAAGCCGTAGTCTTCTCGCGTCCAAGACTTCATCTTCTGCGTCCGGAACTCCTCGAAATCCCACTCGCGATTTTCCAAGTTCTCGGGGTGCAGGAATACATACACCTCGCACTCGACCTCCTCACCCTCGACGTTGCCGCGCCCCTTGTCGTCGCCGACTTCCGAGAGGAGGCGGACCTTGACCGCCCGGCGGTCGTATTCGCTGCCTTCGAATGTGTCGAGGTGGTAGATGTTGGCACCCGTCAAGCCCGTCACATACACTCCTCGAACCTCGTGGCCGTCCTGTGGGATGATCCCCGGATAGTCCGCATATTGAACCCGGCTGCAGAGCCCGGCGTTAGCTACGTATCGCTGGTCGTGAATTGGGGTTCGGCCGCGCCGCTATAGGCGACGACAGACGGGCAGACAAGACGTTTTATTCGGGGCATCGGCTTACTGTCGACAGAAACCATGCAGTATTGCCGGCTTGAAATCGTGGAGGCTCTTCAGCAACGACACGTCCTGCGTCGAGTGTCTATAGCAGACGGTGAAGAACACCTCGGGGGCCATCTAACGATTTGTTGGCAAATTGCTCAACCCGCTTTCCTATGTTCTCCGGTAGGAAGGGGGGGGCCGGGTTTCAGGGGGGCAAGGTGGGAGCTTACCAGCGTACCTAACAACGATTAGCAACGTCACGGCGCTTGGCAACAGTCTATCCGTGCACACACACCATAGAAGAAAGCCGCTCGGGTGCGGTCCGGTACGGCTTCTTGAGGGGAAGCATTTTCTCGAGGCTCGGCCATCTTGCGCTTTCTTGGCTGATGTGTTCCCAGCGCCACGTGGATTATGGTTGAGTTGTGACTAGTAGGCGCGGTAGGGCGGGGGTCTGGTTCAGATCTGGTCGGCGGGGACTGGGAATTTCTGGAGCGACTAATTTATACCGGGCGCCCGAGAAACCTTGTTCCCTTCCGTTCCCTTCCGTTCCCTCTTTTTCTCCTTTCTTCGGACGAAGCTCTCGCCGAGACCCAGGGCAGCAGCGCTTCCTCGCCGCCCAGGTGAGACGCCCCGTATATTGACCTGGTATGTTCGATATGTTCTACCTGTCGTTTCTTTATAGTAGGGGATGCGGAGCGCAAACACGAGCCAGACACGCAGGTCCCAGGTTGCCTACAGGTGCCTCATATACCTACCCCACCTAAGTACCTACCTAGGTATGTACTTAGGTACCTGGTTCGGTGCCTAACCTAAGCTGCTTGCTTATGTACCTACTGCCTAGGAGGTAGGTACACTCGGCGTCTTGTGCTTCTTATCGGCAGGGTCTCCCCATTCCACCGTTATTAACACCTGATGTCAGTGCCTAAAGCACCTACCTACCTCCTGGCGCAGGTTAGGTTAGGTGATGTGTACTATGATGTGTCAAGTCGTCCATTGAGCCAGGCAGATTGTGCGATAAGATGGTACTATGTAGATTGCGATAAGAGAATACCGCCTACGTATGGGGAAAACGCAAGCGGGGATGCCCACGTCATACCGGCCGGGGCTTTGGGACCTTCACTAGATCCAATCAAATCAAATCGTGTAAAGTCGTCGGTACCGGAAAATCAATAACGCCTAGCCTTGTATATGTACAATTCGGCAAGCGCAGCGCCCACCTCCAAATGGACCCAAGAAGAGCTCAAGTTCTAGAGCTCCTTACATGCAGCCTTTCCTAGTTCTTCCCATCACACCTATCGTCTTCTCTTCTTCCCCTGTACAATCTTGCGCAGAATCTCTTGTCTAATACCCATTTCTATCCTGTCATCCTTGCTGAATAACGCATCATCTATTCTTCATGTGCCGCCTCTCTCATTGCCCTCTCCCACACGGCACGTAGACGTCCCGCCGTCGCGAGCTGAAGAGCGCGTCTGGCCTACGATTATCCCACTTTCGCTCTCGCTCCCGCCCTCAATCCGCCACGAGCCTTCTCGAACTTTTGTTTTGCTCCGGCCGCGACAACAACTCTATGAGCGACACGTGGTAAACTTGGGTGACACTGCGCGCATGCGGGGTCCGTAGCCATGTCGTTCCCGGCGCTTGACGATGCCGTCAAGAAATTGACCACCCCAGAGATTGGTACGCATCTCTTGGCACCTACCTGCTTCCACTGAGGAAAACTAAACTGACATCTCCCTTCTCGTAGAGGCCAAGTATAAGCTCGATGCCGCTTCCTCGTTGAGAGATAGCCTTGAACCCTACACGATTGGGACGAACTATGCTGTCTTCCTGAAGCGGCTGATGCCCGTATTCGTCGCCATCCTCAGGGGGCCGTGTATATTCCAGAGCACATCTCCTGAGCAGGTAAAGGCGACAGCGGCCCCTTTGTGACGACCACTGCTAACAATCCTGCGTAGAAACTCCGGAATTGCATCCTCGAGATTCTCTATCGGCTCCCCACTCACCAGACCCAAACGTCCCCGGAGCCGTTTGAACCGTATGCCGAAGAGATAGTCGATCTTTTGATGAGTCTCGTTCGGAACGATAACGAGGACAACGCTACGCTATGCGTCAAGATAATTTCGGACGTCATGCGGCACCAGCCCAAGGTGCTCCATGGCAAGGTCCAGCCGTTCCTGGATTTAATCCAGGAGCTTTTCGAACAGATGGAGAAGGTCGTGCGCGAGCAGCTCGATAGTATCGCTGTCCCGTTCAACGCGACCGGTCCACCGACCACACCTGGAAGCACCCAGACGAATTTTCAGTCGCCGCGGCCCGGCTCGCCCGTGGCCTCCGTCACAGACCTAGGCCAAGATCCCCAGCAACAGAGCCGGCCTTTACTAAAGGGGATGCAATCCTTCAAAGTTCTTTCCGAGTGTCCGATCATCGTGGTATCCGTTTTCCAGACCTATCGAAACATTATTCAGCAGAATGTCAAGGCCTTTGTTCCTCTCATCAAGTCTGTGCTGTGCCTGCAGGCCAAGGCTCAGGAACAGGCGCATGTCGAGGCCAAGGCAAAGGGAGCTGTGTTTTCCGGCGTGAGCCAAAGTATTAAGAACCGTGCGGCTTTTGGGGAATTTATTACCGCCCAGGTCAAGACGATGAGCTTCCTGGCGTACTTGCTTCGGCAGTACTCTAGCCAGCTCGCCGACTTCTTGCCTACGCTACCAGACATCGTCGTGCGGCTCCTTCGAGATTGTCCTAGGGAGAAGTCTGCCGCCCGGAAGGAGTTGCTAGTTGCGATCCGCCACATCATTAACTTCAACTTTCGCAAGATCTTCCTCAGCAAGATTGACGAGCTTCTCGAAGAGAAGACGCTCATCGGCGATGGGCTGACGGTCTACGACACTTTGCGACCGCTGGCCTATAGTATGCTAGCCGACCTGATACACCACGTTCGCGACTCTCTATCCCCGGAGCAGATACGGAAGACGGTCGAGGTCTACACCAAGAATTTGCAAGACAACTTTCCCGGCACGAGTTTCCAGACGATGAGTGCGAAGCTGTTATTGAACATGGCCGAATGTATCGCGAAGATGCCTAATAAGGTCGATGCCCGACATTACCTGCTGATGATCCTCAATGCCATCGGCGATAAATTTGCGGCGATGAATCGACAATACCCGAACGCCGTGAAGCTTTCGAAGCTCTATGCGCTCCAGAGTGCAGAGCAGATTCCCGAAACGTATCTTGCGGACAAGGAGCATCATCCTCAGTGGGATGAGACGGATATCTTCACGGCGATGCCCATCAAGACATCGAACCCCCGTGACCGCGGCACCGATCCCGTCGCGGATAACAAGTTCCTGTTCAAGAATCTCATGAACGGCCTTAAAAACACCTTCTACCAGCTGAGAACTTGCAATGCCGCGCTTCAGATAGACCCTAAGAATGCGCCACAGCATTGGCAAGAGGTCTCGTACGGGTTTTCCGCCGAGGAGGTGAAGGTGATTATAAAGCTGTTCCGAGAAGGTGCTTACGTCTTTCGCTACTATGAGATCGAAAAACCTGCTGCCGAGTCTCAGTATGCCTCGCCTGTGGAACACATGGCGAATTTCTACATGGTGTCGAGTAGCAAGGAGGAAAAGGATCTCCTCGAAACCTTCGCTACTGTCTTTCACTGCATAGACCCGGCCACATTCCATGAAGTATTTCAACAGGAGATTCCTCGCCTCTACGAGATGATATTCGAACACACGGCCCTCCTGCACATCCCCCAATTCTTCTTAGCGAGCGAGGCCACCTCCCCAAGCTTCTGCGGTATGCTTCTGAAATTTCTGATGGAGCGAATTGACGATGTGGGCTCGGCCGACGTGAAACGGTCGTCGATCCTGCTGCGGCTGTTCAAATTGGCATTCATGGCGGTTACCTTATTCGCGAATCAAAACGAGCAAGTTTTGCTCCCGCACGTCGTAGACATTGTCACCAAGTCGATCGATCTCTCCACCAAGGCCGAGGAGCCCATGAACTACTTCCTCCTGCTGCGATCGTTATTCAGGAGCATCGGCGGCGGGAAGTTCGAGCACCTATACAAGCAGATATTACCTCTCTTAGAGATGTTGCTCGACGTTCTAAACACCTTACTCATGGCCGCACGCAAGCCGGCAGAGCGGGATTTATATGTGGAACTGTGCCTCACGGTGCCGGCACGTCTAAGCAATCTGCTACCCCATTTGAGCTTCCTCATGCGACCCCTGGTCGTGGCACTCAGAGCCGGTACCGATCTTGTCGGACAAGGACTGAGGACGTTGGAACTGTGCGTGGATAATCTCACCGCCGACTACTTGGACCCTATCATGGCCCCAGTAATAGAGGATCTGATGAACGCGCTGTTCGAGCACTTGAAACCGCATCCCTACAGTCACTTCCACGCCCACACTACCATGCGCATATTGGGGAAGCTGGGTGGCAGAAATCGCAAGTCGATGACAGAGCCTATACCTGTAGACTACCAAAAATATGCCGATGACCCTTCGAGCTTCGACCTACGCCTCATAGGGTCCAAGAGGGACCGCGCATTCCCGGCCGAACTTGGCATCGACTTCGCCATCCGGAAGTTGACCGAAGTTCCGAAGCCGTCAAAGGCGAATACGGCGAGGCAATTCGACGGCTATTACAAGAAGCAAGCGCTACAGCTCATCAAATCTCAGCTGAAACTGCGGGTCGGCATCGATCATTTACCGGAAGACCTCCCTCGACTGGTCCGCCTTCAAGCACAGGATTTCCTTGCCCGAAAACCAGCGGCGGACTTTGCGAATTTCTTCGTGTCGGACCGCGACCGGTCTGTTGCCAAGAAAAACGAGCAGGACGATGTCATGAAACGCCTCATCAAAGCCGTCATGTTCGCTGAGTCAATCCCTGAATTCCGAGAGGAAGTTGACGTGTTCCTTATGAACCTGTGCCGACACTTCACGATCATCGAGGTTGGGCGTGGCCTGGTAGATATCAAGAAGGAAAGCAGCGCCTTCCATGTGCAATCGTGGGAGGGTCCCATGTATATCGATACCCGGGTTTTGGCAGATGCTATCGTTGAATCACTCGCGTCCGATCTACCCGACGTACGGGACGCCGCCTTTCGAGCAATCCGAGCCGTCTATGACTCCACGGCCACTATATTTGGATCCGAAAGCTATGTCGGCCGGTTAGGATTCTTCAACCATCTTAGCAAGACGTTCTGCCACGCTTGCCACGAAGAAGAATGGTACACGAAAACTGGCGGCAGTCTCGGCATCAGATATCTCCTTGTCGAGATCGACCTCGGCGATGTTTGGATCGCATCGAAACAATTAGATTTCATGCGTTCCCTGATGTACGTAATTAAGGACATGCCTCAGGACCTACCCGAGAAAACGAGATGTTCGGCCCAGACCACGCTTGAGTCCCTCCTTAGACGGATCACCGCCAATGTGAGAAAGGAAGATGTGTTGCCCACCCCCCCACAACCTGGCCAACTTCACGCCAAGCCCTCGCGCCTCGCGCAGATCTTCGGCTTCTTCAATGACGAGCTCTCTCACATGAACAAACACGTTCGGGAGACAGCGAGGCGGTCGCTCGAAATAATCGCCACCGCAACCAAGACTGAGATTGGGGAACTTCTCCAGCCGCACAAGGACCGCTTGCTGCAGACCATCTATGCCAAGCCCCTTCGAGCACTCCCCTTCTCGACACAGATAGGCTACATCGATGCTATCGGCTACTATATGAGCTTGAAGCCCGACTTTGTCACCTTTGACGATAACCTGAATCGGTTGCTGCTGGAGTCGCTAGCCTTGGCTGACGCGACGGACGAATCGCTAGCCGGGAAACATGCGGAATTTCGAACGCACGAATCTATCGTCAACCTACGAGTTGCTTGCATAAAGATCTTGAGCAAGGCGATGAGCTTCGAAGATTTCCAGAAGGGCCAGAACAACCCAGCGCGGACAAGGATTGTGTCTGTGTTTTTCAAGTGCCTATACTCCGAATCCAAGCCTACCATCGAAGCGGCCAATGAGTCTCTGAAGGCAGTTCTCTCCCAGACTAACAAGTTGCCCAAGGATCTGCTGCAGCAAGGACTTAGGCCCGTCTTAGCTAACCTCCAAGACCCTAAACGCTTGAGCACGCATGGACTAGATAACCTGGCTCGTCTTCTACGGCTTCTCACCACCTATTTCAAAGTAGAGATTGGTGCAAGACTGTTAGAACACATCAAGGTGCTTGCTGATCCGACCTTCCTCCAGCAGGTGTCTTTCACCTTCTTCGAGCAGAACAATCAAATGAAGGTGATTGCGTCGGTTCTTAACATATTTCATTTGCTTCCTCCGCTCGCGGAGCAGTTCAAGGAGCGACTCATCGATATCTGCTTGGAACTTGAGGAGAAGCTACGGCGCACTCATCACAGTCCGTTCCGGGCACCCATATACAAATACTTGAACAGATACCCTACCGAGGTTTGGAACTTCTTGCTCGGCAAACTAGAAGACTTAAAATACGGTCGGTTCTTAGCTCAAGTCCTCCTACATCCGGACAACAAGCCCCTGAGAGATCATGCCGCCGCCAACGTCGATGGGTTAATCTCCTTGTGCACTCAAGTCGCCAGCGTCCCAAAGGAGACAAGGTTCGTGGCAGTTGTCAACACCATCAATGTCCTGGACTCCTTAAGCCAACATGCCAGCACCCAAGGGTGGATGGAACGCAAGGACACGATCTCGTGGCTGCGACAAGTCGGGAGGGAGCTCGAGCGTAGCCTGCGGACCAACAGTCTGCCCGCTCATCTTCGACTCCCCGCCGATCAGGCGGCTGAGCAGCTAATGGGCATCTTCACTAAGGCGCTATCCCTACATCCCAGAGAATTGGATGGACTCTTCGGTCTCGTGGATGCTGTTACCTCGGAAGAGTTGCGCCCCACACCGGCTCTGTTCAACTTCCTTTATACCCACGTCATCTGCAGCGACTCTATTGACTACTGGAAGTCGATCGTGCTCCGCTGCCTCAACATATACGCAGGGAAGAGTTCCAGCCAGAAGACCAAGTGCTTCCTGCTTCGAAACATAGTTAACCCGATTGTTGCCATGGATGTCATGCGGCACTGGAATCAACCGAGGGCCCAAAGACTGATGGACCGAGCGGTCATCGAGTCTATCAACGTAAAGATATGGAAGGTCAACCTCGGAGACCCCCAAGAGGATCTGGCACAGCCAGGCATTGACCACACGAGGATGGAGGTTCTCCAGCTCTCTGCAATGCTGGTCAAGTATCACCATTCCATACTGCAAGATGCAAGGAAGGATATCATCAAGTTCGGCTGGACCTACATCCGACTAGACGATGTGATCAACAAACACGCCGCGTATGTTGTGATCGGCTATTTTATTGCGCACTATGAAACTCCTCCCAAGATAGTTACGCAGGTATACTACTCGCTGCTACGGACGAACCAGAATGAAGGGCGAGCTCTGGTCACGCAAGCCCTCGAACTGATGGCCCCCGTTCTACCCAAGCGGTGCAACGCAGTACCTGGAGATCGGAGCGCAGTCTGGGCCATGGCCCCGCGCCGCATCTTGGCCGAAGAGGGGCAGAACGTTCAGCAGATGACGAGCATCTTCCACTTCTTGGTCAGGCATCCGGACTTATTCTACGAATCTAGGGACAAGTTCGCATTGTTAATCATTACGTCGCTCCGAAAGGCGTCTCCTTTCGTGTCGTCCTCCACCGAAAGCAAGAGATTGGCACTGAATATGATGTGGCTAATCTGGAGGTGGGAGGAGAGGAGAGTCGATGGCAAGACGAGTGACTCCCGAAGAGCTATGTCGGAATCGCCAAATTCTCGGAAGCGAAAGCTGGACAGTGACCCGCTTACCTCGTCGCCTCCGGCAACTCGACAAATCGCCCAACTTGATAGAGCGGAATTCCAAATCCCAGCCGTTTACCGGCACAAGATGGTCAAGTATTTAATCGAGTTTATCGCCCAGCTTAACGAGAGGTATCCGCTACCTTCGGCCAAACCGAGAGATGCCGCGTCGACGTCGGGGCCAGCTCTACCCTCGCAATCCACCGAGTTAATCAAGAAGGCCATGTCACTACTTTACAACCTGCTACAGCCACGATACTGGGGCGACCTCGACGTTGACCTGTTCCCAAGTATCACCGAGGTTGTCTTGGCTAACGAGAAGACCACCAAAACCCTTGCTGCCGACCCATCAGATAAGGAAAACTATGACGAGAAATTCATCACCAACATAATCAATACCCTGCAGGTGGTGCGGATCATCCTAAATTTCAAGCCCGACGAATGGATCTTGAAGAATATGGCCCCCATCCAGAAAGTCATCGAGAAATGTCTCAAGTCCGAAAATCCGGAACTGCAAGATTGCCTCCATCAAATTGACAAGAAGTACGACGATGGGCGCGACGTCAAGGCAATAGTCCAACGGATCCTTGCTGCCGTACCGGAAGATGTGCCGATGGAGGACGCGGACGCTGAGGGCGAGCCCGAGGCCCCTGTCTCCGAGATCGTCACTTTCCTATCCACCGTCGCGACGGAGGCCCTTGCAGCCTCGTATCACGTATCCGGGGTCAATATATTTTGGTCCCTAGGCCAGCGGAAGCCCTCCGTTATCGATAATCATATCCCGTCCTTGATGAAGGCACTGCAGTCGAAATTGGCCAAGGAGCATGTCCAGCACTACACGAGCCTAGCCACACATCAGCAGACGGGTGTCGGTGTGGCTCGACCTCAAGACCCGAACGCACAGAACGGGGAGATGTCGCCGTATGATCTCAACATTCAGACAGACTTGATGATCAAAGCCATCGAGGTGACAGCAATGCGCATGGAAAACCTTGGCGACCATCGTAGACCATTCTTGAGCGTCTTGGCTACTCTAGTCGAGAAGTCACAACATATTCCCCTCTGCGAGAAAATTCTGGATATGGTAGAAGGCTGGGTCTTTCGATCTGAAGGGACATGGCCGACGCTTAAGGAGAAAACAGCCGTGTTACATAAAATGCTTTCTTTCGAGCACCGGAATGACCCGACAATGCTAGGTAAATTCCTCGAGCTGGTGATCCGTATCTACGAAGACCCGAAGATCACTCGAACCGAGCTTACCGTCCGCATGGAGCACGCCTTTCTGATCGGGACCCGGGCACAGGATGTCGAGATGCGCAATAGGTTCCTTGCTATATTCGACAAGAGCTTGTCGAAGACGGCCACGGCGCGCCTGTCGTATGTTATCTGTTCTCAGAACTGGGATACTCTCGCCGAATCCTTCTGGCTAGCTCAGGCGACTCAGCTCCTCCTCGGTGCTGTGGAGATGAACACCAGCATCCAGTTGCACCAGGACGACTTCCGGACACTTCCTGCATCTACGGTTTTTGGCACATACTCGAGGGATACGAGAGAGCCTTCCACGATGATTGACGATAAGTACGAGACGTTCATGTCCAGCCACCGGCGTTTCGTTGCCGAATTGGGAGACGTCAAGGTCCGAGATGTCGTGGAGCCGCTCACCCAACTCCAGCATGTTGACAGTAACCTTTCTCACAGCCTCTGGATCGCTCTATTCCCCATGTTCTGGGCTGCTACTGCCAAGGAGGAAAAGAGTGACCTCGAAAAGGGCCTCGTCGTGCTCCTTTCTAAAGACTTTCACTCACGCCAGATTGATAAGCGGCCCAATGTAGTGCAGACATTATTAGCAGGCGCCGCCAAGGCGTGGCCCGAGTGCAAGATCCCTCCACACATTCTCAAGTTCGGGGCCAGGACTTATGACGCCTGGTATACTGCTTTGGTCCAGCTCGAGAATGCCGCCATCAAGCCCGATATCGACTCGGCCAATGTCCGCGAGAGCAACCTGGATGCGCTGGTTGAGCTATATGCGAGCCTGAAGGAAGACGATCTCTTCTATGGAACGTGGCGCCGGCGGTGTCAGTTCGTGGAAACAAATGCGGCTCTGTCGTACGAACAGAATGGCATGTGGGACAAGGCGCAGAAGATGTATGAGGCTGCCCAAATCAAGGCTCGAACCGGCGTCATCCCGTTTTCCCAGGGCGAGTACATGCTTTGGGAAGATCACTGGGTTCTTTGCGGACAGAAACTACAGCAATGGGAGATTTTGCAAGATTTTGCAAAGCACGAAAACCTACAGGATCTTCTACTCGAATGCGCATGGCGAAGTATCGAGATGTGGCAAACGGAAGAACAGCGAGACGGCCTAGACATGCTTATCAAGGGTGTTATGGACGCCCCGACAGCTCGTCGGGCATTCTTCCAGAGCTTCATGTCCCTCTTGAAATTCCACAGCAAACAAGAGACCGTCCAGGACTTCTCTCGCGTCTGCGACGAAGCCATACAGCTATCCATCAGGAAGTGGCACCAGTTACCACAACGCCTAACCGCTGCCCACGTCCCCCTCCTCCACAACTTCCAACAACTCGTCGAACTCCACGATGCTAGCGTCATCTGCCAAAGTCTGGCCAATACCAATTCGGGAAATCTGGACGCGAAATCTGGAGAGCTCAAGCTGCTTCTCGCATCATGGCGGGACCGTCTGCCGAACATATGGGACGATATTACTGACTGGCAGGATCTAGTCACCTGGAGGCAGCACATATTCGGCCTGATCAACAATACCTACCTCCAGCTCCTGCCGCAGCAGGGACAGGGCGCCAACGGTGCTTCGTTTGCCTATCGAGGGTATCACGAGACGGCATGGATAATTAACCGCTTCGCCCACGTTGCTCGGAAGCATAACTTACCCGACGTGTGCATCAATCAGCTGAGCCGCATCTACACCCTCCCCAATATCGAGATACAGGAGGCGTTTTTGAAGCTGAGGGAGCAAGCCCGGTCTCACTATGAGAACCCCGACGAGCTCACAAGCGGGCTGGATGTCATCAACAACACTAACCTCAATTACTTTAACAACCAGCAGAAGGCAGAGTTCTTTACTCTCAAGGGCATGTTCTTGGAGAGACTCAAGCAGAAGGAGGATGCGGACGCCGCTTACGGTACCGCCCTCTACTATGACATCGGGAAGGCCAAGGCATGGGCCGAATGGGGGTACTTCAACGACCGCAAATTTAAAGAGGACCCTTCGGATCTGAACTCTGCCAGACAAGCGTTAACTTCGTATCTGCAAGCCATCGGCAGTTACAAGAGTGGGAAGGCTCGGAAGCTCATCGCACGTATCCTCTGGCTCCTTAGTTTGGATGACACGAATGGAACGATCGCAGCTGGTTTCGACGATTACAAAGGAGAAACTCCCGTCTGGTACTGGATCACCTTCATACCGCAGCTATTGACCGGCATGGCTCATAAAGAGGCCCCGAAGGTTCACGCGATCCTCCTCAAGATAGCAAAGGCACATCCTCAATCTTTGTATTTCCAACTGAGGACAAACCGCGAAGATATGCTTGCGATCAAGAAGAACCAGGAAGCCAAGGAGAAGGCGCGACAACGAGCACAATCGGCAGCCTCAAACAACAAGCCGAACAGCTCGCCGTCGCAAAACAAGCAAGAAGGTGCACAGGCAAAGCCGGAACTATCTTCGAGGCCGCAGACCTCGAACGGAGAGAGCAGTAGTCAGGCCAAGGCAGAATCCTCAGAGACGAACGGGGTCCCTAGCGTCCCACAGGCCGGCAGCGGCGCCGCAGCGGCGCCTAGCGGAGAACAAGCAGTCGGCAAAGAAGCTAGCTCATCGGCTGCCGGACAGAAGCGACCGCCCTGGGAGCTCACCGAAGAGATCATGTCTGTTCTCAAGACAGCCTTCCCCCTCCTCGCGTTCTCCATGGAGACGATGGTGGACCAGATCCAAAAGTCGTTCAAATGCCCACCGGACGAGGATGCATATCGGTTGATTGTCGCGCTGCTCAACGACGGTCTAGCCTACGTGAGTCGAATGCCAGCCTCGTATGCCAAGGACGTAAAGCTGCCCTCGGCGACGGAGACCAATATCACTCGGTTCGCCGAGACTATCCTCCCAGCCCACATCAAAAAAGCGTTCGAGGCAGATTTCGTGCAGGTGAAGCCGACAATGTACGAATATATCCACAAACTACGGAAGTGGCGCGACAAGTTTGAGGAAAAGCTTGACCGCAGATGCCCGCGGGCTAATCTGGAGTCGTATTCGCGTCACTTGAGCGAGTTCCGGTACATGAAGTTTGACGATGTTGAGGTGCCCGGTCAGTACCTGCAGCACAAGGATAAGAACCAGGACTTCATCCGGATAGATCGTTTCCTCCCCAACGTAGACCTCATCAGGGGTATCGGTGCTTCCCACCGGCGCCTCAAAATCCGGGGCCACGACGGCAGCGTCCACTCCTTCGCCATCCAGCATCCCGCGGCGCGCCATTGCCGACGAGAAGAAAGAATCCTGCAGCTCTTCCGACACCTGAACCAGACCCTGGCTAAGAAAAAGGAGAGTCGACGTCGCGACCTGCAGTTCACCGTGCCTCTGATCGTGCCCCTTGCGCCGCACATAAGAATCGTCCAAGAAGATACGTCATACATCACGCTGCAGGGCATATACGAGGATCACTGTCGACGGAACGGAATGGCCAAGGACGAACCCGTCATACTTACGATGGAAAAGCTGAGAGGGCTCGTTGAGCCGAAAGGAACTGTAAGTGCTATATTGGTCTCCGAGCGGATCACCGGTGACAAATTGCTAACAGCACGATTTAGAAGCAACCCGAACAGGCGGCCGCAGCTCGTCTCGAAGTGTTCGCAGCCATCCAGGAGAAATGGGTGCCTCATACTGTGGTGTTGCAATACTTCCAGAACATCTTCCCCGAATACTCGGAGTTCTGGTTATTCCGACGTCGGTTCTCTTACCAGCTCTCGGCGCTCACATTCATGACATACATCCTCTACATGACCGGCAGATATCCTCACAAGATCAACATCGCGCGCGGCTCCGGCAAGATCTGGGGGTCCGAAGTCATGTCCTTTATGGCACCGGGAAAACCCTTCTTCCACAACCCGGATCCGGTGCCGTTCCGCCTCACGCCCAACCTGCAGACTCTGATGGGCCCGCTGGCGACCGAGGGCATATTCAGCTGCTCGATCATGGCGATCGCGCGATGCCTGACGGAACCGGAATTCGAGCTGGAGCACGCGCTGACGCTCTTCGTGCGAGACGAGGTGATATTCTGGTTCACCAGCAGTCATCGCACCGTCCATCTCAACGAGAGCCAGCTCCGCGAGACGGTCCAGACCAACTGCGACATGATCGTTAAACGTGCCGTCAGCCTGGCCCAGAGTCCGGTTGGTAACCTACCGGCGAACCAGACCGTCATCGACCTCATCGCGAGAGCCGTCAACCCCATGAATCTCGCGCAGTGCGACGCGCTCTGGATGCCGTATCTCTAGCGGACCTTGTCGGTTTGACGGGGGAATCTCTGCGGATTCTACCCCTCCCCTCCCCCCCTCTTTTTTATTTTTATTTTTTCCTTTCTCTCTCTATCGTCGTGAGGCTCTAGTCCCAGAATGGCGAGGCGTTTTGTTGTAAGGCGTTTGATGTTGACGGTTGAAGGGTAGACTATTATCGGGCCGAGGGTTACGGACGGCCTCGCGTCCTGGGTCGGTAGACATGGCGTGCGGATTTTTAGGTGGAAAAACTCGAGGCAGACGCGCGATCCGGTGCGCTCCTGCGTAAAAGGGGCATTCTCACGGGACTCTTCATTTCTAGTGATGTATGCACGGCTAATTAATACTTCTTACGTTTTCTACCTCTTCTTCGTCTGCCAATGCCGTTTGTGACTGCGGTGCGTCTCGGGGGTAGAACTGATGCTCGGACGGTAGACACGTTACGTGAGGGTAAGAACTAGTAAACGTGAGAAGCTGCTTTCCAGAGTGTGCTGACAAAAACTGAAATCTAGCAAAGCCATGTTCGCAACCATATTCGCAACCATTAGTCGGCGCGCGCAGACCTACATTTATCTCGGGCTAGACACGGGCGACGCCGGGATAGGATGGACGAGAAGGGATGCTCTGCCCCGTCTACTGTCCTGTCAGTTTTCGGGAGGTACCACCGCCGCCTGGCCCCGGCAAGTTAATTACTAGATAAACCGCATGCTTGCGCCGACATACGCGCACGGTTAAAAGGGGGATGCTAAGGGGGTGTGGTTGGACTCGCTCAACCTACGCACAAGGGCAGTCTTCCCCTACCTCCCTCCCCCCTCCTCAACTGACGACAACCAAGGTACGTAGGTAGGATAGGCTGACCAGGTTAGGTGTCTAACCTACAATTAAACCATCTCCTCCTCGTCGCGGGACGGCGAAGACCCCAAGATCGGCGCAGACGGCTCAGGCTCGAGACAGCCTATCATCTGCGCCATGTACTTTCTCAACTTCGTCGACCGCAACGCCATCGCCCAGGCCCGGCTGAACGGCCTCGAGGACGACCTCGGCATGTCGGGCAGCGAGTTCAACACCGCCGTTAGCATGTAAGCGGCCCTTCACACTTACCCCCTTCTTCCTCTTTCCTTCCTGCAATACCTCCCCGCGCGCCCAGGCTCCGAATCTCACTCAACTGACGTACAGCACGATAGTCTCAACGTCGGATACATCCTCATGCAGATACCAAGCAACATGTTGATCACCCGCGTCAAGCCCGGGGCCTGCATATCCGGCTGGATGCTGCTCTGGGCCGGTATATCCGGCTGCACTGCCGCGGCCAAGACCTACGGTGGGCTGGTCGCCTGCCGATTCTTCCTGGGCATCGCAGAAGCTCCGGTACGGCGACTTCGCTCCTAGTAGAACGTTTACACAGGCGCGATCTGCCCCTTTCTCCCTCCCCCTTCTTTTTCCCTCGCGTAGTTTGGCTACTGACACTACCCAGTTCTACCCCGGTGCTACTTACATACTGTCGATCTTTTATACGCATAATGGTGAGCCGTGAGTCGTTAACTCATATCACAGCGAGCTAGAACTGACCCCTAATCAGAGCTAGCAACGCGCGTCAGCCTCATGTGCTGCGGCCAGCTCCTCGCGACCGCATTCGCCGGCCTCATCTCGGCCGGTGTCTTCGCCGGCATGGATGGCCTGCGGGGCCTCGCTGGCTGGCAGTGGCTGTTCGTCCTCGACGGCGCCGCCACCGCCGTCGTCGCGATGCTCGGGTTCTGGCTCCCCCCCAACACGCCCCGCAGCACGCGCTGGCTCAACGAGGAGGAGGGCGAGTTGGCCGAGGCGCGCATGAAGCGCGACAGGATCGGCGACGCCCTCGACAAGGCCACGGCGTGGGAGGGCCTCAAGCAGGCCTGCAAGGACGGGCGGACCTGGCTGTTCTGCTTCATGCAGATGTTCCACCTGTCCGCCTGCGCCTTCAACACCTTCTTCCCGACGTGAGTTCTCGGAAAAAGAAAGAAATACCAGGGCCCTTCGCCGCTAGCGAACTATAAGCACCCAGCAGCGATGCTAACGGCCTCTCGAACAGCGTCGTAGAGACACTTGGCTTCGACATCACAACGACGCTGCTGCTGACGTGCCCGCCCTTCGTGGTCGCGGGGATCGGCAGCGTCGTGGTCGGCTGGAGCTCCGGCAAGCTGGACGACCGGACGTGGCACATCACGGCATGGCTGCTCGTCGCCGTCGCCGGGTTCGTCTTGGCGGTCAGCACGCTCGACACGGCGGTGCGTTACGTGGCCTGCTTTATCTTTTCGGTGGGCGCCTTCTCGGTCAACGCCATCATCGTCGGGTGGGCGTCCTCGACGCTGAGCCAGACGGAAGAGAAGAAGGCGGTGAGCTCTCCCCTCCCGCACATGCCGATGGTCGGGAAGAGGCTGAACCGGTGCCGTAGGTTGTCCTTGCCATGACGAATGTCCTGGGCCACATCGGCCAGATCTACGGCGCGTATCTGTGGCCCAAGAGCGACGGGCCGCGGTACGGCATCGGGTTTGGCGCGTCGGCGGGCTTCGCGCTCCTCTCGGTCTGCTGCGCTTGGGTTGTCCGGGCGTGGCTGATCCGGGAGAACAAGAGGATCTGCGCATCGACCTCCGAGCCGGTCAACTTACATAGCTACTGAGCCAGATGGCTAAATCATCAACTAAAGCCGACTATGACAGCCAGGGGCAGTCTAGGCGAGCTCGGGCGGGAAAGGTACCTGCACATAGGTAAGATAGAAGCATACGGAGGGAAGAGGGCGGCCGTCTACTGCGGTTAGGTGTATATAGGCATATGCAGATAGTGAGCAGAATCTCCTTTCCGCAGGTATATAGCATGTATTAGGTAACGTAGTTGCCGTCTCAGCAACTTTCGGGTTCGTCGGACCCGCCAAGACCCGACCTGTCCCGTCTGCGAAACCTGCCAGGTACCCGCCTATCGATAAGAGGTAGGTAACTACCTAGGTACCTACCAAACTAGGTGCGCGCAAGATAAATTTACTCATCCACCAGCACATCCCCGAAGTCGTCACGCAATTCCTTGCCCGATACCGCTGGAAGAGCCGCCCCGACAGCGACCCGCCCGAGACCCGGTTTCTCGCGAGCAAGGCGCTGTTCTACCTGACCAGCCGCCCAGACCTACCTATCTTTAACGGCTTTGGCTGGCCCCTCTCCCAAAAGAAAGTACCTAGCAGCATGGCGACGCGGCGCCTCGTCTCGGCGCGGCGGGCGTGGGGCGCGCGGCTGCCTCTCGCGGTCCGCGCCCCGGCCGCGGCGCCGCCGTCGGCGCGGGCCTTGTACACCTCGACGACAGCAGCAGCAGCAGCAGACAGCGAGCGCGTGGAGCTGCCGATGAGCGAGCGCGTGCTGCTGGACTTCGACCGGCACGGGCCGGGGCCCGGCGGCCGCGACCCGCTGGACGCGCCCGTGCTCTTCCTGCACGGCCTGTTCGGGTCCAAGAAGAACAACCGGACCGTGAGCAGGTAGGGCCCCTGACCCATCTGTAGAAGAGAGAAAGAGGAGAGGGAGAGAGAGAGAGAGAGGCGGAGCCGAGCTGACTGCCGCGCTTCTTCCAGAGCCCTCGCCCAGCGCCTCGGCCGCTACGTCTACACGCTGGTGAGTGCCCCCCTCCCCCCCCCCCCCCAAATCCTGCCTTGAGAGACACACACAGAGAGAGAGCTGGCCGTCTAACGGGCCGTCGTGACGCCGCAGGACCTGCGTAACCACGGCGACTCCCCGCACGTATATCGCCACGACTACCTCGCCATGGCGGCCGACGTCGCCGGCTTCATCCGGGACCGCGCGCTGCAGAACTCGATCCTGATCGGTCACTCGATGTGAGTTTTTCTCCCCCTAGGGTTTTTATTTTTATTTTTATTCTTTATATATATGATGGGTAGGGGAACCGGGTTGACCCCCCGCACAACCCCCCGCACAACCCCCCGCACAACCCCCCTGAACACACACGTACAGAGAGACAGAAGAAGAAGAAGAAGAAGAAACACCCTCTCACACGCGACACCGCAGGGGCGCCAAGGCGGCCATGACGCTGTGCCTCGGCGAGCCGGAGCTGGTGGCGGGCCTGGTGGCGGTGGACAACGCGCCGGTGGACGCGGAGCTGGGGGGCGCGTTCGTGCAGCGCATCGAGGGGATGCGGCTGGTCGAGGAGGCGGGGGTGTCGGTGCAGTCGGACGCGGACGCGCTGCTCGCCCCGTTCGAGCCCGACGCGGCCGTGCGCCAGTTCCTCCTCAGCAACCTCCGCCGCCCCTTCAACAACATCGGAGGCCGCCGCTTCCGCATCCCCCTCGGCATCCTCGCCCGCGCCCTCCCCCGCCTCGGCGACTTCCCCTTCAAGGACCCCGCCCTCGCCCGCTTCCCCGGCCCCGCCCTCTTCGTCCGCGGCACCCGCAGCCCCTACGTCCCCGACGACGTCCTCCCCCTCGTCGGCAGCTTCTTCCCCCGCTTCCGCCTCGCCGACATCGACGCCGGCCACTGGGTCATCTCCGAGAAGCCCGAGGAGTTCCTCCGAGGTTAGTCGCCGCCCGATCACACCTCCCATGTTTTGTATTGCTTGCTTCCCCTCCCCGCAGGATCGAAAATGCTCACCCAAAGGTCATGCGCAGTGGTTGTCGAATTCCTCAAGTCGGAAGAGGAAGACGGAGCTTTTTCGTCGTATCCTTCTGGTCAGCCGGTGGTAGGTAGCACGGTGCATTAAGGGTATAATATCGTCTAGAGGAGAAACCACACTATGTACAATGGCACACCGCAGCAGCGGCGAAAGAAAAAAAGGACCCAGCGGTGATCTACTTGCTCGAGAAAAATATCCCCCCCCCCCTTCCCTTAGAAGAAAAGAAAAACACAATAACTCCGAAAGAACGTGCACACCCCTAGCGGGTGTTTCTTTTTAACAAGGGCAGGCAGAAGAATAGTTTGACGGAAGACCCAGATTCAGACCCGTGGCGGGGGCAGCCCCAGCAAAAAGTTCGGGCTTTTGGACGATCCGGTCGACGACTTCGACGAACGGCTTACGCACGTTCTCCCGGGTCTTGGCGCTGACCTCGCAGAAGCCGGCGCCCTGGGACTCGGCGAATGCTTTGCCCTCCTCGAAGGAGACTGCCCGACCGCTTGCGGCCACCCTGTCTAGTTTGGTCCCGACCTTTTTTTCGGACGGAGGTTAGCCTGGCGGTGAACATGGGGCGGGTTAGGTGGACGGATAAAGAAGGGGTTCAGTGCGATACCAGGTAGAGTACGGCGTCGGGAGACGCATTCGACCTCGCCTCGTCGATCCACCTCTCCATGCTGAGGAAGCTCTTCCGGTTGGAGATATCGTAAACTAGGATAACGCCGTGCGCGCCCCGGTAGTAGCTCGTCGACAGGGTGCGGAATCGTTCTTGGCCGGCCTTGGGGGAGGCGAGAGAGGGAGGACATATCAGTTACTGCAGGGCGAGATAGAGGGGGTGGCGACGGACAGCACAGTAGAAAGGAAATGTGGAAAGGACGATTAGGCTTACCGTATCGAATATGTTTAATCGGTACGCCTTGCCCCGTACGGCCAGCTTCTTCATCTAGAACGAGACGCGCCGGCGAGCATCACATCAGCACAGCTCTCTTGCCTTTTCCTCCCTCTTGCCCAACTGCGTAGATCGACAGACACGTTGCTACATTCGGCAGATCACCTGCCTCCACCGAGCTGTCTTACCTTGAAGTCGATGCCGATAGTCGCCGTCGACGACTCAGGGTCGAACTGATCGTCGCAATCTGTACGAAGTGCAATAAAAGCAAAGGTTACCATCATGCTTCGTCGAGGAGAGTGGGCCCTTGCGGAAGGGCACCGGCATTCCGGCCTCCTCGGGGAGGGGGTGGCGGCGAAGTGGACAAGTTGGGGGGAAGAAGTGTCCCATACGTACATCTCAACAGCACTGTTTTGTCGCCACAGAGGTGATTCCGACACACATGGTTAGCCTCGATTCTGCAGAGGGCATATTCGTGTCTGTGTAGATGCCTGCCCGTCCTACCCCGCCGAGCGCCGGCCTCACCTCCCGTTCTGCACGCATGCTTGCTGTGTACCTTCGTGGGAGATCGCCGGGGTGCCAAAATGCGGGGCCGGGGGGGAGGGGGTCAGTAGGGACATCATGCAGGTAGGAGCCGGGGGAAGACGGGGGGGGGGGGGGAGGGATGGTGACGGCCGCGTCCTGAAGCACTTTCATGCGTGTACTCATATGCGCGTATGCGTGCACGGATGTGGGAGAGTGAGGTAACGCGGCGGCGGCGATATGCGCGGGCTGTAGATATGCTGTAGGTATATGGTAATGGAAATAGCAACAGCAACGGCGATGGCTGTGACAGGAGCTGATGGCGTGACGCCAGTACGTACATGCAGACTTGCCGGCGCCGGAGGGTCCGATGATCAGGACCTTGAGCACCGGGAGCGCGTCGTCGGATGCCATCTCCGCAGCGGTAAGTCACGGCAAGGCACGGACGGGATCGAATGCGAAGAATATATGTAGGTGTGTAAAAGTACGGGCGTATCCAAGTATTGCGGTATGCTTGCTGGCTCGCTCGCTGGATGGGCTTGCCTGCCTGCTGGCTTCAGACTTCAGACCGATCTTGTTCCACGGCCGCTGGGCATGCAGTATGCGGTATCCGGCATGTGGGTATATATGCAAAGTCGGAGCGGCAATAGAGGCGGGCAGGCGAGGCAGCACGCAAGTAGGTAGATGAGCAACCAAGCGGGCAGGACAGCGGATAAGCAGGCAAGGGAGAGTCGATCAGCTAGCTAATTAATTGGTTCCGGCGGTCCTAAGTCGTTGGGCAAGTAGAGAAGAAGGGAGAAGGTATGTCAGAAGAATATACCCCATGCGCGGGCTGTGTAGGCGTGTGTGTTGTGTGTGAGTGTGTGCGTGTGCAAGTGCATGTGGGAAGAGGCAGAAGGGCGGTGGCTCTGGTGTAGGAGCTGGCAAGTAGGTAAATGCGTTTTAGTCCAGATGCTTCCAGCCGGCAATGCCCAACATCGGTCGGTACTTGCACACACGGCCAGCGACGGAACGGCAAGGTAATATCCACCTATGTAATAATGCACCCATAGGTTAGGTAGGTACCTAATGAACCTAATGATAGGTAAATACATGCCTACATTACACCTGCATAACCCCCGTTCGAGCAGGCAAAAGAGAGAGACCTAGGCCACATGAAAGTACCCAAGGTGCCCACGTCTATAAGACAAATGCAGGGAGCCAGGTACTTGACGTAGCGTCCGCTTGGTTTTGGTCATAGGGGCAATTCTGAGTTCACCAGTGCCACCTCCAGACTCTGGAGGGCTGTCGTCAAATGCAATCCCTAACACGCACCCAAGCAGGTGGTAAGGGGGTTAGGTACCTACTATCGAGTCCGCTTATCGATACCTAAGTACATTAATGTCCCGAGCCTACCTGCCTCTCGCCAGTTCCTCGCCGCCTCGAACTGATGCCACTCCCTCTCCAGATATTAACACCAGCATCACCGTCACCACGTACCCCGACCGCCTCCCGACCTGCGCCGGCGCGACCCACGTCGAGCCCCGCTCGAGGCGGACAGATACCCCGTGGCTTTACCCCGCCCCAAGCAAGCCGCCCGGGGAGGGAACAGGTCGAGTCGAGTCGCGCCACGGTGCCGATATCACAATATGGAGATGCGTGCACCCATGCACATGTGTGTACATCTACCTACGTCCATCGGCATAGCTACGCGCCCCATTCCGAAGTTGGTGTACATACATAGGTATACGTAACCGGGTTAGGTAGGTATAGGCATGCCTATCAACCCGAAACAACCGTGGGCCTCTACTCACCTTTCAACACGACGCCACATATGCGGCGTGCGAGAATCCCCCAGGTAGGTAGGTACTTATAGGTTATGTAGGCCGGTATGCGGGTGGGAAGGAAAGCGATGGGGTGCATGACCCGTCCTACTTGGTGTCCCGCGCCACGTGACCAGTTCTCGTGGACACGTCTTGCCACTCCAGGACAGTAGGGAGTGTTAGGATACGACGCCGATCAAACAACAAGGCGGTTGAGCGGGAATCCCCTTGTTAAGCCCTCGTCACATCCCCTTTCGAGAGCTGCTCGCCGACTCTGGATGACTGTCTATCCCGCCGCCATCCTCTGTCAGCCCACCTGATGGTAGGCAGCCGTCGTGCAGACGGATAGAGCCAGGAGAGAGCCGGTGCTTCCGGGCAGAAGCCGTCCTCGTGATTCCGCCTAAATGGATTCGCCGCCACCACCGGGATCACGTACGCCACGTCCGTAAGCATCAGCTAACCTTTCTCATTTTTTTTTTCTGTCCTGAGGGGCTGCTGTAACCGCAGCTGCCATGCCGCGCCGAATGCAATCAGAAGTAAGTGAGACCTATTGCCGTTGCACAAAAACCCACGCCGTACCATGACCAGAGTTCATCATAATTAGACCTCATCCAGGACCCGTTCCTTGAACTCCCGCTCCACCTTTTGACCTTCTTCGTTCGTCGTAGACTCTCCGTGCAGGTTCATCAGGGCGCCGAGGTCGAACTTGGGCGCCTTCAGGAGCTTGACCTTCCGGATGTGAACCTGCAAAGTAACCCATGGTTAGCACGTCGAGCATAGCACCGCAACCCGCACACCCCGAGACAGATTATCCGCCATCTCTGCACTATCGACACGTACGTTCTGGAGCGGGTAGATGCCTTGTGTTGCCTTCTCGATCTCACGACCGATCACTTCGGGGATCAGCTTAGAGGTCAGTTGCTGTAGCGTGCAGGTGGCGGCCTCCCGCTGGATGATCTCGACCATCTTCTTCCGGATGGCGCGGATCTGAGATGAGGCGGCATAGGTAGTCTTCTTGATCTGGTTCGGCCGTCGCTTGGTGAAGGCGATGGCGAACAGGCGGAGGAGGTAGTCGTCGGTAGTCTTGACGGTGACGTTGGCCTCGATGAGAGACTGCCATTTTCGCACGAGCGATCGCAGCTTATCCGAGGTGAAGTCCAGTCCGTGGAAGTTGGTCAGGCAGTTCTTGCCCTGGACCTCATCCACACGCAGCTTGACCTTTCGGAACGCATGGTCCTCGTCCTTTTGTAGATCGGCTAGGGAAACCTCGAAGATTCGGCCCTTGAGGGCATCGTTCGCGTTCTTCAGACCGGTGGTTCGGTTCACCAGGGTCTTGCCGACACTGCACGCCGTAGTCAGTTACCATCGAACCGTGGCGGGTCGGTACCGGGTGAGTCGTACTCTCTGATGTTGAACGGGGCCGGAGCCTAGAAGTGAGTCCCAGAATCAGCCTCACGAATTCTTTCACGCGCACAAAAGCGACACTGAGCAAAACACCCCTACCTTGATGGAATACCAGTCCTTCCGGGTGAAGGGATCCTGGGCCTTCTTCTTGAGGCCCTTCTTGCCCTTGGACAATCTCTTGTTCCTGCGGAGGTCGGACGGTTAGCATCATATCGGCTTCGCATGCTAGCCGCGGGGCGACTGGGGGAGAGAGGGAGGGAGTGTCGGCTAGGTGATCGATGTGGGAGACCGGCGTTGCAGTGGTCGCATGGCCCAGTTGACTTACTTTCCAACCGCCATGTTTGCGAGGGATTATGGAGGCTCGCAATTCAGGACGTTGTTGACGGTACGTGGGCGGAAAGAAACTTCTTGGTTTAGGTGTTGGGTGAGTCTGGCTAGGAATTGTCGCTTGGTCAAAATTTCGGGTTTGTGCGCGAAAATCGATTGGTGTGGAGTAGTCACCTGACACGGACACCGCGCCTGGTCGGTCCATTTAGCGAGAGGTTACGTTCTCTGCCGTATTCAGGATTTACCGATAATATACGTTAGACGTATTTTTCTTCCTGGTAATACTACCTAAAAGTAGCTGAATACCCCTAAGAAAACGAGCGCAATCGATCTGCGCATGGTATAATTATGTACATACACCAGATAGATATTAGCAGCGAGATTTGCACCTAACGTATGTAACCCCAGCCCAGGCTCAGGTTCTCTTTTTCTTTCTACCCCAAGGCATTACTAATGACATGCAGACAATTAGGTACCTACGTACAAGCTTCGGGTGTGGCCTTCAGGTAAGTCTTTGCAGCGTCTATGCCAGGGGAGTGATCTAGGGCAGGTCCCCTCTCTTCCCCTCTCTTTTTTTCATCCCCCGTTTTTCACACCGCAGGCATCGTCAAGAATGGACGGATCCCAACAGCACAGCAAACGCAGGAGAAGGCAAAGAGGGCAATATACCCGTCAATTCATTCGTCAACCGCATAATTTATCTACACAACTGCCTTAATTACACCCCTTAGATTCCGACAGAAGTCTGTCTATCCCCAAGGAGGATCTCGCTATATACGATCGTCATCACGACGGGTATTTCTAACTTTTCCCCTCCCCCCGGCTCCTCCGCCCTTCGTATGCTCGACCGTGTAATACATAGGATCCAATACATCCGTACATCCGTACATCCATCCGTCCTGTGAAGTCCCCATTTCCCTTAGGTATAAGCCCGTGTGCTCTATGATCGCCCAAGCGCCTTTGCCCCCCCGCCGGCCCCAAGTACCAGGCATCATCCAAATGATCACAACCCAGCCAGTGTACAGAAGGGAAAGCCAAACAAAGGAAAATGAGAAAAGGAATGACTCCGCCCAAAAACAGAAGAAAATTAGACAAGAACAGATAAACAACTCCCCCCGGCGCCTATTGACGTGTCGTCGTGTATTATCGTCCGCTTCGTGCTGGCATGTCGTCGACCAAAGTGAGACGAGCCTGTTTTCCTTATTTTTCTTTTCTTCCTTCTCCTTGGTTTCCGTCGTGTTTAAATCAGGTGGTATATCCGCCGAGTTCTGTTCACCCTTCCTTGCTGTGGTGTACTACTATGCCGTGTTGCTCTATGCTTTTTACCCGAGGGGACGACTCCGTCATGTCGCTCGCTCGCTCCCCCTCTTCCTCTTTTCTCTTCTTTCTTTCGCCAGGACGCTCGCTCAAATCAAGCTGTTGCTCGATCTATCGCCTTCTCCGAGCTTAAGCGCTCCGCCGCTTCCCACATGTCGAAGCTGGGGAAGCTGAAGTAGCCAGCCGATTCTATCCGTCGAAGTCAGAGCTCGGGACATGGCAACTATCCAAGGTAGTACGTACGTGAATTGCAAGCGGCGTCGGTCAAGCGAGGGTCGCGGGCCTCCCCGACCTCCTCGCTGAAGCTCCGCGTCGACGACGGCGACGACGCGGCGTTGGAGAAGGCGACCCGGCTCAGCAGCTCCGTCGCTCTCTGGCTCGAGTTCGGGCTCGTCAACAGCCCATTGCACGCGTTGGAGGTGGTGATGGAGGGTTCGGTGACGCAGGACCTGAGCAAGCGGGGCCGACGTCTGTCGCCGCACGTTCTGGGCCAGCCCGGGGAGGTATCCCGTCGAGGCACAGTATGGGGATCGGGCGAGTATCTGGCGGTGGTGGCCATTTTCGGATGCGGACGTCTGTGATGGATTCTTAGACGAAAAAGGGTGCTGGATTGCAGTATCGACCAAAGTCTGCGATTGGGAGTGGTAAGTTTTCTGGGTGAAGACGATGCAAGATGGAGGAGTCGACCCTCGGTCGATGAATGGATGTCCCAGACGTTTAAGACCATTCGCAGCAAGGCAACCAAGTCCGCTACGTTCACTTACTACCGGCTGTTGTGGAACGACATCCCCAGACGGCCGGTTGCGGGCAGTGCCACATGTCACCCCGAATGGGGTCAACTCGCATGTGGTAGCTGTTGTGTGGTCTCCCATTTGGCTTGGGCGTGTCCTCTTGCAGCTCAGTTGGGCCGTCCTACACAACTAACAAGGTGGAGTGGGGAGAATTCGCGATGGCTGCACCACTCACGAAGCTACAGCTCCCCATCCCTGCATGCCAATCCCTCCCAATATCTCTCGATACCACTGTTCTCGTCCGTCCCTCGACTACGTAGCAGCTATCCCCGTTTTTCCCTGCGCACGCCAGCTTCCCAGTGGCTGGCGACGAGACGACCCCGTCAGCTTCACGCACCAGGCCTCCTCAGCGCCAGTTCTGCGAGCGAGGCCGAGATAACGCCCCTACTGTGTATTCTTTGCATGCTGTCTGCCCGCTGGCGCACCGCAGGCCCATTCCTGCTTGTCGATGATGCATCACATTGCCCCCCTTTCCCCCTAAGGCTGATGTGGACAGTATCCTCAATTGCTCAATCGAAGCTGCGAGATTTCCCCTACGCCGTCATACCTACGGATCCTCTGGTTCAGTCGACGTAAGTGCCGCAGCACAAACTGAACGCGACCCTTCTGCCCGCGCATTCTACAAAAGGAACAACACCGTCGCACCCTATAAGATATCACGGATGGCGGCGAGGTCACAAGACGTAAGACACTACGGACAGCCCTAGGTGCGTCTCTCACGATGCATGCATGCATACATTCCTACATACATACACACATACACACACCCATCCACCCATACATAGACTATGTCCCTACGTATCAGTCCTACGTGTGGCAATAGTAAGGATGGGGGTGGGGGAAGATCGAGATTCCGAACGGTACAAAATGTATCTAGTCCGCGTAGTCCGGGGTTGATTCCTTATGCCGAGAACCGACGTGCCGCCGTCTCCATCCTAGTCGGCACTCCCTAATGGTCGATGCTGTCGTTGCCGTCAGTACGACTTCGCAATGTCTAGCAGAGGATACTCACTCTTCCCAAATCCGGCCCTGCACCGCACTCAATTCGTCCGCGGTCATCCTGTGGCCCGTAGTGAAGTAACCTGCAAACCGTTCAGTCATCTAGACTAGGTACATAGACCTGGAACGCGGCTAGGAGGATGAAGAGGGGAGGTGTGCGCGCGCGCCTACCGGCAGTAATCTTGGCATCAATCTCAACCCGCGAGTCTGCAGGGATTAAGTCTTCGGGGAGTTCCACCCTCTCGTGGATAGGGATGCTTTTCTCGGTTAGACAGACGTGCGGCGTCGTTGCGCTGTACAGAATTCGGCTTACCCCTGGCCAACGATGGCATCGTACTTCATACTACGTTCCGACGTATCAGCGTTTCATAGGACCCTTCCCATCACGTCTATCCTCGCCACTTACTTGCTCATACTCAGCATCCTGTCAATCTTCTTGATGCCGAGCCAGTGCAGGATGTCGGGCATTAGAGCCTGGAAGCGCATGTCCTTCACTCCCGCAATGTTTTCCGTTCGCTTGAAGTAGTCTGAAGCGCGATCCTCGCCACGCTTTCTGGCGTTGTAAACAACTGCCAGATACGAACGGTTAGGATCCTCGACCCGGAGGCTAGACAGCATCAAGACTTACGATACTGTTCGACGTTAGCAGCGGACGGCTAGGAATCGAGGCCGGAGCTATACCATACCTTCGTGACTTCGCCTAGAGCCCGCCCCTCCTTTCTGAAGTAGATGACGACACCACTCCCGCCGTTCTGCGCTTCTTTGACGGCCTCCTCGATGCCGAAGATGAGATAGGGCCTGCAAGTACATATATCGGAGCCAAACACATCACTGCCGTTGCACTGCGTCTGCTGTGAGCAAGCATGCTCCAACCAATGGATTCGAGGCAGAAATTACCTCATCGTGGACACGCAGGGCCAATCTACATTTTTCGTCCGACATCTTTGCCGGGTCCCCGAAGCAATAGACGGTTAGCCCACCTGACGAGGCGTCAGCACTGCAGTCATATGACGCTCATTGGAATGGGTAAAACGCCTGGTTACCGATTGGAGGTAGGAAGACTTTGATGTCACCGCGTGTGATAAGCTGCATCCCGGTCAGACCCCTAGCATTCATTCGCGTTCGACAGTTGGTCGGAGCTTACCTCTGGATAACTGCCGCCGGTATGCTCGAACAACGACCGTCTTAGGACCCCCTCGTCTGCTACTGTTAGTCTGTCGGACCTATCGCCAAATCCCTCTCTCGGTAACACACCTATGCCAAATCTCTCGGCTACCCCGGGGAGATACCAAACCTAGTCCCGTTAGCACCATATCGTCAGGGAAAGGCGACGGATTCCTGGTTTATACCGGCTCAACTGCGAATTTGGTCACCGCCAGCTCTCCCATCTCGTTCAGGCAGACCTTCCCATCGGGGACACTGGAGAGATACTGGTTAGCGTGGCGACAGATGCAGCCGAGGGGGTACGTACAGTCTGCCACTTCGAACGCTCTCCTCGAGCTCCGGAAGCTTGTTCTACTTAGCTCATGTCCTAACTCTGAAGTACTGACGACGACTCTACCTTCATGTGAGCTTTGGTAATGGCGATGGTCGGGCGAATGTCAACTGCAACAACTCGTTAGCATGCTTGGCAGCTGTGATCACGCATCCAGCGGGTCGACGCTTACTGTTCTCTTTCTCCATAACGTCAGAGAACAGCCACGGAGCTAGATGACCCCAGGGATCCATGGCGACGATTTTCTTCTTGTCACCCCATTGAGGGAAAGGGCCGATATTGACAGCCGGTTCCGTGTTCGTGAAATCCGGTCTAACCCCCTCTCCCGTTTCTGATTAGATTATACACGCCCCGCCGTGAGGCACGCGGAGGTTGACAGACCTGTGATTAGCATTAAGCTGCTTGCTGGCGAGAGCCAGAGCGAAATAAATGGAATAGGAACCGCCGTGTGCTACATCGATGAGTTTTACAGGTTTCCCACAGCCACGACGGCAGAGTATAGCTCACCTCCAATGGCTGAAACCAAGGGTTAATACGTGAATAAAAGGGGTAGGATAGGGGCGGGAAAGGGGGGAGGGGCGGAGCCAATCTGACTCACCATTGCGTCTTCGGATGGTGGACGACGAGCGGGATACGACCACCGGCCCACGGCCGGTCGCGTCCGGAGCCCCCCATCGAAGAGGCAGTGGATCGATACCAGTCTGTTTGGGATACGTACTGACGGGAAATTAGCACAGGCATACGATGTTCCAGGGAATGTCGCTCACGTAAGGATAATCCGAGACGTGAACCCCGATGTCTGTGCCTGGACCGCTTCTTTGCTGGTGGGGGTGGTGCTGCCAGCATCAGACTCGCCTGCACCTAGGGAGATCTGGGTCGGGGTGGTTGGAATTCTAGTAGCAAGTTGAGGAGGAGTCTTCTTTTCTAGGCCACTGCTCGCTCCAGGGACGGTGGGAGCAATCGCATCAAGACGTCGAGAAACGGATTCAAACTCGGTTTCTAGTCTACTCTGGCTCTCTTGAATGGCCTTAAGGGCCTGAAGAACGTCCGCTATGCCTGCTTCACCGCCTGTGCCCGAACCTGGAGTTGCCATTTTCACAACCGACGGGGGGTCGGTAAGAGGGGGAGGCGGGAGGCGGGAGGTCAGTGAGGATGCACAGAAGGGGGAGGGGGGAGACCGATGGTATTATATGTGAATGGGTGGAGGGATGAAATATTATGGTAAGGCTAGACAAATGTCACTTGTTCTGTCGATGACAAGGGCAAAGATAATAGCAACAGCAATAGTGGCAGGATTTATGTAGGGATCGCGGGAGGGACACTGGTTTTATAGAAGAGTCGAGCCGATTCAGTGAGGATAGCGGAGGTGAGAGAGGAGCGATGGGGAGGAGGCCGAATGAAGGGGGGGATTTGGTCGGTGGTCTCGCACCTAGGCTAGCCTGAGGAAGAGTTGAGAGGAGGAGCGCCTGACTGCGATGACCGGATGTTCCGAGCAGTCGGAGCGACTTAACTTATCCTTACCTAACCTAATCCCAGGGCGAGGTACATACGGTATCGTGCCGGGGCTTCCAGTCCCAATCGACCGCTGGGCCGAGCGGACTGGCGACAACCCAGAGCACGCATGTCCGCTACGCATCGATGGAGCAAGCAGCGATTCGGGACTATCTGAGCCTGCCTATGCTGCCCAAGGCAGGGCAGAGATAAGGAGGTATGCACCAGGCTTAGCACGTAACGGCACTAAGTCGGTAGCTACCCGATATCTCTGTGTTTCCGGTGATAGGACGGCGGCCTCTGTGCCTGCGTAGCTGAGGTGCAATCCGCCTATGCCTATAGGGAGAAGTATTGCCGTGCGTTATGCACTTGGCGGATGCCGGATCACCGCGGGCGGTTTCGCCCAGGCCTATCTCGCTTGGCTGCGGTTGGCGACGCATCTGGTAGGTACCGAGCAACAACCTACCTATGCATGTAGGTAGGTAGGTACCTGTTACCAGGATATTACCTGCCTACGTACACGTACATAGTAGTGCCTACCTACCTAGGTACCTAAGGGCATGTGCTATCTATCGCCGGGGGATCCCCCCTACAGATACTTCCTCTGCGAAATCCACGCTACCTACCTATAGCTCCGGGTGGATACCAGCCTCCGGAAGAGGGCACCTAAGGCACTAAGCTGTAAATCCGGTTGATAACGGCTTTACTTGATGGATTGGATGCGGACGAGAAAGGGAAAAAAGGCATAGGTGGGGTCCCCACTGTCGGAATGGAATTCCAGCATTACCGGTAAGGGATATATATCCCTACTGCGCATCATATACATACGTATAGGAGGTACCTATCTACTAGGGACCCGTTGGACGTAGGCACCCAAGGGACATAGGTTACCTCTCTTACCTCAGGTACCTGTGTATAGATTATGGTTATGGTTATGGTTATGGGTACGGGGCAGAGTGCAGCGCGCGAGCGACGATTACATATACACTCTGCGTCAGTACAATTCGCCTCCTGCCAGGTGTCATCGCCTTGAAGCTTGGGCGTCACCATGTCGATCGTGTGCCTACCTCACACCCAGCGACCGACTATGAACCTCTTCTGGGCGTACCGTGAGCATCTGTACCGCTAGCAATTTTTCATCCTTAATTTTTCGGGTCGGAAACAAGTCAAGAACGAACGCAAAACCCGGGCAAGCCGGCGTTGCTGTTGTTCTCCAGGGACACCTGGGCGGGACGGGTGCTACTTGTCCGAAGACGCGCACTGTTTTTTTCCTCCCTCCCAACGCGACATCCCCCGACGTCATCCTCCGATTGCGAAATTGCCGACCGCAACCAATCCTATCCACCTCCTGCGACAACCCGACTCTCAAGCCCAGCCGGCCGGCCCTCACCATCCAAAGCCAAAGGGGTCGATCAAATCTGTCTGCCCATCTTCGATCTCATCCGCAAACCCGCCGCACCCTATCTCACTATGGTAGGGAGCCCTCTCTTTGTCGCCTGACGATGCGAGCGATGCGCCACGGGTGCTGACAGCAGGTTCGCGATAGGGAAAACGCAAGAAGAGCTCGAGAAAGCCGCAGGGCAAGAAGAAGGTAATGCCATCCTGCAGACGAACGTCGGCATCGTCGAGGAGCGACCGAAACTCACCGAATTGCAGTCTGATCCCCTGCCTACCATATTCACCTGCCTGTTCTGCAACCACGAGAAGTCCGTCACCGTCGACATGAACAAGAAGGCTTTTGTTGGCGAACTGGAGTGCAAGGTCTGCGGCCAGAAGTTCCAGTGTAGCATCAACTGTAAGAGAGAGAGCGCAGAGGCCTTCGGCGCTCAATTGCTGATGCGTGTTGCCCAGATCTGTCGGCAGCAGTCGATGTGTATAGCGAATGGGTTGACGCAGCCGGTATGTCAACGCCTCGCCTGACGCACTACGCGACGAGCCTCCCCGCAATATCACTGACACGACCTTAGATGCTGTAGCGAAAGATAACGATGGCACCAGCGGCCCCGCGTCCTCGTCAGCCTACCGTAGAGGGTCGAAACCATCCGCCGTCGATCGGTACGGCGACGATGAAGAGGACCGGAGATACGAGGGTGACGGAATCGTGCCAGACGATGACGAGGACTTAGACTGAGCCGCCAGGGCAATTTAACATAGTTACGCATCACAACCATACGACCTAATCATGTCAGGATACCGGCCCACCGCGTTTGCAGCCACATACCCGCAGCATGCGAGCACCGTCGCTACCCCTCCAGGCTACTGTTAAGATTACGCTCGTAGCTGACCTGGCCATAGGACGGTGCCACGATACCTTGCGGACTAAGGAATCTTAGATATTTAAATAGGATATACTGGGTTACCACGCTCTCTAGCTTAGGAATAATGCCAATCGGCTTGACGGTCGACTCTATATAAGAGTCTCGCGCGTATTATCTTCATACGGACTTCCCTGTAATTAGGACTAGATTTTTCTACATGGTGTAAAATCGGTCTCCAAAGTCGCCCAGGCCTGGAATAATGTAGCTAGATGCACGTCAGCAAGCGGCCTGGATAGGTTATGTTATAGTCACGTTATGGCATCGCGGGCGTACTTCTTCTCGTCAAGACCCTGTAGCGCACCCGTGTTAGCATTCGTGTCGTGGCAGTCGGGGAGCTATGCGTGCAAGTCCTCACTTGGTCAACAAACGCGGTGACGACTCGAAGCTTGGGAAACTTGGTCGCGAAGTTTTCGATCCCCTGCGGGCTGGCGATCAGGTTCAGGAAGAGAATTCTCTCCTCCGGAACGCCACGCGATTTCAGAACGTCCACGGCCATGATGGCCGATCCACCTACAGCAGCCGGTGCTGGTTAGTTCCCAGGCGTCGACACAACTCGGGACTATCTGACCTGTCGCAAACATCGGGTCGAGCAGAAGGACCCATCGGCTGGCGATATCCTCGGGCAGTTTGTCATAAAACAGCCTAGGCGTCGCCGTTTCCTCGTCCCGTTGGATCAAGATCTTACCGATCCGCACGGACCTGCAGCAGTCCCGGAGGCCTTGCTCCATGGCTTCGCCGGCGCGCATGATGGACACGCCGCAGATCTTCCCCTGGAACATCAGTCCGGCGTAGGTACGGCCAACCGGGGTAGTCACGGTGTGCTCGACGACGGGCAGGTGGTTCAGCCCCTCCTCGACCAGCAGACGAATGATCCGGTTGGAGTAGAAGATGAAGTCAGCCCGGTCCGTCTTCCTGTCGCGGATCTTCCTGTTCCGGGGACACGTCATAAGCGATTCGAGAGCACAGCCGACACGCCCCGCGTCGCCGAAGGAGGAAAACACTCACGTGAGTAGGGCGATGAGCTGCGGCGTCTGGGGCAGTGTGACGACGTTGTCGTATCTCACCTCGGTCGAGACCGTGGCCGTGGGCTTTTGGCTGGGCAAGCGATAGTCGGGCCCTACACACTGCGTAGGCCCGGCTTGGGGGCGATCCTCGGACGGAGCGGCCATGGTATATACGTGGGTATTTCCCGGGGCGAGGCAGAGGTTGGGTGTGCGAGAGACAGTTGGAAGGGCGGCCTGGATATTATACGTTCCAGCGAGGCCCGGTCAGGTGGATCCACCCAAGAGGTGCGCCTGAGGTCATAAGGAGGGGGGGGAAGGGTTCTCGAGCAGTTCCTGGCCAATGGTGAATTTACGTACAGGTGTGTTTGGCGTCGACGAGGCCAGATAAGAAGTAGGTAGTGGGGAACCGACGCCGTGGTAAGGTCGCGAGCCAAAGCAGTCCAAAGTAAGCACTGGCGGGAGGGCGAGAGCTGGGCTGGCCTCGCGAAAAGCATAAACAGCTTAGTCCTCTAGGCGACTGCGAATTGGCCTTGGGTGGCCCTGCGGGATGGGAGAGGGAGGCTTAGTACGAAATACTCGATGTCATGTTATATGATAGGCTATCTACCTCCTAAGGTGCCTTACATTACCTACATCTAGGAGCGCACGCTTAGGGGGGGGGGGGTTCGGTTGGGATGGCCCTCCCAGGTCGCCGGAATCGATGCAACCGAATATTCTGAGATTTAAGCACAAGTCGAGGCTCTCTCGGAGCTGACATGTAGAAAAGCGAGGGCTGATAAGATAAGATAAGCGCCGATAGGTAACCTGCGCGCTACTTAAGGTAAGTTACCTGCCGAACTTGGGTAGTATGAGATGCCTTGGCGCTCCTCATCCCGTTTTACCCACCAGGTTTGCAGCAGGCTTGTACCCGATGGCGGGTTCGTCTCAGGCCCCAGCAGATGGGCGATCGCCGACCGACTTTGACCTTCGCAGCCCGGCGGGCAAGCCAACAAAGAGGAACGGGCGGGAAGATGCGCACTACGGATGGTGGACACATAGGAGGTACTCTAGCCTACCTCCTGGGAGGTACCTACACCTAGAGGTAGGTACCTATCTATCTAGGAGATGAGCTAAATAGCGAAGACTACCAAGTAGCGCTGTTAAGAATCGAACCTATCCTTCGTTAAGTAACCTACTGATCTCTAGGTATCTTCCTTACCTGATGGTAGGAGATGGTAGGAGATGGTAGGTACCTCCTCCTACGGGTAGGTACCTAAGGTAGGTACCTGCATACGTTAGACCTACCTACCTCTAGGTATCTACACTAGGATGTGCACAAGTACCAGGTACTCCAGACCAGATCCAGCCAAGATTGGACGGCGGGCATGACGCTTCCGTCATTAGCTCACTACCTAACCCACGCGGCAATTGATGGCTCTGTGTTGACAATTTGCTCGGCTGCTTACACCTACCTCGCCTTTACCAACCTACATCATCATAACACCACGACACTGGATGGGTGCGCTGGCCGAATCTGTCCCCGAGCTCAGTGCCCATCGACCGAATTGCGTTGCTCCTCTCTTCGCCTCGTCGTCCCGAGCGTCAAGACCGCGCTTCCGACGCATCGACATCTGCTTTGTCCCTTTTCCCAAATTTGCCGGCCGAGGCGGGATACGGGCCAGACAAGGTGGACGCGTTCGTTGTCTCCTCCTGCCGACCATTCGTTGGCCCGCTACCACCGCCATCCACCGCCAACCACCCGCCGCATCCTGCGAGCCTGCCGACACGCACGACGTCGAGCCCTTGATGTGAACCCGAACCCGACTACGCTTTCTCGTCCCGGGTCGCTGCTCTACTCGCCACTCCCGTGCGCGCGGTGCTGCGGTGAGACCATTGACCAATTGATGTCCGCAACAGTCGGGAAATACCATGGCCGCACGACAAGAATTCAGCGCCCCGCGCAAGAAAGGGCTGATGACCTACGGGAAAGCCTCGCGTAAGAGACAGCCGAAGGCCGCGTTCAATCCCGTCTGGGATACGGATGAGCTAGAAGACGACCCGATCCCCAAACCCAAGGCCACTGTGACGCACCGCCGGCCGACTCTCATCTCGTCCCCGGTGCGCCAGCCCCCTTCGCCCTCTCGACGTGTCGATGGAGTCGTGGAGGGGAAGGGAAGTACGAGTGGTCCTCAGAAGGGCGCGCAACCCTTGGAACGGAAGCGCAAGATTTCCCAGGTCGACACGTCCAGGGGCCGAGCGCAGGAGGCTGCCCAGGCCGGTAAAAGCAGCCAGCCTCTTAATCGGACACAACGTCGGCCGCGTCCATCAGCACCTACTCGTGGTTCGGCTGTCAGCTCTGTATCCAAAGAACGCGCCTGGTCGATAACGTCGGAATCTATCGAGGCCGACGCGACCGAGACAAAACTATCCAGCCCCCCTCTCACGCCAACGCTGCCAAACCCTCCGAGGCGCCTTAAGGCAGCCAGCGCCAACGACCCGGGATCGTCGACATCCACCAGCGCAAATGCCGCCAGAGAAACGAAACGAGAAAGTGTTCGGAAACAGATTGCCTTGCGCTTCGCTAGCGTAAATACGGCAGCCCTGGAAACATCTAGCGCGCCCTCCGCCGGAGCAGACGAGAAGATCCAGCTCTCCCCCCCCTGGGTTCCCGAAAGAGTTTCCAAGAGGCGTAGAAAGCGGTTGATCGATGCCCTGGTGGAGCAAACGCAGGACGAGGCGGACGGATCCATCGACGAAGTTTTCGAAAGTCAAGCAACTCTGGAGCAGCCGGCCGCGAGCCAACAGGCCGGCGACGTGCCAACCATGGATTCTCAGACCCTCCCCCAGACGCCGAGCCGTAAAACCGCGACGATGCAACTTACTGGCGCTAGGACCTTCGCGCGCTCCAACAGCGGCCTCAAGTTCACCTACGGCCAGGGTAGGAAGCTGCTGGAGGAGGAAGGCGACCTACTCGAAGCCCTCACGCTGCCCGGGGAAATGTCGCTTCCTTTGAAAGGGAGGCGTCTAGAACTTGGGGCCCCAATCAAGACGGCTGCTGCCAAGGGAGTCTTGGATGACGATGACCTCGTGGCCCAAGGTTCGCCTAACTCGAAACTGAGGAACATTCACGAATTGAGGCAGGCTGGAGCGAATTCCCGGGTCGCTGACACGATGCAGGATCTGGCCGATCAAATAGGTACCCCAGGCAACGGGGCTTCCTCGTCTCGCAGAGCAGCATTGCTACAAGTAGCAGAGAAGATAAAGGATCGGGACTTCATGCGACAATACCGCGATCACGGCGTCGAGGCCGCGTTTCTGAAGGACATGGGCAAGGAATCCGATCCGATTTCCGGTTACCTTATTTTATCCATCCTTGTAACGACGCTTGCAAAGTGGCCATCGTCGCACATTAACCAACTCGTCCGGCTCGAGAACCCCGCGAGCTTGTTCGCCCACTTTCTCGGGGTGCCGCGGGACATGAAATTCATAGCGCGAGACCGGAGGAGCAACCTATCTAAGAGAAGCCAGACCTCCGTTCTCGCCATCCAAAGCTCCCTCCGCGAACTTCCGATCTGGGATGCGGCCAAGCCACCTTACGTGTCACCTAGGGGCATCGCGCTCAAATGCCTACACCTACTCATCACGCAGGATATCAATACCGCAAGAGATCCTGCCATCTTCTCTCCGGCCGTGATCGAAGCTCTCTTCGCGGTGCTGTCTGAAGCGGCCGAAAATACAGATTATTGGAGCTATCCAGCAACTTCCGAGGCCATCGAGTTTGCCCACGCTCTATCGATTCTCGACTTTTACGCCGTCAGCGTTGCCGAGTCGCAGCGCGCAAGCAGCGACTGGGCCGCTCGATATCTTCCCACCGTAGCCGACATCTTCTCAACCTCCTCGGGAAAGGCGGTATCCGAGGCCGCCGCCGAAGGGGGTGACGGAGCCATGCTAGAAGGCGCCGTCCTGAAGCTCACCATCAACCTAGCGAACAACAGCGCGGAGGCGCCAGAGATATTCGTAGCCAAGGGGTTGATACCGGCGCTGGCGGAGTCTATTACTAGTAACTTTGCCCGCATCTGGGCCTCTTTATCGCAGGACGCCTGGGTCGACGGGATTCTGGACAGCTTGGTCCTGCGACTGGGCATCCTGATCAACTTTTCCGAACACAGCTCGCTCGTAAGGCAGGTCATCAACGATTGTCGTCACGAGGGCCAGCGGCCAGTGGATGAACTGATTCGGTTATTCTTGGAAAACTACCGGAGGACAGCGGAGGTGAGTCTGGATCGAGATTGGCTACATTGCTACCCCCCACACTGACCGCGGTGGCAGGCCGATTCGATGGAGACGAGCCACTTGAACGTCGCGTTCGGGTATTTGTCGGTACTGTTAGGCTATCTAGCTCTCTATGCGCCGGTGAGACAGAAGATACGTTCGGGCCATTCTACCCGGAGCATCGAGCCCCTCTTAGACTCGATACGAGAGTTCATCATCCACCACCGGAAAGTGGAGAGCGCAGACGTGGGCGAGGATGGCACGCAGGACCAAAGTGGTTACACAGAGCGACTCCAGGATCTGGTGCACCGACTAGAGGACCAGGCAGCGCATGATTAACCCGGCTACGGCCTACGCCTAGAGCAACACCACATGTCTCAACCCTAAAGGGCTATATGCACGATTTACCGTTGGAAACTTTCGACTTGGCACGGGACACGATCAGGCGATTCTTGCAGAGTACGAGGAGGCGTTTAGTCCATATAAAGTGTTTCGAAGAGGGGGGGAGGGGTTGACGAAGAGACGTCTGCGACGGTCTAGCGAGCGTCCTCCCAGATGGTCAAGATTTTTGTGTGTTTGTGAGGGCAAATACAAAAAATACCCTTGAAGCAACTGCGCACATGTGGCACATGTGGCGGCCGTGACGGCCCAGGTAGGTTAGGAAAGGAGATAGGTAGGTATGGACTTCTGCAAGGCGTAGCACTTATACCCAGGCATGGATTTGAGTTGAATGGAGAACAACCAACTCGTCAGAAGTTGGGTATCTTGGCACGATGACTTGCAGAGACGGGTGAGGAGGTGGAGGAGGTTTCTGGCCGACCTGGCCCGAGGGGAGGGAGGGGAGGACGGAACAGACTACATATGTATGCGTACTATTTGCTGGCAGGCAGGAAAACGTTGAGACCATTCTACCCGGCAATGGTTAAGCATGCAACGGGACCGAGACTGGCAGTTTGCGTGTCTCACGTCGCCATCCCCTCGCCGCGATTGACTTAGCCCACCACTCACTAGCTAGTACTTGAGCCGCAGGAATGTTAGCCTCATTACTAGGTAGCCAAGGGGCAGGTGGTGGGCTGGCAGGCCGAGAAGGTAAAGCCAATGCCCACATTGCACGGACGCCTCGTTACAGTCTTGGAGGGCTTGGGGCACCTGGTGATGCGTCTTGGGCGATACCTGTGCTACAGTAAGCTGCCTTCTGAGGGAACCGACCCCGACCCCAAGCCCAAGCCCAGGCCCAGGCCCAGGCCCAGACCCGGGGCACGGTTTGTTCGTCCGGTGCGGCCGGTCTGGTCTGGCCTGTAGCGTGGAATCAGAGAGCAAACGGAGATAAGGCGCGGAAAAGATACTGGGTGATTCTGGTCGGCATCGGCTGTTTCCTTTTCGCTGGTCTGTTCAGGTGTTGGCATTTCACCGGGCTGCGTGTTGGGTTAGTGTTGCGGAGGCTGTTTCACCTCCCTGAGCCAAAAAGCCATACTCATGACAAATTAAACAACAATAACAACTATACTTGCTATCATTGCGCACACAACAACAACGATCCAAGCCACGCATTTGTGCCTGAAAAAATAGTATCGAGAGGTACGATGGGCTTGGGCTGGGTGCGCGCCCGGGTTACGTGGGTGGGTAGCTGTATAATACCCCAGGCGCCTAACCTAGAGGTGTATCAGGGGGGCGGGGTGCCTACCTTATAGGCATGTGATAGGCATGCATTCTGACCTTTCATACCGCCTATGCCAGTTTTTTTCCTTTAGAATCCTCCTCGTGTGGCTCCGTAGGCTAGGGGGGCTAAGTACCTCCTAACCTAGGTACCTAGGTACCTAACCTAGGTATGGTAGGCGTACGTGTACACACCTACGCCTAACAGCTCACCCCGGCGTCATAGGCGGATAGGTACCTCTTGAGCCTCCGTACGTGAGCAGAACGACCAACCTCCTCTAGGCGAGAGGAGACGGGAGACTTTGGGGCAACCCAAACAACGCCCGGATTCTGTTTCTGATCCCTTCCCCCGACCCTCTTCTTCTCGAATCCCCTCAGACCACCAACTCGCCGACGGCGCTGGTATGTGATCCTGGGTAGCATCTGCACGTCATCGCTCGCGCGCGGTGTGCCTGGTTCGTCTGGAAGTCGACTCATTGGAGGTATTGGAAAAGACTAGAGTGCCGGTGCATGTGAGGCCCAAGGCAGAAAAGGTACGTGCACCCCGGTGGTGTCCGTCTAGTGGGTTGTCGGCCATCCGTACAGAACTCGCCCGTCAAGCATGAGCTGTCTGTGACACGGTTGATGTAACCACCAGCGAATGAATCAAGCAGCAGCCGAATGCCAACGAGCCGAGCAGAGAGGTGAAAAGCCACAGCCGTACGTAGCGACATGCGACAGCCTATATACATACCCACGCTTTGCGACCTCTTCCTCTTCCCCCCCCCGTTCCCCTCCCTCCGCTCCCCCCCACGCTCTGAGCATCTGATCTGACCTTGGTCATGCAACATTACCATCCCTATTGATCACTGCTGGGGAAGAGACCTAACGGCGTAGCAACCGCACTTACAGGCTACAGCACACGATCCCACGTACGCACATACGATATACATCTTCCCCACGACAACCCCCGTAAATGCCGACGCCACCCAAGCAGCGCAAAGTGGCCATCGTTGGCAGCCGATCCGTAGGTATGTCTACGATAACCCATCATCCGCATATCCCCCGACATCCCCTCTATATCTCTCTACCTGCACATCTAACCTGGCCGACCTCGGGAACAGGCAAATCTTCGCTTGCGGTCCAGTTCGTCGATGGCCACTTCGTCGAGAGTTACTACCCGACTATCGAGAATACATTCAGCAAGGTGATCCGCGTCAAGGGCCAGGACTATGCTACCGAGATCGTCGACACAGCAGGCCAGGTAACTCAAAACTGATAACCCTATCCTTCCCCCTTCGACGTATCTATGGAGCAATATCTGCTAAGGACTAACACGCTGGGTCGATACAGGATGAGTACAGCATCCTTAATTCGAAACACTTCATTGGTATACACGGCTACATGCTAGTTTACTCGGTGTCCTCGCTACCATCGTTCGAGATGGTCCAGGTCATCCGAGAGAAGATTCTCAACCATCTTGTTTGTTCCAACTTCACCCCCTCCCGCCGATCCCATACCGCAGCAGCTAACCATCTGGCAACCCCAGGGCACGGATTGGGTCCCTATCGTTATCGTGGGCAACAAGAGCGACTTACGCCCCGAGCAACGGCAGGTCAGCCAAGAGGACGGCAAGAAGCTTTCGGAGAGATTCAATTGCGCGTGGACCGAGGCGAGCGCTCGCTACAACGAGAACGTCGCCAAGGCCTTCGAGCTATTAATCGCCCAGGTCGAGAAGTCGCAGAACCCCAACGAGGGCACCGACGCCTCGAAATGTCTGGTTATGTGAAGAAGGTGGTCATGTTTGGGCGCCATGCGTATTGGACCTAGAGAGGATGAGCAACGGCAGACTGGGCCGGGCTGGCTTGAAGGGCCGGGAGAACTAGGCTGCCGCTGGATGGTAGCGGAGGGGCCCTGTTGGTTGCGCCCCCGGGTAGGGAGACGGGGAGAGGTTCTAATTGTGCCTCTCCACGCTCGAGTCGGCCACGCGAGCTAACATCTGAGAGAGAGATGACGCAGCGATGGCGTGTACATGTTAGAAACGCGCGAATCTGGCTCCGGAGTTCATCGGATTTCTTTTTCTTCAAGCAAGGCTGCTATTCACCACTAACATCCCGCTCTGGTGTACCCGATCTCGGGACTCGGGGCGCCGCGGATGTCGCCGGCAATCCTCACGTTTGAGCCGGCCAGACACCCCCCTGCTAAACGCATCCTCCCCTACGGGCGCGCGCGCCGTTCGTATTTCGAGAGAAGGATGAGAGGAATGTCGCCAACCAGCACTTGGGAGAGATGGGTCGAGGCCGTACTTGCGAAGAGCCCCTATTTCCGGACAGGCATGAGCTAGGTTGGTCGGCTAGTAGGTTGCACCCGTGCCTCAGATGGCACACAGCGTAAGGCGGACGATATGAGGATGAGGATATAGTAGGCATTCATATATGAAGTACCTGCCTCAGATACCAAGATTATGGAGTTACACGGTATATACATATGTGTGGATTCCTCCTGGTACCTATAGGTACCTCGAGGTACCTAATACAGCGGCGGTGTATATTGATATGGATCCCATGTGTGTATGAGAGGTACCTACCTATTGACGCTAATGTGTACAAGAGATGGAAGGTGAATCGATCAATGGGCAGCTAAGATACTGGCTGTACCCCACCTCGCGGGGCAAAGGGTTCTTAAATACAAAAAAGATTTAACCCCTCCAAAATTCAGCCAGCAGCTCAGAATAACAACAACTTGACGAGGGTTTCCTACCACTCCCATTGCGGTGCCAGAATTGCTCGCTACTTAGCCTCCTCACCCTAGGGACCTCTTCGCACCCTTAAACATGCTCGACGTCCTCGATTTCATCGCCGAGCGGGGCGGCAATCCCGAGAAGATCCGCGAGTCTCAGCGCCGCAGATACGCCAAGGTCGAAGTTGTCGACGAGGTCATCGAGATGTTCGAGGACCACCGCAGAAGTCAGTTGCCGCCCTTCCCCTTGCGCTAGATGAGGGCCAGCACTGTCAAGACTAACGATTCGCCATCGATACAGCCCAGTATGCCGCAACGCAAATGAATAGCAAGATCAACGAAGTGAATAAGCAGATAGGCGCCAAGAAGAAGGTCAGATCTCCAGATCGTCTCTGAGTCACCCAATCCGTTGCGTACGTACGTGCCGTAGCTAACCAAGAGCCCGTCCGTCCCTGCAGGCCAAAGAAGACGCCGACGAGCTTCTCCAGCAAAGAGCCAGTCTCGACAAGGAGAAGAAGGATCTGCTCGACTCGGCCGCCCAGAAAGACGTCGCGCTCAAGGCCAAGATCAAGACCATCGGCAACATCGTCCACGACTCGGTCCCCGTCAGCGACGACGAAGACAACAACGCGATCCAGCGCACGTGGGCGCCCGAAGGCGTCAAGGTCGAGAAGAAGAATGTGCTCTCGCACCACGAGGTCCTGCTGCGGCTCGACGGCTACGATCCAGATCGCGGGGTCAAGGTTGTCGGCCACAGAGGCTATTTCCTGCGGCAGTGGGGCGTGTTTCTCAACCAGGCGCTGATCAACTACGGGCTGGAATACCTGACGGACAAGGGCTTCACCCCGCTGCAGACGCCTCAGTTCATGCTCAAGGACTATATGGGCAAGACGGCCCAGCTGGAGCAGTTCGACGAGGAGCTATACAAGGTCGTCGACGGCGACCCGCAGAATGACAAGTACCTCATCGCCACCTCGGAGCAGCCCATCTCGGCCTTCCATGCCGACGAGTGGATCATAGCCAAGGAGCTCCCGATCCGATACGCCGGGTTCAGCACGTGCTACCGGCGGGAGGCCGGTTCCCACGGTCGCGACGCCTGGGGCATCTTCCGCGTCCACCAGTTCGAGAAGGTGGAGCAGTTCGTACTCACGGATCCCGAGAAGTCGTGGGAGATGTTCGACGAGATGATCGCCACCTCGGAGGGGTTCTACCAGTCCCTAGGACTCCCGTACCAGGTCGTAGCTATCGTCTCGGGGGCGCTGAACAACGCGGCGGCGAAGAAATTCGACCTGGAGGCGTGGTTCCCCTTCCAGGGAGAGTATAAGGAGCTCGTGTCGTGCTCCAACTGCACCGACTACCAATCTCGCGCGCTAGAGATCCGGTTCGGCACCAAGACGCAGACGGACGCCAAGAAGAAATACGTGCACTGCCTCAACTCGACGCTGTGCGCGACGGAGAGAGCGTTATGTTGCATCCTCGAGAACTACCAGACGGAGGACGTAAGTAGAACCTGCCCCACTCGCTCTCGAATAGCTTTATATACTAATTCGGCGGTGGGCGTGTGTGTACAGGGCCTCCGCGTTCCCGAGCCGCTGCGCAAGTATCTCCCGGGCGCACCGGAGTTCATCCCGTTTACGAGAGAACTGCCCAAGGACACAACTTCGCAGAAGGTCAAGGCGAAGGCAGAGAAGGCGGCGAAGCCGAAGGCAGCGGGCGTGGCGGAGACTGGAGAGAAGCTTAAGGACCTGGCCGTATAAGCAGGAGGAGATCCGGATGCCTACAGTCGCGCACTCGGCCCCCCCCCCCGAGAAGGCGGTACCTAGATATGTATGACGGGTTGAGGAGCAGTAGACAGATACCACGGGGCCGTTCACGTCTTGCCATATGACGGGCAGTAAGACGCGGGTAGCCATGTGTTTACGTATAGGTACCTAACACAGCAATACGACAGTGAGCTTTGCCAATCTAGCCGTAGAGACGGGGGGAATAAAAGTACGGAGCTGTCCCCATTCCCGTGTTGAAGATCCATTGTGCGTTATAGCATACCCACCTGAGTGCGTGGCTACCTGTATGTATAGGCATACATTAGGGACCTGGGTACCTAGGTATTTAGTCAGGTACATTCAGGGAGGCCGATCCACTCACTGTCTGGAGCCAAGCACTCCTTAAGTACCTTAGGTACCTAGGTACTGAGGCCTCGGCTCCGTATAAGAAGAGGCACCTTAGGGCGTGGAGGTTTACGGGTTAGGCTTAGGTACCTACCTCCTACTCATATGCAGATGTCTAGGTAGAGGGAGGTACGGGTCCCCAATACATAGTAAGTTACTTAAATGTACTTTCCAGGAAGTGCATCTCATTGAATGCAAGTGGATCTGACTACCTAAGGTACCTAGACAGGTATCTGGGTACATGTAGGTACATAGGTAAGCATATAGGTAGATTCTAGAGTGGCTTAGGGCGTACCCCGATACATAGGTACCATCAGATCCACATTCTTGGTAGACTGCCTAACCGTTTCCGACGGGTTCCTTCTAACAGGGTGATTAGGAGTTGTCCGCCGCGTGCGGCCTCCGTCTGCGTCTGGCACCTGGGTACATGGTTGTAGGGGATGACGTTGGGCCGGGCGTGTTAAGGGTTAAGGTACCGGAGGTAGACACGTCCCCAAGTTAAGGTACCTACCTCTTACCTCCTCCAAAGGCCTAACTACCTAAGTAGCTACTTGCGTTGTCCAGCAACGCATCCATCATCCTACCTTCGGATATCACAAGTAGTTAAGCCCCTACCTAGGTACCTATTTCCTACCTCTGTGCCCGCGCTGTCAACCCAAGCGTGCTTGTTTTCAGATTGCCTGGGCAGATATCCGGAGGTGGCGCCGGTGAATCCCACTACGAAGATACACTCTTCTTTGATTTCTTCTCTCCTTGTATTAGTCACTTAGATACCCGCTCGCTCGCTCGCTCGCCGCCGGGCTTGTCTTGCTCCGTTGACAACCAGACAGACCCAAACCAGGTCGTAAAAATACACACACACGGAAAAACACATAGAAGGACGGGCAGAGAGGAGACGGAAAGACAGAGAGGGGGCAAGGGAATGACGGGAACACACGATCGATTGCCTTGAAGCTCGGACCAGATTCCCCCTCTGACACACATATCTACAACACAGCCAGCCTATGCATACGTATACACTCTCGAACGCCTAATAGAGTAGCGCACTCGAGCGCTCACATGCACCCACGAGCGGAACAATAGGGGTTTAGAGTGCTCCTTCAGCCCCCGTCTCGGTACTTCTGGAGAGAGAGAGAGAGAGAGAGAGAGAGAGACGCCGCGGATATCGTAGGTGTAGCAGAGCGAGACGACCATGTCTAGCGAATTCGTTTGCCCGTTTTGCGGGTCGAGTCTCGGTAACCAGTATCTACTCTTGTTTGTGAGCGAGGCCCTTACGCTACCACCCCCACCCCTGATGCCCGAGAACTCACCGGATTCGCAGCACGTCGAGACCCGCCACGCCGAAGGAAAGTCGCCGTTTGTCGTGGACGGGGACGAGGCGGCGCCCGAGAAGGACGAAAGCCCGAACGAGGAGGACCAGTTCGCCGAGTGTCCCGTAGACGGATGCGGCGAAGTCGTCACGCTCGCCGAACTCGAAGATCACATCGAGCTCCACGGCGCAGAACAACCCGAGGAGCCGCCCACGCCGGTGCCGGATTCGCGACAAGGCCGCGTCAGCGCCCAAGGAAGCAACAGTACCAGTGCTAAGACGAGACCGGTAGACGGTGGCTACCGGTCCCCATACTCGCAGAGTAGAGACGCGGCGCCCCGGCCCCGCCGCGCTCACAAGTCCAACGAGCGTGTTGCATCCCGTGAGCACAACCCGGCCTCGGCGGTCGGCATATGGAAGCAGATATTCGCTGCGCCCCCTCAGAGATCACGCGAGCTGCAGGCGCTGGCGGGCGGGGATTTGGGCAGGAGGCTTGGTGTAAGTCGGTCTGGGCGAATCTCGCTTCGCCTCGCCACCCGCCACCTCGTCCGGATTTGAATGGCGTGACTGACACGTGGACCAGAAGTCGGAGCTCGGCAGGTATGCTCACGAGGACAGGATGCCGGACTGGCTCGTGTCTCTGCTAAAGACCGGTGGCTACGAAAGCTCCGAAGGTACCGTCCTCCCCGCCGCCGGGACTCCGTGAGGCTGCTCCTCCCAGCTCACCGATCGCGTCCAGGTATAGTAAACGTTCTCGAACAGCTCCTACAGCAGAACGCTGCAACGCAGCACGCCTATCTCTGCCACCCGGCAGTTCAACACATCTCCAAGCTACGGAGGGAAGGCAAGTCTACCCACACACACACACCCGTGCCCGTGCCGTAGTCCCCGATTCGTCCGTCCCGTGACGAGAAATCACTGCTGGCTGGGTTTCCTCTGCTGACGAGCCGTGGGTACGCGCTCGGATAAGGTGGCTTCTGCGGGTACCGAAACATACAAATGCTCTCGTCGTACATCGTCGGGGCCAGCGCGCCGGGCGCCGAAGCGCTACGGGATAGGATACCGAGTATCTTCCGCATCCAGGACTACATCGAAAAGGCCTGGGACATGGGCATAAACACGCAAGGGAGGATAGAGACGGGCGGCGTGAAGGGCACCCGCAAGTACATCGGCACGCCAGAGGTAGGTTCGCTATGGCCGGCAGTCCCCTCTCATCGCCCACGAGCCTAACGCCTCTTCTTCGAGTCGGAGGGGCTCCTCTAGACCAGCATAAACGTTAGAGGTATCGACTGACACAAAGTTACTACTAGGCACAAGCCGTTTTCCTCAGCCTCGACATACCGTAGGTCCCTCCCCCTCTTTGCGCGACGGCTGCCAGCAGAATTTCCTCATCCCTACCGAGTACCTCTTGTTGACAGCGGCGCGCGCATCTAGATGCGAGGCCCAAGCATTCAAGAATACAGTACCCGACGTCGCGGCGGCCCTCCTGCTCGACACCGTGAGGGCGTACTTCGAGTCGGCGCCCTGTCCCAATCCGGAGGCCAAAGTCCGATGCACGTCCCTGCCGCCTATATACTTTCAACACAGAGGTAAACTTTTGATTTCCCTCCTTTCTGCCATCCAGTCTTTTGGGATACAAACGCACACTGCTTACACTGCCCGCACACCAAAAAAGGCCACTCTCTTACCATCATCGGGCTCGAGAGGCGCCGTGACGGCGGCTGGGAGCTGCTCGTCTTTGACCCCATGTTCCGCGACCCCGACGGGATCACGCGGTATATCGGCCGCCGGTTCCAGCACCGAGATCCAGAACGGGTGCTGAAGCTATACCGTCGCGGGGCTAAGTATCTTAAGAAGTACCACGAGTTTGAGATTCTGAGGTATGGAAACTTTCTAATTCCCTCCTCCCTCTCTTCTATTCTCTTCTCTGCTTTTCCCCACGAGCTAGATTTTTAATGTCCCTGTGGTACTCCCCCTTTACTGGGTGTGTACCTTTGTTCTACATACAGGTTGACACCAAGTCCTGGGCTCATTGCCCGCTACCCCCACGCGCCAAGCGTCGGCGACTTGTGTTCACCGTTACCGCACCCGCAACAATAGTATTAGCAACGAATAGGGGAGATCGGTTGCATCTTTCGGAGCGGGAGTAGGTTTCCTAGTAGGGCATCACACATCTGGGTCTATTCGTTCACCAGGTTGTTAGGTCAGGGGCGAAAGGGACAGGAGGGACACGGTAGAAGGAGGAGGGAATCCGGCATATTTTACCTGTCGTTTATTTAAGGGAGACGGGCACGCAGTTGGCAGGTTTTATCGAGCGGTATAGAGCAAGCGCAGCAAGGCACTTCGGGCAGCACTGGGTAATATATGCGTACCTAAAACATATGCATGGCGAGCGCGTGACGCTGCGGAGAAGGGGGAGCCATCTATCACGGATGATTCTAGACTTATGACACACACGCTCTCTCCCTTTCTTTCTCGCTATGCAGACACCGACAAGCACAAAACACGCCGCGTACAAGCCGCCGCCCCCTGAACTCGGGCGCCGACCTTATCCATTGCGCCACGCGTCTGCGTCTAAGCACGCAGGTATCTAGAGACACGACGAGATCTACGCCCTCCGCAAACACCCTGCCCTGTCTGCCCGGCTCTAGTTGCTCCCAAGAGGACCAACCCCCCTCCTCTTCCCCATCGAGCCACCAGCGCTGGGGGGGGAAGGCCTACTCGGCCAGGCCGCCGGCCTCGATCCACGCGCGCAGCTTCTCGAGCGCCTTGAAGCGGTGCGAGATCTTGTTCTTCTCGTCCTTGTCCATCTCGGCGTACCTGATTTTTTTTTTCTCTTAACGTCGCCGGCTCTCGTCCTCTAGTCTCGGCAGGCGGGGGGTTGGGAGAGAGCAGGGGGGAGGGGGAAAGGGGGTGGAGAAAGAACAAGGACTTACGTCTGGCCGTCGTACTCGAATACCGGGTCCCATCCTGCGCACGCGGTCAGTCAGCTGAGGAGAGGGGGGGGGGTAAAACCTGAGAGTTTTTGGCCGCGCGATGAGGAAGGCGGGCGGGAGGGGCCGTACCGAAGGTGGCGGGGCCCCGCGGGGGCACGATCTTGCCCTGCTCGCGCGCGTCAGCGTGCCTTGGACCTACGTTGGTCATAGGGGCCCCCCCCTCTCGGCGCGGCGGCGGGACGTACGTGCGTGCGGCCCTGGAACAGCAGGACCTCGTGGCCGGGCCCGCGGCAGAAGCCGAAGGTGGCGACCGCCTGGGCCGACTTGTCCTCGTAGGCGGCGAGCAGGTTGTTGAGCCCGACGTGGCCGACGGACTGCATGAACCACTTTCTGCAAAGGGGGGGGGGGTTTGGTCAGAGGAGGAGGGAGCGGTTAGTTAGTTTTTTTTTTTTCTTTCCTCGGGCCTGTCCTCCCCTCTTTACACACTACGTATATATATATACACACACACATTGGGCCCCGAAACACAGACACGCCGGGAGAGCAGAAGAATGAGAAGAAGTAGAGACAGGGGCAGAGCAGGACGCACATGTACGGGCCCGGCAGGCCGTGCAGCGCGTCGAAGCACAGGCCGGTGTCCTCGACGAGGACGGGGCCGGCGACGGCGGCGGCGGCGGCGCGGCACTTGGCGCGCGTCACGTCGTCGAGCGTGCCCTGCACCTCGGGCAGGTCGAGCGCCTCGCTGCGCACCGCGATGCCCGCCGGCTCCAGGATCGCGCGCACCTCGCGCAGCTTGTTCGCGTTGCCCGTGATGAAGTTGACCACGGGCCGGCCGGCGGTCTCGGCAGCGGCGGCGGCGGTGGTGGCGGTGGCCATCTTTGTCTGGTTTAGGGGGAGAGAGGAGAAGACACAGAAAGAAAGAAAGAAAGAAAGAAAGAGATGAGAGAGAGTTGCGTGGTTCGGTCGTTAGCTCGCGAGGCCGCTCCCTCTCCGGTCTTCTTCTGCGGTGCTGCTGGGTCGTCGTCGGCGGGACGGAGAGTGTATAATTTGCATCGGTGACTTGGGCTCGCCGGCCGGGCTCAACGGGCCCTGCTTTATAGAGGTAAACTACCTAGAGGTAGCTGAGCGCTGCTAGTGTGTACCTGAGGCAGGCCGGCCGGCATGACGCACTCGGCGACATGCAACCCTACCATACCACTGCCAGGTACCTACCTGGCCTTATCGGTACAACCCCTTACACCTAGGGATAGGTACCTACCTCCTAGGTAGGTAGCCCGCTGTGTCCGCTTTAGGAGGCACCTACATCCCTAGTAATATAGGTACAGGCTTTAGGCGGGTTAGGCACCGAATCTAGCCTACAAGTAGGTACCTAAGATACCCGCCTCTGGCAACGCCAACCCTCAACTGCACGGCCAACGCAGGAAGCAGAACCCTTACCGAAGAACGATATCGTCGGTGTCTCGTAGCCACAACGCGCAACCAGCGCCGATAAACCGTAGGGTATCTCACATCTCATTGCTACTCGCACACACATACGGCGATTCTCCTCCCGCGTCCTAGCCGCTTTTTCTCTCCCTTTCTCCTTTTTTTTTCTCCCCTCCTTGTCGCCGTCTTCTTTCCTCCCCCTATCTTAAAGCCTAAGGCCTCCGAGCTTCCAACCAACCCCCCCTTTCCCTCCTATTTCCCTTCTCCTCCTCCTCCTCCGTCCTCTTCCTCATCTCCGTCCTCACCCTCGCCGCCGCCGCCGCCGCCGCGGCGATCCGACTTCCACTGCCGGACCCACGCCTCGATCCGGTCGACGTTGGCCTCCATCTCGTCCGTCGTGTTGCTGCTGAGCTCCACCACGATCTGCTCCTCGTACGCCTCCCGCGCCTCCTGCAGCAGCACCTCCATGATCTCCGCGTCCAGGTTCTCCTGCAGCTTCGCCTCGGGGTATTTTCTGCCGGGCCGTTAGCAGCGTCAAACTTCTTCTTTTTTCGTCGCTCTCCCCTCCCTTCCCTTCTTCTCCCCGCCTCCCCTCGTCTCGGCTCCCAGAGTATATAAATATACACATATACCCCATATACTCCCTTTGCGTCGGTTTTCTCCTCCATTTTCCCAGTAGAGCCTTCGGTTTTTTTTCTATGAAAAAACCAGAAGAACCCCTAACTTATGAATAGAGGGGTAAGGGGGGGAGGAAAAGGGGGAGAAGGCAGAGATGGGCAAGAATCAAGAAAAGGGAGAGAGGGAGGTAGTCGACAAGAGGAAAAAGTACGTAGAGAGATGGGTAGGGAAATAGGTACCTCGCCGTCAGCCGGTCATACAGCGTGCTCGATTCGACGCGCAGCACCACGACCAGGTCGATCCAGCTCTCGGGGAAGATCTCGCAGCCGTGCCAGTCGATGATGCAGCCGCCGGCCTTGACGTTGTCCTCCTCTAGCGCGTCCAGCAGCTGCGCGTCCGTCTCTCCGGGTCAGCTAGCTCTCGCTCGGCTCTTTCTTTTTTTCTCTTCTTCTTCTTCTCCCCGTCTTCCCGTCCCCGGATCACCTATGAAAAAAAAAAAAAAAAAAAGCCGTCGCCGGTCTGTCTCGCGCCTCGCACTCACCTTGTCCTCGTCCACGATCCAGCTCAGGAATTCGTCGTCCCACCCCTCATGGCAACCCTTGTCCTTGACCACCTCGTTCACCGACACGTGCCGCAGGCCCGTCCGCTCCGCGAGCACCTCGCAGTGCGTCGTCTTGCCGACCCCGGGCGTGCCCGTTATGATGATGTTCGGGTTCGTGCGCATCTCCGTCTTTTTTTCCCTTTGTGTTTCGGTTTTTCTCTCTCGTCCCCCCTTCTCTCTCCTTTTCCCCTTCCCCTTTTTTGTTTCTTTTCCCCTTTTCGCACAATTTCCCTGACTCCGCTTGAATAGGCCGCCTCTCTCTCTCTCTCTTATTTTGGGCTAGTGAGAAACAGGAATGTACTTCTGCGCTCGACGGGCGAGATCTCTGTGAAAAGAATGATGGGATAAAGGACGGGGAAAGGGTTTAAGAAGAGCTAGATATGCCTATGGGATATGCGTGGGTGAGGCCGGTTTGGGAAAAATTTATGACTGTCGGGGTCTGCACTACGTACCTCACCATATCCCCCCTCCCCTCTACATACAATACATCGTCTATGAGTATCCTCTAGGCAGGTATCATATAGCCGATAACCCTGATATGCATGTATCCAGACCTCAGGTAACTCGGGCAGGTAGCAGTCAACATTGGGCAGGTCACACGTGTGCAGCTTCCGTCAGGTACACTGCCACAAAAATAAAAAAAAATTATGTAACACGCGAGAACTGGCTCTACTCTCTATACCCGAAGTTCGCCTCGAAATTCAAGTACATGAGAGAAAGACAGGGAGTGCTAACTACAACCTCCTCACAACAAATCTTGCATGTTCGGCTCATACACCTCAGCTAGATGCTATACAGTATGTCTCGTCTTTTCTCCCGAGTACGCTCTCCCCCCACCCCTCCCCTCTCTGCTCTTGGTCCCGGACGGCCGAGTCTAAACAAAAAGGTAGCGTCAGACGCCTGGTCCGTAGTTCGTATGAGCCTTCTAGTTCAGTCATCATGCCCTATTGTCCATTAAGTCTGTACTATCCCTCGAGCTCGCCTCAACCTTGCGATGCCCCTGGTGCTTCTGCCCGCGGCACTCGGAACCTGCTGGTCTTTGATGTTTTGATTAAAAAAAAAACAACCATTCATAGCTCGTAATGTGCCACAGAACCCGTCATAGTCTCATAGTACCATTCATCATTTACAAGACAAGTCAGGCAACCCAGATCGATGCCGAGTTACCGTCGACAATCCCGGCTCTACTCGCCCTCGACGCCAACTTCGTCCTCCTCCATGAGGTCGCCGCCGTTCTCGTACTCGTCATCTTCCATCCTCTCCTGCTGAGCGATGGCCTGAGCAGAGACTATCTCGGCCAACCTCTTCAGGCGAGGCGTTTGCAGCCCTGCGAAAGGTCAGATTAGCCATCTCCCGTCCTCATGACAACGACCGATTCGATCACAACTTACACGACGGGGTGTACGTCTCCAGCGCCGTAATCGCCCGGGGTTCTGCGATCTCGTATGGGCCACTGTCATCCATGTCTACGGCCGGCAGTAGCAGGACGTCCGTCTTCTCCGTTACCCTAGACGCCACAGCCTTCATGATATCTCCGTTGATCGGCTGTTCGTAGTCCGCCACGAGATACTGGTTCAGAAGCTTCTGGATTTGGTTGGGGGAGAGCCTGATGGCGCGTGTTAGCCCTGTACGTGGCCCTCCGAGACGACCTGCCGTCCACTTACATCCAGCAGATATCTTGAATGATCTCGATATCGTTCAGGGTCGCCTTCTTTAGCTGCAGGAGTTTGGTTGCTTGCTGGGAAACGAGACAAGGGGTTAGCTACGAGCTAGATAAAAAGAAAAAAAGCGTAGGGAGAAGGGGGTAAGCTCGGTAGACTGACCATGAGATGCTCGAGCTGCAGGGTGCCTTCAGGCATGTCGTGGCTCTTGCACCACTCCTCGATACGAGTGATGTTGTAGTTGATCTGCAGGCCTCGTTTCCACGAGAGGAAGTTCCTGCGCATGAGTAGGTCGTTGAACGCGGTGACGCCCACCAACCGAAGGAGTTCGGTAACGGTCTGGGTGATGATGGTATCCTCTAGATAGTACGCCTTCATAGCTCTGAATACGTTGTTCAAGAGGCTCAGCAGGTTATCCATGTTGTACGCGGGCGTCGAGTTCGAAGCCAACAACTTGCCGAGGAATCTGTTGTTGTCGTTCGTGACGAAGCCGGGCAGCGACTGGGATTCGATGATAGCTGGGATGACCATCTTTGCCAGCTTCTTCTTGAGGATCTTCATCCACGTGTGGTATATGTTGAATTCCAAGCTTTCGAGGTCATGCTTGACAATCTCCAAGAGCCGGTCGTACTCGAAATTGTCCGTCTTCTGGGCCTCGTACCAATCCTCGGCAAGGAATACGAACGAGAGCATCTCGTGTACGTTGGACAGCCAGAAGGCGCCGGGATTGACGGCGTCGTCTCCCTCATAATGCATGACCTCTTGCTGGATCGACGACATGACGTTGGCCAGGAATCTCTCCGACTCCTTCACGAACCCGTTATTCCACATCTCGGATGTGACGAGGTTAATGAGATAGGATGGGAAGAGAACTTCCTTGTCCGAAGGCGGCGGGTTGGTGTTGGGCGACGGAATCTTCAAGTTCTTGATGAGGCCCATCGTCACCTCCTCGTTCAGGCCAGCCTCGTCGGCAAGTAGGCCTTCCAGTTCCATCTCGATGGTGTCCGGGCCTGGGACGTAAGTGACGCTGGACCGGTTCGCGCCGCTGGTAACGGCCATCGAGACGGGTCGCGGATTGTAGGCGGCGCTGAAACGGTCTATCGCGCTGGGCTCCGCGCCCGCGCTCCGGCGCTTCGGTTTCTTGGACGCCACCAAGTTGATGAGGCCGTTGGAAGGGGCGTTGACGCCGTTGCCGTTGGTAAGCTCGCCGTTGAGGGCGCCCGTTCGCTTGGCCAGCTCGAGCTCCTCGGCCATCTGCGCCAGCTGCTCCCGCAGCGTCATCTTCTCGTTCTCGTGAAGCGTGCTCTCGCGCCGGATGCGTTCCAATTCGGCGTTTGCGGTGCGTAGAGATTCCTTCAGCTCGCGTTCCTCCTCCTGCATCCGTTTGACGCTCGACGTAGACTCGTCGAAGTTGTGTTGCAGCTTCTTCATCTCCTCCTCCATAGCTTGTAACTTGGCGACGGCGATACCGGCTTGGTTGGCTTCCGCCTGAAGCTCCTTCGTCCGGGTCTCGAGGGCATTGTGTCGGCTCTTCCACGACTTGATCTGGCTCTCGTAGTTCTCTACCTGGCTCTGAAGACTCTTGTTCTGGGTCTTCATGGTGCCCAAGGACTGGGTGAGTTCGACGACCTTGTTTTCCAGCCTGTAGGAAATCTGCTTCAAGTCGCGAGCTTCCTCGCGGACCTTCTTGTAGTCCCTGCGCGCCACCCTTCCGCGCCACAGGCTCTGGACCAGGACCACTTTCTTGCGGTAGTTTCTCCACGCGCGGACCTGTCTCCTCGATCGCCATACGCGCTGGATGAGCACAACAGCATTGCCCACGCGAGTCTCCATAATCTCTTTCCTCCGCAGGTAGCCCTTGGCGACAGCCTGGACGAGGATGACGCTGTTGCGAATCTGCACGAACACTTTCCGCTGTTTCTGTCCCTTCCAGACTCTCTGGATTGTCGTTGCGGCCTTGACCGTGCGCAGCTCTTGGGCCTTCACGCGGGTCACGTTAGCCCTGGCGAGAGACTGGAAAGCAATGATAGATTCCCGCGCCTCGAGATACTTGCGTCGATAGTACTTGGCTTTGAGGTTCTTCTGGATCAGGATGGCAGCCTCGCTCATCCGGTTCTGGCGCAAGTTCTCGAGGTTCGCCAGCATACCGGCACGGAAAAATATCTTGGTCAAACCTAGTTGGTAGCTGTCGGTCCCGGTGCCGGTATTGGAACCGAGGGCCCGGGCGAGAATCTCTTTCACGAGCTGCCGAATCTCCGTCTGCCATCGGCTAGACGGGATCAGCAGATAGTATCGCAAGGCAAACTCTTCGTAGGTCCAACGTCCCGGGTAACCAGCGCAGCTGATGCGGATGGTCTCGAGAACACCGCAAGCTCTCAGCTGGCTGAGAACCATAGGTCCTTCGAATTTCCACGCGACCTTAGCCTCGTTTGGCTTGATGCAACGGATGTAGTGAACATTGGTGTTGCCGATGGTATTCATCAGTTCGATCAACGAGGAGCGGAATATGCCGCCGAGGGTTGGCTTGCGGTTCACGGCGACTCCTATTTTCCTCCCCGCTGCGGGTCTGGCAACAGCGGACCCGGTCGAGGCCAGGTCCTTCTCGCGAACAGCCAACGCGGCAGCGAGGACTTTCCCGAGGAACTTGTTCGTCGTGGCTCGGAGAATCTCCATGTGCTCGTCAGGCACCGTATCCCTATTCTTCTCAATGAAACCTTCCGACTCGTAGGTGACATCGACGGCATAATGGCAGACGGTGAAGGAAGATTTGCCAAATCGGGGCCTCTTATAAAATTTGTTCTTGTCATCGCAGAAGTGGTGATGAAGCTTCGTAACGAACTGCTCATCCGCGCCCATGGGCAACCTGGACTCCTCGTCGAGGAGCGACAGGATACCCAGTTTACCTTCGATCAAGTCGATACACGGCTGGTTGTCGGAGAACTCGATGAAGGTCCAGTCTATCTGCTCACGGACATACTCCTCCTGTTCGAGCCTAAACACGTGGGAGTTGAATTGCTGTTGCAATTTCTCGTTGGCGTAGTTAATACAGAACTGCTCAAATGAGTTCTTGGCGAAGTGCTCGAAACCGTAGATATCGAGCACGCCGATGAACGACGATACGCGGCCGAGCACTTCTTCGGTGGCAAGACTTCGGTTGATGATTTCCACCAACCAGTCGAAGAGACTCGAATAAATGTACTTGGCAACCGAGTCTCGCACGACAATAGCCTGCTGCTGCGTTAAGTTGGAGACGATCTTCTCGCCACGGGTAACGAGCTGCTTCTTCACGATCCACTTTGAGAAGTTCGTAGCATCGATTCCCAAGATACTACACGCACGCTCCAGCGAGGGCTCCGTGGGTTGCAGCACGCTGTCGCTCCTAGAAGCGCCGATCTTAACGTTACCCAGGTGCAGCAAACCGGCGAGGAGGTTGAAGATGCCCGACTGCTGGGCCTCGTCGACGCCGATCGTCTTTAGGGAGCTCTTGGTGGCGAGAAATTCGGCCTTGTCGTCGACGCCATCGATCGTAGGAGAATTACCCTGGTTAAGATAGTCAAACTGCTCGATCGGTAGCAAGCCGAGATCCTGGCGCTCCTTGTCCGTTGCTCCGGCCAAGAACTGGTAGAAGATGTGGTAATTCCTCTCTTTTAAGGGTTGAAAGACGAGTCTCGACCGTTCGAGGAGGTAGGTCCGAATCCTGGCACCGATGATGTTCGTCTTTTCGTCGAACATAATTTCTATGTACTTTCCGAATCTCGAAGAGTTGTCGTTTCGCGTCGTCTTGGCGTTTCCGAAAGCTTCCATGATAGGGTTGGTTGCCAAAATCTGTTCTTCCGTCTCACTCATCGTCTCGGACCCCTTCTTCACCCGCCCGCCGGGGTTGTCTGGGGATTCTCTAGTGGCAAAGTATCTCATGATGTATTTAGCACTAACAGTCTTCCCCGCGCCAGACTCTCCCGAGACGACAACCGTTTGGTTCCTCTTATCCTTTATCATTTTTCTGCGGGGGATTTGTATCAGCCATGGCGCAGGTGGACGCGAGGACAAGGGGGTAGGAGCGTAATTACATGAAGGCTTCCTCGGCGATGGCAAACAGATGGGGTGCCTGCGTCTCCCTCTGCTTGCCAGCATACACCTGGACCATGCCGGGGACATAGAGGGAATCGACTCGGGCGAAAGGATTCGTGGCGATCAGGACTATGCCGCTGTACGTGTAAATCTCCTTTTGCATGTATCGCAGGCGAATAGCCTGGAGTACTAGATGCGGAGGAAACGGTTAGTACATGGGGTAAGGCGAGGACTCGCACACGCTTGCAGGAAGACGCATACCAGCAGGCTCGTTCAAGTGGGACAGGTTTGTTAAATCATCGCTGGCTTCAAGCATCGAAGGGTTCATCAACGGAGGTAAGGACGGGTCGTTGGCATTCTGCAGGGCGGCTGCGGAGAGCGTCACCGTCTTGGTCTATAACACCGGCAGGCGGTCAACTTGACTGGTTCACTTAACCCAAGAGGAGATTCCCCTCTTTCTCTTCCTCTTCCCTCCCCTCCCTCGCGAAACGACGTCCACTCCAGCGGTGCTTCCCCGGTTGCTTACCTCTTCGTTCTCGAGCTTGAACTCGAGGATCACCTTGTCACCATCGACGGTCCTCTTGACAACCTCCGAGGCCACCCAGCCCTCGGTGGCATCCGGCTGCCAAGCTCTCGTCCCGACATCATAGCTATGCGACATGGGAGGCTGCTGAAGAAACAGGGACAGACTAGGCTCGGGATCGGTCGCGTCGCGGGATACAGAAGGGCGTCAAGGTACCGTGTTAAGGGAAGACTGCAGTGGGAGGCATTCGTGCCGATTAGTGGGAATTTGGACGGGCGGAACCAAAACGAACAAGGCAGCCCAGGTATGCAGCAAAACGAGACACAGGCGGCAGACCACCGGAATCTAGTACGGAATAAAAGAACAGACGGACAGAGAGACCCAGGGGACCAGGGCAACGGAACCGGGTTCTTTTCCAGCAGAGAAGAAGCAAATAGTGATGGTGGTGGCGTCAGTAGTAAGAGTAGTGGTAGGGGAGGAGGTGGTGGTGGTGGTGGTGAGGATGGTGGCAGTGGTGGTTTTAGTGGTGGACTAGCAGCGGTGACGGGAGTAGCAGAGGTGATGATTTTCACATCCGAGGAGAAATACTAGGGGCAATTTTTCGACATGGGCCAGGTTGTGATTTATCTGTAGTATTATATCGTATTGCATATGTACGAATATGTAGTACAATGTAATATCTGCACGGTAAGGGGGGTACAACCTCAAGTACCTCCCAGGCAGGGGAGAAATAAGAAGTGGGAGCCAACGGGCAGATAGAACCAGATACGTACTACATAGCAGCCATAGCCGTTGTCATTGCTCTACCTTTATGTACTGAGCCTTCTCTCCCTCTTCCTCAGCTCCTCTCTCTCTCTCTCTCTCTCGTTGCTTTTCTCGTCTCTTTGTCTCTCTCTCTCTCTCTCTGCCTACCCCCCCCCCTGTTGTTAATCAGTTCATCGGCGATGTTCAGGTGAAGTTAGGGGATAAAGGGGATGGTCGCGTTGCCTTCCTTGGCTTAGTACAGCACTAGGGACAGCGTTGAGCAGGAACCGGACGAGAGGGGCAGCGTGAAGGCGCCAGCCATTCCAATTCTTCAATTAATCGCATTAGCAGCTACCTCTGTTTCTTTATACCCGTACGTGCATACATCTATTCAGTACTTGCATCCGTACCTCTCGCTCTTCTACCCGCGTACATATAGTTATGTATTATGCATATACAAGGTATTATGGTGTTGCCTCCTTTTCGCCTGCAGGATGAGGGTGCACAAGACAGATTGTCAACAGGGTGTTGACCCTATGCAGGTCCCTTTTCCTGGATGAGCTGTTGTGGCATTTTGCTCCGATCAATCAGAGACCATAACGGTTCCTAGGCGACTGCAAAGGTTCGGTCCTGTCGCGTGTCGCGTTTTATGTGTGTGCATATATATGTATATATGTGTCGTGTCGTGTTGTTGCTGCTGGCGACGTGAATGACGGTCATCCCATCCAATGGCACGGGCCCGCATGTCAGTTCCAGGCGGAATGCATACTAATGTATACATACCTACTTACATGCGTGTATCAGGTTCTCAATTAGGTGGATGCAATGGAACAGGAGGGGGACATATGAATGTACTCAATAAGTAAGTTGTATAGGCAGGGGACAGAAGCTCTACCCTTACCCATACCTCAGGTACATAGTCCCCTCAACACTCTTATCCAGGCCGTCCATCTCAATATACCTACCACTGCCGTACCTAGGTAGGTAGTACGTCTTGATCGTCACATTCCAAAGCGGTCGGGCGAGAGAGAGGTCTATGGACCCAAAGTCCCTGACCGCCTTATACATTACATGCAATCCATCCGTCACTCGGCATACCGTCCCGTTTCGTACTAAGGTGTGCGGGCGGAGGCCGGGTAGTTGACATGGGTAGATAGAGGTAGGTATGTAATATGCGCATACATACGCACACGTACATACGCGGATGTAGGTAATTAGAACGAAGTAAATAAACGCTAGAAACCTAGGTATAGGTAAGAGATGGCCGTTTATAGATACCTATGCTTCCGGCTTGCTTAATAGAAGGTTTAGAAGGTAAGCAAATTTGAAAGTAGCTTGGTAATGAAAACAACTTATTTCTGCTAGGTATGTTAATTTATTTGTTATTTTGATACTCTTACGATCTCCAGGGTGAGTAAGTGAACTATTTACTCTATTCTTTAATCTCTAGCTGCAAGCAGGCAAGGTTCCTCTATGTGCTTAAAGTACAGTATCATACGAAGCGGAAATCGATACTGCCAATACTCGAAACGCGTATAAGAGAGTGATGAACTGCCCTCCGCTCCCCCTTTATCAGGTAGGTACCTGTAGAGAACGGGGCACATCCAACAAATCCCTGGAACACTTGGCGTACGTAGAAGGAATCCTCACCTTCATCTTACGACCAACCCCGATCTCCGATCCGTTATGTTAGGGCGCCCAGCAGGTCTGCTGTGCTCTACGTGCGGCGTTTTGCGAAACAAGCGGTCTCCGTCCTTATACTCACCTAAGGTAGGTGGGCAGGTATCTACCACACCGCGGATAGTAGAGAATATTGGTTTCGTCGCCTTTGTTATCACGTAGATCGATGCAAGGGGTTTATGTCTATCATGTTTGATACATCAGGTGCCTCCGTATAGGCACATGGAAACACAATCAACAGCGAAGCGGGTGAACCTGGCTGTAGGACTTATGGAAACATCATGCATACCACCAGCAAGCGAGCCTACTCCCCTCCCATGCTGGAAGAACCGCTCTGCTGTCCACCCAGTTACATACATACATATGTGGGTGCCTCCCTGATCCAGAATGCCAGGGTGATGATGTAAATCATTAGAGCAGAGCCATTACCGGAACTGCTTCGAGAATCTCCACGCTCAACATCTAGGTATATACATATCCGCCTATGTACATATGCATGTATTGTGGCATCGCCCCATGTCGCTGGTGTATTCTCACCGCTAGCGTCCAACCAGATGGTATTATACGTTGCACGTCTCGAAGTGTTCGGACGCGACGGCGGCTAAAGGGAAAGGAGAAGGGGAAAACAAAGGTGAAGAAGAATTCTGGAAAATATTGAGCAAATCGACCTTGTTAAAATCCATCTTACCAACCGCATGTAGGTACTACGTACGCCCTATATACATAGATATATATATGTATACCCTAGGTCCTTCATGTTGAAATCATGCCCTCCCTTTTTTTTTCTAACCATACTCGCATGCTATTTCCCTAAACATCCTTCCGGACCAGAGGTTGAAGTTTTTTTTTTCCCCTTCTTCTAGTACACATCATTCATCGGGGATTGCTTTCTGCCCGTCACTCCAGCTCCTAGACACTAGTAGAGAATGCGCGTCATGATGCGGGCTGCGCGAGCTTGGTTAGCTATGCGTGCTCAGAGGGTTGCGAGCTGACCACTTACAGCTAAGAGCTTCGAGTGCATCGGAGATCTCCTTAAGGTCACTAGTCTGGACGTCACTAACGTCCGCCATGAGATACGCAAGCTGTGTGCGTGTTAGCCTGCGAGGTCATTCGGAAGCGGGTTCGGGTGACATACATCGCCTCTACTATCACTTATCTGCTTGTCGACATTGTGGTTGCCAAGGATTTCGTTGACTGGCCCGAGCGTGAGTGAGTGCTCTTACGTAGGTAGGTATAGCGGCAAGTCCGGGATTCTACTAACCTTTGCGAAGAACACCGGGTACGTTCTTGTGGATGTAGATGACCTGTAGCAAATCAGCACATGGCACGGGCTGCCTGCGCGCAGTCGGAACCGCCTTACCCTTGCGTGGTCGGGTTCCTCGAGCGTCAGCGAACGCAGGTTGACCTCGGGCATATTGACACTGCCCAGGCTGATACCCTGGTTGATGTATCGGACCAGAGCATCGCCAACTAAACGGTGCTCGCGTCAGCTCCAAGCAGCAAGCGAAACTCGGCCGGGTTCCCATACCTTCGATACCAATGGCTCTCTGGGCCTCCTCGGTGCTGCCGCCGATGTGGGGAGTGAGGATGATGTTAGGCAGGCTGCGGAGGTCCTCCTCCCAGCCATTCAGACCGTTGTTGAAATAGTCGCCATTGGCACGCGGCTCGGCCGGATAGACGTCCAAAGCAGCCCCGGCAATCTTGCCAATGCGCATCGCATTGACGAGGGCCGGGATGTCAACCACGGTTCCGCGGCTGGCATTGATAAGATAAGAGCCATCTTTCATCTGCTTCAGCTGTGTAGCCGAAATCATGTTCTTGGTCTCGGGCAGCTCCGGGACGTGCAGAGTCACGAAGTCAGCTTCGCTCAGCAGGGCCTCGAGAGTCGGCACCTGCCTAGCAGTACCCAGTGCCATCAGGCTTTGAACGTCATAATACTTGACCGTCATGCCCATGGCTTCCGCCAGCACGGATAACTGCGAGCCGATGTGGCCATAGCCAATGATGCCTTCGCGACCGCCGATATTAGTAGCCGGCTCGGGAACACGCAGCGCTCATGTAGACAGAGATTGGATCGGTGTAAACTACGAGAAGATTGGGTGTTGGGCAGGGCGCTTACCGAGGGTCTTGCCGCGAATCTCCCAGCACTTGCTGCTCACCTTGTTCCAGGTGCCCCTCCGCATCTCGTGGGATCGGTCGCCGAGCTGGCGGGCCAACGTGATGATCTCTGCGATGACAAGCTCGGCCACGCTGCGAGAGTTGGCGAAGGGCGAGTTGAAGACGGCAATGCCGTGGTGGGCCGCGAATTCCAGGTCGACTTGGTTGGTGCCAATACAAAAGCAACCAATGACCAGCAGATTCTTGGCCTCGCTCAGCACCTTCTGGTTCAACTTGGTCTTGGAACGAATGCCGATGACGTGGACGTCTCTACAATATTCCGTCAGGGGTTGACCAGTGGCGAACAGGCAGGCCAGGCAAGGCAAGGCCAGGACTCCGGCAGTGGAGCTTACCGAATCTTCTCAATCAGCTGGTCTTCGGGCAGTGAGGCCTTGAGAAACTCGACCTGGTAGCCCTGGCTGGTCAAGACGTCTCGGCCGCTCTGATTGACATTCTCCAGCAGGAGGATCTTGATGTCCTGGGTGTTGAATGGCTTGAGATGCTTAGGCTGCCCGCGTCGGGGTCCTCCGCCGAAGCTCGACGGAGGAGAGTAGAACTGCACGGCTGACGGCGAAGTCGACACCTCGAGACGATGATGTAACTCCGTCTTAAGTGCCCCGGAGATGTCCTGTGCCTGCGACATGATAGCTACAGCAGCAGCCAAAGTTTGCCTTACGTGAAGGTTGTGTGCTCGTTGCGTGTGGGTTGTGGTTCGTGGTGAGGATGGAATATGTATGGATGAAAAGGTGCGTAAGGCAGGCTGGTTTAAGTGGTTGTTGGGTGCATACGCAAGCCAGTTACCGCGTCAACAACCCAGCACCAGAGATCACAGTCACAAGAGGGGAGGGTAAACCACCACTCCTCTACTATTATATGAGTAAGACGCAGCGGATTGTGACTCCAGTAACAGAGGTAGTCCCGGAGACGGAGGATCGGGGAAACAGAAGCATGTATGGAAGGGAAGTCGGGAAAACTCTGGTAGGCTAAATGCTGCAGCAGTTTGTTCCTATACTAAAGTGATGTTCCGTTTTCCATAGGAGGTACCTACCTAATAATTGCATACATATATACATCGATATGTGCCTCCTAAGAGGCTGCATCCCTAGGAATGGTAAGTACCTACTGTAGATAAGATTATAAGTAGATACGCATATACGTAAGTTAAGTACTTAATATAACTTTAGAATTTATAGTACATTTCTTTTTTCTTTATAGAAGTTTAGTAGATATTAATTAAAGTTTTATGTACTTGTATTTATAAAATAATATTTATAAAAATAATCGCCTTTCCTACTTTCCATGTTGTAGGGAGAGAGAAAAAAACTTAATAGGCGTACTCCCCACCAAACCCACTGCCATCCGACGTCGCTGCATCTACTTGATGTGAGTCACTTTGCAATTATAAGCTATGTGTACATTACCCCTTTCTCCGGCCGCCTGAGGGCCGTCGGCCAAGGACGCATCGGGATATGTACGAGTCTCTGGCTGGGATTGGAGCGTACTTACTTTACTGTATATTCTGAACTGTGATATGAAAAAAAAGAAAGGCTCCTAATAAATATACTTTTATTTGCTTTCTCTCCTTTTCTCTCTCTCTGTAGGTGTGTGTGTGTGTGTGCGCGTGTGTGCCTATAGATGGTGATAACATCGGGGTCTGCTGTTTCCTGATCGTTTTACATAGTTAAATCTGCACTATCGTGGGTTTATTAGACAATGGGTAAGTGAGTGGGTGTAGCAGCAATTCAATCTTGGTTCATGTGCAGCACGCAATGTACATGTGCGCCAGATGCAGACTTCTGTTAACTTCGTGTGATTCTCTCTCTCTGTCCGAATGCTCTACCAGTTAGCTAGCAACGTGATTCCTCCTTTTTTTTCTCCTCTGATACCAGCCTGAAAGCCTTCCCCTTTTGAGGGGGCCAGTGGCAACTCGGAACAACTCTGTTGGCCTTATGCAGCCGCCTTATCCGACGTGCCAACTACTCTGAACCAGTCATGTGCTAGATACTTGAAAAAAGAGAAGGAAAAAAGACACGACTGAGGAGAACCATCAAGCAGCAGCACAGAACGAGACCCTAAAATCAGCATGGAACCTAATGGGAGTGCCAGTCTATTTTGCACTGAAGTTCATAGACCATCGGTGCGTAGGTGAGAGTGTCATTGTAGAATGTTGCAAGTTCACCTCAAAATTAAACCTGTCCGAATGGAGAAGGCATGCGAGAGGAGGAGCAAGACGAGGTAAGGCAGCCATAGTAAACCTTCTTCCTTTGCCCAAGGGAATCTGCAGGGTGGGGTTAGAGTAGTTAGGGGCCACAGGTCAAGCGCCAAATCTAGCTTTGCTTGCACTCCTGAGCGTCCTGCTTCGGCTTTGCGCCATCATCCTGGAGAAGAGGTTAGCTATGCTTACTCCCTACTTCTTATGGAGGGAAACAAACATCATCATCCGACTCATCCTCATCGTCATCGTCTCGGTCGTCGCTCAGGTCATCCTCCTCGTCATCCTCCTCGTCAAAGTTCTCCTCGTCGAGGTCATCAATCTCCTCAAACGCGAGAGCCTCGCCAGTAAACCAGTCGATGGCCCGAGGGATCAGCTTCTCCTTGATGTCCTCGCCGAGCTGGTAGTCTAGCTCCAAGCGCTCTTCGATATCCGACGCAGCATCGTTGTCGTCGTCATCGGTGGGCGCCTTGGGCGGCGAGAAGAAATTGAAGAAAGACTCGGTCGGGACCGTCTTCTTGACGATGCGGGTTTGCTTGGTATCTGCTCAGGTTAGCGAGGGTGATGAGAGCCCATGCCCAAAGGGGAGGCGTATACTCACTCTTGTTGCGTTGCTTCTTGCTCTCGATGCGAACCGTCAGGTCCTTGCCCTCCTTCCAGTCGATATTATCACCCTCGGCATGGTCGTAAATGAAGTCACCGCCGTAGCCGCTCTCGTTCTGGTAGAAGTATGTCTTGGTGATGGTCTTGTTGGTGAAGAAGTCATTCTCCGAGAACTCGAAGATGAGGCGGAATCCAGGCTTGTCCAGGTACTCCATGCGGATGTCGGTTAGGTAGCGGAGGGCGGCCTCGTCACGGTCAGTAATCATCTCGGCGAGAGAGATCTGGTTCTTCATGGCGGACAGCCAGAATTCGGGGATGCCCTTGATGATCTCCTCGTCGGTAGCTGGCTTCTCGGGCTTCTCGGGCTTCTCGGTCTTAGCCTCGCCTTCCTCGCTGTCATCCTCGCCGGCCTTGACTTGTGCGTCGGTGGGCTCTTCCTGGCCATTGACGATCGCGGCGCGCTTCTCGTAGAGGGGAGTAAATTTGGCAAAGTACTTCTTCTCCAACTGGAGCACCTCCTCCTGAAACTCGGCCTCGAGCTTCGAGTGATCTTTCTGGATGCCCTTCAGGCCAGCAACACGGCGGCGAACATGAGCAGGCAGGGATTCTATGTAACCGGAAGAGCGACCGACGAGGCTGCCGAGTCGGCCTTGGATCATCTGAACCAGCTTGGGGTTCTGAGCAAAGATGGAGGCGGCAGCAGCGCGATCAAGATCCTCTGCACCGATAGGTAGGCAATGTTAGTCATTAGCAGACCTCGGAGGGGGGGAGCCCAGATAGCCTAGGCTCTTGGTCAACTTACCCTCCTTGATGCTAGCAACGCCTGGCTGTTGGGCATGAGAGGAGATGGGGGCATTGTTAGCAGGGGTGTTTTGCGGAGTCCTAATGAGAGGTTAGGATGCCGGTGCCATAAGGACGGACAGAGTGCAAGACAGTAAGGTGGGAGGTTACGTACGGGGCAGGGACCTCTGCGCGCCGATTCTTAATGGGTTCCGCCATTGTGGATGCCGGCGTCACAGGAATTCTCGACAACGAGGTAGGGGAGAGGGAGGGCGCAGGTGTCTGGCGGACTCGGCTGCCCGGGGGCGAAAAAGGGAAGAAAAGAAGAGCGGGCGAAGGGGCAACGGACAGAAAACCCGGGGAGGGTATTGATTGATCCGGAAAAGTGCAGCAGGGCTGAGAGTACGTGTGTGTTGTGATGTATGTAGGCGCGGGTGCGAGTCGGATGCGGGCCACGGGTCGGCCAGCTCAAAGAAGTTGGACGATGTGCAGATGGCGAGGGGCGGAGAGGGCAGAGATTGGGGGACAGGATGGATGAAATTGATGGGCGGATAGGAGCAGAGGGCGTAGGGACTCGGATCAGGACCTAGGAGGAGCAGTGGAAGGGAGAGGACGGAGGTGGAAGTTGTTGCAGTAAAGGTGGTGAAGCAGGTTAGGTTGGCCTGCGGTGATGGAGAATTTGATGAGGGAGGACCGGACTGGGCTATTCTGGTGGGAGAGGCGAAGTGGGGGAAAGGCGCAAGCAACCCTGTTAAGTGTTTTTTTTTTTCCCCCTCCAAGAAGCTGAGGAGGAGAGAGGAGAGTTACTGGCGCTGGTGCTGGCGCGCGCCGTTGCTGTATGTCCAGTCCCTCACACACAAATTTTCCTCTTCCTCTCTACCTCTCTCCACAGGCATTAAGATTTAGGCAGTTAGCCAGTATTTCCCTACCCTCTATCTGCATACCTAGCCTCTCTCTCTCTCTGAACCCAAACCTTGGGTACGGCCAACCCGAAGCCACCTGCGACTGTCAATATATATATACCTTTATAAGTATTACAATGCGTGTGTTAATATTGTATTCCCCCGCCTTTCGGTACCTCTGATTCGCAGGACGGTACCTCGAGTGCCTAAGTAAATTCTATAGTAGCCTCCCCTCAGCACATGCCCGAGTACACATAGGTACCTATGTAAGTACCCCTTTATGTTTGGAATGTGCTTCTGAAGGGATGGAGTTTTACACGTCTCGCATTGCTAGGTAGGTACCTAGGTACCTGTGTCATTCAGAGGAGGTACCTCTGTAAGATACAGGTAGGTAGGGGGAGACAAGATTCATGAAAACGGAAGGATTCTGGAACCAGCTACGTTTGAATGAGTGATGCATGTCCATCCTAGGCACCAAGTAAAGTACCTGCTTCTCGCCATCTCCTGCATTAGGTACCTAGACACCCCCGCCTGCAGGTAAGGTTACGAGGTACCTAAGGTACCGAATCTAGGGCGGTAGTTGGAAGTACATGTGTGTTTATATACCTAATGTACGCCTCTGTACAGACATGTCGGGCCAGTAGGGTGCTCCTGTGCCAGTCGGCAGCAGATGCTAAAATGCTGGAATAGTTGACGCTGCCCAGTGCCACTATAGCATTTCTAGAATGCCTGTACGGCATAGAGGCATTTCCGGGCACCGCGCCATACACATACAATCCAGTCGGGGGCCTCCATTCCTGAATCTGGATCCCTCCCACCCCCCATAGGTTAGATCTGTTAGGTACACACTCTCGTAGCAACAATGCCGACTTAGCATTCGGTCCAGCAGACAGACACATCATGGACTTTGGCAGAAAGCGGTGTACGCCTGAAGACAACTCGAGGTTCTGACGTGCCTACACCAGCCCAGCCCTCGTGGACAAAGATTCACCCAACCGACATCCATGATGCAAAAAGTAAGGCGCATAGAGATGAGACATATCGGAGCCTATGCCTACGGACCGCCTGCCTGACATGCCTCCTTCTGTGCTGCTTTTAACGTATATACCAGTCCGTCTGGCAGCCCAGGCATATATGTTAGAGGTAGGTAGGTAGACAATACCATCTTGTTCCTGTCCGGCTCTCATAGGTATTTGTTTTGTCTTCCCCCCCTGTCTCTATGAATATGGGTGGCGGTCTGCGCTCAACGACTTCCACATGATGTCGAGGTTAGGTGGCCAGCCACGTCAACTTACCTCTATAGCACTAGGGTGGGTAGGTAGATCATAGGTTAGATGGGAGCATGTAAGGGGGTTATGTACGTAACCTGTAAAACCAGTCCTCCCAACGGGCAAGTCCTTATCCTTGACCCTCTTCTTATCTTTGTTATCTTATCGCTATCCTTTATCTTCAGCTCAGAGTGCCGACGAGTAAGTTGTGTTCCATGTTCCACCTGGATAGGAAACCTGCCTCATGACCTCCTCAATGTTTACATGTCACCTGCGCAACTCTGAGGAAGCGTTTCGCAGCCTGCTCAGCATCATCATCTGCGTAGGAGCACATGGCCATCGGAGCGCGTCTACTTGCTCTAGCCCCTTCTGGTCCAGCAGCTCGCTATTAGAGAACTTCCCGCGCGTCAGCATTCACAGATTGCCACCCATTCACGATGTGCCCTGCTTTCCGAGCTTTTATTCGACGGCGTCGATAGCAGGTACATACATATTCTATCGGCTGCCATGCCATTTGCTCCTTCGCGTATCCCGAGCCTGTCGCTGACGCATCGGTAGATCGGCTTCAATGGTTCACTTAGACGTACCCGTCCCCGAGCTCCTAGTCTAGGGAGGAACACGCTTAGATTGGCCCCCCCTACCGTCCCCCAGGGGCCTGCCCACCATGGAGCGGCGCGATAGCGATGCCCCTAGTGGGCGCAATGTGCCCGAGCCCATGTACAGTCTCGGCCTTAACCATAGCAACTCGAGCATATTTGAGGATGTCGAGATGGCGCATGACGAGGTAGGCTGGCCTACCGACCCCCCTTAGCCCTTCATCCATTCCTAACTTGGGCTGCTTCGTACGTAGTTGTATGCTGGCCCCATTGCCGAGAGCTTGCCTACGAGCCTCTCTGCCTTCTCTCATCGTCGCCAGCGGGCCGATTCGATGGCAAGCTTTGCGTACTATAACGAAGAGGAGAACGAGTCAGGCCCTCGGCTCATGTTCGAAGAAGACGGGGCAGTACCGTTTGACCTGGACGAGACCCCCTTTGATCTCGACGAGGACGAGGAGGGAGACCCGGAAGTCCAACTCGAGAATGGGCATTCGTACGAAGATTACGCGCTGCGCAGGAGGTCCTCAACCAACTCGAGGGGCTCCGTCCATGCTAGACTTCTCCGAACCGAGAGCGGAGTGACAGATGTCAGCGGCCTCCGCGATCACGGCAGAGTTAGTCAGAAATTGCACATGGTGAATGAGGATCTCACTATCGTGATAGCTGGCTTTCGCACGAGCAGACCTGGCTACGCTGCGTACCTCATTCTGTGCGCCGTAACGTTGGGATTTGCATATCTTCTCCTGCGGTGGCTCCCACGATGGCAGGTGAAGTTGATTGGCAGGCCGTGTCCGCTTCACGACAGCCAGTGGGTAGTCCTCGAGGTTAGTTTCTCTACCCTCAAAGCTTCATAGGATATCTTAGTTCGGTATGTTAACCGTGACATAGAATCAATGGGGCGAGATGGCCATCCTCAATGTACATGTGCAGCCCTACAACCGACCCCTTTCAACTGTATTTGGGACTCCGGAAAAGATTTTTGCCCAATTGCTAGAAGATGATGCCGATCCGCTACTTCCCGAGCTACGGGTCCTCAACTACCGATACGTGCGCTTCTTCTACCACCCTCTCAAGGATAAATTTGTCCTTTGTAATGGGTGGCGAGACCCGGCGTGGAACCATGTTCGGGACCTCCGTGCGGGTATCGACAGCGAGGAGAAGGAACATAGAGAACATGTCTTTGGAACCAACCTCATTAACATTGAGCAGAAGTCTATCTACCAGCTTCTTGTGGACGAAGTAAGTTATTATCAATGGAACGTTGTTTCGTAGCTAACAAACTGCAGGTCTTCCACCCATTCTACGTCTTCCAGATAGCAAGTTTGGTCCTCTGGTCTCTTGACGAATACTACTACTATGCCGTCTGTATCTTCGTCATGTCGGCGGGCAGCATAATAGCAACCCTGGTGGAAACGCGCGCCGTCAGTATCGTCGCGCCCTAGTGGCTGGGGCTTGTCTTAGCTAATCCGGAGCAGACCCTGCGACGTCTTCGCGATATCTCTCGTTTCGAGTGCGAGGTACGAGTCCTTCGCAACGGTTTCTGTAAGGATACGATCGATGATTTTTTCCGTCGTGGGCTCCAGTTCTGACTTTGTTTGAAGGGGCCAGCGTCTCTTCGAGCGACTTAGTCCCTGGGGACGTCTACGAGATCAGCGATCCCAGCCTTTCGCAGTTCCCAAGTGACAGCCTACTTCTGAGCGGGGATTGCATTGTCAATGAGAGCATGCTCACAGGCGAATCTGTCCCGGTTTCCAAGATTCCCGCTACCGATGAAACACTACAAATCATGAACCTCGCCGCCTCGACGATCTCGCCTGAAGCCGCTCGCCACTTTCTCTTCTGCGGCACAAAAGTTATTAGGGCAAGACGGCCACAGGAAAATAGGGACGACGAGGGTGTCGCACTTGCAATGGTTCTGAGAACCGGCTTTAACACGACCAAAGGTTCTCTTGTCCGGTCTATGCTCTTCCCCAAACCGTCCGGGTTTAAATTTTATCGCGACTCCTTCCGGTACATATCCGTGATGGGATGTGTGGCGCTTCTTGGGTTCGTTGTGTCTTTCGTCAACTTCCTTCGCCTCGGACTATCCTGGCACCTGATAGTTGTGAGAGCATTGGACCTGATAACTATCGTCGTTCCGCCGGCCCTCCCGGCTACACTTGCGATAGGGACAAATTTCGCTTTGAGTCGACTTAAGAAGAAGCAAATATTCTGCATTAGTCCGCAGAGGGTAAACGTGGGCGGGAAGCTAGACGTTATGTGTTTCGATAAAACGGGCACCCTGACGGAGGACGGGCTGGATATTCTCGGTGTGCGGCTGGTGTCTCGAACGACGAACTGTTTTGACGATGTCATTGCTAAGGCGGCGGGCCTAGTCCCTCGCTCCAGTCTGGATGCAGGACCGGGTGATAAATACGACATAAATCGTGCTGCATTATTCACAATGGCCACTTGCCATTCCCTTCGCTCCGTCGAGGGCGAACTCATCGGCGATCCGTTAGATGTTAAGATGTTCGAATTTACCGGATGGACCTTCGAGGAGGGCAATCAAGGTGGGACCGATCAGGAAGATGAGGAACAGGGCGGGCTATCTCCCCCGGTCGCCAGACCTCCCCCCGTACCCATGTATGATACGGATGACTACGGAGCGACTCGGGGGCAGAACGTAAGTTGACACCATTTTACACAACTGCTCACACGCTGTTCTGACATCACCGTAGCCGCCGATCGAACTTGGGGTGTTGAGGACCTTTGAATTCGTCTCCCAGCTACGGAGGGCCAGCGTAATCGTGCGGGTGTTTGGCCGGCAGAGTGCCAGCATATATGTCAAAGGGGCACCGGAATGTATGCGGGATATATGCCGTCCTGAGAGCTGTAAGCCCCGCCATCTTCAAGAAACCTGCATTTAAGCCATTCTGACACATCGAAGTCCCGACCGACTATAACGAGCTCCTGTCATATTATACACACAAGGGATATCGAGTCATCGCCTGTGCCACGAAGCATATAAAAAGGCTATCTTGGGTAAAATCTCAAAAAATGAAACGTGACGAGGTCGAGTCAGATCTTGACTTCGTCGGGTTCATCATTTTCGAGAACAAGCTGAAGCCAACGACAACCACAGTGATCAAGGAGCTTACCCAGTCGAATATCGGCTCCATCATGGTCACCGGTGACAACATCTTAACTGCTATCAGCGTGGCTAGGAATTGCGGCCTCGTGGAGAATGATGCACATTGTTTTGTTCCCCATTTCGCCGAAGGTGAGTTGCCTAGACTTCTCACGGTCGTCATAAATACGTACCGTACATGCCTTGACAGAGGCGTCGAAGCTGGCTCGCTATAGAGCTAGGCGGTTATAACATTGGGAGCTCGCCAATTCCTGACGCATTGATTATAGGAAACTCGCGCGACCCAAACGCCCGCTTGCAGTGGGAAAGCATCGACGATGTGATATACGAACTGGATAGTCGGACTCTACTCGTAAGCCCGGCACAATCACCGGCATATCGATCTAACTTCACGAAACTGACTTGAGACTCCCGCAGCCGCTCCCGGTTCCTCCGGAGCGTGATGTTTCGTTGCCATATGATATAACGAACTTAAGGAATTACTCTCTTGCGATAAGCGGGGATGTCTTCCGATGGATAGTCGACTTCGCCCCGAACGAAGTCATGCAGCGAGTTAGTAATATCTTTGTTCACTGCCGACTAGGTTCTCATGACGGCGCCTCTTGGTTTGGGGCGGGGGGCCTCGCTACACTAGATGGCTAACGAAGCGCTAGATGCTCGTCCGTGGCAAAGTCTTCGCACGCATGTCTCCAGATGAGAAACACGAACTTGTCGAGAAGCTCCAAAGCATCGGCTACTGCTGCGGGTTTTGCGGGGACGGGGCTAACGATTGTGGCGCTCTCAAAGCCGCAGATGTTGGAATCTCCCTCTCGGAGGCGGAAGCATCCGTAGCCGCCCCGTTCACATCGAGGGTGTTCGATATTCGATGTGTTCCTGATGTGATTCGGTACGTCTCGGTCGTTGGTACAAAGATGGCATCTAGTCACGCAGCTAACGCCGTGTTTAGAGAAGGACGAGCCGCTCTAGTGACTAGTTTCAGTTGCTTCAAGTTTATGAGCCTCTATTCCGCTATTCAGTTCACCTCTGTCAGCTTTCTCTATGCTTCGGCTTCGAACCTCGGAGATTTTCAGGTGAGGCTTCTTGCCACAGTGCGCCTCTCCAGTGCTAATGGGAAACCCCCAGTTTCTCTTCATCGATATCCTCCTTATATTGCCAATTGCTATCTTCAGTGAGTACAACGCCGAGAAAGTCACTACGAGGGAATGATTTGCTGATCCCACCTCTCAAATAGTGGGCTGGTCAGGGCCGTTTCCGGTTCTCAGCAGGAGGCGACCGACTGCAAACCTGGTGTCGAGAAAGGTCCTTACCCCTTTACTGGGTCAGGTAGCCATCTGCATACTTATACAGGCTGCTGCATGGCATATTGTTCGGCAGCAGAGCTGGTATGTCCCGTATCCGAACATGACACCCGGCTTAATTACGTACTTATATGGATGTTATAATTGTAGGTATAAGCCGCCGCATATCAACCCAGAGAAGTCCAACATCCGAAACTCGGAGAATACGGCCCTGTTCCTCGTCTCCTGCTTCGAGTATATTTTTATCGGCATCGTCCTCAACGCCGGACGCCCGTTCCGACAACCCATAATTCGAAACTGTGGGCACTATCCTCCCCTCTTGGTATCGTCGCGTCTTTTAGGTGACTAGATTGGCTGGCTAACGCATTTCTCTCCTCTCCCCTAACGCGCAGGGCCGTTCATGACCACCATTTTCGCGTCGCTTACCTTAACAATCTATCTGATTCTCGCACCAGGGCCCCGCGTCCGGGCGCTCATGCAGCTGACCAAGATCAGCCCGTCTTTTGAGCTCACGCTGCTGGCCCTCGGCGCCGCGTACCTGGGCGCCGCGTGGGTCGGCGAGCACTACGTTTTCCCGGGCCTTGCTCGGGTGATCGGCCGCGTAACGCTAGCCCTGGCGGGCGCGCCGAAGAAGAGAAAGGAGTACAAGGACATCCTCGAGCGGATGGAGAGCTGACCTCGAGGGCGAGGATATTGTGAGGAGCGAAGCGGGGGCAAGTATATAGCTTTGGTTTGAGTAGAGGCATGAAGAGAGGGCGTGGTGGGGTAGTTGAGACGTAATATGGCTTGCCCTAATTGATTTCAGGGGTGGTCCTACCATAGCCTTGCGTGAGAGAGAAGGGGGGGATATGAAGGATATTAGAGGCAGCAGAAATTCGGCGGAGATATAGGTAGACCGTGATTTTCATCTTAACGGACGGCATTTGAAGACATGAGCCGATTTGTCGCGTTTGCACGTGTACGTGCCAAATCGTAATGTCACTTGGGGCAATACGTTCACTCGTCCATACCGCATTGGCTACCAATTCGAGGTCCGCTTACGGCGCCGGCGACTACGCTGACACCGAGAGCGATAGATCGCTTTACATGAGGACCACGATATTTGGCGGGTATCTATTTCGATTATTCCCCCCTTACAGAGAGAACGGCGACCCGCACTGGGTACGACGTGTCCTATACATACGTGTATACGGTATGTGCATCACAGGGCGATGCTGTCTATATCGGGGGGGTGCATGATTGCAATTGAGGATCTCGTGGCCTCCTTTATTTGGTCGGCGGCTTCGTTTCTTACTCGTTAATCCGCCCCGTTCACGCCCTCGTTCTCTAGCGTCGCCTTCCTCTCCGGCTTCGCCTCGGCCTTCTCCTTCGTCCGGGCCACCTCGAACACGACGGCCCCGTTCCTCGCGCTTTGGATCTTCTTCCACCGGCCGAGCCGGTGCTCCTTGCCGACCCCGACGACGACGCACAGGCCGTCCTTGCCGCGCTCCCCGCGCTCGAACACCGATATGTCGTTGATCACGCCCTTGATCAGCCAAGGCGTCGCCGCCGCCGCCGCTGCTGCCGCAACCGGGGCTCTCTTGGTCCCGTTCGCGCGCTTGGCTTCCCTTTTGTTGTCGGCGGGGTCCGGGTCCGAGCCGGCGGGCGCAGGGACGCCCAAGGCCCCCGCCGGCTCGATCCTCTTCTTATCCTCGCTTAGCTTCCACGCCCTCACGTACCCGTCCCAGCTGCCGCTCAGTATGAGATCGGAGTACGGTAGTGTCCGCAGCGCGGTGATCCACCTGGGCTGTGGGGGCGGCACGACCCTCGGATCGGGAAAGGCCTCCGCCGAGGCTTGCGTGGGCAGAAGCGGCCGCTCGAGCCCGTGAGCTTGTGGGAGGACAAAGAGAGGCTTCTTCTTCTGTATGCTCCAGAGGGCCAGCGACCCGTTGTCGCTCCCGGTAACGAAGAGCTCGTCGTCGATCATAGCGACGCGATCCATGCTGCCCTCGTGGGCCAGGGACCGCGGGTCGACGTCGGGCTTCTGCTTCCTGTCGATCGCCCCACCGCGGAAAACCAGCTGAGTCTCCTCGACGACTTTCCACAGGCGGGCGGTGCGGTCTCGGGCGCCGACGCTCACACATCGCTCCTGCGCTAGCGCATCGATGTCGACGACCTCGTCCTGGTGGCCGAACAGAGTCTCGACGTATGCCAGCTCATCCAAGCTCCATATTTTGACGGTGCGGTCCTTAGAAGCCGAGTAGAGCTGGTTTGTGCCTCGACGGAAGGCTAGGCCGGTCACGGCATCGCGGTGGTGGGTGAAGACGCGCAGGGGTTTAAGCGATTTGGCGTCGTAGACGATCAGGCGCTTGTCGGCCCCCCCCGTGACGACAAACTTGCCGTCTTGCGAAGCTGCCACGCATAATATGTCTGCCAGGTGGCCCTGGTAGTTGTCCTCCTTCGCCTTGCTCTGATAGCCCTTTACCGCGGCGACCTTGGTCGGCCTTCGGCGCGGGGGGGCGGGGGGCTTCTTCGGCTTCTTCTTCGTAGTCCGTGGGTATTGGTTGGCGGGCAATTCCTGCAGCTTCCACTTCACGAGATACCGGTCTTTCGAAACGGTGTATACATAGGGGGCGCACGTGGCCACGGAGGTTGTCGAGTGAGTATTGCAGCGGAAGAGGGTATGGGAGGCTTGGCCGACAGCCAGCTCAGAGGCAATGGTACGATACACCTTCCCCTTGGCTTCGGCCACGTCTTCTTGGAGACGCTCAGCTATTATGTCACGATCGATCTCCTCGGCATCAAAGCCTGTGTCGTCGACCTCCTGTCGCACATTCTCCAGATATCTCTCGGCGAGTCTTAGCCGCTTCTCGGCCGCCGTCTCCCCTTCGTTCTCCAAGTCCGTCTCCGACTCAGAAGCGCCGTAGCCGTCAGCGGCGTCTTCGCTCTCCGAATCGCTCCCTGATATCGACTCGTCGCGCTCGACTCGTCTCCTCGGTACAGCTGGCTTGGGCGGGTTGGAGGGAGTTTTAGGAGTCGGTTTCGAGGGCCTGGAGGTTGCAATTCGTTTTTTGGGCACGTCCGCAGCGGGAGCCCGTTTCCTTTTCTTGTGTGCCGCGGATGCTGTAAAGAACGAAGACATGTTCGCACCGCGAGGTGTTGAAAGGCCTGCGCAATTGTGCGGGGGCCGTTTTGTGCACTTGGAAATATCCTCGTTCGAGAAGCAAAAAAAAAAAGGCGGCATTCGCTACTCAGAAAAAAAAAAAAAAAAGCTCCAATCTGCGGGACGATAGGGACCCCTGTTATCCCTACTATGTTCCGTGGCGTACGTACCTAGCAAGGTGGGATGAGGCTGGAGGAGGCGTGGCTTATAACCTCCGACCTCCGATCTCCCCCACGTCTGCCCACCCAGTAGGTACCTAAGTCGGCCTACCAATTGAGGTCCCGCTGCTACGAGCGCAAGGCAGGTCGGCTCTCTGGCAGGGCTGCTAGGCTGTAGCTACCTTGCGCGTCCACATATTCTCTACCTACCTATCTCGCCGGCAAGCTTCCACACAGCGGCGAACCCACCAACGAACAACCTCGCACTTTGAACTCGCACTCAGCAACACCCTTACCGACTCTGCGTCCGCCGTGAGAATCGCTGTCAACATGTACGCTTCCACTGCCACTGCAACCCCGCCACCATGCCTGGCCGAAGTAGACTGTCGCTGACTGTAGCCGGACTAGGGAGGTGCTGTTGGGAATTACGGGCAAGGACTTTACCTTGATCGCTGCCTCCAAGGCTGCGATGCGCGGGGCTACCATCCTCAAGGCTTCCGACGACAAGACCAGACAACTGAACAAGCATACGCTGGTGGCCTTTTCTGGCGAGGCGGGAGACACGGGTGCGTTGGGTTCCCGGGCGGTATGCGGCGGGGAAAGCTAATCGTAAGCAGTGCAATTTTCGGAGTACATCCAAGCCAACGCGCAGCTATACTCGATGCGAAATGACACCGATTTATCACCCACGGCGCTGGCGTACTACGTCAGAGGCGAGCTCGCGTCGAGCTTGAGATCGCGGAATCCCTACCAGGTGAACCTGCTGCTCGGAGGCGTCGACCCCATCACCCACGAGCCAAGCCTGTTCTGGCTGGACTACCTCGCGGCTCTGGCACCCGTCCCTTACGCCGCCCACGGCTACGCACAGTATTACTGCCTCTCGATCCTAGACAAACACCATCACCCGGAAATGACGCTTGTCCAGGGTATCAAGGTGCTCGAGATGTGCATAGACGAGCTCAAGAGACGGTTACCCATCGACTTCAAGGGCGTGACAGTCAAGGCGGTAACGAAGGACGGGGTCCGGGAAATCGAATTCAACAACGACAAGATAGTCAAGAGCGCCTAGGACGAGAATTCCCTCTTCCGGTTTTTTTCTGCTGGGCGGGAACTGCATATGTACACTAGGACCCTAGGCTGAGGAAGGGGGAAACGGCTCTGGAACAGCCGACGAGGAATCGAGTCGCAGGTAAGTTTATGAGGCTAGTGTTGACTGCGAGAACACTCAAGCCCACCTCGTGCTTCCTTCGGTTACACCGTACGTACTAGGAAATATAAACTACCTAGCAAGCCGATGGCGGCAATATTTCGCGGGTTCGTCACGAATGGGTTTAGAATGCGGCAAATAGGGAGAGGGGAGAAAGTGTCGCGAAGAGGTGCCCAAGAGTGGATGGGATGGTTAATACAACCACGACGGACGCCTGAAGCCCAGTAGATATTGTTAAGCACCCAGTTTCGGTGGTGTCTGTCTGACCTCCATTGGAGGGGCACAAACCCTCGAGTCGCATTCCACACCGAATGCTGGCCCAGTAAGCTAGGGGGTAATATCCACCACTACCGTCGGTGCTGCCGCCATCGCCATCGCCATCATAGTACCGTATACGGAAGATGCCCGCAGTCCCTGCATACCTTGCACAGATGATAAGAGCGCAATCGAATTGGGCATTAGGCCAGGGTTTCTCCCCTCTCTAGCATGCCCGCACCCCTTAGGCAGGGTTAATATATTCCATTGCGTCTCTCTGGCTGACTTGTGGCCCAGTCTGGTTGGATTCCCGGACAGCGAGGACAGTGAGAACAGTGATAGCTCATAACCCAAGAGGACGTCAACAGGTTCGCGCGTACACACGGGGCATATACAACGCTCACACGCTGGTCGAAGGAGGGTTGAGTTTGCCGCGAGATGACCGCTCGTCGTCAGGCGGTGTATGCTCTTCTGGGCGGTGAGCCTTCGATGCGTGATGCTGGCACACCATGTATGGATGGCATTTACTGCACAGGCACGCTTCCTATTGGAACCTGGCAGGCCTGTTACAGCAGAGTTGCATCGGCCTTCCCCCCTATGAGTAAACGTAGCCAACCGCTGGGATTGCGCTGAGTTGCAGAAGGCCGAAGAAGGAAGAGAAAAAAAAATTTCGTTCGACGTAGTCCCCGCCAATGATCGCCGTACGTCAGGTAGGAGGTAGGTAGGAGGTAGTCGTGTTAGCGCCCCTAATCTAGGTACCTAACCTACCTACCTCCTAACTTAGGTACCTCTTACCTCAGGCTCAGTAATGGGACATAGTTGTAGTTGGACCCTAAACTCGACATACCTATAGTAGCTATAGGTACCTAAGGCAAACTACCTAACCCACCTGTAGGTCCTACGTAGCAGCATCGATTGTAGGTAATTATCCAGCGGCAAAGTCGGAGCGATCTTATTTGCATAAGTACCTTAGGTACCTGTGGAAGGTATATACCTAGGTACCTACCTAGAGGTACCTATATAGGTACCCCTATGTATGTATTTACGCGCAGTTCCGCGACCGTACACGTACAGATCCACGTAGGTATGTGTGTGTCCGTGCTCAAGAGGTTAGGCGTCGGAAACAGCGCCAAAGAGAGGGAGAACTCATGCAATCTTCATAGGTGCGCATATGAGTACTACACCTACATTCCACCTATACACATAGGCTCCAATACCTCCTCTCCAATCTATCCCTTTATCCACGCATATTTTGTCTGCGACGCGCCCACGAAACAGATACCGACCTACCTACCTCTACCTATTTTCAACGCATGGGTGCATGTACTACGTTAGGTTAGGTAGTATCTGTGTACGTCCAACTCGCCTAAGGAACATAATACATAGGCATAAAACCTGCCCCCGCAGCAATGGAATCGTTGGACTGTCCAACCGTCGTCATCAGCATCCCGCCGACTCTCTCATGTACCTAATGTATATACGCCTCGAAGAAGTAGGCCGAAGGTATGTATATGATACGTAGCCTACGTATAATTTGCGCGGGGGAATGAGCGGGGAAGCGATACAGAAAGTAAAAGATCTCAAAATGCTAAAGACCTCTCGATGTTAATGTAATATACCTATATACATAATATGTATTTGTAAACCTATATAGGTATGTTATGTAACCGTAGACGCTTACATTCTACGACTTGTAGATTTGGGCTTAAAAGGGCTAGTTTCCTGCGTGGCAATGTACTATCGAATACTTCATAAACATGCATGTACATATTAGTTCTACCTATCAACATAGGCCCGTTAACAATCAGTGGGTAAGGAACGTTGTACAGCTTAAGCTAAGGAGTTGGTTACTTGGAGATTATACTGTCGTTCTATATTATTTATTATACCATCTTATTGTCTGCCTCTCTTCCTTGTACAGCTTAACTGCATAGAGCTTAACAGAGAGTAGAGGCTACGGTATAGAATTGCCTACAGCATATATAAAATAGGTTATCCTACCTTTTATAGCCGCCTGTACTAGGTGCTTACCTTGATACATAGTTAAAAAAAGTATTTTCAAAAGTTACATGCCTACCTAAAGGTTAAGTACCTATCGTAACCTAGCACCTAGCTACAATCTTTAAAGGTAATATATACCTTTACCTAGGCACCTAACAGGTAGTCCTATTGGTCTAGGGCAAATATTTAAACACAGACTCACAGATAATATTATATCAAGTATGAGTAGAAGGTAGGCAGCTAGATAGATATGTAGCTTTCATACTTTGATTAGTGAATTATATATTGTTACATTTAAGCTTTTAGTAACTATATCTTAAGCTTTTTTTTACAAATTAGGAGGTTGTTGGTAGGTACGTACGTAAAGCCAAGTAAAGCAAATAACAAGTGGGGTGAGACTGGTAATATATTGATGTCTAAAGAGTAACTATCTATCTAAAGGGCCCTGAGGGATCGGACCCCTTCTTATACCTGGTGGGACAAGTACCTAAGTACATTCCTCTTTAAGTGGAGATCACTGTTGGCTCCAGTGATCTGGTATTCAACCATCAGAGGTGCTTATAAAGAGATACCAGTAGAATACCTACTTTATAGCGTAAGTACCCTATAACCTTAGGCAATAATGTGATGTACTTAGATTATAATTACATAGGCATCTATATACTTATATACTATAAGCTGCTAGTAACGTAGCTTTAAAAGGCTACGTACAGTTTTTAATTATAGCTATATATACCTTCTCTATATATAATCTTTAGCATCTATATAGATATATATATATATACTTACCTATATACGTATCGAATGAGGCACCTATGTATCGCTACCTTCTGTGCTGTGGCAAACAAGTACCTGGGGTAGATACCTACCTAGGTACTTATAGGACCAAATGTACGTTAGGTAGGTACCTACCACCTAGGTACCTAGGGTACCTTAGGCACGGGTAGCCTTGCTTTACAGTGGGCATGGAAGCATGGAAGGCAAGTTGGCAAGCAGGGTGGCGGACTTGTTATTATGTACCTGATGTACTGTACCTCCCCTTGTATGTATGCAACCTGACCTTAGAGGAGGCAAGCCGGCCTTAGTCACCAAGACCCGACGCTAACAGGCTCAATTTTTCAACGCAGGTCGCCTACTTTCGACTACTTTATGATTTTTTTTTTCTCCTTCATTTGATCCCCTTCTCTCTCCCCCACAATCTTTTTGCCATCCCCAATCCTCCAACAGACGGCATTCACCTCAATACTCCTCCTCCCTCACGATCACCTCCCCTTGCTCTGGAGAAGCCTTTTTGTGTTTCGTTCAGGGTCTCTGTTCTCTTTCCTTGAAAAAGATTTGATTTCTTTTCCTTTCTTTTCTCAAGGGATCTGGAAAGACATCTAGATATCCGTATCTTAACCTGGTCTTCGTCTTGTCTCCTCTCGTCTTAGGTGCCTACCCTGCTACCTACCACCCTACAAAGCACGGGCGTGTCTGTCTGTGTGTACGTCGTGTGTCTGGTATTATTTGCAGATTGACCTGGCCTGCGTTTCTCCTCTCCTATCCACAACGTGCCTGAGCATAATACCCGAGAGAAAGAAAGAGAGTGCAATTTGACCACTGCTTCTCTCCCTCCCATTGGATTCGGCCTTCAAACTGATATCGTTGTTGGTTGTTTCGACGACCGCTTCCTTGAACATTAATCTGCCCACCTTTCACTTACCCTACAACTGGACTCGTCTGTTCTTTTAGGAGACGTAATCGGCTGGGTTCCGTACCGAAAATTTTTTCAATTCCCCCCGATCTACACCTCGTGACATCTCAATCAACACTCCAACCACGCTCTGGATCCCTTCCAACATGGCTGACCAGTTAAATGTGGGCGCCCTGAGTCTGGAGAACAACCAGCAGAACCCGACCGCTCGTTCTTACATTCCACCTCACATGCGAGGCAAGATAGGTGGCGGCGGCGGCGGCAATCCTCCCTCCATAGCCCCCGCAGGCCCTCCGCCTCCTATGAATAATGGTCTCAATAGCAGTGCTTGGGCCGGGTGAGTAATACCCGCATTCCTGTCGTGTGACTTGAGTCTGATCCTATACCTCGAGCACTGTCTTGTATCGAATCAATCTTTTGCTAATGTGACCCTCTATCAGGAACAACAATTACGATGCGCGACCCGGTGGATGGGGAAACCCCCCCGATTTTCCTGCCCAGCGTCAAGGCCCCGGAGGCTGGAACAACAATAGCAACAATCGATCCTTCGATCGCAATGCATATGGTAACCCGGCTGCTGGCGGCGGTGGCGGCGGCGGCGGTGGTGGCAGCGGCAGCGGCAGCGGCGGTGCTCATGCCAGAGGCTCGGGTGACGGATCGTGGCGTGACGGAAAACATATTCCCGGCCCTGCAAACCCTCGTATGGAGCGTGAGTTGTTCGGCACTCCCGATGACCCATCCAAACAGCATACCGGCATCAACTTCGAGAAATACGATGATATCCCGGTCGAAGCCTCCGGACACGACGTCCCAGAACCCGTCCTCAGTTTCAGCAATCCTCCCTTAGATGATCATTTGATCCGGAACATTGAGCTAGCCCACTACAAAGTCCCCACCCCCGTCCAGAAGTATTCGATCCCCATTGTTATGGGTGGACGGGATCTGATGGCTTGTGCGCAAACCGGTTCCGGAAAGACTGGCGGTTTCCTTTTCCCCATTCTTTCCCAGGCCTTTATCACAGGCCCCTCCGCCGTCCCCGTCGGTCCGCCGGGCGGTGGTTATGGTCGCCAGCGCAAGGCTTATCCTACCTCTCTTATTTTGGCCCCAACGCGCGAGCTAGTGTCGCAGATCTACGATGAGGCCCGCAAATTCGCCTACCGATCCTGGGTCCGACCTTGTGTTGTGTACGGTGGTGCTGATATCGGTTCTCAGCTTCGCCAAATTGAACGTGGCTGCGATCTGCTCGTGGCGACCCCCGGACGTCTTGTGGACCTTATTGAACGCGGTCGCATTTCTCTCCAGAACATCAAGTACCTAGTTCTCGACGAGGCTGACCGCATGCTGGACATGGGTTTCGAGCCCCAGATTCGCCGCATTGTTGAGGGCGAGGATATGCCCGGTGTTCAGAGCCGGCAGACTCTCATGTTCTCGGCCACGTTCCCGCGAGACATTCAGATGCTTGCCCGTGACTTCCTCAAGGACTACGTCTTCCTTTCTGTTGGTCGTGTTGGCTCGACCTCGGAAAATATCACCCAAAAGGTCGAATACGTCGAGGATACCGACAAGCGCTCTGTCCTTCTGGACATCCTTCACACTCATGGCGGCGGTCTTACCTTGATCTTCGTCGAGACGAAGCGGATGGCCGATTCTCTCTCTGATTTTCTGATCAACCAAAATTTCCCAGCCACCTCGATTCATGGTGACAGAACCCAACGCGAACGTGAGCGCGCTCTAGAGATGTTCCGAAACGGGCGATGCCCCATTCTCGTCGCCACCGCCGTTGCAGCGCGTGGTCTAGACATTCCTAATGTGACGCACGTCGTCAACTACGATCTCCCCACTGATATTGATGATTACGTCCACCGAATTGGTCGTACTGGCCGTGCAGGCAACACGGGCCACTCTACCGCATTCTTCAATCGTGGAAACCGTGGTGTCGTACGAGATCTCATCGAACTTCTAAAGGAAGCCAACCAGGAAGTGCCGGCTTTCCTCGAGACTATCGCCCGGGAGAGCTCCTACGGCGGTGGCCGTGGCGGGCGAGCCGGTGGTGGCCGTGGCCGTGGCCAGGGCGCCAACCGCGATTTCCGAAAGTACGGTAGTCCCAGCGGATTCGGCGGTGGCTTTGGAGGGCCACAGGGATCTGGCGGCGGCAGCGGCTACGGTGGCGGCGGCGGCGGCGGTTTCAACGGGCCTCCTCCTGGCCAGGGATACGGCGGCAGCGGCGGCGGCAGTGGCTATGGCGGAGGAGGTGGTGGTCCAAGCTACGGGGGCGGCGCCTACGGCAACCCGAGCGGACCAGGCGCTTCCTGGTGGTAATCTCGACGCGACCGTTTGAGGGCGCGCCCAGGCATGATCTTAATCCTACCGGCCGCAGGTGGGATTGAGGACGGGCGTATTGACGATGCGGTACATAGATTTCACGGTCTCATACTCTTGCTTTCTCACATCGTCGCCTGAGTTACCGAGTCTCGCAAGGTCTCTCTTTTCTCTCTCTCTCTCTTTTCGTTTATTCTGTTTACCTGGCATTCATCGACACTTTCCGCCCGACATACTCCTACGGCAGACACAACTTCCGGCCTCCATCTGGATCGGCAGATTCGAGCCCTACAAGATAGGGCTCCGGCATACGATAGACGGCATTGGTCTTGATTTCGGCTGCGCCACCCCCCGACAACTTGATACCCATAGAAGACGGCGGGGGGTTACATGCGAGCAGCTGCATGAGACGCATGGAGGTCAGAGACACGTACCTTGACCAAGAACATTACGGAGAACACATTCACCAGCTCTGATGTGCAGCATTTACAGTTTGTGCTGGCACCTTAACGATGATGACGATCTCCGCTTCCGATGTACCCTATATTTGCCCTTTTGGAAGCCGGCCGAGATTCTTTCTCGTTTTCCCATAGGACGGGGCAACGCGCTACCGCACGGCAGTGGATTTGTGTTGATGGTATCTTCATAGACAAAAGTGGATTTCTCGGTTCTCTGGTTGGTCGAGCTCCTGCTCAAGTCAGCTCGCCATGGTGAGGGACCACATAGAGGGCAATGAACATAGAATGGTAATTTCGGTGGATCATGAAAAATCAAAGAAGGGCGTCTCGGCAAGCAGGCACAGGGTCCCGACCTCTCCGGAGTGTGGAGAGAGAGGTTCTAGGATTGGCCTCTGACGATTACCGGCACGGGAGGGAAGAGGTTTAGATCCCATCTGCCACCAGTTGTATTGCTTTTGCGGATATCGGCCGAGACGCTTTCAGGCCCTTTGAGGTTCTCCGCGCTGTGGTGGACTACATAGAGAATCCACCCAAGACGGACTGGGAACTTCCCAATAAAAAAAAAACGGTTACCATTTACCTTGCACGTGTCACGAAGAACTACACGCCCTATTATATTCGTGTCATACTTATTTTCTCTTTTTCTTCTCTTCCTTTTCTCGGGCATGATACGTCTTGTGCATTTAGGTAAATTCGTGCTGTAAAAGGGTATAGCTCACAAACCCGCTAACACGGACTTGAAATTTAAGGCTGCCTGCCCTAAGCCCGGCTATCTCGATAGTATTTATCCTAGTCATAGACTTGTGCCTGTTATCTAAAGGAAATATATATACCTATATATATGATATTGGTAGAGAACAATTTGTCTGTAGTATTTCTGAAAAGTCGTGCTTGTGCAACTAGAGCCCGTTTTGCCACAGCATCATCACACGGCAAGGAGACGTAGGTAGGAACAAACTATGGGTGCACCTAAAGGAGATATGTAGGTATGCGAGGCTGTGGCTGTGTCCCCTCTCCAAGAAGTCAGGTACCTGGGTAGGTACCTACCCGAGGTAGGTCTTCTTCATGTTAGGTACGTACCCGGCTAACCGCGATGTACTATTAGGTACCATGGAGGGAGGGTAGGTCCTGTTAATAATGTATTTATAATATTAATATAGTATAAATATAACTTTTAAATAAAATAATAATAATATAAACGCTTTTATTAAATATAAAATACTTTTAATAAAAGTTATAATATAAATTTTATTATAATCTAATATAATTATTATAATATAATTATTATAATAAAGTATATATTTAATACCTTTTAATATTTAATTTATATAGATATAAATTTTAGGTTAGTATAGTTTTCGATAATTATTTTGTATTTTAAAAAAAATTGTTTAAATATATTATTTATATAGTAACTCCATTGTAGCCTAAGTTCAATATACTTTAGTATAAATATAGATATACTTCCAGTAGATAGTAATCATTTCTAGGGATAGTAACAGCGCTAGACATGGTATCGATAGACCCCGTCCCCCCGTATGGTAGGTACTTTAGGTAGGTAGGTACCCGCCCTGCCTTCCTCTTTGCTCGACCTCCTAGCCCATTGCGATTGATGCAGCGCGCCTTCCACAGTTTGACCTACCTAATACATCGCGTCCTGTCGCTGGAAATTCGATGCGTAATAGAGTTTTTTTTTTCCACGTTTCCGCAAATAATCTCTCCCTTCTTTCTTTCTTACTGTCTTCCTTTCCCTTCTCACCTGCGACCTTTGGAATGATGCCTCCGCCTCAGCACCGCATCGCTAGCCTTCATTAATTCACCAACTGCTTCTCTTTTATCCACGGCTGTTCCTTGTTTGCGAAGCCATCGTCGTGGACAACATACTCAACGATCACCTACCAAAGCCACTCCTATATCTGCCACCAGCATACTGTCCCTTGTACCTCCTCCCTTCTCCTTCCCTGTCTCTCCGTCTCTCCGGCCACATAAGTTTGCGATGGCATCGAGGGACGGCTCCCCAGACCACAGCCGCTGGTCCCACGCCTCCAGCCCGGCCCCGAGGGGCAGCACGCCGGGTGACAACGTCGAAATCAGCATTATCAAATCCGAGCCCGGCCAGGGAAGCAAGCGGCCAAAGAACAAATCCACCGCTACCGCCGCAGCCTCGTCGTTCCCTACCGTAGGAAAGATTCGGCACCTCAAGAAGGAGGATGGAGAACCGTTGTGGAGACGAGACATCCAGTACGACTTTCTCAAGGCCGTCTTCGATGACGAACGAGAGGTGTTCACCAACAGTTACGAACCCGAGCGAAGCAAGAAGGATAAGCAGAGCTTTGCCGATCTCTACATCGATACCATGGCGAGAAGCAGCAAGACCAGCAAAGTCCTCCGAGATAAGCTCCTGAGTGACCGTGAGGCCGCAAAGAGCATGGCTATGGTCTGCCTGCTCGTCAACGTGGGTCGGATGAACACGACGTTGAACTGTACGGTCTACTCCAGCCGTCCGTTCATTGCGACGTATCCGCTGCTAATGGTTTGGTGACACAGTTTTTCCCGAGATGAGAGCTCAGCTCCGGACGTATCACGCCATCCCTTCGTTACAAGCCCATCAAGATGCCTCCGCCTACAAACAACTCCAGGATGCCCCTCGGTTGAAGTCGATATTAAAGGGTGCGGCCGAAGACCGACCGGAACCACACGAACTCGCCGAGTTTAAAGGAATGGACCCTCCGCGATCGAACCCGGTCAACCTCATCTTCCTGATCTGCCAGCAGGCTTCGTATATCGCCGACCTGCACTTCCCACCTTCCGCCGAGTTCCACGATCTCATCATGAAAACGAACTACACAAGCAAGTCGCGCGCCAGAGCCTTTTTATGGCTTATGTGGTTCTACCTAGAGTCCGATTTCACAGAAGAGGGTTGCGAAGAGAACCCATTTGGTCCCGGTGTTGACTACGGCACCGAGGTAGCGAACCAAGGAGTGCCCCGGATGGAGGAGATGACCCCAGAAGAGGAGGACCGCGAGAACATCGACCCGCCAGAGGAGATCGACTTTGGGCGGGAGAAGCAAAACCACCGGGCTAAGATCATTGCGGCCGACCAGGCGTATATGGCAGACCACCAGACCAAGCGCGGATCGAGGGGAAAGATTATAGCCGACGATGGACCGGCGGCTACCATTCTCCCGCGGATACGCCCGTCGAAGCAGGAGTCCGATATGGATAGCACACGGTCCACCCCACCACCTAGGGCCCTATCTCGCATCGCCGTCGGCAGCACCGGCCGGCGGGGCGGCGCACCTCTGAAAAATCTGATTTTCGATGGTTCTTCGCCTGCCGGGCCGGGGTCCCACGTCATTGAAGGTATTCTTCCACGCAAGCCACGCCCTCCCACCGCGCATCAGCTGGCAGTTGAGCGGAACCGGAACCAACGGGTCGAGCATATCCTCGGCCGCGGACTGCGAAGGCAACATCACCGCTCACGGAAGGTGCGGCGGCAAGAAGGTGCGATTCTCCGCGCCAGGCGCCGCCTGGCCGCAATGAAAGACCCGCTCGTAGACAGCGACGAAGAATACATGATGTCGCACCGAGACCAGAAGTTGCCCTTCATGGACCGAGGCTTCGGTGGGCTCTGCCAGCTGAGCGTGGAGGAGGACGACTTCGGCGAAGAGTTCGCGTCCTACTCGGCGGCGCTCCGGAGAGCCGACCGTCGGCTTCGACGGTGGGCCGGTCGGCCGGAACTAGGGGTTGTGCCAACGACAAAGAAGCGTGTCGCGGCACCGGTTTCCGAGTTCGCATCCCCAGAACCGCGGGCAAGCCGGGGGAGAAATGGCAGCCCAGGAAAGAGGGACAGGGCAAAGACTAAGCAGCATAACCACGGCAACGGGGACGTCACGATGGAAGATGCCGACGACTTGGATGATGTGGATAAAGAACTTCTCGGCCTCGGTAGCGGGGGCGAGGACGGCGAGGGCGAGGGTGAGGGCGAAGGCGAAGGTGAGGGAGAGGGCGAGGGTGAAGGTAAGGATGACTATGAGGACATAGACAATATCGGCAAAGCCCTCTTGGGGATCGATGGTTCGGACGGCACAGACAGTTCGTAGTGGCTAGCCGTTATTGCTACGGATGCAGCACAGAGCCAACACGGCGTTCGAACGGTACACAGAGTCAGCGCCGGCCGACACGGCGCTGTGCAGGCGAGGATACGGAATACGATGCGTGTCGGAGGGGAGAGGAGAAGGGCGTGGACGGGGCAGGCAACTATCTACTCTCTCCCTCTCTCGGTTGTGTTGGTTGCATTAACCCTTTTTTTAAGCAAAAAAAAAGAGAGAAAGAAAAAAAACTCTACCCCACCATATCAACACTATAATATTTTGGCATCGACGTTATCCTAGGGGGTTTAGCAGTGTGTGACTCGAGCGGTAGAGGCGGTATTCGAGACTCTACGGTGTACTAATACTAGATGACGGCTCACGGGTACGATACGTGTTGGGAACGTGTGATATCCGTCTAACAAAAGGGGGTTTATAATACTGGTTGCCGATTTCAGACAGGCGCGTCCTTAGCTGTTACTATGGTTGTTATGCGATCAGGTTCCGACCGATGTGACGTCGCTTTTGCTCTTGCTTTTAGGTAGATGATGCAGGTGAATTTGTTCGCCATGAATGCCTAACGATGCAGTTTCAATTTCGAGCTTGCGCTCGTTCCGGGTCTTTCGATGATAAAAGCCCCCTTCTCCCCCTGGGATGTATTTAGGGCGGGAGGCTTCCCGGGACTACGGAGCGGGACTGGTTGGTAAAAAGGCTTAACTCTGCCTATGCAACGGAGGCAGAGGCGGTTGAGGTTACTACTGGTCGCGAGTTGTAACCACACAGTCTAGTTATCTATAGATATCCATCTCCATATCTCTACATACCTACAACTTCGGGTGGGCCACCGGACATATCTCCAGTCCGACGAAGTTGCCCTCTAAGGGGCACCGAAACAAACGTAGAACGCGACAGGCAGGGGATGCCGTCGTTGCCGTTTACCCAATTACCCATTCGCGGCAGCAGAGCAGCTGGTGGGGAGTGTTCTGTGTTTGCGTAGGATAGAAGACAAGAGGTATAGGGATAAGGATAATATGAGAAACATGCGAGTAGGACGAGTCCGCACATACTGCTACGCGACGGAGTTGGATGGATGCCTGCCTGCGCCTACGGGATTGAGGAAATTCTCCTTGCCGGAGACCCGGCGATCGGCCAAGTTCCCGCTTGCTGACAAGGGCTTGGGCCTGGGGGGATGGACGGGTTGGTTGAAGCTCTCTCGCCCGGATTGCGGTCGGAGGATGCAACTCCCGACTTGCGCAAGTACCTACCTACCTGTGTGATGCTATAAGAGGTACTTACGTGCTTGCGTACTACACGCGATCTGCTCATATAAACCAGGAAGTTAGCCAACTCAGCTATAAACTCCGCTTACGCCCGATCCTCGCATCCCTTTGCGAAATGTGCTTCGGAGCATTTGTCATCAGCGGCAAGTCCATAACCCCCCGATGTTGCCATTTCCCGTCGTTCGTGCGTATTTCCCGTCTCACCTTGTTCTGCGAGCTATGAGTATAGTTGCCCGTCTTGGCCAGCCGAACTTGCTTCTCTATTCGCACCTAGCCGGGGGGAGGCAAGGCCCGGAGAGCGCCCTCGTTGTAGCAGTAGTATTGCGTGTGCCATGCTGGGAGGCATTTGCGCCATCTGCACTACCGTGCGCTATCAGGTATGCCGTCCGGGATGCGTAGGTGATATTTAATTACCGAGAACAGTACGCAGGCTATAGGAAGATTGTTTCTAATTGGCGCAACCCGCACTGAGCCAGCAGGCCAAACCAACCCTCACCATCTTCTTTTTCTTCTCCCTCCCCCTCTCTATCTGTCTCTTCCGACGCGACAGACAGCGGCAGAGGGCGGAGGAGTCGGATAGAACTATACGACTTGCTCGTATAGCTCGTATCCCTGCATGAATTCCCTCTACCGTAACCCTCCCAACCTCGCTCTCTGCTGCTAGATGTGCCTTGGCGATCAGGTGGGTGCATAAATGCAGATTACCTCTTTATCGAGACCTTATGGTTAGGCACGTAAGACACCTCTCAGGTACCTGGGTAGGTAGCTGGCCAGAATATGGTACCTACACATTATCCACCGGGGGTTTCTCGCCGAGTGGAGTTTCGCGTCGACTCCATAACTCGGTCCCGCCATCGCAGTGTGGGGCACGAGTACTCCCTCCTCGACGAGGTACCTGCTGGGTACGTCCGGCAATCGCCTCCCCGGATCGCATTGTCAGGTAGGTGCCGGGGATGGCAAATTTATACATCCCGTCACTATCGAAAGGTCCCTTCCCGCCTCGCCTCGACGGTGTTGGCAATACCCAACTCCTTTCCCACCCTCGTCTCTCTCTCTCTCTCTCTCTCTCTCTCTCATCCTCTTACCCCCAGCCTCGCTCGATCGTCTCGCTCCCCTTCGCCTCGCCCCTTGTCTCACTTGACTCTCTATAGCTCCGACCTGGGCCGAAGCGGTGACGTGAAGTCGGATATGAGTAGATGCCAGTCGGACTTTAAGCCTCTGCTAGTCCCCGTTCCGCCCATCGACTCCACACATCCCTACATTTGCCTTTAAACACCTCTCTCTCTTTCTCTGTCTCTCTCGTTCTCTCGTTCTCTCTCTTCTTCACGCACGTGCCTTGTTTCTTATACGCGATACTACTGTAAACCCCCGTGTCCATCGCATTTCGTTTCCGAGATGTTCCCGACCCTCAATTGACCCTCCATGAGTGCAACTGTCTGTTTCGGCTCCTACCGCCAAGGCCAAGAACGCAAGCGCTCCCCTAAGCTCGACGACAAGCCCAGTTAGTTAGCCAAAGTAGTTGACCTGACCGACTCGGTGCCCGGGTCTTATTAGACTTGCCAAGTAGCCGTGGGCGTACGCATTAATATGGCTGCTAAACCCGAAGACGAGAGGACAAAGGCGTCTGATCCACCCACAGATGTAGAGGCGACAACCGCCGACCCCGATACGGCCGCCCCCGTCTCAGTCTATGATGACCCCGAGGAGGAGATCCGCCGGCACGAGGAGTCCCCCGAGAAGCGTGCCGAGCGCGAGGAACTGAAACGCACTCAGAGCTATGCCACCGACACTAGCGCCGCCACCCGCGCCACCTCGAGGGCCTCCGCACCCGCGCGTACGCGGCCGTGGTATAAGACGCCGAACCCGTTGCGATGGGGTGCGATCCCGCCCGTGCCCAAGGAGCGCCAAGTCTCGCGGGAGTACAAGGCAGGCTTTTTCAGCAAGCTGACTTTCCAGTGGATGGCCCCCCTGATGAATGTAAGCACAAGCTTGCTCTCTGACCACTCGAGTACGTCTTGGTCGCCTCGTACTGACACGAGCCTAGGTTGGGTACAAACGGTCCCTGGAGCAAGATGACATCTGGTCCGTGAATCCCGATCGGAAAGCCGAGGGGATGACAAGCAGGGCTAGGGAATCCTTCGAGAAACGGGTTAAGAAAGGCGACAAGTACCCGCTGTTCTGGGCGCTTCACGATACCTTCTTTTGGGAATTCTGGCTCGGCGGTTTCTGTCAGCTCTGCGCGTCCATCCTACAGGTCATGTCCCCCTTCACCTTACGCTATCTGATTCAATTTGCCCAAGACGCCTGGGACGCCGTCCAGCGCGGGCAAACCCCGCCCGCCATCGGCCCGGGTATCGGCCTAGTCATCGGTGTCACCGTCATGCAGGTTCTCCAGAGCCTGGGGATCAACCAATTCATCTACCGCGGAATGATGATCGGCGGCCAGTCGCGTGCCGTGCTCATCGGTCTGGTCTTTGAAAAGTCTATGGCGCTCTCGGCCCGAGCTAAAGCTGGAGGCAAAGGCGACGCTGACGGGATAGCGGGGAATAGCCAGGAGGGGAAGGGAAAGGAGAACACAGACGAGAAGCCAGATGGGGTCGAACCACCATCCAAAGATACGAAAGGCGAGAAGGTAGGCGTGCTGGGCGATGGTACGGGGTGGAGCAACGGGAAAATTGTCAATTTGATGAGCGTCGACACCTACCGTGTAGATCAAGCTTGCGCCTTGTTCCACATGATCTGGACGGCGCCCATCTCCTGCATGATAACTCTTGTCGTCCTTCTCATCAACCTTACGTACAGCGCACTCGCTGGTTTCGCGCTTCTAGTCATCGGTATTCCGGCCCTGACGAGAGCGGTTCGCCTACTATTCAGGCGCCGAGCCGCTATCAACAAAATAACGGACCAGCGTGTGAGCTTGACCCAGGAGATCCTCCAGTCGGTCCGTTTCGTCAAGTACTTTGGCTGGGAGAGAGCTTTCCTAGGACGCTTGGCCGATATTCGCACCCGCGAGATCCGCGCGATTCAGGTCCTCCTAGCTGTCAGAAACGCGATCAACGCGGTCAGCATATCGCTTCCCATCTACGCCTCCATGTTGTCATTCATCACCTACTCCCTCACCGACCACGGCCTTCCGGCGGCGCAGGTATTCTCCTCCCTTGCCCTCTTCAACGGCTTGCGCATGCCTTTGAATCTGCTCCCGCTTGTCATCGGACAGACCGTTGATGCCTGGTCCTCCCTTAAGCGCATCCAAGAGTTTATGGTATCTGAGGAGCAGGAAGAAGATGTTGCGCTAGAACCTGAAGGGCCCAATGCGGTCGAGATGCACAATGCCGGCTTCACCTGGGAGAGGACGCCGACCCGAGAATCCGAAAAGACCGTGGGTTCTCTCGGGAAAAAGAAGAACAGAGAGGTAGCTTCGCGTAAGAGCACCAAGCCGGCACCCAAGGGGGCTTCAGAGGATAACTCCGAAGACACGGCAAGCACTTTAACGGAGGAACGTGAGCCCTTCAAACTCCAAGATCTGAACCTCCGGATCGGTCGAAACGAGCTAATCGCCGTTATTGGAACCGTTGGATGTGGTAAGAGTTCCTTGCTCGCTGCGCTTGCCGGTGACATGCGGAAGACGTCGGGCAAGGTGGTCTTGGGTGCCTCGAGGGCTTTCTGTCCGCAGTACGCCTGGATTCAGAACACTAGTGTTCGAAATAATATCCTCTTCGGCAAGGAAATGAACCGCGAATGGTACAAGAAGGTTGTTAAGGCGTAAGTCTTGGTTTCATTTACTCTGCCTCGTTCCTAGAGAATCAGCGGGGATATTGAATGCTGACAACCATCATAGTTGCGCTCTGCAAGCCGACATTGACATGCTTCCCAACGGAGACGCCACCGAGATTGGCGAAAGGGGGATTACGATATCGGGCGGCCAAAAGCAGCGGCTCAACATCGCCCGCGCCATCTACTTCGATGCCGACATCGTGCTCCTGGACGATCCGCTCAGCGCGGTCGATGCTCATGTTGGCCGACATATCATGGATAACGCCATCATGGGTCTCCTGAAAGACAAGTGTCGTATACTCGCAACACACCAGCTTTGGGTTCTTAATCGTTGCGACAGGATCGTATGGATGGATGGCGGTAAGATCCGGGCGGTCGATACCTTCGATAACCTGATGGCGAACCACACCGGTTTCCAGCAGTTGATGGAGACGACAGCTCTCGAGGAGAAAGAAGGGGGGCTAATGCCCGCTAGTGACAAAACAAACGGCGAAGACAAGGTCAGCAAGAAGAAGAAACGAGGCCAAGGGCTGATGCAGGCTGAGGAGCGAGCTGTGTCGAGCGTCCCGTGGTCGGTCTACGGCGCTTACGTCCGAGCCTCTGGAAGCGTCTTTAATGCCCCCATTACGGTCTTCTTCCTGCTCCTAGCTCAGGGTTCTAACATCATGACGAGTTTGTGGCTCTCTTACTGGACGGCAGATCGTTACGGGTTTCCCACGGGGGTATATATCGGCGTATACGCGGGCCTGGGCACGTTGCAGGCTATATTCCTGTTTGCCTTCTCGATATCGCTGGCCATATTCGGCACGAATGCTAGCAAAGCTCTGCTGAGTCAGGCAGTGACGAAGACTCTCAGAGCGCCGATGTCCTTTTTCGATACCACACCGCTAGGCCGCATTACGAATCGATTCTCGAGGGATGTTGATGTGATGGACAATAGTTTGTCGGACGCGATGAGGATGTACTTCCTCACGCTAGCTATGATAATATCCGTGTTCGCGCTTATCATCGCTTTCTTCCCCTACTTCGCAATCGCGCTGGTCCCGCTCGCAATTCTCTTCGTATTCGCGGCGTCGTACTACCGGGCCTCCGCCCGGGAAGTGAAGCGTTTTGAATCGGTGCTCCGATCCGTCGTATTCGCTAAATTCGGCGAGGGCCTCAGCGGCGTGGCTTCGATCCGTGCGTACGGCCTCAAGGATCGCTTCATTGCCGACCTCCGAGCCGCCATCGACGAGATGGATGCGGCTTATTACCTGACCTTCTCCAACCAACGGTGGTTGTCAACGCGCCTAGACCTCATCGGAAACTCGCTCGTCTTTACTACTGGCATCCTGGTCGTCACGTCAAGGTTCGACGTCCCACCGTCCATTGCCGGTCTCGTGCTGTCGTACATCCTGTCCATCGTGCAGATGTTACAATTCACCGTGAGACAGCTAGCCGAGGTGGAGAACGGCATGAATGCTGTAGAACGTATCCAGTATTACGGCACGAAGCTTGAGGAGGAGGGGCCCGAACACACGACCGAGGTCCGCCCATCGTGGCCGGAGAAAGGAGAAATCGTCTTCGACAGCGTCGAGATGCGCTACCGCGAAAATCTGCCGCTGGTGCTCAAGGGCCTGAGCATACACGTGCAGGGTGGCGAGCGCATAGGCATCGTGGGGCGGACGGGAGCGGGGAAAAGTTCCATCATGTCGACCCTATTTCGACTGGTGGAACTTTCGGGGGGGCGTATCTACATTGACGGGCTCGACATCTCTACCGTCGGCCTGCACGATCTCCGCTCTCGACTGGCTATCATCCCGCAAGACCCGACGCTCTTCCGTGGCACGGTGCGCAGTAACCTGGACCCGTTCGGCGAGCACTCGGACCTGGAGTTATGGTCGGCGCTGCGGCAGTCGGGGCTCGTGGCGGCGGACGGGCAGGCGGACGAGAAGGACCCGGCGCGGGTGCACCTCGACAGCGTGGTGGAGGAGGAGGGGCTCAACTTCTCGCTGGGACAACGGCAGCTGATGGCGCTGGCGCGAGCGCTCGTGCGGGGGTCGCAGATCATCGTGTGCGACGAGGCGACGTCGTCGGTGGATATGGAGACGGACGACAAGATCCAGCGGACGATGGCGGCCGGGTTCCGAGGGCGGACGCTGCTGTGCATCGCGCACCGGCTACGGACGATCATCGGGTACGACCGGATCTGCGTCATGGACGCGGGGCGGATCGCGGAGGTGGGCACGCCTCTGGAACTATGGCAGCGGGGAGGCGGCGACAGCAAAGAAGAAGGCGGCGGAATGGGTATCTTTAGGAGCATGTGCGATCGAAGCGGTATACGCGAGGAGGATATCCGGGCCGCGATGGTGGGACCCAAAGCAGACATCCGGGGATCGGGGGAGTCGGAAGGGCCGTCGGAGGGAAAGGAGGAGGAAGGGGGAGACAAGTTTTAGCACATACCATGCCTACATACCCACGTACATAGACACGACATAGATCATAGAGCCGCCTAGGAGCGGTTGGCGCGGGCGATTTTGGATAGACGATGAGAACAACGACGATGACGACTGGAGGATAGACGAGGATGGTAGGGAGGGGGGTATCTGGTCGTCCTGTGGGGATACCACCCGGAGACGAACTGAGAGGTAATAACGAAGTAAAATAGAAGGGTGACGGCGATGAGTGGGCATAGAGATATATGTATCTCGTTCTGTGCGCGTAACCAGCAAGAGAGAGAATGATGGCGAGGGCACGTCGCGCAACCAACAGACCCAACCATGGAGCTCGAGAGAGGGGATTGTGTCTCTCCCGGAGTGGGAGGTGGCACGTGAATAGAATGTGAAGGTTGTCGAAGGGGAAGGGAAGCTGGCTCAGCCTCGATAATCACTCGTAAACCTAGGACGAGAGATTGTCCCTACGTAGTCTATTATCACTTGTCGTGACCTTGGGCACCAGAGCAGACCTACGTAGGTAGGTAGGTACCTACACGGTAGGCCTACCTAGGTACCTATCTAGGTGTCTATCTATTCCACCCGGGTACATGCATAGACGTAAATAACATGCGCGTTGTCGATATAGGTACCTACCTCTTATTATGTACGCTTAGCACAAGGTCCAAAGACACCGACTACCTCCTCCTATGAGCAAGTGTACGCTGCTATCGCGGCTCGCTGTATTTCTATCACTTCTCACTTGCCATCGACCCCGTCGGGACCCGTCGCGAAAGGTCCCATCCGTTCCTGCGTCAAGCAAGGTGGGGAGGGGGGAGCGAAAGGGGGGGGGAACAAGACGGTTGCGTGCATACACGCCGACACCCACTCATATCGTCGCCTCACAACTTGATAAATAGGGTACCTAGGTAGGTAGGTAGGTGGGTACCTATAGGCAATCTACCTGAGGCGGGACGTATGTATGGGTGCGAGGTATGGGCAGCATTGCGATAAATTGCTCAGCTCTAGTTAGGCACCTGTTAGGTAGGAGAGGTAGATGTCGATACGATGCCGCCGCCCGCGCATTTCACCTACGCTTTTCTGCGCCCGGCCGTGTCGATGATCGGGAATATCCTGCGATGATACGCGTGATGGCGATGCAGGGGAGGCGGGTGCACGTACGCATAGTGGAACTAACTCGTACTTGGGTGCCGTGGATGATTCTGTATGACGTGTGTATGTATGTAAATATGTATATATGTATATATACCTATGTATATGAATATCTGTATATATGCATATATACATAACTGGGGAACGGCATCGGATACCTAACCTAAAGATAAGAGACAGAAGGTAATAGGTGTTATATATGAGTATGTACACCAGCATTAAACATTATTTTCACATATTTATATCGGTACACAAAACCACCTAGGCCTGTATCCCGCCGGTCCCCAAGCTGACCTCGGAATCGCGACGGATGCCGATATGCACGTATGCACCTAAAGTGTAGTTCGTGGTGGTGCAACCACCCGCCCTCGCCTTTGACCGACACTTTCTTCCTCCCTCTGCATGTGGTGATAGCGACGTGACGTAGTCCCGCAAGTATATATGGGCGCGTGGGGGGGGGACACATACGGTAAGTCTATCGTAAGAATGTATGCACGACTTCTCTGCCACCGTCTTTTTTTTGGCCTTTCTCTTCCCCCCCATCCCCTCCCCTCTCTAACATCCCTCTCCCTCCTTATCTTACTCGTCTCCTCCCCCTCCTCTGTCTTCGGGCTCCTCCTCCCATCTTCCGTCTTCTCCCATCCGTACCAGGGAGAGCGGGAAAGACCACGCTCGAGTCAGCACGTGCGAAAGCCGTCGACTACCGTCATTCAGTCCGTTCGCTAGTCTGTCAAGTCCACGAAGCGGAAGAAGAAGAAGAAAAATAAAGGGAACAAGCAAGACAAGGGCTCCAGATCCAATGCATTTTCAACCATACAAGCATAATTTTACATACACGCTGGGAAGATAAAAGGGAGCAGGAGGCGGTGGCAGTGACAGCAGCGGCCATCTCCTGACGAGCATGTCGCACGACAGGATTCTGCAGCTCCCGGGTCCGGGTCCGAGAGAAGCCGTGATGACCCTCCACTCCCCCCCCCTCCTCTTCCTCCTCTTTTCTCCCGCGAGATGGATTACTCAATCGGTCGATCCAACCGGCAAACCCGCCCAACGTCGCGTCCTCTTCCAAACGCTTTGAAAGCCCTACTCCTCCCCGCCCGGCTCTCGACGAGGCGAGACGACCGAATCCGGGCGGCAGAGTATACGAAACACCGAATATAGAAGAAAACAGTATACCCATATCCCGGACTCCGTGGTAGAAACGAACACCTCTCTCTAGAACCGCGTCGCTGTATCGGATATCCGTCTAATGTTGTCGGTTATGAGGTTGGCTCCACGTGTGCTGATGGTGGAGACCGGACGGCGGGAACTGGTTCTGCTGGTCGTCCAGCAGATCCTCTAGGAAGGCGCTGGGCGCCCGCCCACTCGGGGGGCGGTTGAGGTTCAGAGAGCTCGCGCTCATGTCCCGCTGACCTAGGTCCGGACGGGCCCGGAGGCTCGGCGACTCGGGCGGCGTGTGGCCCAGGGGCCGTCCGTGGCCGCGCGAGTCCGGCCGTAGGTTCGTTAGGCTGATCGAGTGGCCGTGGCCCGGCTGCGGGGATCCGGCACCGGCGGCATAGAAACCCGAAGGCAGGAAGCGGGATTCACGGTTGCTACCGCCGCCGCCGCCAGGCGCTGTCGGGGCGGTGGGAGAGAAGAACAGGTTCGACTGGCTGGGCGTCGACGACGGGATGGGGCCGCGCGTAGTTCTACGCACGCCCCGGCTGGCCGAGCCGTTGGCGAGCGAGGCCGTCGACGCGTGGTCGGTGTACTTGTAGAAGGGCGCGGCGGGGGGTAGGTATGTGGCCTTGTCGTTGGCGATGTGCTGGGCCATGGCTGCCTTCTTGACCGAACGATGCAACAGACAGACCACCACGGCCCGCCATATCAAGACGGCGGCGCCGAAGGCGCCCAAGATGGCACCGACTGCGATAAAGACGGTGCCCTCTGGCACGTTCGACGGCTGCATGAACGGAGCATTCTGGGTTGGAGGGACGCTGGGCGGCGGGTAGCTATAATGGCCTGGCAGGGTTGGGAGCGGCTCTTCGCTGGTGGAGGCGCTGGAAGACGGCGGGCTGGCGTCGGTGGTGCTGGTGGTCGCTGTGGTTTGCTCGCTCGTTCTCTCGGTGGTGCTGGTGCGCTCGTTGGTAGTCGAGGTGCGCTCGGTAGTGGACGCCTCCTCTGTCGTCCGCGTCCTTTCCGTGCTAGTCTGGGGAGAAGTCTCTTCGGTGGTCTGGGGTCGCCTGGCCGAAGTGGGTGTCGGAGTGTTACCGTCTCCCGTGGGAGTTGTTACGTCGCCGTCGTCGGCCGAGGTGCGGCCTTGGGCGACGACGTGGGTTGCGAAGAGCAGAGCGTAGAGGATTGGCTGGGGGCGCATGTTGGGCGGATTCGCGAGGACGGGCCGACGCGGCGGCGAATTATCGATACGAAAACGAGATGCTCCCGATGCTGTCCTTCGACGGGCGACGATGGGCGCTCGGAATGCCACGTCGGGACGGATTGACTTCTGCTAGCACTACTACAAACTACGATGAGGCGGAGAGTTGTTGGATCTGCGGCGACGGATGCGTGTGTGGGTGGGTGCGAGAGAGATTGGGGGAGGATGTGGGAATGTCGTATTCGACCCCGACGAGAAAAAAAGAATGAGATCGTGGCGCGAGAGAGTGGGATAGAAAAAAAAGGCGGGCTCGGACTCGAGTTGGTCAGAGCGAAAGAGAGACGAGGGGAACCTCTGGAGACGAGGGTAGGATGGATACTGGTAAGGTTGCTAAGGAGGGACGAGGAATGGATGTCGAGGGCGGTCCTGTTGTTGTTGTCCCTGGCCTCCCGCCTCTGGCTGACTTGGCTGTTGGCTGGCAGGGTGAGACGGGAGGACGATCCAAGGGGAAAAGGAGGGTGAGGACTGGCGCTGACGGGGTAGGTGGATGGATGGGGATGGATGGGCGAAGACGGGGCAAGCTGGGAATGATGGGAATGGGAATGGGAGAGGGCGCGGAGAGATGCGGGTACGTACCTACCTATGTGTTGCTCGCATGCACGAGGCACGCAATCAGTACCTTGGGTACCTGGGTAGGCATGTGTTGGTACATGTACATGCGCATACACAACATGTACACACACACACATACACGTACACATTAGGTACACATACATGCGCACATCAGGTACACATTTACGGAGAGAAATTGTATAGATACTACTACTACATATTAAAATGGCAGAGAGAACCGAGAGAGAGAGAGAGAGAGGGACCGGAAGGACATGCACGGGCCCAAACAATCCCCCGATAGAGAGGCCGAGAGAGAACAGACAGACCGACAGGAAGAGACAAGCATCGGCAACTTGCCGGCGCACGCTCGCAGCTTGCTCCTGTCGTGCTACTCGGTAGTACTGCGCACAACATGCACAAGCAGCATATGAGTACAGGCAGCACCGCCACTCCACGCCTTGCCCAGCCCTGCCCGGGGTCTGATCGTATAAAACCACCACCACCACCCCGGCATACGTGGGTTTAGCACGTATATAGCTAGGAGTCCAAGGAGATCAGCGAGCAGCTTTGCCCCCCCTTTAATCCCGCCGGCGCGGCGCCTCCCCATCATGCTATGCAGGCCGGACCTCGTTGTTCCTGTTCGTATTCCAGGGGCACCTTCGTACAGGAAACAGGACACCCCGATTCCACGCCACGGTCTTTTTGGGGGGGAGGTTCTCTCTTCTCTCTTTTCAAACGGGTCGTTGCCATCGTCACCTTCGATTCGGACAGGCATATGCGCCTATCCCACATCGGATCGTCGCAGCGCGCGCTCCTGGATTCGCGACGCTTTTTTCCCCAGTAAGGAGCGGGTCCGGGTGATCATCCGTTTCTGGGGGACGGAGAAAGAGAGAGAGAGAGAGAGAGAGGGAGAATCGAGGTGGGCGTAAATTAGCAGATCCATGGAAATTGGCAGATTCAGTACAGGCCCTGCAGCAGCAGATTGCGCTGCATCTAGTACCCAATAGTACGTCAGGTACTTGGCCTATGCAGGTCCGGCGTACCTTGGCAGCGATGTATATTAGCTAGACGTAGGTACCTACCTCTAGGTAAGTACCTCTAGAGTACCACATAGAGTGGCTACGCATTCACGTGCCGTGCTCTGTCGGCATAAATGTACCCGCGCATCGTCCACGAGAAGCGCCGGGTGTCGCAGCGCTGCAAAGTGCAGGCTCCCGTTGCGCCGGGTAAACGCACCTAGCTCAACCGGGCCCCCATTCTTTTTTTTTCTTTCTTTTGCACCCCCGCCCGGAACTAAAGACGCAACCTCCGTCTCGGCTAATCCGATATTCCTTCCTCCGGCCGCCTCTTCGCGACCGGCACATCCCCCCAGCCGCCCTTCCCACCCTCTCACCTTCTCGCCGCCAGAACTTGACGCTCGCTTCCGCTCCGTTCTCCAGGTAGATACCCGCCGCCATGGGTGTCGCAAAGAAGACGCGCAAATTCGCCCAGGTCCGTCGCTTCCTCCTCCCCGCCCTCCCCCAGCTCGCCCCGCCGCGTCGATAACGACGAATGTCCCCATGCTCCTGTCGTCCTGTCTTCACTTCTTCCCCGCACCCACTGACTGACATCCGCCGTCGATCCTCTCCTGCAGGTAAAGCGCGTCATCGGGCGGCGCGACAGCCGACTCAAGGAGAACCGGACGAAGGGCGAGGCGTCGAACCCGCAGAACCCGCGGTCGGCAGCGGCGGCGGCGGCGGCTGGCGGCAGCAAGAAGAAGAAGGCCGGCGAGGTCGTGGCCCGGCGCGAGGTGCCCCAGCTGCCGTCGCAGCTCTTCTTCCAGCACAACGAGGCGCTCGTGCCGCCGTACGCCGTCCTCGTCGACACCAACTTCCTCAGCCACACGGTCCAGCGCAAGCTGCCCCTGCTCGAGTCCATGATGGACTGCCTCTACGCCAAGTGCCACCCCATCGTCACCGACTGCGTCATGGCCGAGCTCGAGAAGCTCGGCCCCCGCTACCGCATCGCCCTCCGCATCGCCCGCGACGAGCGCTGGCAGCGCCTCCCCTGCGACCACAAGGGCGTCTACGCCGACGACTGCATCGTCGACCGCGTCATGTGCGTCTTGTCGTTCCCTCTCTTCCTCTTCTTCCTTTTCCTCTCCCCTACCTTCGATATATACACACATATACACACACACAGAGAGAGAAAGAGACAGAGACAGAGACAGAGACAGAGACAGAGACAGAGACAGAGACAGAGACAGAGACAGAGACAGAGACAGAGAGACAAACTAACAACCAAATCCCCCCCCTTCTAGGAAACACCGCATATACATCGTCGCCACCAACGACAAGGACCTCTGCCGCCGCATCCGCAAGATCCCCGGCGTCCCCATCATGAACGTCGCCCGCGGCAAGTACGTCATCGAGAGGCTGCCCGGCGCCCCGCAATAAGACCGTGCAAGCAGAGAGACGCTCGCGACGAAAGAATACTACTACCATTTCCTGCTGCATTTCCATCCGAAGGCGTTTGCGCCGGCGTTGAGGCGGAATGGGACGGGAGAAAAAAAAATTAGGGTGACATGGATTTTTAGACAGCCTACCTCGTTCTTGGGGTCTTGTCTGTTATGCTATGGATGGGCCATGGCACGATGCGGCATTCACTACGCAGTTGTCGGGGGCGGAGAGTTAGAAAGGACCATATATCACTGGTACGGGTATGATTACGACCCCCCTAGAGGAAAGGGGAGGAAAAAAATGAGGGGGCTTCGTCTGCTGATCGGGACGAGAGAGAGCGATAAAAGAACAAGCAAAGTTAGATGATTCGCATACCATGACTCCCCATGTTGAATATAGACAATCATGATTATTGCCCAATGCCGCCCTTAGCAAGGCCCTAGAGTTGATAACGCCTCGTGTGGATGAACGGGGCGGGCAGGCGGACGGGTGGACGAACGTATCTCTTCTATGTACATGTAATGCCGACCTCGTCTGTTGAATTCATGTCTTCCCCCCCCCCCCCCCCTTTCCCGTCTTTTCCCCTTTCTCCCACTCCCCTTGCCCTCTCTTTAACGACACCAATAACAATTTTTTTTTAAAAAAAAGAAAGAAAACACCACTTCGCCATGGGTATAAATGGCGGCCAGACTTTTCTGCGTCTTGGTTTGATTTTCCTTCCTAGGCGGGACCCTCGTAGCGTGACTCTCGTCCCGATGTACGGGAAACAGTAGGTAATCCCCAGGGACTGCTGTCATCTCGACTCCGCGGAGAGAGAAAGAAAGAAAGAAAAGGGCCGAATGCATGGACACCGCGAAGAAACATCTTTACCTGACAACTGCGCATGGGCGCGAAACATAGAAAGAAACCTAACAATTAATTGTACACCCCATTTTATCATTGTTTATTTTTCTCGGCCCCGGTGCCAACAGGCCGAAATCCCGCCATACATGGATATATATCAAAGGTCAGACAGAGGATTCGAAGGGGGGCGAGCCACCGAGGGACGATAGCGAAGCACCAGCAGCGGAGTCGCCCATACCAAGTAGGCCAAGAAGATAAAAACGAGACGCCAAGCTCCGGCGAGGGAAAAGGTATTAATTATTAGACTAGCAAGTAGGATGGATTAGTTGAGGAACCCCTTACACGCCGCGGTCCCGCAGAGACAAGGGATGCGGTCTAAGCTTCCAATCTCTCTCTCGAACTTGTAGTCGTACGTCAACTCTTCGTCTACGGAAACACGTCGTTAGCATCGTCGCCACACGAGGAGGGGATGGTACTCAAAACATCCACTTACTCTGAGCGATGTCTCTCAAAGCGTAAATGACGATTCTCTTGCTGCCTTCCACTTTGATGATCTTGGCCGTGCAGTTTGGCATGCAGCTGTGGTTGATGAAACGGGCGATGCCGCCCTTCTTCGTGGCGTCGATGACGGTATTATCATCAATGCGGAACAAGTAGCTGCTGCCGATACCGCTCTTGAGATATCGGTTCTCGCGCAGCTCCGAGATCTGCTGTCGGACCTCCTCCCCGACATACTCAATAATCATGTCGTCCTTGTTGATGTTCTCCATCGCGTAGAGACCCCAGTTGTGGATCGCAGAGCGGGCGAATTTGACCGGCTTCTTCCGCTTCTTAAGCTGGTTGAATCTCAGCACATCCGAATCTTGGCCCAATGTTCTCTTCTGGTCGTTCAGGTCCGCCACGAAGCGCCGGTTGTTGACGCGATTGGCTCTCGAGTTACCCTTAGCTACTAGCTTCTCAGCCGCGAGCCTGGCTGCTTCGGCCGCCGCCGCCGCCGCATCTTTGCTATCCTTCTTGGCTGCGCGTAGCTGCCGCTCCTCTCGGGCCCTTTGAACCTTGAGATGATGAGGAAGGTACTTGGACTTCTCCGAGTTGAGGATCTTCTTGACGCCCTCGGTACGGGCGCATCCAGTGGGGTTTGGGACATAGTAGCCCTCGATAGTGATGGGCTCTGTAACTCTCCCCGGCTCGGTATTGAGCTCCCGTACGCGATTGTGTCTCCAGATCCAGAGCCTAGGGTTGCCAACATCGCCCGACCTAAATTTCTTCTTGAGTTTGCTGGCGTCGGGAACATCATTCCGCTGAAGTTCAAGACTTGATATGGATTGCACCGATAGCCTGAACCCTTCCGGCATCGTCATCGCCGGAACAACCGCGTCGGAAAAGCGCTCATCTCGAGGGGGTATCTCTTCCGGAGCCCCGTCGGCCACAGCCTTCGGCGATGGCCCCTCGGGTTCTGGCGTCTCCTCCTTCTGTGCCTGTCCCAAAGCCTCATCGACAAATGCCGCCTCCTGCTGCTTCTTCATGACCTCCTGCTCCTCAAGAAGTTGCTTCTTCGTTTTCCTCTTTGGCTTTGGTGCCGCCGCCTTCTTCCTACCTTTGCCGGCCTTCTCGGGCAGGATAGGTAGTTCCGCAACATGGCCACTCTTTTCATTGCCAAGCTCGACGTCGGGCACGGTAACATCCTCGGTAGGAGTAGGGAACTCGCTCTCAAGTGTGTCAATAGTAACGCCAAAGAGTTCCGCATCCGACTTCTTCTGACGTTTGATGGCGGCCTCAACCTGAAGATCAAGTTTCCGCTTTTTAGTCTTGAGAATCCCGTCGTTAACGGGAAAGCTGGCGTCCGTCATAGAATCCTCGTCGGCGAAGTTGTCCTCGAAGACATCCTCATCGGTGCTCATACGACTGCGAGGCCGTGACTCCGGCTCCTCGATGTCGGGCGCGACAGAGTCGCGATTCTCCGTTTCATCCTCCGAGGCTTCGTCATCGCTATCTGGAGGCTGGAGCCGATGGTGAAGGGAGCGGAAGGCATTATGAACTACGGAGGCCCGCTTACGCGCGAACGGATCGGTAAAGCCGTAATGTCTCTGCGCGGCACCTTGCCCCTTAATTTTCCTTATACGGGGCAGAGCCGTAACGTCGAGACGGGCGGTGCGACGCTCAATTGGATCGGCCCGCGAGTTGGGAGTGCTGATCGGCGTGATCTCTCGGTCTTCGACGCTGATGATGGGTCGCGATGGACCCGAAGGATCTTCCAGGTTCAGCTTGCGCCTCTTAGCTATGTGATTCGCTGGATCTAGAAAGGTGAACAGAGCAGGTACAGCGACCTTAGTACGGATATGTCTGATCAGATGCTCCTTCATCTCGCGACGAACAACTTCGATGGCCTCGATGACCGGGTCAAAATTCTTCGCCCGTTGCTTCTTTTCCTCCTCTAAGACGGCCTCGTCGTCGCGTCGTCGCTCGTCGCGGGGTCGATACTGGTGTTCGTCTCGATAACGTGTATCCGCAAGCGATCTCCTTTCCGGTTCGCCTTGGCGCGCGTGGCCGAGGGGGTGAGAGGATCCCGACGGAACCACGCCGTGAAGCTTCATGGCCATGGTGTAAGTGAAGAAGGCGCTGCCGTCTGCTGATCGGAAACACCGGTATGCTTCGTCACGGCCGAGAGAGTTGTTGGGGAATATGATGTAGTATCCGGTCCTATCGGCTCTAATATCATCGAATTGGAACGACTTCAAGCGCTTCTTCATGTGAGGTATCGTCGTTATCATGACGGGGACGCTCGTCTCGGGGACAAAGATATACGGCTCGCCGTTTAGGGTCGTCGCAACAGGTTGCGAATCGATCAACATGGAATAAGCTTTTGGTTTCGTGGGGAGCGACCAGTTCGTCTCCCCTGCTGCCCCGGGCCGCTGGCGATCGGCAGCGGGCCCCTTCGGGGCTGTCGGGGGTGCGCGACCGACAACTTCAGAGGCTCTCAGCCTCGGTCCCGTCGGTACGGGCGGCGTAGTTGTTGCGCGCGTGGCCTCTTCGCGGTCCTTCTTGAGGATGGCCTCGAGCATAGCCCGGCTTTTCTTACCGTCGCGGTCGAACGACACTTTTATATAATTGGCCTCGATTTTTCGCCCGTTCATCTGCCTGACAGCTCGCTTGGCAGCCTCGATGGCAGAGATGGGAGGCCGTCGTTGAGGCCGCGAGTCTCGGTACCGAAAGGTTGCAAAACCTAAGTAACTACCGGTGTCGGGGTGCATTTTATTGCTGCTTTCCGCGATGTCGCCGAATTGGGCGAATTGACTCACCACCTTGGAGAAGGTGATCAATGGGTTGAAGCCGCTGACGACAATCTGAGTTGGCGGGCCAGGGCCGATAGAGGTAGAGGGATCATAGGGATACGGCTTTAGATTATACGGCGTCTGGCGCAACCTCGCCTTCGGGAGATGGAAATCGACATTTATGTAGTCGAGCCAACTGCCCTTAGAGAGACGCGGGTCTTGAGGGGGGACGTCATCTTCCTATTCAACGAATTAGCCACGAATTCACGCCAAATCAGATGACGCCCCCCCTCTCCCCTCCCTCCCCCCATGTATATATATATATGTGTGTGTGTGTTGTGTTGTATTGTATTGTCTGTATACGTACCGGGCCGATGTTCTTATACTTGGGCTTCATGGTTTTCCTATCGCTCGAAGACAAGCTCTTGTCGGTTGAGGGATCGTGTATACACTTCTCTCCCCTTATAACACGGTTGGGGTCTCGAGCCGGGGGGCGCCCAGCGACTCCGGGGAAGGTGGATAAGGATGGCATAGCCGTCGTAGAGTTCGCGGCATCACGCCTGCTTGTAGTCTGGTGAGAGGCGGCGACGCGCTGCTTTGCGGACTGTATAGCTGGGGGATATGCAGGTGAGTCCACTGTGGTTAGGGGAGTGAGGGCACTGTTGGAGGCGCGTGATGCCGGAGCATTCATGGCGGCGGAAGGGTTGAAGGTGGTGGAGACAGACGAAACGGTACTCGCGTGCGAGCTCGCGGAGCCAACACCGTTCAGAATGTCTCCCGACAACGACTCGGTATCATCCGTCGGGGGATGTGCGGCCTCCGATGACGACGAATCATATCTGGCGCCGTCGCGATGGGCGGGAGTCGGGGCCTTGGAACCCGCGTCGGCAGATTCTGATACCTTGGTAGACCTCTCGCGCTCCCGTTCATTAGCCTTGTCTCGAGCGGCGCGAGGAGCATTCGGAAAGAACTCCTTGTATCCAGCGCTAGGAGCCATGATGGGGGTGGTCGAAGTCTGCGGCTCCGACTATCCACCGACCATCATATCTCGAATCGACACGGATCAATGACACCATCCATGTAGCCGGCAGAGAAGAAGGAAAGATGGGGGTAGGGATTGGTGTGTTGCAGGTGCTGTGAGGGCGGCGGGAGGACACGCGAAACCGCTGCGTCCACGCGACAGGCTTGGAGATCTGACGTGTGGGACTCGTGAAAGGGCAGGAGAGATGTGGTAGCTATGGATTGCGTTGAGGACGTGAAGGCGGTAAAAAAAAAGAAAGGCAGGCGGCAGAAGGTTGACCGGACACGGTCGCGGATAGATAGTAAATGCAGGCCTGGGGGTCTGGCGCCCGTAGAGGTCGAGATGTTGGCTTGATCGGAGGGAGTTGGCGAGAAATGGGATAATGGAGAGGTCGATGTCGAAAAGTTGAATTGGCTGTCGACGGAACAAGCCCGATTCTCATTTCAGGGATGGAGACGGGGGGGGGCCATGGGCACCTATCCGGGCTTTGGTTCTGGGGAGAGAGGGACAGCGCAGCCACAAACCTAAGCCACAATTCTATTTCTTAATTTTTTTTTCATCATCTTCTCTTTCTGTTCTTTTCTTCATCTTCACCTGCCAAGAGAGTACATCCATAAATAGGAGGTGGGTAGGTAGGTACCTGCGTGCCTAGGTACCATCTGTGGACGTCTAGGTACTGCTACAGGGTGCCGTTACCTGAACCTCAACCCCTAACGGGCGTCGGGCTCAGCACCGCACACCACCTGGAATCACGGGTGTGCCCAAGACCGGGCCCCTCAGGAGGTACCTGTGCAGATACTTGCCAAACCTACCTCTATCAGGTACCCACCACTGGAATGCCTCCCTCTCACCGTACCTGCGCCGCCGCTCTTGCGTGTGGCGTCGTCGCGTCGGCCTAGCCGTCGGTACGCGGGCTGTACTTTACGGTACGCGGGACTGCGCGGGTTCGGTACTTTGCAGCCTACCTCACATGCCTACGACCGGGCAACGGAGATTCGCTGAGATGTCAGCACCTAGAGCTTAGGTACGTAAGTGACTGGGTACCTGAGCAGGTAGAGGGAGGTACCCACGCGCTAGGTAGTACGTACCCGGGGATCGCAGCGCAAGTACCCAACCCTGCCACCGACTACTGCGCTACAACGTCACTGCATGTCGCCATAACTGCTATTTGCTGCCTCCCACCGAGGAGTCAGTAATAGAACGGTGCCAGCGAATAGAATTCGCTCCGCCCGTCAGATCTACGACGGGAATGCGACTGTTTTCCCTCCCTTTCACCAGGCACCTCGGCCGTCGTATTCTCCTTAGATTCTAGATGTGCGTGGGTGCATAGAAGTGACCGCATGCATTGGATGTGTGCCAACCTCCTGTCCCGGTGTCCCTCGCCCAGAGGAAGCAGGTACCTATTATATAGGTTGGGTTGCTAAGGTCCTGTACATACTTAGACCGGCATCCAAGTCCCTCATCTGTGCCTGCATGGGTGGATAGTACTCATCCCCCTTTTTAATAGCAACATCATAATAGGGTATTATTATATCTATCCTGGGGAGCATACCGAGAAATCTGCCTAATCACGTCGGGTCCGTTTGGGCCTCGACCTATACATAGACGAAACCGCCTCGTTGTCGAGGTGCTGCGGCGACAACAAAGCTACGTAGCAGTTTGACGGCATGGCGTCAGTAATCAGCGACCGGCCTTGTCCCTAAGGCCTCCAAGCAGTAATCGTGTGCAGCATACCCTACTGTATAACTTGGTTCAGGAGTGAAAGGTGTGGAATATATGTTGCTTGCATAAGAGATAACTCCTGGTCCGCAGCCAGTCCTAGGGCATTCAAGGACTGCACCATAGGGGCTCCCTACGTGCTAAAGGAAACACCTTGTAGGCGATGGTATCTACGGAATTGAGAGCAACCAAATACCAATCCCCCGTCGGTGAACGCCGAAACCAGCTTCGTAGACTATCGATACATGCGACCGGACTTCCTGGCAAAGAGTGCGCGCGCGCATGCTCCGTGGCGTAACTGAGCACCTGCGCCGAACTACGGCACCCTTGTCCAATTAATCGCCATCGCCAACTCCGCCCCTCGCACCGAGTGCCACTTGAACGGCAGGAAACCGCTCAATCGGCGAGCTTCATGACGAACTCTTCGTCCTCCTCCGCAGACGGCATACCGCCCGGGACGAGCTCAAAGTCGTCATCGTCATCACCGTCATCACCGACTCCGGGGTTGAAGATGGACAGGAACGGAACCCTCTCTTTCCACTCCTGATCTTCGGCGGCCGAGATTTGCGTTTGGGCGAATCGTGCCGGCGTGATGATCTTGTCCCATTGACGGGACAGTGTTGTATCGTGGCGAGGAATCCCGGCTTTCGGCGCAGGCTTATCCATACTCGCAGTCCCCTGGGCGAGAATCGAGGCCGTAGATCGACCTTTGCTATAACCAATGGTGGTCCTCGAATTGGTTTCGATCTCCAGCGACGTCTTCCTCGGAATAGACGGGACCGGCGGGTTCGGCTGCCGCTTGAAACTAGGAATGGCAAAAGCTCCCGCTTTCCTGACGGGGACCTTGCTGGCTTCCATAGATCTGGCTACCTTCCGCTGCAATGACTTGGTCGTATCGTCCATGGCGAGGGCGCCGGCAGCCTTCCTCGACTGGACGGTGGAAGGACCCTTCGTTGCGACGACTTTCTTTGCGCCGAGACTCGCATCCGGTGCACCCTTAGATGCGACCAGGACTGGGTTCTTGCCGGATTCTAATTCATCCTGGATACTCCACTCGAATTTATCCATGTCTTCCTTTATGAGTCTATCGCATTCCTCCATGGCCTTCTTGTTCCTCTCCTCCAACTGCTTATCTGCCAGGGGGACACCATGCTCATCGACAGGGTTATAATAATAGTCGTAGTAACCCCTGAACAGATTCTCCGGTTTCAACGCGTCAAAGGTGAGGGCGCCATCGGGGAAGACATCGGACTCGTAGGGGAGATCTTTGGGCCTGGGAGGGCAATACTCGACTTCCTCTTCGCTGAGGGGATCCGCACCTTCGGCATGAATTTGCAGCTTTTGTAGCTCAGCCTGCGGCTGCTTCTGCCTCGATCGAATAGTTGTCGGTGCCTTGGCTTGGGACTTTTCAACGTCGCGAACGGCACTCTTGACGTTGACGGCCTGTCGACCATTGGTTTTCGCGTTGGTCGTTTTGTTACCTAGAGGCGCCCGGCTGTGCGGCTCTGCTTCTACTTATTAGTATGGCATCTCCTTCCCAAACCAACCGTTGTGAGTTACTAATTACGTACCCATGGGCGTAGCGAGGTTCGCCTTCTTCACTGTCTTCGCTCCTTGGGATGTAAGAGTATTCTCATTGCCTCGTGATTTAGCACCAAGCACGCTCTTAGCGGGCCCTGCTGCGTGGGTGCCATTCTCGTCATTGAGAGGGACTTTGATCGGGGTGTTCGCATATCTAGCACCTGGCGTGTTGGGCTGTAGTTGGCGCTTAACCTGACCCTGCTGCTGCTTCAGCGCAGCAGTGTTTTGGCGGCTGAAGGCCAAGTTCTCCTGGTCCCTGGCAGCCAGCATCGTGCGCGAATTGGGCTACGAGAGCAGACGAGGAGAGACTCGAGGGGATGCCGGATTGATTTAGGCGGTACTAGTGGGTAGGTAGGTTTGCGGTCTCCTCTGGGAGATTGCGAGTGGTATTGGCGCTGACGAATTGATTGTTTACGTCCGTGTTACCGAGGAGCAATGCGCTCCGGTCCGCGCGGGCAGGTTATTCGCAGTGGATCCTCGGAAGTTGGAATTTTCAAGGTGAAGCCGGACGACAGAAATGTTCGTCCGTCGGTAAATAACAAGTTGATGAAATAGAACCAATAGGACCCGATAAGAAAGTCGAAAAACGTAGACAAGTGTCTACTCGGATCCTAATTTGTCGATTGTACGGCTCGCAATTAGGAGACGCCTCAATACTATCTCACGTATGTCGATGAGGGCACATACGAGTTAGATTGGTAGAAAGCAGATGGGGGGTTTAAATGTTGTTTTGGCTGGATTAGGTTGAGGGAGCAGTTGCCAAAGCAACTGCTTACGGGTACATAAGCCGGTATGTACATACGAGATGATGCGCGATAATCCCCGGAAAGGTACTGCACGCTGGATACAGCAACGTCTCAGGCCACCTACAGGTAGGCACCTAATCTACCTACTTAATGTACCTGCCCTAGCACACTAGGTATGTACAGTACATAGCTGCCCCTCCATCATCAGTCACCAGCAGAGTCCGTGCGCATGATCTTCTCTGCGCACTGTGTGTGGCCCTGCTTAGATGCATAACTACGGCCGCTGGCCAATAGCCCTGGTCGGTTCGCCGGCGATGGCACTGTGCGCCCAAAACAACGGATAAAACGGGTCCCCCCTATTCCTAATCTATCGCTTACGAGGGCAACAGGAAGTGCAAGATGACACAGACTGGAAGGCGGGGCAATCCATCACCTAGCCCCGCCGCCGCTCTCACGTACCTATGCTGGTACCCATACAGTGGTAGTAAGAGTACCTAACGGATGCCCCCGTTATACCGCCCATACCACCTAACTAACCCTGCTGTCTGCCCATACAACATACTAAATGAAATTCCTCGCCCGTCTGTCCATCAGGTTTAGCCCCCGATATCCCATCACTTATTCAACGAGTCTCTTCTCCTCTCCTTTCTTTCCATCACCCCCAAGCCGCAAACTTGCTCTCTCACTCCTCATCTCACAACTACTATCTACATCGCTGAACCTTGGACGCTGGTCTTCTCCCTGCCTCTTTCTGCCTTGCCACACATACCCCGTGTTATTCTAGACAAGAAGCCAAAATGGCGGACCGCATTAGGGAGGTGAGTCGACAGCAGCAACCCCCCTCTCTCGTCTCCTTTACCCCACCACCAGCAACAACGAAATGCTACGACCCGGGCGCCATCTCAGCCCTCGTTGCCGGGCTGTCGTGAGGCTGCCTACTCATCGCGCACCGCGCCCTGTGGATTTTATATTGTCCCGATGACGCTGACCCGGACCCCCTTTTCTGCAGAGAATGAACCAGCTCCGCCTGGAGGCTGACGAGTCCGCTGCCAAAGTCGAGGAGTTGCAGGCCAAGGTCAAGGCCCTAGAGCAGGAGAACCTTGCGAAGGAGCAGGAGATTACCTCGCTTTCTCACAAGAACGGCCTCCTGGAATCCGAGAACGAAAAGATGGACGCCACCATTAAAGAATTGAAGAAGACTGCTGATGAAGGTCTGCAACATGGTACGCACAACGAGACTCTCCAACGAAGACTGCAGTTGCTGGAGGAAGAAGCTGAGGCAGCCGACAAAACACTTCGTGAGACAAACGAGAAGTAAGTTGCGCCCCTCCAAAACTCCCTATCCGGCCCACACCAGCGCAGGGGAAGGAGAAGAAACATGAAAGAAGACCAAGGACACACGGGATTATCCAGCTGACCGATCGTCCCAACTCCACAGGCTACGCCAAACTGACGTAAAAGCCGGCCACTTCGAGCGCAAGGTACAGGCACTAGAGAACGAGCGGGACCAGTGGGAGACCAAGTACGAGGAGATGACCAAGAAACACCAGGCCCTTCAGAAGGAGATGGACGACCTCCAGGCGGATCTTGGCAACATCTAAGCCGACGGCGCCTTCGCCGAAGCCGGTACCGCGGCACGATGCGAGTCGGGTTCCCGGGGCGAACGGCACGTTTCGAGGAGGCTGCGGGTTTCTTTTACCAGTACCGGCACCACGTCTGCCCTACCTGGACAAGCCTAGTCGATCGACCGGCCCTCCGCCCCCGATACCGCGAGAGATGGGCGATGTCAGGGTGGGACGCGACGGGGGGGACTCGGTTACACGGTGCGCGCAAAGCATGTTTATTTCTTGGTGGACTTATACGTGGTATTTGCAAGAGCAGAGCCTGCGAGTGCGAGACGGATAGAGAATGCACTAATTCAACCACGTGGTTTCTTTCTATTCTTGGTGGCTCTCTGTTTCCTCTGGCTCACTCGCCGCTCCGACTTGGTCTCGTATCTGAACTTCTGCTTCTTCTTGGGCCAAGCCTTCTCTCTGCTCGCCGGAGGAGCATGTTCGGCGTCGCCGTCTGGCGCCGCCTCCCCTTCGTTCTCCTCGCTCGAGTCGTCTTCCGCAGGCCGAGAGCTCTTCAGCCCGTCCTTGGACACGGTAACCGATTCCACCGTCACCGTAGTGTATCGTTCTTCGTCCACGTATTCCTCCTCGTGATCGATAGGCTCGGGCGCGGGCGTATTGTCCTGAATGCCTCCCCACCCCTCCGACTCGCCGTCGGAGGACGTCTCGCCGCCCACGTAGCCCGCCTGCTCGGCCTGCTTCAACATCGCGTTGACACTCTGCACGTGCTCCTCGACCTCTCTCTTCCGATCTTCGCGTAGCTAGAATAGAGGTTTCCGCCTTAGGAAAAGGTTTCGTAACCCAATGCCCACCCCCAAGCCGCTGACGTACCTGTTTCCTGAATTCGATCTTCTCCTGGCGCGCTCTCCTGGCCGCCTGCTCCTGCGCATTCTTGGTCCTCTGCAGCTTGCGCTTGTGGAAGCCCGTAAGGTAGTCGACGCGGGCGCCGTCGTCGAACGTGATCTCGTCCACCGAGTGCAGGACCTTGCGTTTCTTGAGCGGCGGAGGTAGCAAGCCTTTCCTGGCTCGCGGCCGGGCGAACATTCTGTAGAGGCTACGAACGAAGCGCGGAGTGGGATAGGACAGAGGTGTGTGCTAGGTTGGAAGTTAAAGCACGACGTGCACGCAAGGCTGAGGCGAGGGTTAGTCTTAGATTCCTCGTGGCTGCATATAAGGCGTGGCGATCCAGAGACCGAAGCCAGCGTCTTATTGCACCAAGTCTTTGGATGCCGGATTTTATTATTTTTGCAGGTACATAAGTACCTCTTTTTGATAAGATAACGATACCCGCCTATCGGTCTGTCCAACCCCCGTCATTTCCGCCACAACGTACCAGGTTTCAGCATGTCTTTAGGGACCCTCCAGCACCTACAGGCCCATCCTACAGGCCACCTGTGCCTGACGCTTAGTGCTGAGGCCGCATCCACGGACCCTGCGAGGCCAGCCGACTAGGACTTAGGTAAGTTTGTTGGCTCTGTACAGTGCTGCGTACACAGGTGCATAGCCTCGCCGACCTCCAACACATCTACACTCCGAGCTGTCGAAGCTCCAGATTCCATCTCGACTACCATCGCCCAACGACGAATCCACCGCTTCCCGAGGAAATCGACTTATCACCATGCGTCTCATCCCGGCTGCCGCGGCCCTAGCGGCGTGCTGCGCGTCGTCGGCGCGCGCCTTCTCCGACACGTCCCCCTTTGTCCTGTTCTCGACCGCGAAGTACGTACGCCGCAATTCGGCCTCGTCGTTCCCTGCGGCGCCCGGCTCGCTCTCTCGCCTTTCCCCTACTCCCTCCGCTCCCTTCTCTCGTGAGCGTGTAACCTCGTATAGCTAACCGACCGCGTCGCGCGCGGCAAACAGGGTCGACACGCCCGCGGGCTGGGACCAGATCCAGTCGGGCACCGAGATCCGCGCGGCCGCGCGGCGGCTCCTCGCGTCCTGCCCGACGGACCGGTACCTCGTGGTGTCGCAGCCGAACCTCAACGCGGGCCACCTGTACGCGGCGGCGGCGTCGAAGCCGGATACGAGCCTGCGCGCCGCGCTGGGCCGCGCCCGCTCGCGCTACGCCGTCGCCGAGGTGGCCGGCGGCGCGCCCGACGCCGCCGAGATCGAGGCCTACATCCGCGAGGCGTGCGAGGCGGCGCGCCCGTCCGTCGAGGTCCTCGACCTAGAGCCCCTGCCTGCGACCGGCAGCGTCGCGCGGACGATGAAGCAGAACGGTACGCTACCCCCCTGCGCCTTGCCTTGCCTTGCCTTCCCTCAGCGGAGAGTACTGACACGCCGCCGCCGCCGCGCAAACGCAGACGACCAGCTCGGCCTCCTCCTCGACCAGCTCGAGGCCCAGGGCTCCTACACCGTCATCTACGCCGCCGGGCGGCCGCAGACTCAGACCCAGACCCAGGCACACCCGGCGACCCCGTACACGGCCGAGTTCCCCGACGCCGTGCACGCGGAGCTCCGGCGGGCGCTGCCGCACGCCGTCCGCCAGGGCGCGCGCGAGGCCGAGCCGAACCTGCCCCTGTTCCAGAAATATCAATACTTTTCTCCCGGTGCGTTCATCCTCTCCTGTCCCCTCTTCGTAGGCGGCGTCGTGGCTAATAGAGAGACGTACGTACTTTCATATACAGGCATATTCACGGCCCTGATCACTGTCACCGTTCTCGTGTCGATCCTGTACGCGGGCATCTCCGCCGTCGCTAGCCTCGAGGTCCCGTACGGCGCCTTCGACAAGGAGATGGGGCCCGCCGCGCAGAGGAAGCAGCAGTAGGCTCGAGGCCCTTAGCTGACGGCATTACGTGTAATTCGAACTACGGAAGTGTACGCGTGGTCTTCTTTTTTTTTTGGTACGATTTTTCGGGTCATTGGAGTCTGGGCAAAACAGGTCGCAAAGTTGCAGTGTAGCATGTCTTCTAGTAACGTAGAAATCAGTTGTGTAGTGAGGCGAAGTCGTGTTATATACGCGCTCACCCACTCGCAGATACAGCAAGCATAACAGTAGCGTTTTGTTGACTCGAAAATTGTAGATCTACATATGGAAGTAGAGCTGGCTTGTTTTCCAGGTTTCGATCTCTCTCTAGGCTAGCTCTTCTTCCAGATCGCACATAACCATGTTAAGGCAGAAATATAGGCCTGCGTAGGATAAGTATGGTGTTTCATGTGGTTTTGCACATATGCCCCGTCCGCCTGACTCCTGAACGCCGTTCTCCTACCTGTAGGTCTTTACTTATTTCTGGACCTCCTGAGCACCTCCCCACCCTCGCTTTCCCCTCTTCTCTACCTTCTTACGTTCCCTCTCCCTTTTCTTGTGAAGCCTCTCCTCGGTTTTGTCCTTCCACCCTACCCTCTCTATCCCCCAGGAGAATCTAACTCAGCTCAGTCGAGTCCGCCATCTAGCCGGCTAATCGACGAGAAAAGGCCCGCTGGCATGTTTTCCCAGGTCCGCTCACACAAGGTGGCTGGGTAGCAGGAAGTTGGCGACGCCCTCGCGGACAGTGTACTCATGGCCGCAGTTGGCGCAGACGAGTTTGCCCTCGACGATCTGAGTCTCTATCAGTAGCGAGTGCAGGTCTCGCAGTGCCTTCTCGTTGCTCTGGAGCTCCTCGGCGGACGGCGCCGCCGGCGGCAGCGGGGGGAAGCCGAGCTGTGGTGCTTCATTAGCTTAGACCTACTTGCTTTTGTTTGTATTTGCATTCTTCTCGTCGCCTATGAAACCGTAGGGGAGAAGCAAGAATCAAATAGCTGGAAGCCTCAGACCGAGACACTCCCCCCCCTCGACCCCTCCATCAATCTTTTTTGCTTTTCCTCCTTCGAGGAAAGATCACACACCGCGCCCGCGCGCATGCACGCAAGAGGGGAAGAAGAAAAAAGGAGGTAAGCAGACACTTACCTCCTGGGCGGTCGTCGTCAGCGCGGCCCAGTCGAGCCGGGGCAGCAGGTTGACGAGCAGCCGGGCGTTGACCTGGACGTCATCGCGCGCCAGCTCTGCGTCCTTGGGGTGCAGCGGGTACGAGGCCGACGAGCTCTTGCACGCCTTGACCGCGCACGTCAGGAAGTTGAGGCTGAGGACCTTCATGCTCGGGGGTCGAAGAAGAGGAGTAAATGGGAGAGAAAGAAAAGAAAAACAAAACCCGCTGGCCAATTTTGGTTTAAAATTTAATTGAGTTGTCCGGTGGATGTATGCAGATGAAGTTGTAGATTAGTAGTAGGTGGTTAGGTGGGTATGAAATTGAGGGAGGAGGATTTAAGAATAATAAAAAAAGACAAAATGGCCACACGCCAGATCAAACCTTATCCAGTTGTCAACAGGGAGCCGCACATACAACTACGTATACGATACAGAAGCGACTACGATAACACGGGCAATCCGCCAGCGGTAAATACAAGGTTACGGGGCCAATTGCATGTATATCGTATTGCATCGCGCTGCACCATTCTTAGCCTCTATGTACCGCGACCAAGCATCGTAACACTCGCCCTACGCCAACGTCTTCTCGTGAACCGGTTCGTAATTTCGTTTAGACAGGCGAATGTAGACAGCCACCGCGGCCAGGATGACGCTGAAGAGGAGGGCTTTCTGAAGGACAGACCACCCCTCGGACGGGACCGCACCAGCGTCGGCGAAAGGGTTCACTTCTTCGTCGTTGGCGCCAGAAGCCCACTCAGATTCCCCATATGTACCTGCAAGGGGGGGTGCAGCAGAAAAAGGTATCAGTAAGAACACGGCGGAGATAGAGCAGAGATAGAGACGGCACGGGGACGGTACGGGCAATAGTGCGTGCGTGTGTTTTGCTTATAGCTCCACGTGGATACCTTCGGGCGGCACTGGGAGCTCTCCGCTCTCGGCAATCTTGACCACCTGCTCCGGCTTGTCGCCGGGCTTGGTCTTGACGTTCTCAATCTTCGTGACGATGTCCATGCCCTCAAGGACCTCGCCGAATACGACGTGTCTGCCGTCGAGCCACCTGTTCTATAGTTAGCCCGGCGGCCCTTGGTTGGATTCGTCTGGATGTTTCCCGATCGACGGGGGGGAGCGAGTCTTACGAGGTGACGATGGTGGTGATGAAGAATTGAGAGCCGTTGGTGTCCTTGCCAGCATTGGCCATGGACAGAATACCGGGCTTGGTGTGCTTGAGCTTGAAGTTCTCGTCGGGGAACTTCTCGCCGTAGACTTCCGAGGGATGCTGTTAGCGCATTCTCGTATCCGTAGTGTAGCCCTCGTTCAAGATGTGGTTACTCACTGGACTTGCCCCCAGTGCCGTCACCCTTGGTGAAGTCTCCACCCTGGATCATGAATTCCTTGATGACACGGTGGAAGGTGGAACCTTGGTAACCGAAACCCTTCTCGCCAGTAGCCAGAGCACGGAAGTTCTCGACGGTCTTGGGAACGGTCTTCCCGTACAGGCCAATGACGATACGGCCGACGGGCTCGTCGCCATGGGTGATGTCGAAGTAGACCTTGTGGGTGATCTTGGGGCCCTTGGTGGCGTCGGCCGTCTGGGCGAAGCAGACCATACTCAGGCCCACCAGCAGCAGGGCGCTGACCAGGAGCCGGCGCATGTTGAACATGATGAATCGAGTGCAGGGGGGAAGTGTATAGGGTTTTACAGTGGTGGAAACTAGATGGAATTGGCCCGATCGCAAAGGCAATTGGGAAAGGAGAGGGTGGGGGAGAAGAAAGAGAAGGGGAAGAGAGGGACGGAGATGGTGGGAGCAAGAAGTATGAGGAGAGAGGCACAGAGTAGAGTAGAGACCTAGGTAGCAGTTGGAGTCGGTGGCAGGAACAGTGGCAGGAACGGCTGCAGGAAGGAAGTGGATACGGAGAAAGGACACACAAGCTCAAGCAAGTAACTGCGTACTCAATACAGGCGACGTTTCAGCCTCGAGCTGTTGCGCGGCCACGTCCAGACAGGAAGATCCTCTTGCCATAATTAGAGACTATCCGTCCAGAATTAGGACTATACGTGTACGTGATGTCACGTGAGCCACTCTCCAACCTACCGGAAACCCACGGGGCCACAGAGCAGCGCTACATAGTCCAACACTAGCGGCCATGCTTCCATCAAGCAGACAAGTCTTGGTGGCTCAGTTGGTTAGAGCGTTGGTCTCATATTCGTATGATTCAATCCACCAGGGTTGGGCTATCCAAAGGTCGTGAGTTCGAGCCTCACCCAGGACACAGACTTTCGTTTTTTGGCCCGATTCGCTTTTTGATATTTTGGTCGCAAGCCCGGGGAGCATCTGCAAGCAATTGGGCAAAGATCGCGACGATCTAGTGGGTTGTGACGTTAAAACTCGATTACCTGGACAATTTTTACTCTGAGGCGTGCCTCTGCCAGCAGCGCTTTCACGGGGCAGTCATGACGCCGGCCAATGCGGGGTTTTCGCTGTTGCTGTGGGCGGAACAAGCAAGGCTCCGCCTGCCTGGAGTCTGCAGAGAGGAGCCTCCCGAAATGCATAGGTACATGTCTGTATCGGCTTATCCAACTTATGTATGTAATAGAATATCGATTAGGTACAACGCTTTCAGTCCAGACACAGCTAGCGTAATCCCACACCAACCCGGTAGCTGTGCAATGGGAACCAGCAAACCCGCCTCGATATTTTTATTCTCTCCGTCATTCAGAGCCCGCGTCTGACCCTGGCCGGTTGGGAAATGATACTGCGATCACAGTAGCAACGTCTCCGCGTGGAATTCGCCCAAGATGGTAAATCCCCCCTCGTTGATTTCCTCCCTGAGCTGTATGCATTGTCCCCGCAGATCTTGACTGTCTATTTATGCCAGGTGGTTATTTTGGGAGTCAGCTTCAACGAGAGGAAGCTCGTCAAGGTAGCTCGCCCTGCACCCGATCGGACCTGCCCGGCCGGCCGCCGTCGTCTCTAACGAAACTGTCTTCTCTCTACTCTCAATGCAGAAAGCGCTCGAGTCCTTCTACGGGCTAGGGCCGCAGCTGTCGGAGCGCATCATGGCCAAGTACACGCTGCACCGGCACGCGCGGCTGGGCGGCGTGGCGCCCAAGATCATCACCGCCCTGACGACGGAGCTGTCCATGATGACGATCGAGAACGACGCCCGCCGCATCGTCCAGGACAACATCAAGCGCCTCCGCGACATGGGCACCTACCGCGGCCGTCGCCACGCCATGGGCCTGCCCGTCCGCGGCCAGCGCACCCGCACCCAGATCGAGACCGCCAAGAAGCTCAACCGCCTCGAGCGCGGCAGCGGCTGGTTCAAGATTTAAGAGGGATGGGGGTACGCCCGCAAATGCATGCGGGTTATATATATATGTGTGTGTGTGTGTGTGGACATGCGAGCGTTGACCTGGGCGTGCTCCCCGGCTGAGACGTTGCACGCTGCGCGGGGAGGGGAAGAGACGGTCTCCAGGTTCAGCCTGCCCGCTCCCAGAGCAGAGTCGGGTTGAGGGCAGGAAATCTCACTCTGCGGTCGTGCGAAACCCGACGGAAACGGGACGTGACCGTTGGAATAGGAGCGGTGGAGAGGCTCGGATTCCGAGCCATCGCCTTGAGTGCTAAACGAGGGAAAGCTATCGCCGCTACATGTCTGTCCGGGAACGCTATTCTCTTGTATACTTAGCCAGCCGGCGGCGAGGCTGAGATAAAGCCTCGAGCAATAAAGCATTTCAACCAAGCCGATGCGGGAATTTCATAAACGCGGAATCTAAACTCGGTGTAAACCGTAGATATTAGGGCTTCTTAACCGCTTATATTGTCATATAGTGAGACTGCCTCGCCAAACGAGCGGCACTCCGGCTACAAATATATTAGTAAGTTGTAGTAGGATAAGACATGAACGATTAAGGCCAAGTTCAATAGTGTCTTTCCCCCAGATAACAGTACCCTAGCTGTTCCTCCGTCGGGGCTCACGCCGGGCCCGTGTCCGCGGATACTTCATCCCTGCGGCCAAGCCTCTCGATCTCCGTCCTCCCCCCAAACCTCGCCGATCTACGCCCCGAGGCCGGAGAAGCTCGGCAGCTCGTCCTCGAGGATGGGTTCGCCGGCGTCCTGGAGCGCAGCGGCGACGCGCTCGGCGTCGGCCCAGACGCGCAGGACGTTGGCGCCGACGACCTTGGCGGCGTCGGCGTCGGAGACGCCGCGGCGCAACAGCTCGGCGACGAGGTCTGGGTAGCGCGAGACGTCGCCGAGTCCCTCCGGCGTCCTGGTAATGCCGTCGAAGTCGCTGCCGAACCCGACGTGGTCGTACCCGATCAGCGACCCGATGTACGTCACGTGCTCCGCCACCCGGCTCAGAGTGTTGTGCGCCGGGTCGAACGGCGGGACACCGTTCGGGTCCGGCGTGGCCGCGCAACTGATGAACTCCGCCGCGAAGTTGACTGTCCGACGGCACGAGCGTGTGAGCGCGCGTGCTTCAATTAGGGAATTAAGGGGAGTGGGGGGGCGGAGGGTACGGGAGAAGATTAGGGATAGGCGAGCGAAACCTCTTCTGGGGCTTTCTCCGTAAACGTACCCATGACGAGCGAGTTCGTCTTCTTGACCAGCTGCAACACATCGTCGGGCACGTTGCGGGGGTGCGGGCAGATGGCGTAGGCCGAGCTATGACTAAAGATGACGGGGGCCTTGCTGCCGGCCCAGCCGTCGCCGCCGGCACCGAGGACGTCGCGCATGGTGTCGACGCTGGTGTGGGAGAGGTCGACGATGAGGCCGACGCGGTTCATCTCGTTGATGAGGAGGCGGCCGCGCGGGGAGACGCCGCCCCAGAGCGGGGGCGCGACACCGAAGGGGTTCTCGCGCAGGGCCGCATCAGCGAAGGCGTTGCCGCAGTTGTGCGTCAGCGTGATGTACCGCACGCCGAGCGCATGGAAGCGCCGCAGGTTCGCCGCCGAGTTGCCTATCTGATGCAGGCCCTCGATCCCCAGCGGCGAGATCAGCTGGCCCCGCCGGAAGGCCGCCAGCGCCGACTCCGAGTCCACGATCCCGGAGAAGTCCTGCGGGAAGCGGCTCTGCAGACGGGTCACGAGGTCGATCTGCTGGAGGGTGAACTGGACGCCTACGCCACGGGGAGTCAGCCGGCCAGTCCGGGTTCTTCTGGAGAGAGCACTCGGAGCCATCTGTGCGCGACTCCGAGCTGCTTGCTTGCTCGCTTACTAGGAAGATAGTTCTCTTCAGAGAAGTCCGTGCCATTTCCCGGGCAAGGCCCGTAGACGCTCCAGAAGGCGCCGCCGTTCTGGCCCTCCCTGAGCCTGGCCAGGTCGACGTGGTACGGGAAGCCGCCGTCCTCGAACGGCTTGGTGAAGTTGTCATCGTAAATGTGGTTATTGTACACGGCCCGGATTACGTAGGCCAGGTCGTTGTGCCCATCTATCTCGGAGGTTCGGGACTCGTTAGCGCGTCGCGGCCCAGGTACGACTTGTCGAGGAGAGAATAGGAGAATCGGATATGGCCTGTGATGTGGGGTTGAGGCCAGACGAAGTTACCTATCAGGGGAGTTTCCGAGAGGATTATCTTGACCCGCTCGTCGATGGACGCGAGGCTCGACGGGGGAGAGCGTCTCGACAAGGAGTGGTCACATCTCCATGTCGGCCACAGTAGCGCGCCCAGGGATACCAGCAGTAGGGGTGACGCGGCAAGGACGGCAGTCTTCGCAAATGACGATCGAGGACGAGGAGGAGTGGGGACGGTCCCGGCGGTGCTGGCCTCTGCTTTCTCTTGCATGGTGAACTCTAGGGGTGTGCCCGTCTTTTCTGGCTGGTATGTTTAAGTCGGTAGGTAACCGACGACAATAACAACAACGGCAACAAATGGCGGGTGGTCGTCTTATAGTCTAGTAGGAGGAGGCAGTCCAGCCCATTGTGCAGGTGTGCATGTGGGCGTTGCATGTATGTGGACGTTGCAGTATTGTGTAGCAGCGGCAGGCACCGACACTTACTCGTAGGTACTTCTGCCGCCTGCTTCTACGTAAACAAGGGATCGTGAAGCTCTCCGCTCCGCAGCTGCAGTTGCGAAAGCGGAGGTCGATAACGAACCTGTCGACTTACCAAGCCACCAATGCGACGACGGCCTGGCTCTCTCTTTTCCTCTCTCTCTCTTCCCCCCTCCGACCTCAGGTCCTGAACCCGGCTCCATCTGGGAGGTCGACAAGGCCTGGGGGTCCCTTTATCGTTAGTTTTATGTACCTACCTCATAAGTGCATTTCATTACCTAACCTACCTCCTCCTGTTGCCTGCCCCGAATAGGTACACCTCTTCTTGGTCTATCTGCTGCGGATATGTGCGTGTAGGTACATATGTGCGTATACATATGTGCGTGTTCATACGTAGGTGTGTAGATCAGGGTCGTCAGAGAGAGCACCTGCAGCAACGGAGAGACATCTGCTCCCCCTAACCGTAATGTTACTTATAGACATCCAACCCCGACGGTCCGGCACCGCCTACACGTCGTAGTACGGCTTCCCAGTTGGTTGCGTCCTGGCGTGGTTTGCGCCGGTATACTAGCCGACGGACCGATCGATCCCATAGTCGCCGTGTTCTCTTAAGCCTGTGAGTATACTTATTTCAGCTATGCATGATAACATGAGCAGAGGCACTCTGACCGCTCACGTAGCTATAGAGATGGTGCATACACTAGCTGCACGTCTACTGCGATAGTGGGGGGCCAATTACAGAGTACGAGCTGGCTAGCTTCAAGGATTATACCGATCATCTAGAGGCCTCTCATGACCCGGGGCTTGGGCTGATGACCCCCGAGGAGGGGGCGCACGAGACGGTATATACCTACTCAGTAAGACGGCGGCAGGGTTGGCGGGGTTCGACACATGGCCCGACACCTGAAATGTTTGGATGAAACGGGGTCGCTGCCTCAGCGCTTCCTCCCTTCTTTTCCCAATTCTATATATATAACGGTATCAGCTAACCTGGCTTGGATTCCGCCGGGAGAGCTCGTCTGTCCCTCTCTCCTCCCGCCTACGCTACGATAACGCGGAAGAAGCACAGGTATGGGGGTTACAGGTATATGCAGTTGGAGTATCGAGGGTTGAAGGGAGGGAGAGGCGTGCTCGTAAACGTACTTAACCTGATGCTGTGCAGGACTCTATGTTAGGGTAGGTTTGGCACCTACAGGCAGTGCAAGGTTAGTACCTACCTACCTCTATGTAGGTACCTGCCTAATATATGTAGGTACCTACCTTAGGTAGGTAGTATGCCTGTAGCCTGTAGGGAATACGGAATAATACGCCTGACGGCGACAGCGGCGGGTATTGCGCCCTTGGCACATCGAAGTGCGCCATGTACCGCCTGGACGTGCGGATGTAGCACATGCCGTCAGCGGCCATACCAGCCCTACCGACCGACCCGGCGGTAGGTACCTTCCCAGGCATCTGGTCTACCTCCGGGGGCGGTGCCTTGCCCTCGCATACCCGGAGACACGCTGCTGCACGCCTACAAAACTGCCCCCCTGGAGCCTGCAGACGCTGTAGTGGGCCACACGGCCTTCCCAGCTTCAGGTACCTCTCGTCGTCCGAGTTTCTCGTAGGCTTCGTTATTGGTAGAAGCTCGGATTCTATAAAAAAAAAATACGTAGAGCGAGAGAGAATCTGATGGAGTAGGGAAACGGAGGCGCTTTCAACTTGCCCGTCGCTTTTGTCGCCCGTCCTTCGACCTGGTTCCGTCTAGCCTTGCCTGTATACCTACCTCCTTTCGCATTTCCGAGCCTCGTCTCCTCTCCCGCCATACCTGCCTTCTCTCGCTACCTCCTAACTACCTACCCTGCCTCCTACGCTTGCAGCTTTCACCACCAACACCACCACTACTACTGTTGGGTTGACCACCTGCCTGGGCCATCCTGTCCTCCCTCTTCTTATCTTCGCCCGCCTTCTACTTACTACTGACTTATTCACTTCACTTACACATCGGTGCTGGAACCGCTGCATCCCCATCTGTCTCCATCCAACAAAGACCGCATCGTCTTAAGCTTTCTTCGGCTGGTTTGTACCATTCTATAGACGTGACACGACCCTCTGCTCGTCATACCGCCGACCCCTGGCCCGCCCGCCCCTCGAAGCGCCAGCCTTCGTCACTGTCTCGCCCTTTCTCTTCTCGTCGCCGATTCCCTATCGCATAGCCGCCTCCGACTCCTTCTACCGCTGCTCCCCAGCCCCCTTTTCACGTCGGATCCGGACAACTTAGGCCTCGACTCCCAGCTACATTTTGTTAAGAAGACCGACCACGGCCATCGGCGTTCCGCAGGGACTGCGTCATCGTCATGCCGGGCTTCGCAGACTCCTTCTGGTCGGCGGACTACGCCGCAGGTGAGCGCGACGGATATGGCTGTCCTTGTGCACTTTTCCGACCTATGCTGACGCTCCCAAAGGGCTGGGTGTCCTGTTCACCAAGCTCCAGCAGGGGGTCCAGGAGAATCGACAGGTTCTGGCCATCGCACGGATGCGTGCCGAAGCCGAGGAGACCTACGGCCAGCGACTCGCGGAAATCACACCTGCGGCCGACAAGATCGCCGGAGGCTTCTCGCGAGACGATGGCGCAAGCGTCAAAAAGGTAAGAGTCGTCTCGTTTTTATACCTATTTTGGAGAGAACCCGCCCGGCTAAGATACTTCCTGTCTCTAGGCGTACGATGGGATGCGATCCGAGATGGAAGATGCCTCCAAGAGCCACAAGAAGATCGCACAGAGCATCAGGGATCTAGTAGTAAACCCATTTACACGGTGGTGCGACGCCCACGAAACACGCATTCAGGACTCGCAAGACGAACTGCAGACCCGCATCAAAGCACACGATCGTCAGGCCGAGGTAGTGAAGAAGCTGCGAAGCAACTACTTCAACAAGTGTCGCTTGGTCGAAGACCTCGAGGAAGAAAATAAGCTAGCTTTCCAAGACCCCGAGACGAGCCCGAAGCAGAACCAGAACATACCGGAGATCAAGGTGTCGACGAACAAGGAAGAGGAGGAGGAGGATGACGAGATATTCGAAATCGGCGACGAGACGTACCAAACCGAGCAGGTCAAGAAGGTGCTGGCGCACATGCTAAACACTATCAAGATGGGCGAGACCAAAGTGCCGATCTTGGGCACGTACCTCAACACCTCAGCCGGCTCCGACATCGTCGAGTATTTGCAACGGCACATGGGTTCAACTAGCGTCAGCTACTCCGAGCGCATTGGCCAGGACCTCGTGTCGAACGGTTTCCTCCGCCTCGTTGGCAACGTTGGAAACAACTTCGCAAACAGCTCCAAGCTCTTCTACCAGTGGCGGCCAAAGGCCTTCCAATTGGCAGGCGTGCCGGAGAAGAAGGCCACCATCTCTAGGACGTTCTCTATGCCCTCGTCAGACGGCGGAAGCGACTCGCCCGTCGTTGGCGCCGTCAGCGAGTACTTGTCTGGCTGGAACGTCCTTAACAACCAGCACCCCAACGAGACGCCCTCGGAACGCCTGCGACGCGAGGCCAGAGAGACGGACGATAAATACAAGGCCAGCGTCCAAAAGCTCGACGAGATGCGCTGCGAGCTGGAGGAGGCCATTCTCGTGCATCTGAGATTCCTCGAGCGCTGTGAGCTAGACAGGCTGAAAGCTATCAAGACCGTCATTCTCGACTTCTCGGGCACCATCGGAAACGTCATTCCGAGCTTGCAGTCAGCGGTTGACCGCATGGTTCTCTACCAGGAGACGATCCAGCCCGCGGGCGACCTACGGTATCTTCTGGAGAATTACAGAACTGGTCACTTTGCACCCAGGGTGGTCACCTACGAGAACTATTACAACAAGGTTGACGAGCAGACTTTTGGCGTAGACCTAGAGGCCAGGGCCCGAGCGGATAAGAAGCGCGTCCCTATCATCGTCACAACCATTCTAACCTACCTCGACAACCACTACCCCGATCTAGAGGGCGACGAAGCGAGGCGGGGGGTGTGGCTTACCGACATCCAGCTTAGCCAAGTTCACAAGCTGCGAGCGAAATTAAACAACGGCAAGCCGTTCACCTCCGAGGACCTCTCGGAATTCGACGTCCCTACCGTGGCACATCTGCTGAAACTGTACCTCCTCGAGCTCCCTGGTAAGCATCGGTGAATCAACCTACTTGTGGTCGTGATGGAGACTAACTGAAGGCGCCTAGACTCTCTAGTTTCCTCCCATGTGTACGAGATCATAAGAACGATTTACGCCACTCCGGCGTCCGACTCGACCGACGAGGCTCGCGTTGCCGTTCTCCAACAGACGCTCTCGCAATTGCGACTCACCAACATTGCCACTCTCGACGCATGCATGAATCACTTTACTAGATTGATAGATCTAACGTCGGCAGATGAGCAATACGTCAACGAACTCGCCATGTCTCTAGCTCCTTGCGTCTTACGACCCCGGACAGAGACATCGTTGACGATGGAGGAGAAACACGCATACCGCCTCATCCGCGACTTGTTCGCGCACAAAGATTCCATCTTTGGCGAGCTGAAGCGCATGTCGACTCTCACGCACTCGGGCTCGGTCACCAACAACCGACCCCGAGCCATCAGTACAGACGAAAGTAACCGAAGAGCCCACATGGAAGAAAGGCAGCGAGCCTTGCTGGAGAAGGCAGGACCGCGCGGACGCGCTACGAGTCCGGCGCCCGGCCCCCGTCATAGGCGTGATAGGAGTACGGGCGGGCCCGAAACCCGATTTCCCATAGCGAGTCCGACGGTGTCGAACGAGCGCCAACGAAGTAGCCTCGGCAGCCTCGGGCCGAAGAGGCAGAGTCTTGAGGTACCCGATGGTTCCGAAGCGCCGGCGCCGGCGCCGGCCACGAACGGGAGCAGCACCAATGGCGACTCGCCCAAGACGGAGGGCGAGTCCTTCATCTCGAAGCGCGACAGCATAGGCCGGAGCGGGGCCCGGTTCGTGGGCGGTCGGCGGGTGACCACCTCGTCAACCGTTGGGAGCACGCCATCGACGCCCGTCAGCAGGACCGGCACCGACGGCGGGACCCCGGTGCACGACCGCGGCGTGACGCTCACCGACGCGCCCATGGACGACTAGTAACGCGTGGAAACGTCAAAGCGAGCGTGACCCCGCCCTCTCATGTCTATAGACGGTCGGTTTGTTGGTTTTAAGCTTCGGGAACTTCAGGGAATTGACGACAACGAGGAAAACCACTCGGAAGAAGTGGTGAGAGAGCTAGGCGGCGTACCTGCATATGGACGGCGTTTGTCCCTTTTTTCGGTTTCAGGACTCCGCGCTCTTCTCCCTCTTCTTCCTTCTGGCTAGGAGATTTACGCCGACTCTAGTTAGCTCTCGATCTAACTATCTCTATATCTATCTCCTCCCACGTATATTTCTTTTGTTACGCGTATAGCAGTCTCGAGCCTCTCCCCGGCCTCCCTTTCTTTCGGGCGATCAACTGCGGACCTCGGCCAAGAGAATGGGGACGGAGAAGGAAGAGGAGAAATAAAGGAGGGAATGGAGGTCTGGTGCGGACATTGATACCTTGGGAGACAGAAAGAAAAAGGGGGGGGCGAGGTTGAAACTCTGTGCCCAACCTACCTACCTACCTCCTCGTGATATCTATGCGTAATGCATAATGTAAGAAAGAGAGAATGAAGAAGAAGGATATGAAGAACATACAATTATCGGTTCACGGTTCTTGATTTCCCTGTGCATGTATGTATTAGGATCGCCAGGACGTTTATTTTGTACCTCAGCCACTAACTACTAACTACGCTATTACGATACGAAGGAAAGGAAGGGGGAGACGGAAGAAAAAAATCGGCGGTCTCGAGCTTCCTCTCTGTCTATATCCACCACGGCCTCTTTTTACTGTATTCGTCGTGTCTAGCACTTCAATTTAGTTCTCAACTGAACCCCTAGAAAAGGGGATTGTGTTCTGTGGGCGTGTAAATAGATGCTCCTCCTATCCCGCTGTCGAGCCAGCCAGCCAGCCCCCTTTTCAGACCTTATATATTCCATATATTTCCCCCCTCTCCCCTTTGTTTAATTAGTAGCAACGCGGCGTAGACTTATCTTCTCCCCAGCACCAACGCGGAATCTCCGCTGTGAGCCCCTGTAGTGGGAATGACAGGTAGAGTCCCGCCACTGCGAATAGGGAAAGTTATAAAGGTCGTCCCTGATACCGAAGTTTGATTTTTAAAAATACAACCTGTATGTTTATGTCCACATTCACTCTGAGTTATGTAAACTTATCGATACTCTTTCTCCCCGGAGAAAGATTTATATGTATTTCTATCGCACGTGTCTCTCATCTCGTAGCGATGCTGGGTCGTCATAATTTGCCCTAAAAGTTGGATCTTCAGGATATTATATCGGTCATGAACAACGTAACTCCTTGTGCATTGGGGGCTTTAACTCGCCCCCCTCCCGGTCAGCGGTTCCGCCTGCTTTCTAGCCCTCGGCAATCTCAACCGGCCTGGCTTTCTTCTTCGCCTTCGGCTTGGCTGCCCCATCTATAGGCACCTCATTCCCCCCTTCGTCTATAGCCGTCGTTTTCTTCTTCTTCTTCTTAGCCTTGGGCTTGACCGTGTTGCCCTCGTCGTCACCTTCAGTCACCTTCTGCTTCTTCGCCACCTTCTTCTTCTTGACCACAGTACCCGCCGCGTCGACACCCTGCGCCACCTGTATTCGCTCGTTGGCCCGCTGCATCTCTAGGCGTAGTTTCTCGACCTCCTTCATGGCCTGCGCCATCTCGGCTTCGTCGCGCCGTTGGGCCTCCGGATCGTAACCCCGGCCGCTCGGATCGTCTTCTAGGTTGAGCGTACCGATTTTTGTCGAGTCCACACCCAAAAGGGACTGCTTGGGCTTCTTACCCCGGGACTTCGTGTGAGCGTCCGAGCTGTTTTCGGAGTCATAATTCCTTGGTGTGCTCACGCCGCTGTTGCCCAAGTTCTCGTCTGCGGCGATGACGATCTTCTGTCGCGGTGTTTTGTGGATCGGCTTGGATGTCCGAGGCGGGGGTTTGTCGACACCAGCACCAAGTTTATCGAGGTCGAGCTCCATGATAGGGATTGAGTCAACATCTAGGTCAGGGCCATTGGAACTCTGGAGGATATTGTGGATCGGGGTTGAAGATCTTTGGATCTGATTGCCTTCCAGTATATAGAACGGGTCGTCACGGTTCTTCTCTAGTCTCTCGGCCTTCCGCTTTGCCAATATATCCGCATCCAAGTACGTCTCCTCACTAGGCTGCTGGTAGGAGGAACCAGAGACATCGTCACGGCTCTCCGCTAACCTATTGATAGCCGGCTCTGAGGCTATGCTGGTAGCAGGTGGTCGTTGGTAGTAGTAACTCCCGAACTCGTCCTCTTCGCTAACCGGGATCGACATAGATTCGGCAGACGCGAGTAGGGAGTTGAGGTTCGGGTTTATGGGCTCGTCGAGGTCTAGCTCCTGCGGGAGCGGGACGTTCTTCTGAGCAGCTGATGCGACCGAATTCAGTTCCCACCCAGCAAATAAGGATGGTATTGCCTGTGTGAGCAGCAATGGGGGATCTTGGTAAGTATCTTCTTTTGAAGCTTCCTGGCCGGATGCTGCTTCAGCGGTCAGCTTCAGGAGCTCTGTGAATTCCACTGCACGTTCTTGAACTTCTAGGTTAGGGTGTAGTATCAGGCCTTCAAAGGAATGGATTATGCGAGCCATTAGTAGCGAGATTTGCGATTTGCGCTTGGGGGACCAAGGGGCCAGTTGGTCTCCCGAGATCAAGGAGAAGACTTTCATGACTGCTTGAAGACAGGCCGCTAGAGACTCCGGGGAAGAGGCTTTTGGGACGAGTTGCAGCAAAACGCCGAGAATATCATCTGGTGAGGATAATTCGGAAGCAAATTCCCCGACGATCCAAGCGACCGGTTTGAGTGCACCGGCAACGATATGGTGCCCAACCGGTGCGTCGTTATTTAATTGGGACAGGATTTCCTCGACGGCTCGAACACAGGAGGGGCGAAGAGCCTGGACCTTGACGGCAATATTTCGCAGCTCGTTCCCTATCCTCTCCGAGATATCACCTTCGCTCAATGTCGCGCGTCGAGGAAGGGAGTCTACGTCGCTAATGGGCCGTGGTATCGGGGCGGTCCGGACAAGTTGGGTCAGAATATCAATGTACCACTCGAAGTCGGTTAGATGATCGTAGTTGTTTTGAGAGCACATATTCAATATCCTGCTGATCACATCAACCTTGTAGTCATCCGGGAGTGGAAGGGTCGGGTTTGGCGGTTTGGGTGCAGAATTGATTGTCCTCTCCAAGTCTTCATCCTCGGAATCCCTTGGGCTTGATCCTGGGAGTGTTGTAGACCCCCGGTCTCCCAAGGAAGACGCCTTCAGTTGCCTCATAAGGCGACTGACAATAGAGACTATATTTTCGCTACTGACCATACCCTGCACCAGATCCAATGCCTTTATACGAATGGAGACATCAGTACTGTCTATGCATTCCAGAATGACATCTTCCTGCTGCGCCACGAGCCACGGGTGAGTGAGGACTATCTTGTTGAACGCCAGCAGGGCCACATATTTCACTACACCAGAAGCGTTAGCGACTTCAGCCACAAGAGTCGCAGTAAGACTCACAGTTCGGATCACCATCTACCATAATCATGCCTCGGAGTTTGTTGACGCAGAGAGATGCGATTTCTTCTTTTCCCTCCGCATCCTCGCCGCTACCAAGTATACCGCCCTGGATAATCCCGCTTATGCATTCATATAGCAGTGACATCGCATGGGTGGTCTGAATGATCTCCATTAACGGCGGCAGCAGTTTCCGAACCAGTCTCGGTTCAAGAGGTGTCAATATGGCGAACTAATTTAAGTCAGCCAACGTCACGTCGTAGTAGGAAGCCTACATATATTGCGTACTAGCTTGATTAGTTTTATTGCCATCCAATTGTTACCGCTATCAACCAACAATTCGAATAACCGGGGCGCAAGCGGAAGAAAGTCATGTGGCCGGCGCCATCCAAGTTCGCATATGACGTTGATTATCGCCGCAGTTACGCTCGGGTGCTCGGCCCTGTCCATAAGCCTCTCTTTGATTCTCGGCCACGCCGCACGTAGAGTTTCGGGATAAACCAGGGCAAGCCTGTATAATGTGACGATAGTCTTCTTGCGGATGGCAGGGTGAGTGTGGTTGAGCCGTGGTAGAAGGTCGGGTAGGACGGAGAGCGCGAGAGACGGGGTGATGACATGTGGAAGGGTCACGATCGGCAGAGCGATGGTAGTCGTCGAGGCTGCGGTCAAATCCTGGTGCCGAGGTCAGCACAGCACTCATTTCGAAGTCGAGCAGCGTATATTACCTTCTTGAGAAGGTTTGTCGCTAGCATGAGGACCTCGGTGTTGGGACCGAAACTCTGGATGGCACCGAGATAGCCAACTCGCTTTTGGTGGTATTTCGCGGAGGCCATGACCTCGACAACGTTGAAGGAAGCCCACGACATGTCATGGCCGAACATTTCCAGGTATATCAGCTTCAGCAGGGAAGTCGCCTTGAGATCTGTGGGAGGAGAGCGCAAGGGTTAGCCAGGATCGAGCGAACCAACAAGACGAGCAGATCAACGGAGAGGAGAGGCGGCCAACCTAAGTCCTGGCTTCGGATTTCGGCACGGCATTCTTTCAGGCAATTCTGCACATATTCCTTCTCGTTGCCTTTGTGATTTCTCAGGCCTCGGATGAGGTCGTATAACGACTTCTCGAACCTGCGATAGGGCAGTGAATAAGCTGTGGATTTCCTGACACTCTTCTGGTCTACCCGGGCCACGTACATGATTGCCCAAATAGCACCTCTGTCAACGCCAGTCGCGTGTGTGGTCTCCGGGGAGGGAGTTAGGAGGATGATCGGCTTCGAGTTGAAGGCTGTACGCTCGAGTTGCGCCGCATACCACGGATCATCTTGGCAATATGATGAAAGACAGATACGCGAGCGAGAACGGCTGCGCGGGTGGTGTTCATTTACATCCACGATGGAGTCGTGGCGGCATCATCAGGTATCTGAAAAGTAGCAGAGGGGCTTGGAAAAGCCCCACGGGAGCACCGGTAGGCGAGAGCCCAGTACTACAGATAGGTACCATACGTAAGGTACGTAAGGTACATACGTAGGTGCCTTGGCTTCCACCCAACCTAATGTACCTGTACCTAGATAGGTACCTGTATACCTAAGTACCTATGTAGAAACCTCATAGGTGCCTCATAAGAGGTAGGTACCTAAGGTCTGTTGGTGGGGTGGTTATGGCACGTAGGAGGTACCTAGGTACCTACCTAGGCAGGGTCAGCTCCAGCTGTCCTGACCGGCCAGCCAGGAACATACATCCCAAGGCTGCCTCGGGGACGAAAAGCCGTCCTCATCCATCTCAGCTTGACCAGCTCACCTACAACTCCTCAGATACTTAAATCGTGGTCGGCATGAGACATTGATGTCTTGACGCGTATAGCTGCATTCCATCCTCAGTGAATACCTAGCAACGGCAATCGCAACGGCGACGACGACGATAATCCTGCCGTGGAGAAGGATATTGATACGGGAGCGGATAGTAGGTGTATTGGGGTAAACATCCGATCTTCTCGTCCGAGGCAGATTAAGCGGTTGTCACCACCATGTCTTCCCTTCTCCATCCACCTACTCAGTTACCCCCCGCCCTGGTCCTGCGCAATTCGCAGCAGGCCCCGACCATACTCAAGTCCTCGGGCGTCATCCCGATGAATCTACTCACCGACCCGGAAACCCCTGAGCTATGGACTATATTCGAGAACCTACTATTATCGTGCCTTCAATCCGGAGATGACGAGTCGGCCCGTGGATGCTTGACAAAGTTGGTAAAGAGGTTTGGCGACGACAATGAACGAATCCAGGCTTTGAGAGGCCTCCTCAGGGAAGCTCAAGCTCAAGATACTGCCACCTTGGACGCGATTCTAAAGGAGTACGACGAGACGTTACAGGGCAACCCGACCAATATTGTGAGCCCCTTCCCTACCACGGACCCGGCCGAGGAATGCTAACATCACCGGCCCATTTAGCCCATATTAAAGCGCCGGGTGGCCCTCCTGCGGTCTATGGAACGGGTATCCGAGTCCATCGGTGCTCTGATATCGCTTCTTGACATCTCCCCCACGGATGCGGAAGCATGGGCCGAGCTTGCCGATCTCTACTTCTCTCAAGGGTTGTACTCGCAAGCTATCTATTCGCTCGAGGAGGTTCTGGTCTTGCAGCCAAATGCCTGGAATGTCCGTCGTCTAACCCCTGTGTCGCGGCCCCGCCCTGTCGCTGACTTTAAACATGATAGGTACATGCTCGTCTAGGTGAGATACTCTTAGTTGCTGCAAAGCCCGTCGGCAACCTGGGTCAATTGAGCGAGGCCCTGAAGCGATTCAGCCGAAGCATCGAGCTATGCGACGACTATTTACGGGGCTATTATGGCCTTAAGCTAGTAAGTCGCCTGCGGAAGAAAAGAAGGATGAGGAAGAAGAAGAGGGGATAATTACCGCTTAAATTATGGGCTGACCTAAATAACAAGACGGCAAAGCAACTCCTGGCAATCGCGCCAAAGGTGTCGTCGTCGGACCGGCCAAATTCTGATGGATTTTCTATCCCTGATGTGACCACGCTACGCAAACTAGATGAGGTGGCTACCGAGAAACTCGCGGAAATCGTGCGGCGTCGCTCATCAGGGGAAAAGGGTTGGCAAGGCTATGATGAAGCCGAGATTAAGGCGGCCCGCGAACTCCTCGACAGCGATTCAGCGGCGACTGCTCGATAAGGGAAACCGACGGGACTAGTGATTCGCCAACCATGCTCCCTCGATCTTGACTCACATGGGCGCGCGTCTCACGAGAGATTACAAGCCATTATGCGGCTAATAAAGAGGGCCTTGCATTCTGGTATGCACAGAATCGAAATCCCCAATTGGTGCACAAAATAGACGGATTCACATCGGGAAGATCGGTGGACCTCTACGCAGACAGACGTGTCTCCCCCCCGTCCACTATTCCCTCTCCCACATGCCGGTTTGGCCAAGGACAAGTCGTCCAGGCGGTCACCTTACTGGATGGACGGTCCTACAATACGACTGGCACGTGGCTCCAGTCGCACGACCTGCGTTGTCGTAAGTGGGAAGGGGGCGGTACTGCAATTGAGCGAACGGGAAGGCGGCCAGGTGGCGCACATATACATATGCTACCTATAGCATCTTATATCAGATTTCGGCGCTTTACAGCGGATTGCTTATTATCACGGTGATGCTGCTTATTGTTACAGTAATCCACCTATGCCATTTCGATTTTAGTGAGATCTTATCAATACTTGTTCGATAAGATAACTACAAGAATTAAATGGAAATTATCACTTGATATATTACTTTATATGGGAAATAAGGAAGCATGATGGCTTTCTTTCTTTCCTCAGGCGGTCTTCCTAAACACTAACTCATAGATTCTGTTACCAATCTGCATCCAGGTAATTACCTACACATACGCCGGTGTGCTATAAGATTTACCCAGTAACCGCTGCGCTTCTCTGGGGCGTCATCTCGCCCACTTGACATCGCCCGCCACGGCTGAAAGGGAGCCCATAGCATCCCGAAAGTCTTGACAAGTTTGATTCATTCGCTATCACACGTTGCGTAAACCATGCCCTGGGGAGCTGCCCTGGTTTTAGCACAGCGGTTCCTGAACCAATTTCACCGTAACTACTAGTGATCGGCCAATCAGTCTGGATTACACCGAAACGCCTGCCGAACATCGTCTTCCACGCCGACTTCGATCTCAGCCAACTTCTCCGGTTAGCAGCGCGGCCCCGACGTCCACCGTGTACCGGCAACAGCTCTCAAACCTCTACTATAAAGCAGGCGCACTAAACTGAACGATATTTCTTGGATTCGATGATGGCGTCGGGTGGGGTTTTCGGGCTCCCTGCTCATCCTTCGCTACTGCCTAAAGCACTACCGAGCGTCACCTAACCAGCAAGGTTGCTACCCTAAAATACATCTGAGGTTATTCAACGAACGTCTTCTTTCTCCCAGGCACGTTCTATAAGACCAGGAAACGATCGAGAATCTTCCGCGCGGTCCGTTTCATAACGAAGCGGACTATTACACCTCCCTCGCCGCAGCCCTTTATCTAGGTACATGCCGAGTAGCTTCCGATAGGGCATTATATTCTCTGTGCGCTTGTTCCCGTCCCGGAAGAATATCCCGATTTCGCCCAGCACCACGCCGCTCCTGATGGCTGGAATGACTTTGCGACCCTTGGAGGGATGAGGGACTCGAGCGTGAACCGATTGCAGTATTACCCCGCGAGCGACCTCCTCCAGGACTCTGTCACCGCCCGTATGGTCCGTCCTGTCAAATTAATTGGCCGCTGGCTTCCCCCTTCACCACCACGGCATTGGCCTCCAGAGCTTCTTCGTTAACGGTAACTTTGAACATTCGCATGTGTCACCGACTAGGCGTTTCCCCCCACTGTTCCTCCAGCCCCGCTACTCGCTCCTCCGGGCCTGCCACGACCCAGGACACGCTCGCACTGGCGGGTAAGCTAATAGATGCCGACGAGCCTGAACGCAAGGTCTGTCGGAGGGAGAAAGAGTACTTCGACGCAGTTGGTGCTAAGAGGCTGGCGTTAGCGCGCAAGGTGACATGTGCGGCCAAGAGGAATCCGCGATTTGTGGCAGACGGGGGGCTGTGGTGTTGAGTTGACGCAGTTATGGAGTTATACGTCGAAGCAACTTCTCTCTACGCTCCGCGCTTCTCCGTTACCTACCTACCTACGTTTTCGCTACCATGTGGTCAGCACTTCCTGAAAGGCTAAGAACATGAACAGGATAAGGGAAACTCTATAATTAAATGAAACCCCTCTTATAATTAAATAAGGTATCGCGTTTATATAACTATTCTTTAGATAGAACCACTACCTTCCTATCGTGGATTTACGTGCTTCTTTATTACGTTTTTATTACATCGTGTAAGAACATTAGGCATACCTAACACGCGGTACTGGTGGTTGTGGTAGTAGTAATAGCGATGGTCTGCTCTGGGGTGAGGTATAGGGTAACAGGGGATTAGTTGGGCCGGTGTGTATGAGTAATGCTCGTACCGTACACATGTAGAGTAGAGCATGAGTGTCGTGATATTTGGGCAGCAAGAAAGCCACCTCATCGGGCAGCTGACCGGGGTTCCACATCTGGAACATCCCGGACGGACCTAGCCGCAGATGAGATTTCGCTGCCACCGCCCCTTTCTACGTCGATCGTAGCAGGGATCCTCTCTGCCGACGCCTCTGGTTTGGGATTGGCCTCTTCGGGGAGACATACAGAAGCCATCTCCGAGCTCGCTGGCAGCAGGGCTACACCTCCATCACCGTGGAAGCCATCGCAACAAGCAGCGCGCGTCGATGCCATGCTACCTGCCTGGCTATGCGTCTCCTGACAGGCCATCTACGAGACCACGTAGCGGGTTTCCAAGAAGCAGCGGTATAAATGCGTCGGAAGCCGGTACAGCCAATTTCTAGCGTGGTTGAGCCGGGGAGGTCTTATTAGAAGACGAGTACGGTCCGTTGCTTTTTTTTTTTTTTCTTCCCCTCTCAATTCTCAATCCGGGAGCTGTCCTTCGAGAGCGAAGGCCGACTCTCTTTGCTCCGCCAGATGCAACGGGGGCTACCGGCGTCGCCCGACCGTCCGATTATTACCCCGGATCTTTCCCAATCTCCCGCGGTGGATAATCCTGGAGGTCCCGCCCCTGGAGACAGTGGGAATCGACGGCAAGCCTGCGCCTCTGGCCTACGAACCCAAGAACAGACAGCCACCGGTTTGTCAGCTGTCAGAACCGGGAACCGGACAATGCCCAATCACACTACCGCCGTCTGGTGCCGAGTTGCTGCGGCTAAACCCGGCATGCCCACTAGCAACTCAGGCTGCTGTCGCAGGAAACGAGCAACTCGTCTTCCCGTGCGTGAATGAATATATCTATTGAAGACAGGAGACGGAACAGGGACGAATGGCAGGGAGCTGGAGATTCAGGCACACGCGCTCGCCCACCTACGCTCCAGTAGTGCTCTGGTTGAAGAAATCGAGAGAGGCAGAGGCCAGTTAGGATGGGTTGCTGGCCGCGCAGGGTGTGAGTCTGTATGCAGCACTATTGGTGGCGACCCCTCCCCCCTTCTCTCCCAGCATCACGCAGCACCGGCGGTACCAGCACGAAGCACCCACCAGCAACAACAGCGGTGTGGACCAAGGACTTGCGTGTGTCTCTGTTCCTCGTGCTGGCGCTATCAGCTTCCATGTGCCCTGCCCCCTCACTCTCCCACTGGCCCTCCCTCGTCCCTGGGGCTCCATACATACCTACATACCTACATGCACGGTATGGTCCTTCATAGCCGTACCTCTAAGCCCCCCTCCCCCCCGGAGCCTGTCTGCGGACCCAAACCCGTACCCGGAGGTTGGAGATACCCTATACGATGCCACCGTTCCTTGTACGTACCTGTATTTTCCTGCCCGGTTCGTTCCATGCTGCCACAGCCCACCGCCGCAAGTACGCACGCACACATGTGCGCCCACCAAGCTCGACGGCCCACACGACAAGTAGGTAGAAGACGAGGCTCACCTGCTTCGGCAAAAAGCCTTCGCCCAACCCAGTACTCTCTGGAACTCGGTTCCGGCGAATCAGTCCCTGTACGTTGTCCTTTCCTCCCAGGCGCATCGATCTCTCGTCATGTATGTCTCCCCAAGACCGGATCTAGCGCAAGCGCGCTGGAGAGCCCTAGTTGGGGACCGCTGCTCTCGTGACGGGGGGGTGGGTTTGCACCTATCTCTGCTAGCGCATCGGAGATTGGGATGAATGTTCTAGAGCCTGGATGCCCACAACACGTATGCGCATGCGCTATGTGCTCCGTTGTACGGGTACGTGGGTGTGCGTAGGCTGGCGGGCTGTCTAGCCCCTCTCCTCTCTCTGCCTCTCTGCCTCTCTGCCTGGGCTGTGCCACCGGCGGCCGTCATGCCCGCTGTTGGCTCCTCATCGCTGATGACGGATGGATCGTAGGCCTACTTGTCTGTTCGGGGCCATTCCTATAAGTTCCCGGCACCCACCCAGCTGCCCTCCTCCCTCCTCCCCCGTCTCTCCCGACCTACGGTACCAGTAAGGCGACGTGGTCGATCGTACTGCCATCTACACCCCTGGGAATCGGAGGGGCGCATCGCGATCTCTCGGTTTGCCGTCCGGAGGCAGAGCGACAGACGTATAAATACCTGCCGATACATCCAGATAATAAGTATCCGGTGCCAACAAGCACCCATCACTTGTCCACTTGCACGCTTACGCCCACACCTACGCCCGCGCCTGACATCTACACCTACGCCCACATCCACACACCTGCTACGTCCCGCTTCAACATCTCTCTCTATCTACTCGCGTAGGTATCTACTTGCTCCGACAACACCTATTCGCCTACCTGCGTTCCCGCCTAGGCCCGTTCCCGTTATAGCGACGCCGGACACGTATCGGCAACGTACGTCGCGCCCACGCAGACGCATGATAGACGCCTACAATACCCAGCACACCCTGACGTTGGACAATAAAGCCGGCAGGGCGCCGGGAGACGTCGACAACCCGCTCGGTCCCATTTTCATAGGGTAAGTGGTCCTGTCAACCTGCGGATTGCGATGCGAAGCTGGGCAGCGTCTGGCTGTACCCAGTGTTACCTCCCAATGGGATTGCCCGCCTTATTTGCATATTGCGTGCAGCTGCATACCATACGCAGTTACATACCTACACATTTACGTATTATCGCAACCCGTTAGCAAATCACCCCGCTCGCTCCCTTCAACGCCACTTGCAATTCTGGGCGATATCGTCTTTGCGGGTATCGCGATTACTGCAGCCCAATGAATCAACCCACCGCTCCCATTCCTGGCCCTCTCCCTCCCCTCCGCCCTCAGCGTTGTTCTCTTGTGTCTCTCTCCTTTCGCGCCCAACGTGAATCCAACTGATCCAGGTCTTACTCGAAGACCGGGATCCCCCCTCCCATTCCACCCCTCCCCCAGTCGCTCTCGGCCCTTGCACCACCCCAAACCAGGGGTGGAAGGATAAATAAATAAAAAAAATCGCTGGTGGATCGCCTTGTTACAAAAGCATCCCAATTCCTCGCGGATCCTCTTCTCCCACCCAACCCACTCTCTCTCCCTCTCCCTCTCCCTCTCTCGCACACCTCCACCTATACCACCCCATACCGCCTCTTTACTACCACCCACGCATACGCCTCTTGGCCTACCTGCACTTTTGCCATTCTCGCTCTTCGCTCGCTGCGCATAAACACGGAGCCCGATCTGACGTGGAATTACTAACGGCGGTCTCAGAAACGCGCAGATCCCCCCCTCTTCTCCCGTTGGCAGCATCCAGGCCGCAAAACCGGACGACAAATCTCGAAGAAATCAATTCGCCTACGTCTAGTGAAGCAGGTGAACGGACGTCGGCCATCGCCTCATCCTTCAAGCATCCCTTTGCTCCGCTTTTTGTGGGTGGATCGTTGTGGGCGAGGGGCACTCGGGCAACATATCGTCACCAATGTCGTAAGTAGCGGCATGCTGCGGGTCTCTCAATTCGCCAATTGACCTTTTCCATCTCCCAGTCGCAGGCAGACCGTACGTACCAGTCACCATTACAACCACAGCGGCCCCATCTCAGACGACGCCAGCTACTTGGAAGAAGAGGACTCCGGCCCAGGAGGGTCACACGAACACGAGGACGACTGGTCTTCTGACGAGGAGGCAGACTACGACGAGGGGGACGATATCAACCCCGAAGACTCGGCTTCGACATCCCCTGTGAGGCGTCACTACCAAGACCCTCGCACGCAACAGGCCCCAGTCCGGCAGAGAATCGCGCACCGGCCAGCTTCCCAATACGACTATCGGCAGTCGCCGAACCAATCGACCAGCCTGGATTCGGAATATTACGAGTACGGCCGCGGTGGCTATCCACCGCTGGTCGGGTCACAGTATTACGCTGGCGGCCGGGGTGCATATCCCCAGAGTCACGTAAGTGGCTATGGTCCCCCGCCGTACGGAGGCGGAAATGGCCAGATGGTGCCCTACGGGCCCCATTACAACCAGAACCCATTCGCGCCGATGACCGGGAGCGGCGGCAACTATTTTAACGCGGAGCACCGGGGATGGCCAGGTGGGCCCGGCGGACCTTCCCCAGGGCAAGGTCCAGGCGGTGAGATGATGCCGTTCGGAGGTCAAAATTATTTTGGAGCACCGCAGTATCCCCCCCCACACGGCATGCAGCAGTACCAGTGGACGCCGCCGCCGCCGCCGCCAACAGATATCGGCCAACCCCGAACTCCTGCCCCGGAGCCGGTGAAGGAAAAAGAGGATCCCGAAAAGGAGCTCATGAAGAAGAGGCTCGCGGAGATCGAGGCCGAGGCAAAGAGGAAAGAGGAGGAGGCCAAACGGAGGGAGCACGACGCCATGATCATGAAGCAGGCCCAGGACGAGTTCCAGCGCAAAATGGAGCAGATGAAGAGGGACGAAGAAGTCCGAGCGGAGGAGAGGAGGATTGCCGAGGAGAAGGCGAAGAAAGAGCTCGAAGACGCGAGGAAGGAGGCCGACAGAGCGGCGCGGGAAGCCGTCGAAGCCGAGAGGAGAGCCGAAGCCGAGAGGAGGAAGCGTGAGGCGGAGACCCTGGAAAGGGTCGAGAGAATCGCACGCGAGAAAATCGAAGCGGAGCGAAAAGCCGAAGAACAGAGGAGGAAGCAGGAGGCAGAGGCTGCCGCTCGTGCGGAAGCGGCCGCGAAAGCTCGGCTTGAGGCCGCTTTAAGGGCCGAGGCCGAGGCCAAGATGTTGGCGGAGAAGAAGGCCGCGGAAGAAGCGGCGTGGAAGAAGAGGATGGAGGAAGAGGCGAGACGGAAAGCCGAGGAAGAGGCCCGAAAGAAAGTTGAGGCTGAAGAGGCAGCTAGGCGTGCGGCCGCGAGGAGGGCTGAGGAGGAAGAGGCGTGGCGGAAAAAGATGGAGGAAGAAGCCAAGATGAGGGCCGAGATAGAGGCTCGGAAGAGGATCGAGGCCGAGGAAGCGGCGAGAGCCGCGGCTGCGAAAAAGGCTGAGGAGGAGGCGCTGATGCGGAAGAGATTGGAAGACGAGGCGAAGATGAAGGCTGAGATGGAGGCCCGCAAGAAGATCGAAGACGAAAAAGCAGCGGCAGAAGCTGCTAAAGCCGCCGAAGAAGCCAAAAAGAAGGAGGAAGAGGCTTTCAAAAAGAAAGCCTTGGACGAAGCCAAGGTCAAGGCCGAGGAGGCAAACAAGAAGAGCCTCGGAAAAGACAAGGCGCCTATCCGGTTCAAGGATGCCGTTGGGAGGAAATTCAGCTTTCCCTTTCATCTATGCCAAAGCTGGCAAGTATGTAAACCCCCGTATCTCAATCCGGGGGATGTGCGCATGCTAACTTCCCTCCTTTCAACTTCAGGGCATGGAAGAACTCATCAAGCAAGCTTTCTTACACGTCGACTTTATCGGTCCCCACGTGCAAGCCGGACACTATGACCTGATCGCGCCAAATGGGGAGATCATACTTCCCCAGGTATGGGAGAAGGTGGTCGAGCCGGATTGGTCAGTCACAATGCAGATGTGGCCGATGGAACAGCGACCGGCCGCGCCTCATATGGGACGCGGGCAAATTCCGGCTCACATGGCCGGACGGTTTCCGCCGCAAGGTGTCGGCATGGCCGCTCGCCGTCCGGGAGCGCCACCACCACCCCCTGGCCATACAGGTATGGGCGCCATGGGTGGTATGGGCGCCATGGGCGGTATGCCCGGCGACATGGGGCCTAACGGCCTAGGCGGCCGCCCGGCCGGGCCGCCCATCCCCGCGGGCGTCCAGATCATGCAAGCCAACAAACCTCCAAAGAAAGCTTCAAAGAAAGCTCCAAACAGCGTGTTTAACTGGCTGGGGGGGGCTCCGAAGCCTAAGGGAAAAGGGTCAGTAGCCGCATCCGTCATGTTCTTCGTTACCTAAGCTCACGGAATCACTTGCACGCGTAGGAGGCGATGAACAAACCATTTTGCGTCACGGGGTCCGGGGCACCTGCGTCAGTTTTCGGTCAACGCCAGCCTTTGTTTTTTTTTCCATGTCGCTGTCGCCGCGTCTTTAGGCCTCGTCTTCGGTCGCCTCTCATAAATTTCATCTCTCGGGGAGTTTTGTGGTGGCTTTTTATTTTTATAAAGGAACTGATTCTGCATTATATACCCCGGCTCAAGACGACATTACTTTCACGGGCTTCCTATGCGGACTTTTGGAACGGCAACCCATCCTGTATGAGAAGAAATAATAGCGGCCGCGGGACATCGCCACACTTCCCTCTGTTGCTTCAGTAAGGCAGGCATGTAAAGCTTTTTTTTCTTTCCTCATGCCAACGGATCTTTTTGAAGGGTCGTCTGTGATGGCGCAGTGTTTCGTTGGCGGCAGGTTGATTAGGCGTGCGAGAAGGAAAGACAAGTAGGCATGAATTTCTCCTTTTCAAGACGGCGAATATTTGGTTAAGCTTTATCCGTATTTCTGAACGGCGCCCAGTCTAGGAAAGATGGGAATGAGGAACCAAAGATGGACCGGGGACCGACCCATTATCTGTCTATAACGCTCGGAATTAAACATATGTAAGCTCGGAGTGATGTCTTGAATTGATTCTTCGTTGAAAGAGCGAATACGTGCGTGTCCCTCGTTGACGCTGCTATGACGAGTCGGAATCCCTCGACGTTGTGTTCTAACTTCTCCCGCTCTCGAGTCGGAACTGTGTTGTAGAGAACTCGGCGCTATCCAGACTTACTCGTGGAAGCCATGCCGTGCGAAGGTGACAGACAATTCTATTATCCCTCTTTTCCTTCTATCGCAATGTTGGACTTCGACCCTTCATTGGTCCTCTGTTATCGGCGCCCCGTCGGCCACGGAAGCCCTCTATATCTATATATATTACTTCATATTTCGTCGTTATGCCGTACGCGTGTCGTATCGGCCGCGGGTGATCTACGAGACAGGTCCCCATCGCCTTGTCTTCCTGAAACGCCTCCCTCCCGGCCCCCCATTCCTACCGCAAGGTTTGCGCGACCCTCCCGGTCTCGCCGAGGGCGCGCCGGGCCTCTTTAACGAAGGCGTCGACCATAACGGGGGCGATCTTGTCGGCGACGGCAGCACCAACAACCATGTAGAGCGGGTTCGCAAACTGGTACTTAATGGTGAGCCGAACGTCGCTCCAGTCGTGGCCGGAGGTGTCGGCAGCCGGGGGGGCCGGTCGCACAGTCCACCGCGTCACGAGGCTCTTGAACACTCCACTACGGCCGCCGAGTTCCCCAGGCCGGCCGAGGCCCCCATCCTCGGGGGGGAGGCCGTAGCGGCGGCGCTCAGCGGCAGAGAGCTCGGAGCGGCCGTCGGGCCCGCTGACTGCCTCGACGACGCCGAGCGCGGGCACGCAGACGAGGCGGCTCGTGTAGGTCTCGACGAAGTTGCCCCAACCGGCGGTCAGGTCGGCGCAGAGGGGCCAGCGGCGGCCGGCCCCCTCGGCACCCGCGGCGTCGGCGTCGAGATCATTCGGCGAAGAGGCAGAGGAGGAGGCGGGGGAAGCGGGATAGGGCGCGGACCACCGGGTGACGCGCGAGTGCGTGCAGTACGGCAGGAAGCGGGAGTAGGCGTCGACGTCGGCGACGAGCTCGTAGAGGCGTTCGTGGTGGTAGGGCAGCCGGCGGGCGGCAGTCAGGAGCCGCGGCTCGAGGGCCGGGGCCGAGGGGAGGGTTATGAAAGCGCGTCGCAGAGGAAGGGGAGGGACGGAGGGGAGACGGGGTCGAAGGGAGAGGGCGCGCGAAGTCGACATCGGAGGAAGGGCGCCTGCAGGTGGGTATTGATACAAGTCGGATAGGATCGGATCTGAGACGCGGCCGCAGGGGCCGCGATGGTGACCGTGTGAGGTAGAGATCGTGGAACGCGATGGTAAGTGAGTGACGAGATGAATAAATGAGGGTTAGTAAGGTGGATATTAGGGTGCGGAATCCGACTCTAGCCTATTATGAGGCATTGTCAAGCTTCTACGCTGCTGCCATGACCCGATGAGACTAGAGGTGATATTCAAAGCATTCTATACACACAGAACGAGGCCAATGTCAGTGCTATAATGCGGGCGATCTTGAGTGCAAGAGTAAGGAGGGTCTGTAACCTAGAATTGAAGCTATCCTACACCTACCTACCTAGGTAGCTAGTAACAAGGCCTATCGACAAGAAACCCGACAAGCAAGCCACAGACCCTTCACACAGCCACATGATGTGGGGTACCTAGATAACCTAGCTCTACCTACTCAAAACATAAATTTTTTCCTCTTCCCACTCATTCATTCTGCTTTTTCTCCTCACTCTCCGTCCGGTTCCAGGTAGCTTGTAGGAATGCTCTGGAACCCAAACGGCCTTCGGCAACAAGTAGGAGGCCTGGCGCAGGACCCCGGCACGAAGGTGCCGTCTTGCTATACTCTGCAATGGCTTCCGTTGCCCCTGTCGACTCAGCGATGCAGTCGCCGGACGGCGAGCAGCCGATCACAACCCCGGCGCCGATGTCGCGAGAGGCCACTGCCGATGCCATCGTCACCCAGCTGCCTCCCCATCGGAGCCACGACCCCCAGTATAACATGAAGAGGAGCGACCCCTTCCAGTTCGGATCCCGTTATCTCCAGCAAGACGATGATGTCTTTGAGTTCAACGCCTGGGACCACGTGGAGACTGACGACGCCTACAAAGAGTACGCCGAGCAGCAGTACTCAATGCAGCGAGAGTCGCCGGTCTCCGACTTTGATAAGTGTAAGTCGAGACAACTGCTTTTTCTGCTTGTCCTCGCCGATGTCGTGATGATACACCAATGCATAGTTCATCTGATTACTGCTGATGACCACATTACCATAAATTCTTTCGCTCCCATCTGAACATGGCCATGCTGCCCTTTCTCCACCGTACTCCCGCCAGCTGTGCTACGTGCTCCTCGCTAACCAGTACGGTGCAGACAGGTTCAACTCCGACCCTGCTAAATGGTGGAATCTCTTCTATAAGAATAACACTGCCAATTTCTTCAAGGACCGCAAGTGGTTACATCAGGAGTTTCCCATCCTTGACCGTGCTACAGCGGAGGATGCTGGCCCCTTCACCATCCTGGAAGTTGGTGCGGGAGCCGGCAACACTGCCTTTCCTATCCTAGCCAGCAACAAGAACCCCAAATTGAAAGTGCATGCCTGTGACTTCTCCAAGAAGGCTGTTGAGGTGATGCGTAATCACGAGGCTTACAACGCCGATTTCATCCAGGCCGACGTGTGGGATGTCGCCGGCGTGGACCTTCCCCCCGATCTACCCGAGAGCAGTGTAGATGTCGTCATCATGGTATTCATTTTCTCGGCGCTATCCCCGACACAGTGGCAGGAGGCGGTCCGCAATGTCTATCGGGTGCTCAAGCCAGGCGGCGAGGTATGTTTCCGCGACTATGGCAGAGGTGATCTAGCACAGGTCCGGTTCAAGAAAGGCCGGTATCTGGAAGAGAACTTCTACATTCGGGGTGACGGCACGCGGGTATACTTCTTTGAGAAGGACGAGCTGGCCCAAATATGGTCGGGGCCGCTCACGACGCCCGAGAGCGAAGTCAAAGTCGACGATGAAGCGATAAATCCTGTAGATGCCGAGATAAAGCGAACATTATTTGATATAGAAGAGCTCGGCGTCGACAGGCGAATGCTTGTCAACAGGGCGCGGAAGCTGAAGATGTATCGTTGCTGGATACAAGGCCGCTTTCGAAAGAGATAACAAAGCTACCGTTTCCCCCACCGAGGCCTGAATATATCTATTACGTGCAAATTGTGGCGACCACGACTCGACAAAATTCCTCATGATCACCATTCTCGAGCCAGACTTTCTCATTCTTATATTATGCACCCAGTGCCTCGACGAGCTGCTGCCGCTCCGCGACACTGATCCCAATCCCGTCGAGGTAGCCGCCGATGCTGCGGTGCCGCGTCTCGAGGTATAGCAGCACGCGGGGCACAAAGTCAGCGGGCGCATTGCCCCAATCGGCGGTGAGGCCGATCCCGACCTCACGGTCGAATTCCCTATTGTCGATAGCAGTGGAACCCGGGCGCGAAAGCCCTTCCTGCGACAGCATGTAGTCGTAGGTGACGGCGTCAGGGGGCGCACCGAGCGCAAGGAGCACGAGAATCACGATGAGGCCAGTGCGGTCTTTGCCCTGGGTACAGTGGAGGAGGACGGGGCGAGACGAGGAGGCGAGGGTGCGGAGGATCTGTGGGTTGAGATGTGAATTAAAAGGCGCGCGCGAGGAGAGAGATAGAGGAGAGGGATAATGAAGGCAACACAAGCCAAGCGGCACAACAGGGCAAACAATCTTACCTCGGCGATCTCGGCGCCGGACTCATCTAGCATGATGATACCCATGCCGACGAGGCCCCGCGGCAGCATAACCTCGCGGCTTACTAGCCGGATAGCGTGCGTGCGATAGCCGAGGAGGAAGAGGAAGAAGAATATGCTAGTGGCGCGGGCGTAGAGACTTTTGTCAGCGAGCCAAGGTAATAGAGCCAGTTTAGCTAGCAGTTATAGGTACCTACTATCCGCGCAATGCATAGACGCAGATCGGGCACCCGTCTACCCCATCCCCAAGGCGAGGCGAGGCGGGGCGAGGCAGACAGGGTAGAAAATACACGTGGAAGATTCAGACTCACAGGTAACTCCACCACGACAGCTGTCCGAGCAGGAACCACTCGAACCGCCGTCCTGTCAGCGCGATCTCATAGTACCGCACCCCCGGGATGCGGCCGGGATCCGGGTCGCCGGCCTCCACGGCCGCCCGGCGCTTCCGCGCTCGCATCCGGTGCTCCGTGCTGTTTTAGGGAAACAGAGCCGGCGCCCGATGGTTAGCCAACCAACCAGCCTCGGCGTCGCGACTATTATTTAGGTACTATTTTATTGCGTGGCGTGGAAGAAGGGGGGGGCAGGGTGCAGGTCGCACGTTACCCACGTACCTGCTCCGCAGGTCCACGATAGTCCCGACGCCGAATTCCTCGACGAGCCGCCGGCGGTCCGCGGCGGAGGCGTCGTCTGCCGGGGGCCGGAGAGGCGCTGGTTAGCCGGCGGCCCAATGGCGTCAGGTGGCCCCCTGCAGCGCGGGAAGCGCGGCGGCGGGGAGAGGGGGGCGGGGGCTGCCGTCTGCGATGCTCTCACCTGGGAAGGCGGACCGGTATAAGGCGCCTTCGCGCATGAGTCTGTTGGGGGAGGCTGGTCAGTGTGCTGACCTCGACGGTGCGCCTGCGTTGTCTCTTGTCGTCCTGGTTTCTTTCTCCGGAGGTCCCTCCGGAGCCCCGCCGCTACGGCGGCGCAGCGAGGTAGGAACTGCTTACTTCCGCCCGGTATAGTCGTTCACTGTCTTTCCGACGTCGCGGAAGTTGGCGATCTTGTCCAAAGCTACGGACATCTCGCGAGAGGGAGCGGACGGGCCACGGAGGGGAAGCAAGCGGCTGGGCGGGTCGAGGCTGTGGGGTTGTTTTCCTTGATGCCTTTCGAAGTTATGTTTCGGCGGAGCGATAAAGGATAAATTGCACGTCCGTTACATGTATATATATAAGGGTATGAGCATGGGTAGATAAGATGGAATGGTGTTCCAGGGAAAGAGCACAAATCGCGGGGAATGGGCTCGGTACTTATGGAGGTGCCTCTCATTCGGCGGCACACATCGCCTAAGTACCTAAGGCACTTGAGGGATATACACATCATACCTATATATAATACATATATATGTGATACCTACACAGGCGTAACTGAAGTCTTTCGCGTCTTGTTCCATCTGTGGACCCTCAGCGCAAGAGATATTGCCGCCGTGAGACTGCGGGTTACACAAATGACACTTACAAGTGGCATCTCCGGCTTGGCTGCGATGGCTGCTGAAGGAGGCCTGACTGGCCGTGATTCAAAGACACTGAGGCTCACGCCGGCCCATTCTAATACCTAGCATCCCTAGCTAATGGGGTTTGGAGGTGTTAGGTACTTTTCAAGAATTCTACAACACCCCACGTCGTAGTGAGAGAAAAAAAAAAAAAACCTTGAGCTTCGGACGCTTTCACACTGCATTATAACGGTAATAGGAATAACAGTCTTCAACCGTTAATAGGGATCGCCTACTGAGGCTATTTCGAGGTCCTTCGTAGGATACCATAAGCGTGTTAAGTTAGGCTTATTTATACCCATGGTTGTCACATAGGCTTACCGCGTCAAGTAACTTCCATCCCAACCAAGAGTTACTCCTATGAGGAGAGCAACCTGGTTTGCCTAAGCTGGGTTAAGTAAATATATCTGCCTAAGTATAGGCCAACCAGGTAGCTCCATACTCTCTCTTATTCCTTCTAGTTAGCCAGTCGGTCCGCTTACCCCGTTCCCATCATCCACTTATTGCTCCACGGGCAACTTGTCAACCAGCAACGTTGCTTGGGGCTGGCTACATGACAAAGAGGGGGTTTAAGAAATAATAACGCATTCCGGCTGTAGGCACGAAGTCGTCAATGGTTCCAAGTACGCGGATGGGCTGGGAAGGGAAGGGTGCCACACAGCATTATCACCTCCCTCCAGGAGCTTTCTCAAGAACATCTGGTTGGCGCATGGGCGTTTCGACAGGGACATCTGCAAAGGTTGAGCACACCATCGTAGTCACCTCCCAGGAGTTCGTGCGCACGCGCTGTAGAAAACAACCCTTTAGCGAATCCGTTTGGCTCGCCATCGCTCGCTCGACCGCCACGTGGCTGAAGTCGATGGTACAGCAACAAGAGCTGGTGGAGCCTGTTCGAGACCTGCCCTGTCCCCGGTGCTCGGTCGGTAGGCACAAAAAAAGGACAGTCGCCGTACGTGGGGGGAGGCAGATCAGCCACCGCTACATGAGTGTGCGTGTCGCCTTACCCCTATTCACCTACCCCCTGTTTACCTTAGTCAGAACTAAGTCAGTAAGTAGGGATGAGAGACCAAGATCAAGAGAAGGATAACGTAGCTATACCTAGTTATTAGAGCTTTTAGCTTTACGAATAGTAGCTTAGAACCTAGAAGAATTAAGCTTTTTCTATTAAGTTTTATCTATTTAAATCGTAAGCCGTAATATGGTAGCTTTACGCGTTAACGGATAAGCTACGGGAAATAAAGCTTCGGAACTAGAATCCCGAAGGGGTTAATAAGTTCGACCGATACCCTCCTACCCTAAGCCGATGCCTACGAAACGAGCCCGAGATTCGAAAGGCCGCTTTATTAAGGCTACGGTACCTAAAACCCCATTACCTAAACCCTCTTTACTATTATTACGCGTATTAAATAACCCCCCTTACCTACTTAAAGGCCTTAAGGACCTTATAATCCTCTTATAAAGCTAGAGACGTTCCTTATTATTAACGACGGAACCCTTACTAGGACCTATAGTAATATATCTATAAGGGGAATTACTCGGGGAATTACTTTAAAAGGACGTGTTATTAGAACTACTGAATCCCTTACTAACCTCTTTTCTAATATATAGATAAGAAGGAATAATTTCCTTATCCTCCTTATTAAGTATGGACCCTATCGGATTATATAACCAGAAAGTAGGGCTATCGGTACCATTTGCTAAATCCCTAGAAAAGTAATTAAAACGCTTACCTTTAGCTTTTAAACTACCTTTACTACCTAAGCCTGCCGATCTACGATTACCTAACGGTAGAACTAAAGTACTACCTACTATAAAAGACCTTTACTATTTTTACCTAATAATAGCTATAGTTAACGAAATACCGCGATATTAGTCGCAAGGTAAATTATCCTACCTTTAAGACTATTCTTCGGAACTACTCGCTTCCCGAGATAACGCTAGAGCTATCCTAAAAAAGATAAGCCTCCGCTAGCGTCTAAATATTACTATGGAAGTAACGGATAGTTTTAATAACTAAACGTAGACTATTAATACCTAGGAATTCGAAAAGTTTATAATAATCTAGCGATAAAGACCGCTAATTATAGAATTTCCGTATATTCCGGCTATGTTACTACGATACGAAACCCCTAGAGCTTTAAAATAGCCGCTATTATTATCCCTATAACTACCTCGTTAATTAATAGGTTTTCCTTCCCGTATAACTCGATCCTAGAGTAAATATTAGCCCTACGACGCTTATAACTATAAATAAAACTACCCGGCGCCTCCTAATAACTACCCGGCGCCTTCTAACTACCCGGTACCTCCCGACTACCCGGCGCCTTATTAGCTATTATACCTTACTAGACGATCCTATAATAAACTTAAGCTAGAGATCTTTATATACGATAATAAGAAAACTCTTATTACGGAATACCTAAATAAGATTAACTTCCTTATATACCGAAAAAGGTACGATACGGTACTAGACGCCTTCGGGTAAGGTATTATAATAAGAGATATAGATAGAGCGACCTTCTTTAATTCCCTACCCGTCGTATTTAAAAATACTATAACTTATAATCTAAATCTATTTAAATCTATATTTTTTAAACGCTTTTAAAAAGATAAGAGAGAAATCCTTTTCTAAGCCGATAGCTTAAAATATTCGTTTAATACGGAAAACGTTCTATAACTTTACGACTACGTCGACTAAAAGATCCGTTTATATAATAAAGCTAGAGAATTTAATAAGGACTCTTAAGTACGCCGGATTAAAATAGGTTTAGATCTACGACTAATATAAGTTATTATACTTAAAACTTTACGAAATATTATTCAAGACTTAAAGTTATAACTAATAGCGGTAGAATATACCATTAAAGCCGAGTATAAGCGTACCTAATTATAGTAGGAGAACGATTATTCTCGTTTCGCCGTAATAGAAAAAGAACTATAGTAACTAAAATCCGTAAATAAAGGCTAAACCTAGATACTAATACCTACCGACGTAGCTCGATAGTTTTAAGGGTATAAACGAAGACCCGGATAATTCTAAATAAAATAAAACTAAAGGCAGTTACTTTAATACTTATTCTAATAATTAACGTAATAATTAAGCTAGTAGATATAACTAGGATAGTAGATATAGCTAGGCTAGTAGATATAGCCCGGCTAATAAATAACGTAGCTAGCTTAGCCGTACTTAATATAATTAGTTTAATAACTATTAGCCTAATAAGCTAACGATAGTAATAAACCTCGCCGCCGTTAGATTTATTATAAATACGGTAATCCTAGCTACCGCGGCGATTACGTTAAACTAAGATAATAGGTTAACGCTTACTTTATAAAGGATACCATTATTATATCCGACCTAGATACTAAGGAAGAAAGCTTATTACCTAAAGAAAAATTCGACCGTATTATATAAGATATTTCCGACGTTAACCCGGATAGCGCCGAACCGGCTATAAACCCGGAAAACGACTTACCGGCGACCTAACTAATACCCTAAGACCGTATAGTACTATCGACGGGATATTATTATTATCCGTACTTCTAATTTAATATAATAATAACTAAAAATATAATAAAATAACGGAATCTATAAAAATAAAACTAACCTAGATTATTATTATTTTAAATTTAGATCTAATACCTAACGACGTTTATGTTTTCTTTTTAAATAACGAAAGATACCTATTTTAATCCTTTTAATAACTCTAAACTACCATCTTATCGGAAACATTAAAGCTAATAGTATATATCGATACTTACTCTTCTATTGCTTTAATAAGCCGATTAATATTAACCATATACTACCTTATTACGATAATAACTCGCCTCTTAGAACCGATAGCCTTAAGCGGCGTAAGTAACGGCTTAATAATTACGGAATTAACCCGTTTAATACTTACCTTTCTAACTATAGATAGTAATAATTAGTCCGCCGATTATACTATATTTATAGTTAATTCCTTATCGTACTCGCTTTTTTTAAGGACTTTATTTCTTTAACCTAATAAGCTTTATATAAGATAGGGAAGCGAGGAAGATATATTAATAATAATTAACTTAAACTTCAAAATACGGGCTATAAGTATAAAACGTAAAGAAAAATATAAAGATAACTAACCGTATCTTTAACTACTAGAACGAGTTATTATTTGGACGATTAGAATAATAATCCTTAAACCAGGTTACGGATATAATATCCCGATATTATATATTAAGCTCCCTATCCTTAAATCTAACTACGTAATTAAACTAAAGGTCTTCTCCTCCGAACGAATTAATACGCTAGGAAGCCTTATTAACGGCATTACTACCGGCTAAAATACCGCCCTTCCCTTCGCTAACTTTAATAAAATTAGAATACGTATTCCTACCGGACGACGTATAGGATTCTTAGCTAGAGTTAATATATATAACTTAATTTAGTCGTACCTTATAAAGATAAACGAGGAAAAACCCGAACGATATTAAGCCGTCTTACTTTTAGACTTATTAGGCGATACCGACGACCTTTTAAACGACCTTAAATACCTTAAATACCTTAACGGTTACTTATACTATCTTCCTGGACCAGAAGATATATAGGGAACGCTATCCTTTATCCCGATAAATAAAGACATATATATATTTAATTATTAG